TCTCCAAGTTTCAACCACCTCTGAAGCTTGGAGAGCTTTGGAGAGCCTCCTAAAAGTCGGAGAGGATATAAGAACAGCTCTCGAACTTTTCGGAGAGTCTCCAACTTTTCCGAGAGGATTTAAGAACGCACCCTAAGAGTACCGGGTTGAGCATCTATCCGTTTTTGTTTCGCTCTGTAAAGAGCACTTAGGGTTCCCTGTAACAAGACGGCAACGTCTGTAGGGCCTTCCCTATCAAAATAATAAATTCTACTACTACTACTACTACTACTACTAGTACCGGCACAACATGTGGGGCCTGAACTCCCACCAGAACAAGAAGAAAACCAGGGAGTAGTACAATACTCCCTGAAGAAAACCATAATAGGGTGAGGCAATGTAAAGACTTTAAGAGAAAAAAGATCAGGTATTGTTTTTTCATTTGTCAGATTGTGTTTTGTTCCTGTGTCATGTTTCCTTGCCTTTCCTTTTTTTGTTGAGCTTGAAAAAGTACGTGCTGAGTACTGTACTCCCTGCATGCTTACAACTGAAAAAGTGTGAAAGCCGAAAACTGTGTACCGTGATCTTCTTTCCTCAATGTTCACCCTCCAGTCAGCTGCTACTTGCACCGAGAGGCGCACTAGAGGGCAATCATTCTCTTCACTTTCTTTGCCCGCTGCTACCACTAGATATGGCATGTTCTCCATTTCTTTCCTTGGCGCTGATAGGTGGAATTCTCTGCCTGTCTCGTGTCGTCAGGTTGAGCATCTATCCGTTTTTGTTTCGCTCTGTAAAGAGCACTTAGGGTTCCCTGTAACAAGACGGCAACGTCTGTAGGGCCTTCCCTATCAAAATAATAAATTCTACTACTACTACTACTACTACTATGGCTGCGCTGACCCCTGACAAGTCGAGCTATATACAGATAGTGCACGGATTGGTCCTCGGAAGAATATTTTTCATAATCCCCGCGGCGCTGCGCGCCTTGGGGATTATGAAAAATATTCTCCTCGGATCCGTGCACTATCCATATCTCTCGCTTGCGTACGGCAAGGGAAACTTGCCATATCGCCGATTTCCCGATCCCGTTTCCATGGCGACTACAGGTGATGACGCACATTCTGCTTAGCTCCGTGAGATCGAGAGAGAAGGTCGATCACTGCAGAATTGTGTCATTTTCAGTTGTCTTCTTGCATTCACGAAGTGAAAGAAGTACTGTGTTCAATGCTGTTAGTGCCGTGAACTGTTTATCAGTAGTCCTCTCCGTTGTGTACTGGGACGTGACACCGACAGGGGAAAGCTGAAGTGCGGAGACGTTAGCTGGCAAGCGAAAATCGTGACGAACCAAGTGCTGAAATCTTGGTTGGGACAAATCAAACGTTCAGCATTTACCTCAACCAAGGACCATGCCGTTTGCTCTTTCCACTTCCTGAAGATGGATGCGCTGCCTGCTGGAGACTCTCCTATCTCTCGTAACATCTTCTGAAGCCAGGTGAGACGACGAGTAGCGGAGATTAGCGAACGAAATAATGTCGTATTTTTTGAAATTTTTGCTGAACATATCATATGTCGAATTGCGCATCACAATATTGCAAAATTGCTCCTGTGCATGCAAGTGGATTTCATTGCACTTCTCAGTTTGGGAAATGCTCTATTATGACAATTCTCCGTGTGAGTGCACTAGCCCTGAACAGACATGTAGGTGAACCGTTTGTGGTGTCTCATAGCCTACCTCACGACCTTCTGCTTTCTTTCTTCCGGCATCACTTGTATCTTGCAGGTATATCATCCCGTGACGACCACATTGAAGTCTGAATTTGAAGTGTGAAGATGCTTCAGCAACCACATCGTACTTTTCCATTGCTTTCATTGTGCTTCTACTGTGCATGTGTGTAACTTGTGGGGTAAACATGTGATGACATTGTATGCTGGCGACACGGTCAGATGTTCATGCGTCTAACGTACACCTGCATGTTATGCATTGAAAAGGGTTTGCCACTTGCGATCCTGGGACGAGTATCAGGTCCGCTTTGTCCTGTGTGGGCTGTATCAGATTGCTGTTCACTTCTCTATCTGTTGGATATGTGACTTTCTGCAAGTTTCTGGTGTATGATGGCCACGTCCTTGCTTGTCACTTTGTATGATATTACATTCTGTGTTCGCTGCTTCCATGGCATGGTCTGCAAACTGCAATCCTTGGGCAAATGTCATGTTTGCTATGTTGTGCTTTGGCTGTCAGCTTGTCTACACGCTGTAGTTGAATTATTTTTGTTTCACAACTGACTTCCTCAAGTACGGTGGCCACTGCTTTGCATGGCATTATACATGAAGAATTAAAACGCCGATGAAATTTTTCACAGCATCTGTCGCACTATACCATGCCCTCTACCCCACGCCGAAAATGAATCGCCGCCGAAATGTCAAAAATCGTGAAGTGCCGAAATTTTGCAGCGCCGAAATTTTGTATATTTACAGTAACCCGGTTGGCAGAGTCCCGGTCTTGCGACCATTTGAACCGTATTGCCAACCGGATTATGGTTGTAGTCAGGAGCACTATGCGTCCCCGCCTTGTAACATACTGTCAAAATCGAAAAACATGTTAACTAAGTCATGTATATGTATCGTACGAAATGCAAATGCCGTCCATGCCGAAACTGTTTCACCTCCATACAAATACCCCCTAGTACTATACCCACACCCCGTCCATAACATAATTTGTATACCCTAACGACGTGATCGTGTGCAGTATATCGCTCTGTCCGCTTGGTCCCGCACGCATGGGTACCTCTGCACAACGGATAGTCATACAGTCGAGAGCAAGAGTTCATAAACTCTTGTCGAGAGCCTTCGCTTGAAGTGTCTGTTCTTAGTTGCATACACTTGCTTGTAGTAATGTGCTCTTCCAACCAGGGAGTCGTATAGACTATACGACTCCCTGCTTCCAACACTACAGTCGTGTGGACTTGGTTACATGACTGTTTAGTATTCATGTTCCGAAGGTAGTGACTTTACTCCCTCGCACCCAGACGCTGATTTTTTGGAAACAAGTTTCTATACTTCCGATGGGAGAATCCGACATGGCAGTGCATTTCGGCGTGGCCAGGTCAAATTGTAGAATATCGCATCGAGTGAATTGCTTTATCTGAGAGAGGAGATGTTCGTGCCCTTGAGACCCGAAGTCCCGTTTCCATACGACAAAATTTAGGAGCTCTGCGCTCAGCGCTTTTTCAGGGTATGAATTTCGGGTTGTTCTGGTCGGGTCGCAGCGTCGCGGACTATTCCATCGTCTTCAGCGTCGAAAAACTACTGGTCATGTGAAATTACAAGGCGGTGAGACGCTTTCGTCTTCCTCTACGAGCGAATTTGTTCTGCGCCAGCATACCTAAGTATGCAATTTCGTACGCGCAGTTCGAGTGACGAGGCGTGTGCACTGTACACTGTACTGCATGCACGGACTGTGCGGTCGTTCTCGATTTTCTCCCATCACTCCCATTCATTTCTGTTTCCAGCAAAAGTCCAAGTAAGTTGGCGCACTTCAAATCACTATAACTCAAGAATGGCTGGGCCGATTCGAATAATACTTACAGATTTCCTATGTACTACGCCTGGGAGAATCGAATGAGACCAAAATCGAAGCGATCGGAGCAAGTTTTGGAAATTGGGTTTAGTCACTACCGAAGGTCTTCCGATGAGACACACTGATTGTGACGTCGTGATGCATTCCATTATCGCATGTTACATACTTATAAGTTTACTACTCGCTGTGCCTTGCACGCCGCGACACACTTGGACTATGCATGCCTTTTCCGTGTGATGCGTCGTAGACCCGGGTGCTCGAATCAGAAACGATTTGACAGGTGTGCAATTTCTCATCTGTAAATCTCAACAATGTCAGAATATACTTTTGGAGAGGCGATGGAACAGGGAAGAGAGTCTGGCTTGACCCACCCAGCAGGAATTCAGAACCTGGGTGCGCTACAACACAAGCTACAGTACGCAGTAAAATTGTCGTATTTCCTTCGGATTTTTTATTTGAAAATGGGGTGCTCGAATCAGAAACAGCGAACTCGTCAGATCGTCTCCGATTCAAGCACACGGGTCTGCCATCGTCTACGCTTGGTGTGGCAGTTGAGGGCAGGGAGTAGTAACTTAGGCTGTGTTTACATGAGAAATTTCAACCCGGGTCGAGTTCAGCCCGGGTTGAAAGTCTGTACGATAGACAAAAGAGGTGAGCGTTTACATGAAGACAGCTGACCCGGGTCAAATACTGATATGCCGCCAAAAGTCCACTTCTACAGTTCCGTATAGTCACGTGAATCCTTTCGCGCGAAATTTGCATCTGCAGCGCTGTTCAAACCTGGCGCGAGATACGCACAGAAGTACGTTTGTACGATTTTCTTGACCCGGGTTGATTTCAACCCTCCCCTTGGGGGGAGGGTTGAAATCAACCCGGGGCGAAATTTCAACCCGGGTCAAGCGCAATGCGTCATGTAAACGCGCCATTCACTTTGTGCACATGGCGGGTTGAAATCTGACCCGGGTCGAACTCAACCCGGGTTGAAACGCTTCATGTAAACACAGCCTTAGGCTGTGTTTACATGAGAAATTTCAACCCGGGTCGAGTTCAGCCCGGGTTGAAAGTCTGTACGATAGACAAAAGAGGTGAGCGTTTACATGAAGACAGTTGACCCGGGTCAAATACTGATATGCCGTCAAAAGTCCACTTCTACAGTCCTGCATGGTCACGTGAATCCGTTCGCGCGAAATTTGCATCTGCAGTGCTGTTCAAACCTGGCGCGAGATACGCACAGAAGTACGTTTGTACGATTTTCTTGACCCGGGTTGGTTTCAACCCTCCCCTTGGGGGGAGGGTTGAAATCAGGGAGTCGTAAAAGCCCGGGAGAGGACACGGCACACATTCCCAGAAAACATCTTTGCCTCGCGCTGCCGGGGAACGCTGCCAGGGAACGGTGTTGCGAGGCAAGGAAATTATTATTTTCGAAAATTGTGATGTGTTCTTGAAATACTAATTGGGACATTCTCCGATTTCTCTTAGAGCACGGAGACGATTGCTCCGTCGAGTCTTCTGATCTCTATTTTCATCCTCATCTTCCAGCTGCCTCACTCATTCTCTCTCAGTTTATCGAAGTTAATTTATTCTGAGGCGATGGAAATGCAAGACAAATCCCTAATTGTACTTCACTTTTATTTGAGTTGGGGTGAACGAAATGAGATTTGTGGAAAATGACGCCACTTCCCGTGTTAGCCGCTGGTCGTATCATACAGCCCATATTTCATTGCAGGTGATGGGCCAACGTTCGTGTTGAGATCCGCTGAGTTTCCTCGTACTCGTGGAGTTGAATTTGTGGCAGAAATTGCACTGAATTGCAGTCAAATGGTTGTGAATGAAACGAGATTTGTGGAAAATGACGCCACTTCCCGTGTTAGCCGCTGGTCGTAGCATACAGCCCATATTCCATTGCAGGTGATGGGCGAACGTTCGTGTTGAGATCCGCTGAGCTTCCTCGTACTCGTGGAGTTGAATTTGCGGCAGAAATTGCACTGAATTGCAGTCAAATGGTTGTGAATGAAACGAGATTTGTGGAAAATGACGCCACTTCCCGTGTTAACCACTGGTCATATCATACAGCCCATATTCCATTGCAGGTGATGGGCGAAAGTTCTTGTGGAGATCCGCTGAGCTTCCTCGGCGTACTCGTGGATTTATGAATTTGTGTCAGAAATTGCAGTCGAGTGGACTTCTGTGCGTGTGTTGTGAGTAAATCGCGACGGCTCCCTTCCTTCAGCATCGTCAAAACGCAACATAGAGCATTATTACGCACTCGTTCCATGATTCATGATAATGCCTGGATTCTTTTAAAAACAATCAATGTGTGTTCCCTATCTATCTACATTGTACATGGTTGCAGGTCGTTATTTATAAATCTTGATAATTTCAACACTTTTCTACTCGTATACTGAGTACGCGGTGACTTGAGCCGTTTAGGAAACGGAAGTCTTGGCGAGTGTACAAAAGGTAAACCTATCATTTGTACTTCATAACGGAATTGTGCACAAAAATGCACACACACGTTCGCGCGCACACACACAAGCACACACACAAACACTGTACAAACACACACAAAAGTACAAGCACATGTGCACATACACACGCCTCCCCCCCCCCCCCCACACACACACTCAACTCCCCACCCCTGTACTGAGTCTGACAGACATACAATCATGTTTATCCTTCCTTCGCCACCAGTTTCGGATAATGGTGTCAAAAACGAGTTGTAAAATATTGGTATTTTAGGACTCCCTGCCCTGAAGACAAGCACAGCGCCGTGGATCGAGCAGATCCGGCCGCGCCGGCCTAGCGTGCTTCACTTTCTGGCCGAGGCAAACATCGTCCGCGTGCGCGCATCCCGTGTCCTCTCCCGGGCTTTTACGACTCCCTGGTTGAAATCAACCCGGGGCGAAATTTCAACCCGGGTCAAGCGCAATGCGTCATGTAAACGCGCCATTCACTTTGTGCACAAGGCGGGTTGAAATCTGACCCGGGTCGAACTCAACCCGGGTTGAAACGCCTCATGTAAACACAGCCTTACTACTTCATTTTTGAGAGAAAGATGGTCAGTGGAGCCGCAGATTCAGCAGGTCTTTGGCAGCACCGTACAGGAGACCCATATCCTCGAATCAAGGACCCAGCAAAAAGTGGGTCGCGAGTATTTCAAAAAGTGTTTACCGGGCAGCGCTGAAATTTGGCATACCGTTAGCAGGCCGTATGTTGATGGTATTTGTGAAAACTAAACGAAATCGGAACAAGTTTAGGTACAATTTCAGGGTGTTTCTGTTTTGGTAGAGGAGACGGCTCGATACCGGAACGTTTTGACAGCCAAATTTGTATAGACCCAAAACGATCATCAACGTTGATTTTTGTGGAAGGAAACTGGCATGTTGAAGTTTGCTCTGGGGCCAGAGTCAATCGAACTGAGCCACTCCTTTGTGTTGACCCATTGCCTCCAAGTTGCCCAATTTTTCGCTTCAAAAAAGTTCAAATCAGAGGTGGCTCCAAACCGGACACGTTTTAGAGTGCCCGTCAAATTCACTCTGGGTCTGAAATTAGGTAATTGCTATCGCTCCACGACGGCCAGTACAGAGTAACAATAAGCCTTGTGTGTGCTTCCATTAGTTTTGATTGGTATGCGGTGCTTTATTGTCGAGAGGCGAGCCGCTGTTTACCTGCGACAAGAAGTTGATTTTTCGAAAGTCGTAAAACTCAAGTCGCAGTGCGAAGCAACACGTCAAAAACTCACCTGCTTGATATGGCGCTTCTGGTCATCGCAGAGCCATGAAATTTTGGCTCGGAGTATAACACATCGTAGTCTCACTGTGACATATGTTTTCTAATCAAAATACCAAGAGAGAAAGTGAATATTGAGTCCGTTCCGGTTTGCAACCTATTTCCTATTTGAAACCGTCGCCTCTACCCTGTGTCTCATTCGAGCACCCGGGTCTATGCACCACGTGGCTGCTGTTATTTGAATCTCTCGTGCCTATCTTTCTGGATACAACTTATTGTTTTCCGTTCTGTTCTGGCGGTTTTTTGGTCTTGCCAAGACGTTGTCAGCCAGTCAGTTTTGTTTGTCAGAAAAGTAATGAAAGTTGATGAACACCTCTGAAACTCACTGTCCCAGTCGGCCTCATTTCCAATGGTAGCAGAGGATGGTTTCTCTCAGTAATTAGAGTGATGGACAGTACTTCAGTCGAAGGCGCGTCAGATCCCGCTCCAGGTAGTTCGGAAGAAACTGCGGCCACGTCAAAGGACGGACAGGCGACGTGCAGTGGAAACCAGGAACAGCAGGTTCCTGAAAATGGTGCACAACAGGACGTCGTTTCAAACGACGACGAAGTAGAGTCGAGCGAGGAAAATTTGAGAGTTCTCAAGACTGTGGCAAAGAGCCAGTTCACGAATGCTCGTCGTGGGATCTTGAGCAAAATAGCCCACGGCCAACATGTCTCGAGTGCCGAGTTAGATGCACTAACGGGGATACACCAGCGTGCAACGAGCGTCATTGGCGATCTCCTGAGCTTGTTCGCGAGCACCGTGGACAAACAGGAAATCAAGGAACGCAGGAAACTGATTTCCGAGCTGGAGAAACTTGAGGAGCTGTATTCTGATGCTACGGAGAAAGCAGCAAGTGTTTTGTACAGCACTCAACAGCAACAGGAGCCACAGCCGATCGTCTGGGATACTGGCCCGGGTTTGCACCACGGTGCTGGATTCTCCCCGCTCCCTCTTCCATCTAGCGAGAACACAGTGCCTGGTAGTTCAAGCATCGGCAGCAGCAGCATGAGGACGGAGAAACGAGTCGTGGATGGTAACTCACCAGGCAACGCCAGTGCTGTGAGCGTATTGAGTGTGGGGTCTGCTATGTCAGCGGGGACTCCGGGAGCACGAGCTGTGCAATTTACCCAACATGCCACAGCAGGTGAAAGGACCGAACCATTGCTCACTGGCGCAAGAAGTCTGAGGCATGCAGCCAGGTCCTTCGTTCCGAGTTACATGGACTCGGGTAGTGCACCGCAGTGGAGTGAGCATCCCAACACTGCGTTCCAGCCGCCAACTGCCACAGCGTCACCTCGGGCGGCGCACAGCACACCGGTTGTTGCAGAAACCAATCAGTATCAGAATGCTTGGGCGCATCTCCAGAAGATTACTATCCCAGTTTTTGACGGAGACAAGCGCTGCTTCCAGTCCTGGTGGGCCGCATTCTCGACTTGAATTGACACGGCACCAGTCACGGCAGATTGCAAGATGTTGCGTTTGCGCCAGTACCTGCAAGGAGAGCCGTTGCGTGCCATTGACAGCTTCGGATATTCAGCTGCTGCGTACAACGCGGCCAAAGCTTTGCTGCTGCGGAAGTATGGCGGTGAACGGCGGCGTATTGCAATCTATCTCGAGGAGATCGAGACCATGCGACCAGTCCGGCATGGCAAGGCGAAAGACCTTGAGCAGTTCTCTGAGGTCTTAGCAGTAGCTGTGGTCAACCTGGAAGACGCTGGTCGCGCTGCTGAGCTTGGCGCAGGCTCCTTTTATACTACTCTGCTGCGGAAGCTGGACGAGCAGATTGTACGCTACCATCGATGGCGCTACGATCGGTCTCTGGCGGAGTCGGTGCACGGTCTGCTTGAGTTTTGCACATTGGAGGCAGATTTCCTGGTTACTGCATCCGAAACTGTCAGCGGATTCGGTACCAGCGGCAGGAGCGACTATTCCCGCACAGGTCGAGACCATCGCAGTGAACGGCCTAGGACGCTAGTGACCAGCAGTCAGCCTCAGTCACAGTGTGCATCCTGCGGAGGCCAGCATAGAGCTTGGCAATGCGTTGCCTTCAAAGTTCTAAGCCCCAATAAGCGCTGGAAGCTGGCGAAGGAAAAGGGCCTCTGCTATCGTTGCCTCGACACAGGGCACAGTGGACAGGATTGCTCATGGGGTCGCGAGTGCGGGATCGGCGGCTGCACCAAGGTACACCACCGACTCCTACATGGTCCGAACAAGCAAGCCAGTCCGCCTGCTCAATCTTCGAACGACAGTCAGCAACAACAGTCAGCAGCCTCAGCCTCCGAGGAGGACGAGTCGCGCACAACGCTCTCTACCGCAAGCACTGCTACCCCAGCCGTGGCCATGCGGACAGTGCCAGTCCTGCTGAAGCACAACGGGGCGGAGCTGAGAGTAAATGCGTTGCTAGACGACGCAAGTACGAACTCATACGTCAGCTCGCATGTTGCGAGTAAGCTCGGTCTTGCTGGAGAGCAAGAGGATCTGACGGTAAAAGTGCTCAGCGGCCGCACAGAGGTCTTCCGCACGACCTCCGTTTCCTTGAACCTTTCCAGTATAGACCGCCGCATGTGCATGACAATGCATGCCTACACTGCCGACTCAGTGATCGGAACCAGCGGCACGGTCAACTGGCAGCATAAGAAGCAGCAGTGGGCTCACCTGCTCAACGTTCCCTTCCCAGCACTGGAGAAGCGCCGCCAAATTGACGTTCTGGTCGGCCTGGACTGCGCCGAGCTGCATAGGTCGCTGCAGGAGATCCAGGGTGGCCCCGGCGAGCCAATAGCCCGACTTACACCTCTCGGCTGGACCTGTGTCGGGCGCGTCAATCGCAGCAAAGCAACGGATCCCGTCACCCTGTTGGCTGAGGCAGTGCCACAGGACGTCGGGGACAGTCTCGCACAGCTGTGGCAGCTAGAACAATACAACCGAGCTGAGCCACAACAAGCCATCCTGTCGGCGCAGGAGAAGGAGGTAGTGCACGCTACGAAACAGTCGCTGCAGCTCGTAGACGGACGCTACGAGGTTGGCATTCCATGGTGCGATGGACCACCTACGCTTCCTGACAACTTTCCCCAGGCCATGAAGCGTTTACGTAGTACGGAGATGCGACTGGCGCGCGACTCGGATGCAGCAGCAGCCTACAGCAGCATCATCAAGAGCTATGTCGACAAAGGCTACGTCCGTGAGGTTGCCAAGGACGAGTTGAAGCCTGGTCAGCAGTGGTTCCTGCCCCACTTTGCCATACTTCGACCAGACAAAGCGACAACAAAGACCCGGATCGTATTTGACGCATCGGCGAAGTATGAGGGCACATCTCTCAACGACACGATGCTTCCAGGGCCGAAGCTACAGCGGCAACTTCCTAGCGTTCTGACCCGTTTTCGCCAGAAGCCAGTAGCCATCATTTGTGACATCGCAGAAATGTATCTGTGCATCGGACCGGCAGTATCACCGATTTCTATGGCGTGACCTGGATGACACGGCGGCTCCGCGAGTATATGAATTTCAACGACTGGTTTTCGGAGCTAACGCATCGCCATTCTTGGCGCAGTTTGTATCCCACGAGCACGCTAGAGCCCATCAGCAGCAGTACCCGTTGGCAGCCGAAACTATGCTTGCGTCAACGTATATGGACGACTCCATGGATTCTGCTATGGATGACGTCGAAGGCGTAATGCTGTACGAGCAGTTGTCGGAATGCTGGCAGGGAGCTGACATGCATGCCCGAAAATGGCTCTCGAACTCCAAAGTAGTCATGGAGAAAGTGCCCAAGGAGGATCGAGCAAGCCAGATCGACCTCGACTCTCCGCAGTTGCCAAGCGTCAAGACACTTGGACTGCTGTGGTCGGCCACGACCGACACCTTTGCGTTCAAGCCAACAGCACCAGGCCAGCAGCGCATCACCAAGCGCTCATTCTTGAGTGCGACAGCTAGTGTCTTCGACCCGCTGGGGTTCGTCTCCCCGTTCATCATGAAGTCACGCATGTTGGTGCAGGACATGTGGCTACAAGGCATGGACTGGGATGACCCGCTCCCTGATGAGCTCAATCAACGCGTAACCGGATGGTATACTGATCTAGCAGCGCTCTCCCGTCTCAGCATCCAGCGCTGTCTGCAAGAAGTTAATGCAGGCAACCCCGTCAGTAAGCAGATTCATGTGTTCGCTGACGCGTCTGAAGGCGCCTACGGCGCTGTGAGCTATCTGCGCTGCACGTATGAAGACGGCCATGTGTCGACCGCTATCATCGCAAGTAGATCCCGTGTCGCTCCCACCGTAACTGTTTCAATTCCCAGGCTAGAGTTGTCAGCTGCTGTAATTGGCATGGAACTAGCAGTTTGGGCATCTGACATCCTCAGTCTACCGGTCCACGACACTGTCATCTGGACAGACAGCCTCAACGTCCTGTACTGGGTTCGGAACCGTGCGCGGAACTTCAAGCCATTCGTTGCAACGCGAGTAGGTGAGATCCAGCCACACTATTCCCAGTCAATGGCGCCATGTGCCGACGAAGGAGAATCCAGCAGATGTTTTGTCCCGTGGTTCGTCAGCTGCGGCTCTCATCGATGATGCGCTCTGGTGGTTGGGTCCCGACTTCCTCCGCAAAGGCGAGGATGAGTGGCCGACAATGCGTCTCAGTGAGCCAAGATCTACTACTCACCTGGAGCAGAAGAACCACGCAAAGTCTGTCCAAGCACCGGTTGCCTTGGTAGCCGTTACAGCTCCTGACGCCGAGCTACCCTGGTTACTCGACCCGACACGATTCTCGAGTCTCAATCGTCTTCTCCGACAGCGCGCTTGGGTGACGCGCTTCGTGCAGAATTGCCGCGTGCCAACTGAGCTGCGACACACCGGTCCGCTATCTGTAGACGAGCTCGAGAGCAGCAAAATCAGTATCATTGCTGGTGCGCAGGAAGAGGCGCTGGCAGAGGAATATCGTCTTGTGAAAGAAGGCAAGGCCATCCCCACCTCGAGCAAACTCGTTAAGCTGCGACCTATGTTGAATGATGATCAACTGCTATGCGTTGACAGTCGACTGCGAAACGCGCAGATACTCGAGCAGCCAGCCAGATGCCCGGTCATCCTGCCACGCGGGCACTGGGTCACTCAGCTAATTGTGAAGGAAGCCCATGAGCAGAGCCATCATGCTGGCGGAGTAAGTCACACGTTGGCTCTCTTGTCGCAGACGTATTGGCTGCTTGCTGGACGAGAGGAGATCAAAGCGTGGAAAAAGAAGTGTGCCCATTGCCAACGACAATCAGCGAAGCCAGGAATGCAGATCATGGCACCGCTACCGACCGTCCGTGTGTCTCTGCCCATGAGAACGTTCTCCCGAGTAGCAGTGGACTACGCTGGACCCTTCACCACCAAACAAGGTCGCGGAAAGCCGCGCGCGAAGAGGTACCTGTGCTTATTTACGTGTATGCAGTCTCGCGCGGTGCACTTGGAGATGGCCGTTAGTCTTGACGTGGATGGATTCATGAACGCCTTCATGCGGATGACGAGCAGGCGCGGTGTTCCACTACAGGTTGTGTCCGACAATGGCACCAACTTCGTAGGCGCTGCCAATGAACTGCGGAGGTTAGTGGCCGCGATGAATGAAGGCGTGGACCGACGATTAGCGGACAAGGGAATTCGGTGGTCGTTCAATCCCCCCGCTGCTCCTCACTTCGGTGGCGTCCATGAGGCGCTCGTCAAGTCAGCAAAGCGCGCCATCTATGCAATCCTGTCGGGCGCGGAAGTCAATGACGAGGAACTCCTGACCGCAGTGACTGGCGCAGAGGCACTACTGAATTCAAGGCCACTAACGTACCAGGCGGCCGACGCGAGAGATCTGCTGCCACTGACGCCCAACCATTTCCTGTATGGACACCAAGGCGAGCCATTTGTTCCCAGAGGAACGGACACCGTGGAGCAAGGCCATCGACAGCGCTGGCGGGTCATCCAGAGTCTGGTGTTGCAGGTGTGGAAGCGCTGGATGACCGAAATGCTCCCCCTGCTTCACCCGCGAGCAAAATGGCGCCAGCCGCAGCCCGATCTCGGTATCGATGATGTTGTGCTGATCGTCGACGCTGCTGCACCACGAGGCCAATGGAGGCTCGGCCGGGTAGAGCAGCTGTTCCCCGGAGTCGATGGGCGGGTCAGAGTGGTGCGAGTGAAGGTCGGTGACACTTCACTCGTCCGCCCCATCGCACAGCTGTGCAAGATTGCCAAGGATTGACTCTATGTGTGAGCAGCACATTTTTGCTGTTATCTCTCCTCATCTCTCTCCACTGCTTTCTATTCGGTTTATTTTTTTTATTCGGTCTATTTCTTTATCGTTTAATTTATTGTGTACTTGATTACATCTGGTTTAATCAATGTAGGGGAGGATGTTCCGAAGGTCTTCCGATGAGACACACTGATTGTGACGTCGTGATGCATTCCATATATCGCATGTTACATACTTATAAGTTTACTACTCGCTGTGCCTTGCACGCCGCGACACACTTGGACTATGCATGCCTTTTCCGTGTGATGCGTCGTATGCACCACGTGGCTGCTGTTATTTGAATCTCTCGTGCCTATCTTTCTGGATACAACTTATTGTTTTCCGTTCTGTTCTGGCGGTTTTTTGGTCTTGCCAAGACGTTGTCAGCCAGTCAGTTTTGTTTGTCAGAAAAGTAATGAAAGTTGATGAACACCTCTGAAACTCACTGTCCCAGTCGGCCTCATTTCCAATTCATGTCCTGGACATTGTGCACGCCTACCAAAAAATCGGACTGCACACCACTGCTCCTGCCATCCCCAAATGCAGTAGACACATACACACACTTCAAGAGTTGATCAGACTGGATCATTAGTGGTGCAGTTGTAGTCAATAGGCGAAGAGCACTATTTTTGACATCCATATAGCGATGTGCCCGGCTGCAGTATTTGCAGTCGAGAGATCATCGAGAGCCGTTCTTTTATTCTTCCAGTTTCTTCATTTTCCAAGAGAAATTTCCAAGAAGCAGCAGAAAATAAGAACACACCTCATGGACATTTTATGCCAATGTGTACCAAAGAGCGCACCCATCACAACTTGAAAAAGGAAGCATGGGAACCACACACACACACACAATTCTTGCCCATTACCAAAGGCGGTACTACAAATTACTATAGCAACTTGTGCTAGGACCGCACTAGTCAACAGCTTGGAAAGCTGAACAATGGACCGCCAACATAACCTGGTCTACGAAACACGGCTCTACAAATTGGCTTTGTTCTGGCCAGTAAATATGTGCATGTGTACACGTGTGCACACACACACACACACACACACACCATACCATGTATACGCCCGTCTCAAGAGAAGCACGCAAATCTGCAAATGCACTGGATGTGCATCCACAGATTTTCTCTTATAGCAACGATAGCGAACAAGATCTGAATGAGACAGATCGAGACTTGCGCCAGATAACTGTCTAATCCACACAACTGGCAACATCAGGCCAACTCACATTTCACTTGACAACCAATACTAACCTATGATTCTCAGACTGAATGTACTCATTCTTTAAAGTAAAAAAAACCAAAAATAATACCGGATGACATGTTAAAAGTTAAGACCGACACTTTCCAAGTTCACACAGAATGCGGCCCTACCATGGGAAAGCACAACGTACTCCATAATCTGCCTGCCCTCCTCATCATCTGGCCGGTCTTTGGTCATCAAATCCTTGATGCGAAAGCCAATATGTTGAATGTTCTCAACGACTTGCTCCGCAGAGAAATCAGGGTTGCCTATGTCAACAGTGCAGTGTCCATCGCCGTTCACTTCAAAGCGCCGCAGGAAACACGCCTTCTTCAGGACGTCTCTCATGTCCTTAACATTGTCTGCAACTAAGCCTTTCTTCGCAGAGGGTGTCTTGTCCCTCAGGATGTTGCCAAAACGCCTCAGGAATAGCTCCACTTTGCTCGTGGTAACATAGATACTACACAACTGCTGCTCGCCTTTGTTTACGTCAGTAAAGAACTTCGTCAAGTTGTCCTTCAACACAATCTGCTCGAAATCATCCTGCATTTCCTCTTGGAGAGGTCCATCGGTGAAGAGACCCACAGAGGATTTCTTTCCGAACTCGGGATACGGTAGGACAGATTGGCTGCTGACTGGCCGGAATTTGTCTTTCCTGTCTTTACTCTCTCCGATTAAACAATAGAACTTGACACGGATAGGATCAGCTTCGTATGCAGGCTCACGACATGCCCACAGCGCTCTCACAATACGCTCCGCATCATATGTGCCGGGAAAGTTGATCAGCTTGTGAATTGCTGTTCCACTTCTTGGCGTTTTGTCCACAGGCTTTGGAGGTTTCCCTGGCTCAGTTGTTCTAGGTGCAAGCTCCTTTCTGTGTTCAATGAGAAGACCTGCACACTGGCGAAATTGTACTGCATTTCGACCAGCTACGCAGTGTTTCACAACTCCGCGCAGCATGATCTACAAGTGGAGCATTTCAATTGCAAAACTCAATATTGAACTTCGATGATTCAGTATTTCACTTCAACAATCATACAATTTATTACAAGAGAGATGGCCATGTCATAATAAATTTATTACCGGTACGAGGTGATTTGTAAAAATTTTACATGGCATAATTATTATTTTACAAATCGAGTAAAATATCACTGTTGAGGACGATTGCATTCTTCCCATGAAGTGTTTTTGTTAGTTCGACAGACAAGTGAGTTGCCATTGTAACGAAGTTTGTAAGCATCAGCAGCGTTTAGCGGAATTGTTTTCTTCCACGGCCTTGTGAGATGTCAATCATGGATCGAAATTCGTGAATTTGTGGTCAATGAGGTAAAATATCCCTCAATGGTTGCTTGAAGGACGTCCAAGAGCCAGCGAGCATATTCTACGGCAGGTGGAAACCCTAGGCTGGTCACCGATGCCAGCATTGAGTCTGTCACACCGTCAAAGTAGCAGGGCTGAAGAAGAGATTATCCAAAAAGGTGAAGGTCAGAAACTGCAATTTTGACAAAAGGTGTCTTTCACTCACCTTTCATGAAAGGTGATTCAAATCCAAGTCCGAAGCTGCTGATGCTTATGGCATACAGGTTAATAATTAGCTGTTCAGTAGAGCTGCGTATGAAACTCAGCTTGCTACCTCAGAAGTGCTGGTAGAGATTCACGATGGCAAAGTGCAAATTCAGGAAATGGGACATCATGTATGTTGGGGGTTGACGGCGGAGCACCCATTGAGGGTGGTCTGCAGTCTTCTTCCAACACAGAGGTATTATGAATCAGGTGAAGGAGTCACTGCACTTGTCTTGGAGAGTATGGAAGCCCCAACATTGTCAGTATGTGCCGGTTAAATGCTCTGTGGCCCAGATGCACGAAGGCACCCTGTCGTGGGACGGCCGGCGCGCATCATGGATGGTATTCTGCTTACTGAGTGTGGTTATTTCACGTAAGAGGATGCACTGCAAGTTGAAAGAAATGGAGCAGCAAGATAAGGTCTGCGTTCTCATACTCTACAATGCCGGCAGGCGGTCAAAGATACCCTACCGTTTGGAACCGCAGTTGACGACGTACAGAAACCAATACGTAGGGCAACCTGCAAAACCAGTCTGCTTTCTCTGCATGTGACTTGCTTCAGATGTATCTTGATTTCCCATTGCAAGCTTATTGACACATTCAGGTCATATTTGTTGATGTTAGACCCTATTTTACTGACTTGTAAAATTTTGTACACACTTTTTCTGGGTGAAAAAATGCATGCAAAGCAACCCCACACTGTGTCTCTCATGTTTGTGGTGTTCGATCAAGAAGTCCATAGGTGGATAGAGGACATACATAGTGACAGAATAAGACCATGCACACTTCAAAACTCGCCAGGGCAACGGAATGATAGCCTTTTTTACTTTCATGTAAAATTATTACAAATCACCTCGTACGCGGATGTTTTTTCCACATCTTCATTTTTTGAGTTTACATTTTTTTGTTCTTCGAGCGCTAGTGATAACCAGGGAGTCGTAAAAGCCCGGGAGAGGACACGGCACACATTCCCAGAAAACATCTTTGCCTCGCGCTGCCGGGGAACGCTGCCAGGGAACGGTGTTGCGAGGCAAGGAAATTATTATTTTCGAAAATTGTGATGTCTTCTTGAAATACTAATTGGGACATTCTCCGATTTCTCTTAGAGCACGGAGACGATTGCTCCGTCGAGTCTTCTGATCTCTATTTTCATCCTCATCTTCCAGCTGCCTCACTCATTCTCTCTCAGTTTATCGAAGTTAATTTATTCTGAGGCGATGGAAATGCAAGACAAATCCCTAATTGTACTTCACTTTTATTTGAGTTGGGGTGAACGAAATGAGATTTGTGGAAAATGACGCCACTTCCCGTGTTAGCCGCTGGTCGTATCATACAGCCCATATTCCATTGCAGGTGATGGGCCAACGTTCGTGTTGAGATCCGCTGAGTTTCCTCGTACTCGTGGAGTTGAATTTGTGGCAGAAATTGCACTGAATTGCAGTCAAATGGTTGTGAATGAAACGAGATTTGTGGAAAATGACGCCACTTCCCGTGTTAGCCGCTGGTCGTAGCATACAGCCCATATTCCATTGCAGGTGATGGGCCAACGTTCGTGTTGAGATCCGCTGAGTTTCCTCGTACTCGTGGAGTTGAATTTGTGGCAGAAATTGCACTGAATTGCAGTCAAATGGTTGTGAATGAAACGAGATTTGTGGAAAATGACGCCACTTCCCGTGTTAGCCGCTGGTCGTAGCATACAGCCCATATTCCATTGCAGGTGATGGGCGAACGTTCGTGTTGAGATCCGCTGAGCTTCCTCGTACTCGTGGAGTTGAATTTGCGGCAGAAATTGCACTGAATTGCAGTCAAATGGTTGTGAATGAAACGAGATTTGTGGAAAATGACGCCACTTCCCGTGTTAACCACTGGTCGTATCATACAGCCCATATTCCATTGCAGGTGATGGGCGAAAGTTCTTGTGGAGATCCGCTGAGCTTCCTCGGCGTACTCGTGGATTTATGAATTTGTGTCAGAAATTGCAGTCGAGTGGACTTCTGTGCGTGTGTTGTGAGTAAATCGCGACGGCTCCCTTCCTTCAGCATCGTCAAAACGCAACATAGAGCATTATTACGCACTCGTTCCATGATTCATGATAATGCCTGGATTCTTTTAAAAACAATCAATGTGTGTTCCCTATCTATCTACATTGTACATGGTTGCAGGTCGTTATTTATAAATCTTGATAATTTCAACACTTTTCTACTCGTATACTGAGTACGCGGTGACTTGAGCCGTTTAGGAAACGGAAGTCTTGGCGAGTGTACAAAAGGTAAACCTATCATTTGTACTTCATAACGGAATTGTGCACAAAAATGCACACACACGTTCGCGCGCACACACACAAGCACACACACAAACACTGTACAAACACACACAAAAGTACAAGCACATGTGCACATACACACGCCTCCCCCCCCCCCCCCCCCCCCACACACACACACACTCAACTCCCCACCCCTGTACTGAGTCTGACAGACATACAATCATGTTTATCCTTCCTTCGCCACCAGTTTCGGATAATGGTGTCAACAACGAGTTGTAAAATATTGGTATTTTAGGACTCCCTGCCCTGAAGACAAGCACAGCGCCGTGGATCGAGCAGATCCGGCCGCGCCGGCCTAGCGTGCTTCACTTTCTGGCCGAGGCAAACATCGTCCGCGTGCGCGCATCCCGTGTCCTCTCCCGGGCTTTTACGACTCCCTGGTGATAACCATGGTACATGGTAACGTATCACACACGCCATTTTTATGTACATCCGGCCGGGATACCGGTACCCGGGCGCGGGGCCATAGCCGTGTCCAGAGCCAGGGAGTTACCCGGTGTCAAATGAATTACTTCGGACATTGTACCGAGTACACTGTATTGGCACATGGCGACATTGCATGTGACTACATGCCTATGACGAGTGCAGGGACGCCAGGGAGTAACAATAATCATCAAGAGTACATACTTCGAAGTGATTACTAGCACTCAACTTACAAGACAAGAGAGAGAGCGAGAGAGGGGGGGGGGGGGGGGGGGTAAGTCCGGAAGCTGTGTTCCAACTCCGAGTTTCACGTAGTCACGATCATTAGGCAAAACGTGTACGCGAAACTCGGAGTTGCAACCGGCACAGCTTCCCCACTCTCTCTTGTAATTGTATATTGTGAGGAAGGCTCTGCCCTATATGGGTATTGAGCACTCTTCGGACAGTGGTACACGCTACTTACTACAGTTCTTTTTATCTCTTTTTATTTTTATAACCTGTCGCCAGCAAATCCTATAATTATAGTAGTCACACGGCGTATGGTGTTCCTCTAGTCTATGATGGAGGCCTGGCACAATAATTATGTTGATTGATTGCATGATCTTGTAGCCTTGTGGAGCAAAGGCCATGGACGCCTGTATGACATGGTTCGCACACCGTGAACAATACTGACCCGCAACGCTCAATATGTACAGTGCGTTGTATTAAAGTAATAATAAAGTATTGAAGACGGGTACAAGCACTATTGTAGCACAGGCCATACAGAGCCACTGCCCAAAAATGAGACTCAACTATCCTTCACAAGGCGCGTGCACACACACATACAAGCGCGCTCCAGAAGAACACTCCGACGCAAGGATCACGATTATTCTGCACGGCACACCAGCAACCGCTGTTGCAAAACGTGCCAGAAAAAAAGACAATGCAGGTTACCAAAGCCCACGGTAGCATGCGCACATGCAGAAGCGTGGTTTGTCACGGTACGAAAAGGAGACTCAGGAAAGAAACCGAAAGAAATACAATTCCAAACAAACTATCCATAACAGCTATGTGCCCAGCACACTAGCATGAGAAATTGCATGAATATACGGTGCAGCATAAAGCAGCAGCTCCAATATATCAGCACAGCTGAGTTCTGCGATGATCGGTCAAGGTTATTATTTTCATGTTTGGTACTTCAAAGTACAATAATATGGTATGCGCCTCTGGAACTAGGAATAGCAACAGTGAAATATTGGCTAGTTTAACCTCAATGGCATGCGAGGATTTCCGGTTTGTGATTGCATGATGTGGTGATACTAATAGGGAAATAACTCAGCCCAGAGTACAGTACACAAGACTACTTTACAGTTCCTCGTCTTCAAAATTCTCTTCAGGGAAGTCTCCAACTGTGACAACTTTTGGCCGCTGGAAGACGCCATACTTGTCGTCGCACTCAAAGTACTGAACACCGTTGACACTGCACAATACACCCGGCACACAGAGCAACAAACCGATTCAAGCACACGTCACAGTACATGTGCAGTACTACGCAATGAAATCCGATCGGGTCAGTCAACTACGCGCCGGGCGTTGCGCAGTCCTACACTATTTGTAGACCTGCAAACACTGGGCTGCGAAATGGCGCAAGGCGCAAACTTGACTCACGCGATCAGATTTCATTGAGCAGCACCGTATATGAAGAAATGGAATTCCTCCTGCTGACTCCTCAGGTACAGTGCACACTGCACTGCAGCCCAGGACTTCTTGTGTGCCATAGTTTCATGAAACATCATGGAACTGCACCCGAGGAGGATTCCCTACTTCATTGGCCAGTATTGTATATAAACTTTAAAATGTAAGTTCTCTCTCTCTCTCTTTTCTCTCTCTCTCTCTCTCTCTCTCTCTCTCTCTCTCTCTCTCTCTCTCTCTCTCTCTCTCTCTCTCTCCCTCTCTCTCTCTCTCTCTCTCCAAAAGAAACATGAAAGGATTGCTTGAAGTAGCTGTACAACTATAACAGAAAGGCACTGGCCAGGACAAAGCACGAACCATAGAGCACTACTATGGCCACGACTCAGCTATGTTGCTCTTTACAGGATTTCTCATTCCCATTGAAAAGGTCTGTCAAACCATGCCAGTTTCACCCGCAGAGAAATAAGAATAGATAGATACCTGCATGGTCGGAAACTAAGAGGGTGAACAGATGTGCAACTCCAGTCTCGGGTAAGGTTACCCATACAATCAACTCCGAACTCATCAGAATAAGAAAGATACATGTACATGCAGCATTAGTGACTTCAACACAGAGCTAAGAACGAGAGCACTAGAGAACGGCTAACCTGCCATTATTCTTGCCCAATGGCTCATCGAGCTTCACACCAATCCAAAGGCATCCAGGCTTGAACTGGGTTTCACCTAAAGGCACCACCAGGTAAAACAACCAGAAGAAAGAGCTTATGTGATGTACATGTACTTCCTCCGAGAACTAACACTTGGCACGTGTTGTACGACGATAGAAGAGAAGAGGATTGACCTACATGTAATATGATCAGAAGCTTCACGGCACGCTAAAGCACAACATGCTAGAAGTATAAAACTCAACCCTACACTGCTGCGCACACAGTGGTATCTCAAGAAAACAGCGCAAAGAAAGTTACAGATGCTATCCCATTTGAGATGCAGACAGAGAGTAAGAGAAATCTGGAGAGAGAGAGAGAGAGAGAGAGAGAGAGAGAGAGAGAGAGAGAGAGAGAGAGAGAGAGAGACGAAGGCAGACAGAGACAGACAGAGACAGACAGACAGACAGAGAGCAAGCAGCATTCATCCATTGACAGGCCCAAAGTTCAAACGCTCAAGCACGGTCTTACCTATGAACATTACACTGCCATAACGAGTCGGCTTCTCCACTTTACACCGGTCTCCTACCTTCATACCAGCAGCTGCTTCCCTGTCAACAGCTAGCTCATCAACTTGCTCTGAGCCATCATCTGCAAAGCGGCCAAGCTTCATGCGACGCTTGAATGCTCGCACAGAGTCTGAACAATGCATACACCAGAGTGAAGACAATCCTCAATAGGGGTAGTATGGACGCAAAATGGTCACATGCAAATGCACTAAAGGCTGATTCATACAGGTCCTACCTCGTTAGTAGATATCTCTGGGCCATCGAAAAAGTTATCTTATAACGAGACTTATCTTGTAGCAGGACTTGCAGCTTAAGGTGAAATAGGCACTACTTCGTACTTACCGGGGCTACCCTCGATACAACATAAATTATCGATGCTTCAATTCGTTATAAGATAATTGAAAATCTCCAACATAACTTTTCCTTGGATGCAAAGGATCGTCCATATTCACAAATACATAGACATAATACGTTTCCTCTTTCTGCTTTATCCTACGTGTTTTGGCCTTGGTTCTGCAGGGTCAATATTATCTTATACTGAGGGTTTGGCACTCCAGGGACCTGAGCAAAGGGTCGTTATAACGGATTTTATGTACTAACGGATTATGTTGTATTGTAACCGGACCTGTAAACAGTTGTATAGACCACGTTTCTCCAGGGGATTTCAGATTTCCATTTACTAACAGGGTTTATGTACTAACCGGACTCGTTATAATGAGGGAGGACCTGTATTTCATTTCGAGTACGGGAAACACGTCGCGTCGCGAAAAAGTTGATCTGAGCTCAACTATTTCGCGTACGGGAAAGCCATCGCGCGATGACTTTCCCGTACAACCTTGACAGCCGCTTGGTTACTTGCACGTGATGCCCATTACTCTGAAGCATTTCGATAGTACATGTATTCATACCGTGGCATTCAAGCTTTCTGTCTGGTCCCACATATCCAGGTTTTGAAGAAAACAACATTATCCGTACAGTAGTATGGTGAATCATGGCACATCTACAGAAGCATAATTATTGAAATAATTATGCACTGCAAGGGTATGCAAGCTCAGCACTCGTGATTGACAAACATTGTCCGCAGAGAGCCGGCCATGAAGAAAGAGCATGGGCAGTAATGCCCCGGCAGGGCTCTGACCTTCTCTCTTTTCATAGTCCTCCTCTTTCATTTCCACCTTCTCCACCTGTGACAGGTCATTGAGCTGCTGAGCGGTCTGATTGGGATCCTTGTCAACAACCTGCAGTAGTCAATGAAAAAGCAATCCTAGGTTAAAATATATACAGTACAATCATTACAGAAACGGGAATGGCATGTAATGGAGTGGCACCACAGGGGAGATACAAGCCCTACAAATCCTACCCACAGTGGCATGTGTGTATAGCCACATGTACCACTCCCGGGCGCACGGAATGCTGGTCTTCATAGACAAGTCGTCTTTCTACACAGGTCCGAACGGTCCGGGGCTGGAGATGACAGCTTTCCCAAGACAGTGGGTCTTCCACTGCAGTGGTGCAAACGCACCAGGTGATCAACATACACACTGCAAATTACAATCAGGACTTTCATTCTAGAACCTAGGCGGGATACAGGTTTACGTTCAGAACAATACCAGCACCAGCAGTATCCGTGTGAACACATACTTGCAGCCTCATTCCATTCAGTGCACCGTACGCTGAAAGCGACTTTGATCCATCGTCAAGGGCAGCTACAGGTGCATCATCTTCTGTTCTCAAGTGAAGATTCTGAAAGGCTGCCGGTGTGCCAACAATGAGTTCAAGCTTGTTCTACAATATATGGGCACACGCAGACAGACGCAGACACACACACACACACACACACACACACACACACACACACACACACACACACACACACACACACACACACACACACACACACACAAGCAGATATGGAAGGCAAGTACTGTTGGCAGCTGCTGAGGTGACAAAGTCGGATTAGGCCGAGCAGCGTCGGCAATGTAAAAGAACAGCTAGAACACCCTGTAAAAAAAGAAGAAATTATCGTGTCCGTTCCCGAAGGGAACTCACGACGGCCGCTAACATCCGTCCTCACCCTGTCCTATACTGTAAAGTGAGAAACCTTCGCTAGAGACTACAATTATTATAAATCTCTTACTGTACAAGTACAAATTTTCGTTTGGAATTAACTTTCGCTATGTTCGTTAGCGGGCACGAAATAACTAAAGTTTGTACCTAAGTTTTTTTTCTGAACGTTCGGGGTGACAGCCTCAACCAAAAACGAAATCTAGTACGTATATAAACAAGCCTGCTGGTGGAGTGAAATAACAAAAGATTTCGTGAACGAAAATTTGTACTTTACAGTATCAAATAAGCAAAGATTATCGTGTCCAGGGAGAATACAAAAAAGTAGCGCCCAACGTGGGGCTCGAACCCACGACCCTGAGATTAAGAGTCTCATGCTCTACCGACTGAGCTAGCCGGGCTGCATACTTCACAATGACACATAATCCATCCTGTATCGGCAAGAGTACATAACCCCCCAGAGTGTGCAACTCGACTATGGGTGCTGTCCTGACCAGGGAGTCGTAAAATATTTTACGACTCCCTGGTCCTGACAGAATTTCAAGTTGACGTCATTTTGATGATGCAATGCGCACTGTACACGGATTATCAGACGAATCCGGAACCTGTGGTTGACCGAAGCCGATCTGATCCTGTACAAATTATTGCAAAGTAAAACGTGTGATGAGTTGACACCCGTACACATGTTGTAAATCACTGGTGCAAGGAGCATTGCGTCATAAATAATGACGTCAACTTGAAATTCTGTCGGGACAGCAGGGTATGTGGGAGTTGCACACTCTGGGGGGGGGGGGGGGGGGGGGGTGATGTACTCTTGGTATCGGCAAGAGTCCATAATCCCCCAGAGTGTGCAACTGGGATGGGGTTGTGGGACGGAGTAATCCGCGATGTACGTCATTTTTTGGGTCAGACTTGCGTCATTCCGTCGACGCCGTCCACCACCCAAACACACTTCCCCTACTCATGATGTCACACTATGACGTGCAACACGGATTTCGCCGTCCCAGATCGGATCAGTGACTCTTGGTATCGGGCATTGAATTTGTAGTGATGAAGGTCAGACATCCATTCTGTGCGACACCGGCAAGCCGCTGCAACAGAGTAGGAAAGCTGTTGATCTGCTTCCCAGGAAGCTACTCACCATTTGCGCACAATGAAAGTAGGGATCTCAGCGCGTGAACTGCGCAGCCAGTCTGCGCAGGTGAGATTTTCGATCCCAAACGCGTCCAGTGCAGAAATCGTGGAAAAGAACATTTTTTTCGAAATAAATCAAGTTGAAGAAGACAGTAGAAATGGCTGAATATTGCGTCCAGGAAAGCACGTTCTACAGCCATCTCCAAGCTACCTATCTCCCAGACACTCTCTCAGAGGAACTATGGAGGGTCAAAGAGCACAATCTTTCACTCTTGGACGCAGCGTGAACACCTCTTCTACTGAGCGCGATGTCTTCTCTCCGAGTGATAATGGCGGCGATGTTCGCGATGGCTGATGCACTGAAAATCGAAGTTAGGACAATCTAACCGGAGAAAACGTCTGAATTTTTGACTGAATCCTCTCTGAAGTGGGTTCTTGCCGCATGGAAAATTATAGGAAAATCGACCGGGGCAATATCGCCGGTCCTTCGGCGGGAATTACAAAGTATGTTCGAACGACGATTCCGCTAGTGTCCACCGCGTCCCCTACTGGCCCTAGTGAGTAGTGTCGAAAATCGACCGTCGCAATTTTTCTGCTGTGTCCGCGAGCTGCACTCAAAACTCGATGACACAATGTATGCGCAAACACCCTGCGCACTGCACGCGCCGAGATCCCTAATGAAAGGCAACATTTCACCATCACTAGCATCAGTCCTCTGCTATGGATACTTCGCTGACCCTACTCCAGTGAGTCAAGTGCAATGATGCTACGTGATAGAACTGGAGGGTTCTGTATATTGGCCATGGCCAATACGCGTAAGGTGATGGTTCAATACAAGAGCTAGAGCGACAGATCTAGAGGGTAGTGTAAAACTACACAGGCAATACAACAGATACAATACAAAGCATTCGCCAGAACACTCTGTGACTCTGTATCCCTCTGTCTGTCTGTCTGTCTGTCTGTCTCTCTCATTACGCAATGCAGCGGTCACTCATAGCTGCAAGTGCAATGTTTTTTTGTTTTTTTTGTATTCTTTATTTAGAGTGGGAAGTCCAAAACAGGCCCTAGCCTAATAACAATGGTCCCACTAGTGAGGGAATGCTGTATATCTGTGCATAAGGATCAGTGAGTGTAACAGCAACTAGTAGGGAAAGAAAAAGAGAGAAGAAAAACAACTCAAAACAGGAGTTGCGACTTGCATAGGAAGAAAATAACGGAAAGAGCAGTGCATACAGCATTTATAAAGAGGCTTATTTATCTGGTAACCAAAAAGGCAAGAGCCATTGACTTAAAGCGATTGCGTTTTCTTTCTTGCCTGACCGCAGCGGGGAGCTGGGTCCATAAGATGGTCCCAGCATAGGTAACACGTTTGGCAAGATATGCAGTTGGGCTGGCTGGGACAATCAGTAAATTGCTGTGCCCACCACGAGTTTGAGTGGAATTACTGCGGCTGAAAAAGTTAGCGAACAACATACTGATGTTAGAGGAGTCATGGAGACAACGCCAGATAAAAACCAGAAAGTGCATGTTGGCGTATGTGGTCAATGTTTGGATGTTCATGCGTGTAAGAATATTGCTTGTGGGTGCCCCATCGTGGCCTAGCGCCTTGGCATTACAGCAATGAGAACCTGTTCTTGCACATCCTTGGTGTGTGGGTATTAAAAAAAAACATTTACTACAGGCTCTGGTAGAGGTCAATGCCATTCAGTACATGTACCTTGCTTCAAATAGTACATGTATCGGTGTTGCTCACCTTCAGCTCCGAAATTGTCAAATCCGTTGGAAATCGTCTCTCAGTGGAAATACTGCCACTCGTAGAATACACCATTAGGGCAACAGAAGCCATTCTGACGCAACGCTAGCAAAACCTGAGAGAGCTATGCAATTTTTCTGAAAGCTGGATAAGAAAACCAGAACTACAGCAGAAGGAAAGGCGAAGACAATCACAATCCACAATCTGTCCTGCTTTTATTTCTGCTGACACAATCTGTTTACCAAACACATTCACGTAGTTGACCGGCCGGCCATGATGTCATTCCCGCGGTTTTTCAAACAATGTCGTGCTTTTCTCCATTTCACAGGAAAATTTCGTCGTGAACATGAACTGAGCTGTACGTAATTCGTACGTAAAGCTGTTTGAAGTGTTTCAGATTTTGGATTTTGTTTTGAGGAACCAATTGTTTACAAATATTTTCAAGGAGACGTGCCTACTGGACCGCCGCTGTTTGCAGCTGTGTTTTAAGGAGGAATCTAGGAATCTAGATATCCTGAAGTGATGAACGCTGTGCCACCGCCTCCGTCACTGGGAGGGGCAGGGTATGGAGCATCTGGCTCGCAATTTCAAGGGCAGCAGCAGCATCACCATCAACATGCTCATGGCCAGGGCTTTCCTAGCATGCCACATTCATCTGGAGGTGGATCACAGAAGGAGCGATCTCTTAGATCAATATTCGGTGAGAGGGATATTACTATTTAAAATCGAAAATTAAGAGCAATTTTCTAAATTTCATTCAACACGACGTCTTCATACCAACACCTCATAAGAGAAGACGGGGCTTCTCAGTTCACGCCGAGCGTTGCGAAGTACTGGCCCGGCATAGACACTGAGCTATAGACTGGTGCCATGGTGCGGAACGCTCAGTTAGACCCAATTTCATTGAGTATGACGGACAACAGAAGGCTTGTGTCGCTTGGTGACTTGCAGCGCCTCCGGATCCTGGCAAGGGACCGTGCAGGGTGGAGAGGACTCTGTGCCGTCGTATGTTCCTCTTGACTGGATTACACAGAACGGATATATATGATGTCATTTGATTTATGTTTTTGGCAGAGCATTCTATTTCCGGCATATGCGAATATGTGGGTTGCCATTGTGCGGCTGACATTGCCGCGGAAATGCATAATAATAATAATAATAATAATAATAATAATAATAATAATAATAATAATGACTGTAAACTGTAGTACAGTCAACTTCGTTAATAACGACTGCGGATATAACGACAATTCGCGAATAATGACACTATTTCCATGCCCAGAGCAAAGTCCCATCTAACTGTAATACATATAATGAGACCTCGGGTATAAGGACACTTCGCGAATAAGGGCCCTTTTCTGATACCCCGCCGAGTGTCGTTATATATACATGTACTTTTGCTTTTGAATGGTGCCGTGACTATCAGTATAAACCAGTATATTATTACATGTATAGCCAACGCTATAACCGATCTCAACGTGTACAGTACTGGCCAAAGAAATCCAACACCTCATGAATGAAATAGCGCAGGGCGCTACGCAGCCCTAGCACTGCACTCGAGCGCGGTGCTACTTTATTCATGAGGTTGGATTTCTCTGGCCAGAACGTTACATGTCGAGTAGAACCCGGGTTAAACCGGATTAGGGATCGGAGCCCGGGGGGGGGGGGGGGGCACTTGGCACGTACATTGTGCGGGTGATCCTTCGGAGCCCGGGGGAGGGGGGGGTCACTTGGCATGTACATTGTGTGGGTGATCCTTATACCGGGATTTAATTTCCGGCCCAAGGGGGGGGGGGTCCCCCGTCGGTTTCCGAGGAAGCCGTAATTTTTTCGCTCCAAACTATTTTTCCGGGGTCCATCCACTCACAAGAATTCGTTTTGCACACCTTTTTGCCCATCCCTGTACAACTGAGTCCAGCTATGTCCGCACAGAGTTAGGTGGATCCCTAACCTGGGTTCTACTCTATATGTAGAAAATACAGTGACATGTACAGTAGTCGGCACTGATCCAGGGCTACAGCTTTGCACTGTGTGTCGGATTTTACCTAGCACAACTGTGCACGTATCACCTTATTAGTTACAAACTTACAATGGCATAATAACAGTGGCATACTCACTTTTCAAGGGTGGGATCAAAGCAATTTTTTGTTATTCCCATGGAGAATAGTGGAAGAATTCCGTGAAATGTACAGACTAAAAAATTGAAAGTGTTGTGCAAGATCACAGTTTGTGGACTTTATTTCCTGTAAATCACAAGATCCCGAGTTCGAGACCCACGCTGGGAGCAGGGTGCCTGTGCTCTGCTAACAAATGCAGTGATGCATGCGTGAACCACACTACATACAATGAACTGCGCCGACACCCACGGTCAACTGGGTACTCACTACTTGGAGTGAGCGTAACGTAGATGCAGCTAAAGAGGTCCCCCCCTTTTTGGGCATTGGTCGTGAGACTTACCACATCACCCTCGCCGTTTATGGCGCTGCATCTGCTACCCTGGTATAATCACTGAAATCAGGCATGGTGGTGGCCTGGCACAAGCAAAACTTCTCTAAGCTTGTTTCTCAACACCATCGTAAGCCGATGGTAACACGGCTGTGCAGACTTTACTTTTTTAAGTTTTTTTACTACAACATTGCGCTGATCATTCACGCACCACTTTCCCACCAAGGTGCCAAGGGGTATTATATTCTTTGTAGGATATACATGTTTGTAGTCCACTGTTTACTCTGTTGTGCATAATCTCCCGACTATTACGTTGCAGCATGAAACTCTGAGTAGAGACGGACTGATTCTCATCCACTGCGGGCGCCCGGGTGCGTGCGTGTGTGTGTGTGTGTGTGCAGTTGGCAACATACCATACGAGGCGACAGAGGAGCAGCTAGTTGAGATCTTCCGCGAGGTTGGGCCAGTTGTCAGCTTTCGGTATGTGCTGTGGTTCTACACATATTTACCCCTTTGAAACAGTCCATTTTCTCATGGACAGTGAATGGTGCTCACATTATACACATTGCCTGAACCTATCCATAATGTATAGACTGGACCGTAATTGTCATCTTTAGGCAACAGGCGGCACGATGTATCGCAAGTAACTCCGTCTTATTTTGTTTCCACGTGTATGTGTTCAACATTATTGTGTGTGTTCTGTTGGATTTGCAGTCTTGTGCTGGACAAGGAGACACAGCGGCCAAAGGGTTATGGCTTCTGCGAGTATCAGGATTCGGAAACAGCCGCCAGTGCTGTTAGAAACCTGGCTGCGCGAGAACTGCACGGCCGCACGCTCAGAGTCGACAGTTCAGCCAATGCCAAGATGCAGCAGCGAGGCGAGGATGACCCTGCGGCTGTCGGTATGTGATGTGTGATCTTTGCTGTATATCTAGTGTTCTGCCTGGCGGTTATACGGGGAACATGGTCTGTGGTGAGGTTGTAGTCTACCTAACAACGATATTGTATGGCAGCAGTGCCGAGAAAATACTAGGGTTGAATTTTCACGTGTGAGTAATGTGAGTAATATGGGCGAAATGCGAGCGACGCGTGAGGGACATGGGCATCTGTAACAGCTCAATCTCACCGATACTGTATCACTAGAGCGCCCCACCGCCACACAACCCTTTCGCCGAGCCTAGTGGCCGTGTTTTGAGGTGGGGCGGATAAGCGAGTCCTGTCTTCAGGTCATACGCTATGTCGTTATGTGCACCAGTGAATCTCAATCTTATTTTGAACACTAACTACATGCATGCATAAACACATGCAATCATGCACAGATCATGCACAGATCATGCACAGATCATGCACAGATATGGTAAATATAAGAAGACAGTACTCAGTACATGACACGAACACCTTCCCTTGCTGTGTGATACTTGCTTTTGAATACATGTATTCGGAACAAGTTACTTACTTGAATATTGAAATGTTGATTCTGTAATCATTGTTTCTTGTAGCTATTGCATAGACGTGACATTGTATGTATGTGCACGCCCATGTGTGCTGCGATGTGTTGTTGTTGTTTGAATTCTTTATTGTTGTTGCTGTTGCTGCTGCTGCTGCTGCTGTTGTTGTTGTTGTTGTTGTTGTTGTTGTTGTTGTTGTTGTTGTTGTTGTTGTTGTTGTTGTTGTTGTTGTTGTTGTTGCTGTTGCTGTTGCTGTTGTTGTTGTTGTTGTTGTTGTTGTTGTTGTTGTTGTTGTTGTTGTTGTTGCGAACCCTATTCAACAAACCCACTGCTGATGTCATCCGTTTGAAACCGGCTGTTTTCTAGCTGCTCAGGCTGAGGTAAGAATACAAGTAGCTGTCGTGCAATTCTGCATGTATGTGTCTGTTTGCACATGAGGTGCCAGTGTTGTTTGTGACTGCAGGTATTTCACCTCATGATTCAGTTTCTCTAAATGCACTTATTGTGCTTTCTGGCAATTACTTCTACTACTTATTCGTTGCTAGCTGGTGAAATTAATCCCCATGTAGACAGTAGTAGCATGTTGGAAGAATTATTTTAATGTGCATGTATGTGTGCCTGAGCTTAAACGTTTTAAATTGGGAAGAACCTGGACCAATATGTTCAGCAGTCCTCGCTTACCATCACTGTGTCATGTTGTGTGCTTGTGCGGTGCGTTGTTTGTATCGTTGTGCCCTCCTCTCTAGCGTTTACCAGTGACGCAAGTGGAGTCTGTGGATCCGGAGGATGCACCTAAGGTGATCGCCAAGGCTGTCGATGCTCTCCCTGCTCGCCACGTGTTTGACATTCTCACTCAGCTCAAGGTGAGCAGCAGGCTTTTGCCAACCAGGAATACGTCCCACGGACCTTGTGGAGCTCATTTTGAATTTCCTGGAGTGGTAGTTCTGGCAGCACTTCTACCGGTGGTTGTTTGGATCGGCCTGAGTGATTGTTGATTATCGATTGCATGAGCACCAGGGTGTAGTATGATATTGCAACAGCAGTGAGCGGAACATCCGTGCCATGTACTGTGTGAGGGAAATGCCTGATCGACATGTAGTACGTCATCTGCACTGCTAGTGACGATTTCTCTGCCTGTCCTTTGTCCATCGTCCAGCGCACTGCACATCACTATCCCGAAGAGGCTCATCAGATGCTGGCATCGCACCCGCATGTGGCCTATGCAGCCTTGCTGGCTCAAGTTGCACTAGGATACGTTGACCCGGACATTGCAGAAGTAAGTTGATGGCTGTACCACTACTTGTAGTGCCGTATTTCCGTGATTGTACAGTCCATTTCAAAACTATAGACGCGTAGGGTTTTTGAAATATTTCAAATTTGGCTGGAGCTTTTTGAGAATAGTTTTCGGAATATTGCTCAGGTCCGCTCCACAATTACTCTCATATAGTTTCTAAACGATTGGATAACAGACGCCCAATTTGGAAAAATTTATGCACAAAGTGATCACAGATTTTATGTGGTATAGATGCTGGCATAACGGTTTTTGCCTAGGTACGCGTCTTTTGTTTTGAAATGGACTGTAAGTCACACTTGACTGTACTGTAAAAGCAGAAATTTTCGGTGGTGTAATATTTTCGGTATTCGCCAAAATCGGCGGTTCGGTAGAGGGAAATTTTCGGTAAAACCCGTTCTCCAGGTAGGTGTACTACAGTACTAGTACTACATGCATACAGTATCGGTTGTACCGAAATTTTCGGTGCGTTTTATTATCGGTAAAAATTGTCGGCACCGAAGTTACCGAAAATAAAACACCACCGACAATTTCTGCTTTTACAGTAAGTCGCATCCCATTTCCAGGCCCATGTCATATCGCTTTGATATATTCACTTCAGTAGTGATCATGCGCGATTGTTAAGCACACCCTTTGTTGGCCCTGACGTTGAGGTTAAAAAGGTGCAACTTGTATTCGGGGGAAATACGGTAGCTCTGCGTGTATCAGATCAACACTGAAGATTCTTGTAGAGAGCAGCAGGAACTGCAGTATGAGATGGGCAGCAGTTATAACTGCACATAGGTACTTGAACTAGTACATTGCGACGCTGTTCAAGGGCAGCACAGCCAGGTGCTACGGGCAATCTTTTTTATATTTTTAAATACACATGTGAGAGTAGGCTATATCCAGTGAGCTGTCAAGTGGTACGCAGGCTTTCACGAGATTATTTCCGTGTCTGTGCGTGCGCGTGTGTGTGTGTGGGTGTGCACACGCGCTATGCCCTGTGTTGTTTTACTAGGGTCTGATACATCCCACTCGAGCACCTGTGCCTATCCTTAGACCGCTGGCACAAACACCCATGGCTACAACAAGCACAGCGGTAAGGATTCTTCGAACCCATTTGCTTCCCGGCGTGCGCATGGGCTCTTCGAAGTGCACGTACCGCTGTGTGCGGGAACGTCTTGTCTGTCTCTCTGTGCATGTGTGTGTGTGTGTGTGTGTGTGTGTGTGTGTTTGTATGTGAATGTGTGTGTACGTGTTTGTATGTGTACATGTTTGTACATGCATATATGCACGTGTGTGGGTGTACCAGTACCGGAAAATGGACAAACGGGCCGGTATTAATTAACACACATACAGTATAACCTGGTTTCAGCGACCACCCCGCGGTGCAAGCAAAAGCGGTCGTTAAGAACCAGGTCCCATACATTCGTGGCATATCGGATCATAAATTATGACATAATTATACATACATTTTAATGTGCATGTGCATGATCGTACTCATTTTGACAGGCGTGGAGCATAGAAGACTTCCGTGCAGGCAAAGCACACGTCACTCAAGTGAATGCAGTTCATCCTGCACTGTCACTTGTCACTTCTGTTGACTGCATGCACTTGCGTCAGAGCGCACTTCAACCCTGTTGCACTCAGCCCTGCCAGCCAAGATGGCACTTTTGGCTGGTTTTGGTCGCTGTGTGCAGGTCCAATATGGCACTTGGTGGTGGCTGTGTGCAGGTCCAATATGGCACTTGGTGGTGGCATGCATGCATGCACAGTAGGCTCTACCGGCACAGCACTGAGCAGTCTGCGCTGCACGGGGTCTCTGCCTAGCCTGCTGCAGTCGAGTCGAGCACTGGATGCGGCCCACGCACCGTACACCTATCGGTAGCTTAGCAGCGCACTGGCCGGTTTTTTTGGCAACGATTGTAGTATTCATACCTCTATTAGATAAATCACTGTGTATTCACCAGGTATGGAATGTGGATAAGAAAATCTCCCGATATTGCAAACAAATACCATTGATCCGTTGCTGTTCATCCTAAAGAGGTTTGACTGTAAATGGGATGCAGTACTCTATTGATGGACTATATTTATTAATCTATTGATGTGTGTTGAAACAGTAGTAAGAGGATGAAGAATGTGTTTTAACTCCGAGTTTCACGCACCATTAAAGCGATCATCAGAAATAGTATTTATGTGTGTTGCCATGATGTGTATTGTTATGGTTGTATACTTACAGACTTCCTCCCAGAATAGTACTCCATCAGCTCAGCGTGTCAATAGTGCCGGAAGTAGTCGATCACAAGCAGCTCCACCAGCACATGCCTACTCGCCTTCCAAACTCCAATCGCCCATACAGAGTAGCGGTGGTGGCTACGGACATGACCGAAGTCCGGGTGTTCTCTACGGCCGCCCGCCGCCGGGATTGTCCGGTTCAGCAAGCGGACCACCACCGTCTCAGCATTCTCCTGGCATTGTGAGTCTGTGCTGGACTTAGTGTACTGACCGCTGCTGCTGCTGCTGCTGCTATATGTACACTTACTTCTCTGGAGTTGGGGCAGATGTTCTTTTAAGAGGGCCACTACAACATATTATGTGTGTGCATGTATGTATGTGTGTATGTATGTATGTGTGTGTGTGTATGTGTGTGCATGTATGTGTGTGCATGTATGTGTGTGCATGTATGTGTGTGCATGTATGTATGTGTGTGTGTGTGTGTGTGTGTGTGTGTGTGTGTGTGTGTGTGTGTGTGTGTCATGTTTGCAGAGAGGAGATCGAGGTGGTGGTGGTGGCGGTGGCACCAATGGTGGCTTTGGGCCAAGGGGTCCACGCGGCTCATCCACGTCTGGGTCTGTCGGTAGAAGCCCAACACCTACAGCAGCACAGCTGAGTTCACTTCAGTTATCACTTCCGGGTGGTGCACTTCCGGGCTCAGAAAAGGAGAAGGTATGGATAAACACACTGTGCTGTCTTTTTCATAACTCATAAGCCGATGTCTTGAGTACAGGCCTGATTTTCAAGATTGATCTTTAGCACCGGTTTTTCGCTCTACGTGATTTCTCCACAATCTGAAGCATGCCTTGTTATGTTGGACCTTGTATTTCGCGCGGCTTGAACTTTGCCATGGATAAATCCGGAACTGCGAAAAAATATTTCAAAAAGTCCTACGGAGGACCGAACGTAGGAAAGTGCTTTCCTACGGAAATCCGTAGAGAGATTTACGTATGAAAGTTGCCCTCGCTCCCCGGCGCTTACGACATACAGATTTTCTAACGTATTTATGTAGAGCAAAACCTCCCTAATATTCCCCTTGGGATTTATTCATGGAAACACTTGTAAAAGCTTGGAGCCTGGTCTGCGCATCGTTGTGTGAGGAAAAAACTTGGCTGTCATACCCGACTTTACTGTTTGTATGCATGGGTAAATCTGCGTGTGCTCGTGGTTGGGCTGTGTACGTTCTTTATATATCAGAACTGTTTTTCAAAATAATTAAAAATACATTCTGGTGTGCTTGGGTATGCGTGTGTGTGTGTGTGTGTGTGTGTGTGTGTGTGTGTGTGTGTGTGTATGTGCACGTGTGTGTGTGTGTGTGTGTGTGTGTATGTGCACGTGTGTGTGTATGTGTTGTGCATGTGCATGATTGTGGTGCACGCATGTCTGTGTGTGTGTGTGTGTGTGTGTACAGGCTGAGCTTGTCATGCAGGTGTTGAATTTATCTGATCAGGACCTGAAACTACTGACACCGGAGCAGCAAGAGTCTGTCAGGCTACTCAAACAGCAAGTATCATCTGCTATCAAGTGATGTCACACTGGTGTAGAGCTTCAAACTTGTACTTCACAATATACATGGTCATTCACACGCTGCTATAAATCTTCTCCGCTTTTGAACATATTTGTTCGGTTGTTCCGCCCTGTTCTGTCTGCGATAGTTGCTGTGCTTTAGGCGTTGGCTTGTGCTTTTCCGCATGTGTACTTGCGCCGTGCCATATTTATGATCGTGCCACACTATGCAGTCTACAGTTTTGTGGTACCCTCCCCCGCTTTGATATTCGACTCCTAACATGAAACAACACTGTATCATTGTGTTTCTCTACGGACTGGTGCAGATTATGCTTCGAGCTCCCTTGAATGTTTAGCGCATAATAAAAAGAAGAACGATTTATAAAAAGAGAGTGACTAAAACGTAATGGCTGTTTGCAGCGGCTGTGTTCCGTTGGTGAACAAAATTTACTGCGTGCGAATGCAATCCCATTGCTGTGTGTGTGGGGGGGGGGGGTAAGAGTCCACCTCGGCGTTCACGACATTTCTTTTATATTAATTTGTTGTTGAAAAGAACTTAGGGTGGTATCAGTAACGTGTACATGTACACCAGTCTTATCTTTACCAGTACTAGTACATTGCACAGAGTCTACAGCTGAGCAGTGGAGTTTGCTTTGAAGAACACATTCGAACTGATCACGGTGCCGTTGCGCTTTTGAGATGTTGGCGTACGTAGTGAAGTATAGATTTCACTGCGGTAACATTGCGGCCGGGGGAATCGTCTAAAAAGTAATAATTATAAGACCGTGCTTGGCTGGAAGCAAAGAAGGAACACCAGTGTGTGTGGGTTTTTTTCATGGAGCACTGTGTAGACGGTGTATCCGTACTACAGGAATATACATGATATATATACCCGAAGGGAAAACAATGGTTACCAAGAAAACATCATTTCACTTTTGCTACTCAAGAGTTTCATGCACAAGCAGGTGCAATCATCAGGCAGGCAAAAAGCAACTATAGTGGGCAAGCCAGAACAAGGGGTCTTTAACAGGGCCTGTCGAGGTGAGGTGAGAATGATAGGAGCCAAGATCAGGGTCAGAGAAAATTAGTGCCAGTCAAAGGAAAGAGCAATTTGGGCTAGTGCAAAGCCAGTTGGTGCACGTGTAAGCACACACTAGGGAAATCAGCGCCATGAGGGATAATAGTTACGGGATGTGTAGACAGCGCTGATTTCCCTAGGTGGATATGGGGGCTTCAGGTGATAGCTGCCCCTGCGTAGTCCTTCAGGCAGTATCTGCTGGCATGTCGGCACTTTGAGACCATCTCGCTCCTCTTGTTCAGAGCATAGTCTCGGTCGCTCAGCGCTATCCAGGTCTTCTCTGCTGTACATAGCGGGCATCTCTTGGTTAAGTTGCTGTAAGCCCTGGACCTCTCGCAGATCCTCCACCTGATTTCACACGCTTCATTTGTGGACTTTAACCCCCAGACATGCTTCGATAGCTCTGTGCTATTCCTGTAAGTGGCGAGGCGCATAGATGTTTTATGGTTTGCCAGGCGAAGCTTGAACGGGGGTGCAGTCGATCCGAAGTAGCCTCTCGTATCGTGCTGCGTGGTCACCACCGCCTCGTACACAATAGCTTCTGCCTGGCAGTCTCCTCGCAGCGGGCAACTTGGCGGCGATCTGCAATTGCACGGCTTTTGTTCTACGGGCTTTGTCATCTGCTTGCGGTTGTGCGAGCTTATCAAAGACGCCATGTTTGGTAAGCAACAGTAGCTCACCTTGACCGAGTTTCGGTTAAATATCGTGTGGAGTCTCGATGTCTTGGGGAAATGCTTGGTGACTAGGCGGAGGAACACAGCACCAACGTTTGTGGACACGCTTTTTGAGAAGGGTGGGTTGAACCAGATGACGTTGCGCTTTCGCTGGCGCTTCCTTTGCCTCTCCTCTGGCTCGACGTACTCTATATTAACCGCATGCCCACTTGCGTGCAGTGCGTCGTTGTAGAGGGGGGCAGCACTGTCGAACACTGCCTCGTCAGCCGAGATGCTGGCGATGCGTCTACCCACTGCTTTCGGTAGGTTTCTGAGGATATTAGGCGGGTGGTTGGATTGGATGTTGAGGTAGAGTGGGTTATCATTCGACTTTCTGTAAGGCTGGTAGTTGCCGTTTTGGAGGTTAAGCGTAACGTCCAGGTACTAGTAGTTGACGACTTTTAGGTTGGCCTCAATGGTTACTCTCAGGCCAAACGACGCAAAGGCAGAGGTGATATCCTTGCGCACTCTGTCGGCCGCCGCACCAGAGGCATTTCTCAGCACAGCTAGGCCGTCATCGCGGTATAATCCGATGCCGCTCCTATCAATAATCTCCGCAAGTTTGTCCAGGACCAGCACCCCCACCAACTCGCAGACTTCCGCACCATCATACGATCCCCCATGATATATATTATATACAGTCAACTTCGCTAATAACGACTTCCGATATAACGACAATTCGCGAATAACGACAGAATTTCCATGCCCAGAGCAAAGTCCCATCCCACTGTAATACATAATAATGAGACTTCGCGAATAAGGACACCTTTCTGATGCCCCGCCGAGTGTCGTTATAAGCGAAGTTGACTGTATAAGCCTTGCCTGATAGTTTAACATGTTGTCGATGTTACAAGGCGAGGACGTGCAGTGCTCCTGACTACAACCATAACCCGATTGGCAGAGTCCCGGCTCTTGTGACCATTTATAAAGAGGGTCCGAACCGGTTTTTTCCCATATGGTTCAAATGGTCGCAAGACCAGGACTCTGCCAACCGGTTTATGGTTGTAGTCAGGAGCACTATGCGTCCTCGCCTTGTAACATGCTGTCGAAATCGAAAACAGGAATATACATGTAACACAGTTACACTTGCAAGGCTTGAAGCACAACATTTGTGTCGAAGATCCACATGTACTGGCATCTCGAAATTACGAACATCGGACGACACCCGCTATTTACTGTATTCCACCTGTTTGTTTTCTTTCTTTCCTTTAAACTAATACTTTCAGCAGCTGGCGCACATGTACATGTACAGTCCGAATAGAAACGCCTGGCTCAGTGCAGTGTGGATTGTGTGCAATGTTGGTAAAACTGCAGTTGGCAAGGTATCATGCATGTGACTCTAGCAACCCACCCACCCTCCCCGAATACAAGTCGGACAGTTCTACTGAGTCTGTATGCTTGCACAGCATTATTGTGCAACAACGTCCATTTGCCGCTTGGCCGACCACGCTCGCGCATAAAACGCATGGGTAGAATCTACTCAGCGAGTAGCGCCAAGGCAAGCTGAGAGACTCAGAATACTAGTGATCTACCCGAGCTTATGATACTCTTGGTATCACTTGTATCAAGAGTACATTAGCTCCCTGGTAGCTTATGTACTCTTGCTTGTATGACATAAGTTAGTTGAAGCAGCTGACGAGCTGAGAGAAGGAAGAAGTTGTGCCAAAGAGAAGCACAGACACAACCACCGCAATCCCCCAAAGGCATGCGGACAGGAATGAAAGGCTAACAGACACGCCCTACGAACGGATTCCAACTCGCACACTGTCTACGCAGTGTACTTACAGCCCCCTCCACCACCCCTGCGTTGTTACACCTGCTGCGACAGTGCGAGCCACACAGTACACATCATCACATGTGCCACTAAGTAACTACTGTAGAGGCAGAAAATTTCGTCGGTCAATAATTTCGTCCAACTGCAAAGAAAAGGAGTTCGTCCGGTTGAACGTCCATGTATCATAAGAGTGTATAGAAAAGCTGGACAAATCCATATTCGTCCTACATTCAATTTAGTCCAACAGCTCCTTGGACGAAAAAGACGAAATTAAATTCCAGACAAATATTTCTGCTTATACAGTACTTGCTAACGCACTACAACAGTACAAGTACAGTCATTGTGTAGTAACACACTACTGACAGTACTGTCTAAATATGTACAACAGGCGCCTAGGCTAGGCTGTCAGGAGATCTACGTATTCACAATCACATCGTTGTACCGCATGCATCGCGAGTCAACGCAAATTTTTCTTTCTTTTTGTAGCACGCGCATGAAGCAAGCATGCACAGCCAGCTAGCTGAGATCTCGTGCACGCTGCCTTTCCGATACCGGGAAGGTATTGCTAGTTGTTGAAGCAGTTGCACTTGCAGTGTCGTGTGCTGAAGTCTGTGAAGACCATTCAACGGGTTACTTGCGCGCTCAACTATTTGGAGAGAACGTTCGCAGCGGTGTTGCAGTGGTTTCTTGTTTGGTGGAAGGCCTAGGCTGGACAGAAGGGGAGTAGTCACGCTGTACCACTATGGAGGAGAACCTTCCGAGCCTCAGCGGCGGTGGCGGCAGTCTGGACGAGGACAGCCCATCCTATTCTCTGCCTGGTGTTCTGCAGTTCGTGCAGCACGAATGGGCGCGCTTTGAGCGAGAGCGATCACGCTGGGACGTTGAACGCGCAGAGTTACAGGTACGGCAGCAAGCGGCGCAAAGCAATGAGTTGCACGACCGAACTAACGTTGTCTGACCAAGTTGCATTGAAATGTGCCTGTGAAATCGTTTCTTGTTCATTCCGATGTTCACCATGAACTTAGTTAGTTGCCTATGTCCTGACATGGTCATAATAATAATAATTATTATTATTAAAAAATGCCATGTTATGTGACTCAGACTGCGTTGTTTATCGGTGCTTTCTCAGGCCAAGCTGGCTTTTCTGCAGGGCGAAAGGCGCGGCCAAGAGAATCTGAAGTTTGATTTGGTGCGGAGAATAAAGATGTTGGAATACGCCTTACGTCAGGAAAGGTATGAACTTTTTTATTGAATGATCGCTAGAATAATTATTATTTTGATTGCATTAGCGGTCGGTTGTGCACCTCCAGCCCTGGCTATTTGTTGTGCTCCCTCGTCGCTGCTAGCCTTAGCGGCAGGTTCAGTTGTCCTGCACTGAATTGTAGGTGGGGAACTCGTTGCTGTGCACAAATACTACAAGTTCATGTACACGACATGTATGCGTGGCGGTACATGAGCACAGGGGGTTTCGAATGGAGTGTATGACGTTTGTAGCGGCGATGGGACGGTTTAGCCAGGCGGTGCAGTCTACAACTAACTTCCTTTACAGATTTGAATGGTGCTACAACTGTACAAGCCTACAACCTCAGGTCACTACGAGGAAGGTTCCTGAGGTGATTGTTTGCATGTGGTTTGTGATGGATACATTGGCTGTTACTGAGGGGCAGAGCTGTTTTAGTTTGCCGCTGTCATGGCATTTTCAATGTCGCACATGATCGAAAACACTCCCAAAGCAAATCATTACAAAATGCGGCCTCTACTCCTGCAAATCAGTACAACAGCACTTCACAACATGATTAATATTAATTTTTATTACCGTAACGTCGCGGATAAAAGCCGGGCTTATAAGCACATAAGCCGCTTTCTGCATCAGGCTTCAATGCAAACCAGGCTTGTATGCAAACCATGCTTATATGCACCACTGATATTTTTGCCAGGCTTGTATGCACATCGGCCGATCCGGGCTTGCATAGAAGCCAGGCTTATACGCGCGACACGCGTAGATCTACAACTGACTACCAGTATGGCGGCAGTTTTACTATGCACTGTATATAGCGCATGCACTCTTGACCTACCCGGTCCGCGCTTGCATAGAAGCCAGGCTTCTACGCGCGACAGGCTTATATGCATTTGACCCGTTTGATTTTCAGGCTTCTATCCGCGATGTGCTTGTATGCAAACCCGGCTTTTATCCGCGATGTGCTTGTATGCAAACCCGGCTTTTATCCGCGATGTGCTTGTATGCAAACCTGGCTTTTATCCGCGACTTTACGGTATTTGTATTGCAACATATCCGTGATGTCAGTACAAAACTGTTGGCGCTATCCTGCATTGCTTCGCTGCACACAGATTAAAGTATCACCAGCTCAAGTATGGCACAGCAGCACCGCTGTGCGAGGACTTGAATGGCGGCAGCAGTTCCTCGGATAACTCAGGTATGATTATGCGGGTCACCACTTGCCACTTCACTTATGTGTTGTGTGTGACTTGGGTGATCGGAACAGCATCAGATCATCGGTGTGGCGGCGATGTTACGTATAGCATGATTTCACATTGTCTTGTTGTTGTGATCTGCTTGTCCGTGTGTCTTAGCCTCGGCAGTCCCTGGTAGCTCAGTCAACAAACTTCGGCCTGGCCGTGAACTATTGAGACAGTAAGTCGGGCAACTAGTACTAGTATACTGTCACTGTATCTCGGCTTTTCGTATCATCCCTGGTTAGTGGTGTACTGCAGCAGCTTATTGTAACTGGCAAATGGTCAAGGTTTTCCTGAGCTATGAGGGAACGTATCAGTCGTGACTTGTTTTGATGGATGGATCAGTGTGCGCTTGTGTGTGGCGCCCGGCTCTTTCGAAGTGCCTAAGGGTCTCTGTTGATGCCATGGGAGCAAGTACCATTACGGTAGAAGCTGTGATAACTGTGGGGAAGAGTCTACCGGTCTGGCATAGGCCACATTGATATATCGGCCACGTACTGCCTTTGTGTTCGTCTTGCAACACTTCTCGTCAGGTACCTTCAAGAGGTGAAAGTAACAGATAGCATGCTGGAGGTGAGGGAGGTGTGTCGCAGCCGTGTGCTCAATGCCGCGTCCGACACTGGTCGGTTTGCCGGCGCTGATGGCATGCGCTCGCGTTCACTGTCCACGCGCTCCAACAGCTGCTCGTTTAGCGCATCGGACAGCAACCTGAGCGGATTTAATGTTGCGTGTCGCGCCACCACGGCATCACCACCTCCCGGCACGGAACGGTACGTATTGTTTGATGTCCCACTTCTTGCCGGTATATGCAGCGTTTGCAAAGTACGTGTATTTTGTCAGGACAAGAGCCAAGACCACCTGCTAGACTAGCTGAGCTGAGCATCATATGTTTGTGAGGAAAAAGTGCGACCCACTCGTGTTACATTTGGTTATGGGGTTCTACGTCTCATTATTCCTTACAGGATAATGTACACTGTGTTGAGTAAGCAGCACCTGACACTCGGGAAATTGATGTGCTTTGTCCGCTCCCCACTGTTCAGGCCACCTGGAATGGTAGACTTTGCAACAGAGTTCAAGCCAGCCCGATCGCCTACGGGTGCTGCTCCTGGTCAACTGCCGCACGTGACACCATCTTCTTCATTGACGGCAGCAACCACATCACCTTCATCTTCAGGGTCTGTGGCTGCACCAGCCCCATCACCACCTGGGGCAGATATGATTGAAACTGTATGCGGTGATATCCCAGCTTCGCTAGCTGTAAATGAAGCCCGCAAAGGCTCGCCGGATGCAAAGTATCCTGCAGATGAGGATGCGGACGAAATAGAGGAGAGCAGCGGCAGAGAAGAGGAGCGCTTCTCAGCCGCGCTATCTCAGGAGCCGCCCACGTGGATGGCGGCCGCTTCGTCGTCGCATCGCTCTCCAGAGCCCAAATCTGACGCCACCGTGCCGAAGAGTCCACGATCGGCGGCGGCGGCATCATCACATGACCCCACCAAGACCCTGTCCGACTTAGGGCTATTGCCAAGGGGCCTGAGCACAGAAGACTCGCCGCTGCCGCCATCGAGTAGTAGCCAGAGTAGTGCTGATGGCGCGTGCATTGGTCACGGTAGTGGTGTTGCTGATCACAAACATCCTACCGAGACACCGTCCCCTGGCCCACGTGCTGGCAACCGCCTCTCACACGCTGAAGCATCGGCTGGAGCTGACCCCTTGGCCAGCTTTAATGACCACCTCCCACCTGGACACCTACCAGCATCTGGAAATCTACTGCCTGGGCATGCGAAAGATGGTACACTCATTGCGACAAACCGTCAAAGACGCTCTTCACCTGGAATTAATATTGGTGAGTACATTCTCCCGTCTTTGTTCATAACAAGATTCGTTTGGACGCTTCTTGCAGCTTCATATTCAAACCGAATATGTCTTGAGCTAACCACTGCAACCCAATTTGCACTGCCATTCGCTCAAAATCCTCTTTATTGCTCACCTTTTCGGTCTTGAACGTCATCAGGATCAATTAAATGGTGTTGAATCTGCACTTATAAATTTAAAAAATCACGGTTCGCGTGTGACTGGGCTGGAGGCCGAGTTTTCCACATCCATAGGAACACCATCGCCCTCTATGGATAGTGACTTTACTCCCTCGAACCCAGGCACTATTTTTTCTGGAAAGAAGTTTCTATACTTCCGATGGGAGAATCCGACACCGCAGTGCTTTTCGGCGTGGCCAGGTCAAATTTTAGAATATCGCATCGAGTGTATTGCTTTAAAAACCCTTTTGGCGTGGAAGTGAAGTTCTAAAAACGTATACCGTAATTCCGCGCATATAAGCCCATGGGCTTATATGTGAAATAATGCAGTTTGGGGATAAAATATCCAGTAAAACATGTTCGTTTTTTAGCCCATGGGCCAATATTCGAATTTTGAAGGTTCACGAAAAAGTGCAAGTCCGTGCTCATAGTGGGCCTACCATACTCTACTGGTAAACTGCACTGAACTGCTGTACCATGGTAGGAAGAGTCCATTTTGTGAAAAATTCTACTTGACACGTGAGTTGCATTTGTGTCTGTTTATTAGCCCATGGGCTTATAAACGGAGGTGGGCTTATATCCGGATATAGGCCCGTGGGCTTGGAATTACGGTAAGTCGGCCAAAGGAAGCAGTAAAGTCCTTTCAAAGATTAGTCGTTGATGGTATCATGTGAATAATGTCAATAGTGCTAGCTCAAGGCCTGATGGAGCATACCATTAGTTGTTTCTTCTTTTCTGGCTTTGGAAGCTCAGTCTGATATTAAACGAGGTGAAAACCAGACGACAGTGTGCTAATCAGGCGAGTCAGGTGCATAGCTCCAGGGCACGGTGGGATGTTTTGTCACAGTTGACGTCGTGATAATCCATGTCGGGCCCACCGGAAGGCGGGCGAAGTTGGTCCGGTTTGAGGGAATCCAGGGCATCTCCCCGGGCATTTTTGGAAAATTCCGGTCGGAAATAGCAGGATTTGGCCTTTTTAAAAGTTTTCAGAGCCCACTACAGATAATAATTTTGCATGGATATCAATGCACAATGTATGGCCTACTATAGGAGCAGGGAATAATTTAACCGGTATCGCATCGCAGTTTGCTACACAATTCCTCTGAGGTGCGAAGCAACTTCAGAAATGTGTCGCAGAAAACTGTGATGCATATTGATTTTAACTGTACCCTGTGATGCACAGTGTACATGGCGAGTGTGTCTGTTACTAAGTCTTAGGGATGAAATTAGATGCACGAAATTTCGAAAGTGCTGAGCTATGCATCCTGGCACCAGGCTAGGTTGCAACTAAGGTGTCATAGTGTACTTGTGGTCTGAGCTTGCACTCTGATCAGCTCTCCAGAAGGACGGGTTGTCAAGTGTTGAAGCAAAATATTGCTACGCAACATTTTTGAATTGCTATTGGAGTTTGATTTTGCGTAGCAAAATTGCTATGCAAAAGATTGAAAGTATTTTATTCCCTGGGGAGTATGGGTGCATGACCATACATGTATGTATGCATGATTGATAATACATGTGCAATCATGTACATGTACCCAGAATTTTTTCTCCCCGGTTTTAGACGAATCCCAGGGGGTGACCTGAGCCAGAGTTGGTCCGGTGACAACCAGACCAACCGGACCGGTTCTGGCGGCCCTGCATGTGGTGCCCTGGGGAAGCAGCCGGCGATATGCCATAGTGCTTGCAGAGTAATTCCATTTGTCTTCCTGCCCTACTCTCTGCTGCTGCTGCAGGTGATCGAGACGCCATGAACACAGCTGATCTTGTTAGTTTAACACAGGAATCTTCATCAGCCCTGGAAGAGCAGGTAATACGGTTATTAGGCTATAATGGAAAATGTAATCCAGGTTGCCACCCGCACTGAATAGAGGATTTGGGTGGAATATTCGCCTTCTTCGGGTTGTTGCGTGGTTATCAGTCTGCGAGGCGGTGGTCTCCATTGCGCCTTCCAATCTTCCAATGCCTTCATTTTCATCCCTTCCATGCCGTGTTGTAATACAGCTATGCTTTCTCTTCTCGTGACATTAACCATTGTGTTTTGTTGTTTGTAGGTTGCCATTGAGGATGCGAGGAAAGTGTGGGCACCAAAGTTCTCCTTGCACAGGTACAATACTTATAGATATTACTGCCTTGTGAATGCAATTCCACAGCTATAGCATGGTGCTCATATTTCGGTATGATTCAGATTCCATTTGACCATTGAATATCACCTGTCCCAGAAGTAGGATGTTTCCTTCCACGGCACGATACTAATAAGTAATAACATTCTCGGCTTGCACCGGTGATTTGGAAGTCCGCCTGTATGTGTGACTCGAGTATCTGCTGATATTTGTGTTCTTTGTGCAAACTGTAGTCACTATGATTGTGTCCGATCGGTCGTCTTTCATCCTTCCGAGCTAATGATGTTGACGGCATCGGAGGACTCCACGGTTAAACTCTGGAATCTGGAGAAGCAGCCCGTTGGCAAAAGGTTTGTCAAATACAGTCAGACCTCGCTTAACCGCACACATCCGTTTTCCACAAAAATATCCGGATAGGCGAGGGAACCGGATAATCGAACACACATACTGTATCATGGCATATGCTGTAAATGGGTAACAAACGAGTTTCTTCCGGATGGCGAGGGATCCGCATAAAAGAGGACCGGATAAGCGAGGTCTGACTGTACGGAGTTAGATGTATACCATGTGCCTGATTTCCAACCTGATACCTGGCGAAGAAAAAAAGAGCGTGCTCCCAGCAGGGCTCGAACCTGCGACATTCGCGTTATTAGCACGACGCTCTAACCGACTGAGCTATGGGAGCTCACGTGTCTGCTAGCTTTTGGTCTCCATCCTGTGCCTAGCCGAGGTCTCTGTCAACCAGAAAATCTCCACCAGTGGAGTCATGTGTGATGTTGCCACTGGTGAGGCCAGTTTTTTTGGAACTGGACTTGACCGACAGCAGCGTAGATAGTAGAGTTGCCACAGGTGCTTCTAGATATGGCGACACTCTTCACATTCTTTGACAAGTTTGTTTGCAAACGGCGGCTTGGGTTCTTCTTTGCCTGTTTGTTTGACAACTCCTTAGGAATGCTCTACCAGAACTGGAGCCAATCCACACATTTCGCGGGCACAAGTAAGTAACTAGGCACGTGAATAACTATCAACGAGTGCTGTCGTTTCTCTCTGTAGCGACTTTTCGTGTGAGCCTTGCTTCCAGGAACCATCCGATAACAGTGTACTGTTTATCTTGTGGTCTGGCTATGCTTGAAAAATTAGTCAGTATTAAACCTTTGACTGGTTTGAGGGAAAGAGACAAACGGGAAAAGTCTGAAGAAAAAATTGACTGTCACCACCAGGACTCGAACCAGGGACCCTCGCTTGTAGCCAGCGATGCTCTAACCACTGAGCTATGGTGTAGTCGTCATCCCAGCAGAGGCCGTTCAACATTTTCTTCAGACTTCGTAACTCACACTTCCTGTATTAAACCTTTAGTTAGTATTATTATTATGTGTGTATTTTAGTTTACTGAACTAGTTGCGACTTAGCTTCTTTTGCCTCCATTGACTGTATGTGTATTATGCTATGTCATTGAACGCTGCTATTTGATGTGTATAGAACGGCACTCCTGTGTCGGTTTGCCTTTTGTGCATGTGTATTGCAGAGGTGCAGTGCTGTGTACTGGCTTCAGCCCGAGCGGACAGCATTGCTTCAGCGGCGGATTGGATGGCAAGCTACAGCAGTGGAACGTCTGCTCTGCAAGCTCGGAGCTGTATGGTCCGTATGGTAAGAGTGAGCCCACCTCGCACTGTGTTTGTTATCAGAGTCAAACCCTGTCACTGATGCCGCAGCAACCGCAGACTCATACATTTTTGCACGTAAGCGCCAGTATTTACAATTTAAGTCAATCTACACAGGCCGCCAAATTGCATTGAAGCTTGACTGTGCAGTGGTTGTTCGGTATACAGTTTGCTATAAACAGGTTTTATTGTACTGCTTGTTTGGAAGACCAAGACTCTTGCATGCTGAAGGTGATGTCTGCTTGTCGAATAAAGTACCAGCTCGGTGCCTGATGGGAGCATTGGCATTATTGTGTTGTGCTAAGTTAAAATTTTGTCCTGAGCAGGGAGTTTTGAATTCGTGGATGCGAATAAGTTCAATATTTGTCCTGATTTGAATTCTACGTACATGGATACTAATCGGTCTTTTGTGGTGCTGTGCCATGCAATGGATTGCTGCTGCTGCTGTAGATGGTGTACAAGATGGAAACACAGTGCTGGCAGTCCACGATGAATGCATCTGGGACATGTCAGTCCACAGCGTGTCACCGCTAGTGGCGACTGCATCAGCCGACGGTACAGCGTGCGTGTGGAATTGGTCAAGCCGCTCATCTCAACCTGGTGCCACGGGGTGTCTCGCTCAGAAGTTGGTTTCAAGTCATGGTAAGCTCTTGGGAGCTGGTTAGTTTTGGAGAGCAGTGGCCTTGTTCGTGTTTGTGGAGCTATCGCCCGGCTGTGATTCAGCAGCCCAGCACTACTGAACTGGGCTATAGCCTGCACCGTGAGGTACCGCTGTGATCAGTGTACTAGTAGTTGTAACGTGTTAGAATTGTGTGAGCTAAGTGGTGCCGCTAGGCAGAATGTGCTTGAAGAGTGTCTCAACACTAGGGTACCCTTGCTGCGGCTGGCTGCACAGAAACTTGTGTATCCCTATATAAAGGTGTAAAAGAAGTAAACATGTTTGCGTGAACTCATTGGTGTTCTCTTCTGCTTATGCCGTCTTCCTTCGCCGACGCATGCAGTTGAATCGGGCAAGACTATGGTTCCAACGAGTGTTGACTTTGTACACAATGAGCCTGGACAGTTGATGGTTAGCTACCAGTCAGGGCAAGCCATACTGTATGACTATCAGGCTGGCAAACCGGTTTGCTCTTTCACAGGTAAGCAAAACGACATGCACCAGTCCTGCCTTTGAGGTGCCGTGGCTTCATTGTATGCAGCATGACTGTACTGGTATGTTCATTTGGCATCCTCTTTACCACTTCCCTCCCAGAACTGGTACTGATAGCACTACTTTCCCTGTCCCTTCTATTACCTGGCATGTCATTGTAAGTGCATTGATACGGATTAGCTACGGGTGTGTGTTGTGTTGATTTCTGTTGGTGGTATTTGTTATCCTTTGACATCTGCTTTGCCACTCCAATATTGAGCATAGCTCTGCACTAACTACTACCTGTACGACGCTATAGTGCTTCGAAGTATATCATTGTACAATAATTATACATGTACAGGGTTCTAGCCAAAGGGGGGGGGGGCTGCCCCCCCCCCCCGTACTCATTTTCCGATTTTTGTGCTTTTTCATGCCATTCAACGAAAATGCAGTCGATAGTCAGTATTAGAAGGTTCATAAAGGCATTTTTGTCTGGGGTGAAGTCAGGTGTTGGGAAACTGCTAGGACATTGCTCGATGCGCTAAGGGTAGAGTGATGACATGCTGGTCTCTTATCTGATACACGCAATTGCCGTTGTGACACTCAGAATAGCAACAAGTCAGAGACGAGGCTTCAACAGGACCATTTCATCGGATTGTTTGTGTTTCTTCACCGTGCCCGTAGGTATTGGCAGCTGCCAAGTGAACAAGGTTGCCTGTCACCCTACGCTCAGTTTCAGTATTGCTGGACTGGATGACCGGAGAATAGTGTACCTAGACCATCGCACTGGTATGTTATCATGACACTGGCTATGTCACTCTTGTGATACTCACATGGCCCATGTCAGCGAAGAGAGGCACTCTGCTCAGACCAATGCAGTCTGTATAGAGCATACTGGTACTGATTCTGGAGCATTTTTCGCCAGGCCATTGAAATCGAATCCCTGCCGCTGAATGTGGGTGAAGCTGTACACATGATTGGATGCCAATTATATGCTAGGCATGTCATCAATGGAGATCACAGCACTGATTATCTTGGTGCTTTTAAGGTCAGGTTTCATCCACCGATGGGACCCAAACCATAATTTTCACATTGTACTTGAGTTCCCAGTACTCTTTTGTGTCAGACCTCTTAAAATGTATAGAGAACACCCAGCTGGGGAAGACGCAGTGTTGTGCATTGTGCAATGCGGCCTGGGTGGTAGCGCCATAAGTATATCCTCAAGGACTACGCGCCGAGGTGACTGGAGTTGTACTGCCTGTATTTGTTTATGCGTTACAGGACAAGTAATGTTCAGCATGCTGGCACATCTTGATTCGGTCTCATGCCTGTCTATAGACCCTACCGGCCTCTACTTTCTTTCTGGAAGTAAGTTACTGTCACTAGGCTGGCAGTTGGTCGCACAAGGGTCATACCAAGCTTGTGTAATTCTGCACCAGCACGAATTTCTAGCCTAGCATCACCCCCACCTTGCTAGCATTGTTGCGTTCTAGGTGAATACACTTCATGTACTGTCGTGAACATAAAAATCCAGTCGATTGACCGGGCCGGCGCGCTCAGCGCGTACAGAATGTTGTGCACATGTACAATGTCGTGCAAATTGTTGATCCGATGCTACCCGTACGGCTCCATGGCCAGCCCCCTGGGGCCGCTAGACGTGCGACCGGATTCCCATGTCCACGACACTAGGATTAGGTAACAATACATCTATTGAGTGCAGAGTAGTAGGGGCAATCTTGCTGGCCCTTTTGTCATTGCACATACACATATCGGAGGTAACAGGCAAGTAGCCAGCACTGGCTCAACTGGTAAACTGTCGGTTGGGTGGACTCAGTACCATTTCGGGACAAGTAAGTAACGAATCAAGATTAGTATTCAAACACTGCCTATTGCGATACGTAGAGTAGAACATCCCATACACGGGTGACGATAGGTTGGGCAAAAGCCCCATCTTCTACTACCCTGGGAAAAACAGTGAAGATCAGCTTCTTGTCTCTATGATCACTGTATCCAAGGTCCCTAGTTCAAGTATTGGCGGTGAGCACCCCCAAACGTATGGATCCTGAAAGCATACGGTGTTCTTTTCTTTTCTCCTGCTCGCCTGCAGGTCATGACTGTTCACTGCGCTTGTGGACTATCGAATCACGAGCGTGCGTCCAGGAAATGACGGCACATCGCAGGAAGAACGACGAAGCTGTGTTTAGTGTTGCATTTCATCCGAGCAAGGGCTACCTCGCCAGTGGTGGTGCTGATTCTGTCGCCAAAGTATTCACGTGATGGCGCTTATGGCTGCAGTGAAACTCGGGACGGTACTAAACACACGCCATTGAGATTGAGAGCTACTTGAGTGTAGCCGGTAGAATGCAGCAAGATGATCTGGCCTATACGTGTAGATTCGAAGAACAAAAATAGTAGAAGTGTTTGAGTATGTACATGACTACATTGAGCCTAACAGAATACCGATGGAAATGACTGGCCGATACGAGATGCATACTGGCATATGAAGCTATTGAATTGAATTGCACTTCAGAGCTTCTCAGTAGCACTGCAGATGTACTAGTACTGCTATTGGACAGATAAAAATTAATGTCATAGTCTTGTACCAAGCTCTCAGGCTAATGGATTATCCCGGCACTAAACGGCTAGCCTCGTCTTCTGCATGCATGCCCTGTGACTCTTACTTCCACCAGGCAATCGCTATCATTACTAGTGCGGATGGTGATACATGGAAGTAGACCGGACAAAATGTGTGGCTCCAGTCCTGGCTGCTCTGGATATGGTGTGGCTCCAGTCCTGGCTGCTCTGGATATGGTGTGGCTCCAGTCCTGGCTGCTCTGGATATGGTGTGGCTCCAGTCCTGGCTGCTCTGGATATGTTAGCCGTACCGCTATTAGCACTGTTGAACCAAGGCTGTGCGTTGTGGTACACCTTGAACTCTCAACTAGATTCGATGAATAGTCATGAGTATGGACACAGACTATGTTCTGTGCTGATGATTGCGTTTCTGTTTGTTTTTGTCAAGCTTGTTAATTTTACAGACGTTCAGTTGCATTCAGTTGCACTGCGGCCAAAGTATGTCCTCATTTCTAGACAATGTCATTAAAACTGACAGCTATGTGAAACCGAATTTTATCCCATTGCTCCTTGCTACCACTGCTTTGAAAATAGTGTCAATATTTTTATACTGATGGTTTTTCCGACACGTGTGCCGTCCGCTACCCCTTTTGCACCTGCCCCGGGGGGGGGGGGGGGGTGCTCGTTATACACTCTGTTCGGCTCAGTGGGAACGGTTGTACTGAGGTGGAAAGGCGGCATCCAGTGGGCCGCATGTCAGCTTTAACGTTACCAACTACAAACTTTACTTCTATGATGTACCCATGTACATGGGAGATGTGAAAGTTGGCTTCTTATCACGGATACCACGACTGTGCATGCAGTTCACATGGCTACCCCTGCCTGGGGAAATGCACTGCCGACACATCGATTCAGCGGATAGTCCAAACATTCAACTAAATTCTGGAAAACCATCATTCGCATCAGAAGACCATAACAAATAAGGGGTCGTCCGCAATTACCGAAAGTTTTTTCCAATCCGTAGTAGCTTCAAATTTTTCCTCACCCACCCACCCACCCCCTCAGTCCGTAATAAAATATTATTGATGGACACACAACCCAACACATATGAAACAAACTCAATCAGTGCTGGTCCATGAGTCATAGTGACATCATGTATTGTATTACAACTACCATAATTGATGTTTAATTGGTGTTCACCGAAATGTTCAAGCAGCACTATCATAATACAGCTCGAGCTCGAGGACAACTGCCACAAGCAATTTATTGTTCTGTAATAATCAGAGTCACCAGCGGTTTTGAAAAAGGGCTGCTTCTTCACCGCCTTTCCAAACAACGTCGCCTGTCTGGACATAGTCGTCAGTGCCAGCGCTAGACGGAAGGACTTCAAAGGAGTGCATGGAAGACGGTACTCTGGACGAAGGAGACAGTGAAACTCAAAAATAGAAAGTGTCGACTCGCCGTCGAATGCGCCGAACTAATTACTTTATGATCCCCGGCCCAAGAGCAGCCAAGGAAGCGCACGCGGGGGCGCAGAAACTGCCAGAACTACAAAAATATTTGTAGTAGACAGTTCGCGCGCAGCCGCGCGTGGAAAACAGGGGCTACTAGTACACGTAGACGTACACGTGGCACGTGCACGTGTCATTTCGGAAGTTTTTCAATCCGTAACTGGCCTTGACCCACCCACCCACTTTCGAAGCTACTACGGATTGGAAAAAAAGTTACTTTCGATAATCGTAGATTCCGCTAGGACCCGCAGGGTCCGACGTGGAATCGGGGTTACACGAGGAGTGAAGGCGAAGAATGTGACAGTGTGTTTGGCCTCAAATCGCTCTAGTTTTCCATAAATTTCCAGCGGTTTAAAGATAAAAATGCAAATGCACGCATTGATTGCACCTAGCACCTCTTGCTTTCTTTGGCCTTTTCTGAGCGACCAAAATGAAAGTGCAATCAAGAGTAGTGACAGTGAGGGGTGGGTGACACCAGCACAATGGGCGGGAACACACTGTCACATTCTTCGCCTTCACTCCTCGTGTAACCCCGATTCCACGTCGGACCCTGCGGGTCCTAGCGGAATCTACGATTACACTTCGGAGCTTCGGCTTCGAATGTGACAGTGTGACTTTTAAAGTGATCCACCACCTCAACCAAGGCAAGGGCGTAGCCAAGCATTATGTGCGAAGGAGAAGCGCGCATGTGGAGGGAAGGAACAGGCATCTCGCAGAGTGCCTGATATACAGTAAAAATGACGCTATGTATCGAGGATACACCATATGTACAGGTGCCCTTCAAGTCGGAGACATGAAGGGAGAAAAGGGTGACAGTCAATTAAAAACGACTAGCACCGGACACAGATAATAATACTGCGACACCATGGCGAGGCTGTGTCAAAATATGGAATGTCACAGTACTCCTCGAGCCAGGAATGTGGACAAAGAAGTTTGTCCCTTGCAAACCAGGGAACCAGGAAGGTCTTAGATCTGGAACCCTAGACATTTGTCTTGCGGACGGAGGCAAGGGCGAACACAACACGTACCTTCGGGAGTTGATGGCAGTGGAATACGGACAGACTGCGAAGCTCCGAGGTGAACGGGGAGCCTGAGTCAAAACCATCTACATGGGAACGTGCCGCGTCAGACGTTTCCGAGGCAATTGGGATTGGGTCTCCAAGCCTGCAGAACCTCCAGAACATTGATGACACTCCATGTGCTGGCAGGCCAGCAGTAATAGACATCGGGCATCAAATGGGTGGTCGCTACATCAGCCTGGCCAATACTCCAAGAGGCCCTGAGCACGTAGCTGAAGTGTCGACGAGAGAGGAGAAAGATGCATAGGTAATTGGTCTATACTGCCTCCCTACATCGCACTGGGTGGCTAAGGAGTTGGTCCGACTGCGATGAACTCCAGACCGGACCCACCAACAGCACTTGCTATATGTGGTGAATAGCGCCAACCATCAGGATGAGGCAGAATGGAGGGTGCAGAAGTGCATTCTCCCACTGGTCTGGTCTGCCGGAAGGTCCAAGGAAGCCTGGCCCTCGGCCTCAGGATCTGAGCGCTAACTCACATACTGGTCCAGGTAGCGGGTATGGCTGGCCACAAATCGGGCAAGTGATCTGTACCAATGATGTAACTGTGTACATGGTGTAAGGACCTACCTGTCCAACAGGCAGTTGCAGCTGTCTGCAAACCGTGACGGTCGTGTGGGTCGTGGACGATGTCCCGAACATTGACGGCGACTAGGTGGAGCCAGCGGGGTCGCGCCAATAGTAATAGTTATGTACTCTTGGTAGCGCTAACAGACACATAGGTATCCAATGTTTCTTTCCTTGGATACGTAAGCAACAGCCATCACATGATCAATCTCGACATGCAAAGGTACTCCAGTTATGCCATGCACTGGGGCTTGCAGACCAAGGCACTCCGCCCACAAGCAGTAGATGAATGGAGTTTAACTCCTGCAGAGTCATGTGGTTATGGGTGGCTGCTGTGCATGGGTCCTGAACTGACGGGCTCTCGTAGCGCAGCGATGGCACCTGTGAGGTGACTAGCTGGCCATCCCCGACTGAAAAGTGACAGACCCAGTAATGGAGACTTGTCAATTGAATCACGAGACCATATATCGAGGTTGCACAGCCAAAGCTGTGGAGCTCTATCCTGCAAGCACTATACTGTAATGAATTGATCGACTGTGAAGCTGGACTAGCGGGAACGCCTTCCTCAATTCCGGACACTTCACGTTCAGGCGCCTCAAGTGGCTTGGTGATGGTAGAGATGGTGAGCCTCATACATTCCAGGGACTGCACCAGCTACAAGCCGGACTTGTGCAGGTTTACTTGGAGCTCGAGATGCTCCAGGAGGCGGATCGTTGCTTGCACTATGGTGTGCCGCAACCAGACCGCACACAATAATGAGGCAGGTGGCAATGCACATCACTACCTTCACCGCCCATGTCCGGAAAATGCAGACGATCGATGCAGACACTTGGTGCATGTGCGGAGTGAATAACACATGCCGAACGGTAGACATGTGTACCGCCAGCCACTTCCGGATGGATGCCGGTCGAGTGACACATGTCCTGCATGGCCAAATAGCACATTGCCTCCATGAGGCTGGCAACATCGTCAGTGGCCGTACCGGGTCTCCAGCTTGCAGGGACCTGTGGTGATATAATCGTCATATTCGGGTGCTCACCGATGGTAGAGATGACGCAGGATGCGGAGCCAATGGCTGCTTGGATGGTCATTTGAACTGGACATAGTTTATATCCGTAGATCTCAGGTATATGTATGGCTTACTCAGCTATTGCACAACATGGTCATGGACCTTGGGAGTGCACAGGACGTCTACGGCAAGACAAGGGTGAATGTACATGGAGGTCATCAAGTTCTTCCTCCACGGTGAGAACACAAAGACATCACATATTCACTGATTTCCTTCTGCGCTAGGAAAGCAGTTTTCTATACAATATACATAACTGTATATTTGTTTACAAAGAGGCGTCTTTTCGAGGGTAGAGGGCTCAACACGATGCGGAGCACTATGATGATTTCATTGAGTAAGGAACTCAAAGTTGCAACAAACTCTAAGACCTCCTTGTGCCTGTTGTGTATATACCTGTTGTGTATATATTTTATACGTGAAGTACATTTATGCAAATGTACTCGTAAGCGTACCAAGTAAGGCACACCGTGAAAGGCCACCGACAGCCGAGCAGGCTGGTAGTATGGACCATTGGCTGCACCATTACGGGAGTGGCACGACATGCATCCAGCTGCTTCAGCTCGTCTGCCAAGCCCTTGTTGGTAACGAAAGCCTGGTACATCGTGGGTCGGGCACAAGGCACACGTGCATGCAGTACCGGCGTATCCGCCATATCAGTACTAAACAGTACGAGACTGATCTGGTTGCTAGCTATGGTTGCTAGCTATAATATACCGGTAAGTAGATTCCTTCTGGGTGCGTAGATATTCCAGGATACGTACGATGAAATGCTATCCACAGTAGTAAATTACAGATATGGTTACTTGGACCTGCCGTTGCACGGAAAGGGCCGCGCTGATATGCACATATCATATGGGCAATGAATTGATCCCAGTTATGGATGCGGCAGTAATCGTGCAAGGCCTTGGCTGGCCAGACCAAAAAAAGGGGGTGGTCCCTCGCGGTACCCGAGGTGGGCACTAACTTGAGTAGTGGAAGGCAGTATACCACAAGTCATAGCGTACACAAAGGCAAGTGTACATGACATTGCACTCTTGGCACTACGCTCAGCAGATAGCTGGAGCGCCCGTGTCCGTACGTGCTCCAGCCACCGAAGGTCAGACTGAGGTATGGCAACAGCAAAAGTGTTATATGCTTCACCACTTCGAGGTTGCTATCACAAAAGGTGCTTGAGCAATAGGAGTGGCAGTACATTGTTGGCACTGCACAAATGGCAACCATTTGATGTTTATTTTTCATTGCTCACAGAGGTGCATCAGCCACCTCTGACATCGTGATTATGCTTCCAGAACCATGTATCTACATACAGGTAAACCTGTCTTAACCGGACGCCCGTGGTGCAGCGGAAACTGGTCTGATATGACATTATTCCGCTTGACACAGGGATGTACGTTCGATCCACAGCCCTTTGGTGCAGGAACATTTCCCGGTCAATACGGGATTCTGCTTGGTATAGGAGCAAGCAAACACAGGTAGAACTGTACTTGCGAAACAACAATATGAGCATGGCAGAACGGCATTAAGTTATGGGCGTGACTCTGGGCATGAAACAAAGCACTCGCCGGTGCTTGCAAAGCCACGAGACCATCGTTCATCACCAATGGACTAATGGTTAGAGTGTGGCAAGGCCCCCGACAGGGCCTGCCCACTGGCGTGACGGAAGCCACCATATCTACAATGACCGCACAGTCCACCAACATGGGTGGATGCGAGTTAGGCACAGACATTGGAAAGGCACTCCTGCTTTTCATGAAATTGCCCTGACCACACCAGGAAGGCACGACTCAGGGCAAGAAACAAAGCACTCGCTGGTGCTTGCAAACCCACGAGACCATCGTCCATGGATAGTGGATAGAGTGGTTAGAGTGCGGCAAGGCACGCGACAGGGCCTGCCCACTGTAGAGACCATCGTCCATCGACAGTGGACGGATGGTTAGAGTGTAGCAAGGCACGCGACAGGGCCTGCCCACTGGTTCGACCATCGTCCATCCGCAGTGGATGGGTGGTTAGAGTGGCTAGAGTGTGGCAAGGCACGCGACAGGGCCTGCTCACTGTAGACTATCGTCCATGGACAATTGACGTATGGTTAGAGTGCGGCAAGGCACACGACATGGCCTGCCCAGTGGTGTGACCATCGTCCATCGACAGTGGATGGATGGCTAGAGTGTGGCAAGGCACGCGACAGGGCCTGCCCACTGGTGAGACCGTCGTCCATCGACAGTGGACGGATGGTTTGAGTGTGGCAAGACACGCGACAGGGCCTGCCCACTGTCGTGACAGAAGCCGCCGCATATCCGCCATGTCCGCGTCGTCCATCGATTGGGGTTGGATACCAGTTAGTTGTAGGTACAGAGATTGGCAAGGCACTCGTCAGGGCCTGCCCAATGACGTGACGTAAGCCGTCTGTTGATGTTGCTACGCGCTAAGCGCAGAGCCTTGGCAAGGCACTCGAAAGAGCCTGCCGAACTCGTGAAGGCCGCCCTGGCCCAACAGGGAAATCGTGACTCGGGGCATGAAACAAGGCACTCGTCGGTGCTTGCAAACCCACGGAACCATCGCAGCGTCGCCATCAGCATTGGCGGCCGAAAAGGCCGAAATTTCCGTATCGGCACAAACTAGTTACTTCAGCACTTACCTACACGGACAGCACGACGATCCGGTAGGAACTCTTACTAGTCCTAGGCCTGGACTGCGAGCTTCAGCTTCGGAGTCATCATTACTTGTCATTAGACAATAGACACTGCCATAGCGGCGGTAGAAGACTGAAGTCTCAAGGATACTGGACAAAGGAAAAAAGGTAACCTATCAGCAAAGAAGCGAAAGAAAAGGCCAAAGAAAGCAAGAGGTGCTAGGTGCAATCAATGCGTGCATTTGCATTTTTATCTTTAAACCGCTGGAAATTTATGGAAAACTAGAGCGATTTGAGGCCAAACACACTGTCACATTCGAAGCCGAAGCTCCGAAGTGTAATTGCGGACGACCCCTAAGTCGTTCCCATTTTGGGAGTCTGTGCTCGAGGTTCAAGACTTCATAAGTAGATCTACGCATTAGTTAGTTACCATAGGCAGAAGTTGTCCTTGACAACCATGACGACTTCCCGACTCCCCACCGCATATGACTGAGTCTAGTCTGTACTGGCACTCGGACAACAGCTAGCCGCTGAGTCCGCGCTTCGCTTCAGTCTTCAGTCTGCAAGAAATGTCCCGTTTGTACCGATCAACGGATCAAGAAGCTGCTCCGGAGTTCTTCTCCAGGTCAGTTACTTACCGACTATTAGGACTCAAAGAAATGAATCGACGGTGCTGATCCGCGGACTGCTACACAACATCACGAAATTTCCTCTGGGCCGGCCGCAGTGCCAGTGAACGTAAAGAAGGGTCCATAACAGTTGTTGGTTAGATCAAACAGAGAAGCTAGTGACTGAGGTATGGCGGACGCTGAGGCACCAGCTGGCGATGCGGCAGCTGCAGGAGCTGAAGGTGGAGAGGCGGCAGCAGCATCGCAGGCCAAGGACACAGCAAGCGATTTCCGCCGAGCATTCAACTTTCCACTTCTTCGGGTAAGACAACCAGAGAAACTTGAGCATGCAAATTTAAACAAACAGTAATGTATTGTACATGTATAGCTGTACAATCAGTCATGTACATGTAAGCTTTTCACGGGCCACAACAGAATAACATGAAATTTCCACTGGACAATGTCACTAGTGAATGTAAGGGTGCGTTCTTAAATTCTCTCGGAAAAGTTGGAGACTCTCCGAAAAGTTCGAGAGCTGTTCTTATATCCTCTCCGACTTTTAGGAGGCTCTCCAAGCTTCAGAGGTGGTTGAAACTTGGAGATTCCCGCGGTTTGGGATCAGCGCATGCGAACTACGACTAAAAAGCCACATGTTCATCATGAGTGTACGCATTTCCCTTTTCGCATACGCACACGTGCATACTACATTCATCACTCAAGATCCTTTGGCGCTTCATTTTGCTTGACATGTGCAAAATATCTCAGAATTCTTCGAGACCCGTTCTTGAATAATCCCAGTTTCTTCGACTTCTCTTTTCTTCTTCTCCTAGAAGCTAGAGAATATTAAAAGAACGCACCCTAAGAAAAGCCTTTGTATAGGTTTATAAATTGGATACAGGTAACGTTCAAGCGGCAGTTTGTAGGCGGTCAAACTAGGTAGTTCGCGATCTATAACAGTTACTGGAAGTGTCTACTTGATTGTGTGGATTTGCGTCTTCCCATGCGAAGTTACAGGTAACGTTGCTAATACTTGTTGATACCAAAGTCACCGGCGGCAGCAGATGTGGTTTGGAAGATTTCTTCCGGATTACGGAGGATGTTTGATTATAGCGAACGTCCACATTTATCGATTTATTATACAGTATACATGTACATGATTCACTGGAAAACATCACATGCTGGTACCAGCCAGAAGGATTATTATTATTATTATTATTTATTAAATTTTTAATAGGGCATTCCCACAGGCCTAAGGCCTTCTTACGGGGTACCCTATATGTTTTTGTATAGATGAGCGGAAGTCTGATAGCGTGGAGCAAATACGAACAGAAGCAGGGAGCGAATTCCAGCGATCTGCACCTAAGAAGCTTAATGCGTACAAGCCATAGCGGTTATTAGCCGGGGGAAGAGCCAGAGACAGAGTAACCTGCGAGCGGGTGATTGACGCTGTGTGTGTGGCATTGACTCTAGTCACAAAACAGTCTGTTAAGAGCGGGCTGCACACCTTATGTAATGATCTGTAAATAAGTACGAACAATTTGAATCTCAAACGTAAGGAGATAGAAGCTAGGTGGTATCTGGCTAGAATAGTAGAAATGTCACAGAACCTTGGATAACCAAAAACAGTTCTAACTGCACGGTTGCTGAGGCAAGTCAAGCGATCTTGTTGCCCAGCCTGCAGACTGTGATAAAAAGCATTGGAACCGTACTCCAGTTGAGCCTGTATGAACGCGCAGTAGAAGGTTCTCTTTGCATCAATTGTTAGACGGTCACGGATTCTACGAAACACAGCTAGCTTGTCGCCTACCTTTCGCTCAAGGGCACTGATGTGGTCAGCGAATGTCAGGTGCTGGTCAAAGGTCATACCAAGGTACTTGACGGTGGTCGCTGGTGGAATTGAGACATTGTCAATGGTTAGTCGGAGGGAGGAGCATACTTTTTTCGATCTGGAGTGGAACACAATGAACTGGGTCTTGCTGGCATTCAGGATTAGTCCTCGTTCACTGAGGAAGTCCCTGATACCACACACATCTCGGGCCAGTTCTTCGGTAGTTTGTTGTAGGTTGCGGCCTGCTAGGTACAGGGCGACATCGTCAGCGTACTGGCGCACCATGCTGGAAGATGCTGCCGAGGGCAATTTGCGTACAGATAGGTTAAAGAGCACAGGTCCGAGGGTGGATCCCTGAGGAACTCCCCTGTGAGCTTGGAGGTACAGCTTCACTGTACTGAGCTGCCTGGGAACCTCGCTAGGTGCTGCATTCGGATGAGATTGGTACAGATACTTAGCATACATGTACAGTGCTCTGTCTTGCTTGTACAGTGCATGACGCAATGGTGCACAATGTAACTGCACGACTATTGTGATCTCTATGCCATGCCGGGTAGCCATTCAGTGCATTGTTTTTGTACAGTACTGTCGGGTGCCGAAGAACTGGGGGGGGGGGGGGGTCCTAGCCTAGGCCGTTCTTATTTTTATGTAGGTCTACTACAGTCTATGCACAATCTCTCTGTTATGTTATGTTATGATGACATCATGACATTGTCATTACAGCTGTATTTGGGAACGATACGCAGGTACGAGTATACATAGTGATTTAGAAATGTGGCTTGTCTACCCATTTTTCTGATCTGCAGCATTCTGATATGAACGAGGAGATGCGAACAGAGGTGATGGAACTATGTGTCACTGCTGCAGAAAAGCATGCAGCTAATATGGAGGTGAGGACTGTTGTGTATAGTGTTTGTCGCCGTATTGTCCCTCTCCATATTGTCTCTCATCTATAATTATGCATGCTCGTTGTAAATAAATCAGTCTTTGTCTTGTCCCACAATGGACTCCTCCGTGGCTTCAGGCGAACACAACATGGTGGCAGCGGTGGGATTTGAACCCACGCCATCGAAATGACTGACACAACCAGGACAAGGCGGATGATGGTACATGACTGCTGTGATGCCATGCGTACTGCAACCAGGGAGTCCACGTAAAAGACGAGTGAAACGTGTCAATGCTTTAGTTACACAACAAGGGCAAGTGGAACACGAAACAACGCGAATGTCATTTCCAGGCTGCCTGCGACGGGTCCGTCACCTTTCCTGGGGCAGGGCCGATTTATGTAGGTTCATGTACTTCTTAAAGTACTAGTATGGCATCGCAGGTCCAGGTCATGGCCACAACTGTGTGTTGCGGGATCGCGTGTGTTGCATCGACAACTGATCACATGCATAGAACTGCTTAATCCGGGATCGAAATACATACCATTTCGGGTATTATTTCTGGTCTTATTTCGTCTCCCTTGCTGTTGCGACTCCCTGCTCTGCACTTATTGATACTTCCTCCGCGTCATCGAAATTGTCGCAGTTTGACTTTTGATATAAAACGGGGTATTTACTCACCAGCACTGGTACCAGAGGCAAGGAATTGGACATAGGCGATAGTCATCAGTATAGGGTGACGGCAAAGTTCTATTTTCTGTTATTGGAAGCTGGAATTTTTGAATTAGACGCAATTTCTTCGCTGATGTCGCTGCGATGGTAATTTCGACTCGCTGAGATCAGTCAGGCGTTGCAGCCTGCACATTTCTCGTGCTTGTGGCCATTCACTCAAGCCTCGTCACTGTTTTACCTTAGTTGGGGTGAGAATGACTTCGTGGAACAAGTGGCAGCGCTTGGAGAAACATCGAGGGGTCAGCAAACTAAATGCCTGCAACAGCGATAAAAATTGTCGCTCTGGCTGAGACACTCAGTACATGATTGTACCTGCAAGAGCCGTGTAGACTCTACACGTAGTGCTAGTGATGCACGCGCAGGTGCCGTACCATGGTATACCAGTGATGCTGAAAACGAGGGCGCGCTGGACGCGTTTGAGATGAGGCGCGACCAACTTTCAACCTTCCTTCAAATATTTCGGAACGATATTTTTGCATCCACTGACATCAGGGACGACGAGGACTTCATCTCTGCATGAAAACTCTCAGTCCAACTGTCCTGGAACGTTACTCTAGTCTTCAGACTATCATGCTGTGTAATAAGTTTTGAATGGCTTAGCTATAAAGTTGTCAGTAACAAGTGACAAGTCACTAGTGAAACTGCGACAATTTCGATGACGCGGAGGAAGTACTTCAAAGTACAGTAAAACCTGTGACCACCCCTTGGGGCCAGAGAAAGCGGTCTTTAGTGGCAGGTGGTCCTTAGTTAGAGGTTTGCACCGCACAACCATAATGAATGCGAGACCGTCCGTGCCTGACGAAGTGGTCTGTGGTACCAGGCTGGTCGCTAGTCATGGTGGCCTTTAGTTACAGGTTTTACTGTACGAGAATTTTGCAGTACGTTTTCCAGTGATCTGAAACTAAGACTAAAGCCCAAAATATGCTCAGGAAATCCTCTTATACAAGTGTCTGTTGTGTTCTGGTGTCTCTGTAGTATATGGCAAGAATGATCAAGGAAACTGTGGACAAGAAGTTTGGTCCGGCTTGGCATGTTGTTGTTGGTGAGGGCTACTCATTCGAAGTCACCCATGAAGAGAAGAACATCCTTTACATGTACTTTGGAGGACAGGTCGGGATGTTGGTGTGGAAGTGCTCCTGATCGGGCTGAACCAAGCCGCTATGCTCAACTTGCCTGGCCACGTCGCAGGTCCTGTCCTGTGGACTGCCCTGGACAGGGTCAAGAACTGAGCAGGCACCTGACCAGTGTATGGTGCATACCAATGTACACAATCCTTCAGAACAGCACGATAATACACACCTGCCCGGAATTGGCATCTGCCCGTACACTGCGTACGACTAGCACAAAGGCCAGGGCACGCTATGCGGCCTATAAAGACAAGGAGAGGGATAATGCTATTTACTTGGGCACACGCAAACCGCAACGTCAAACGCTGACCGAGGTATTTTTGTTTTAGGATATGAGTCTGGACTAGAATTCAGTTGTACAATTATAAAACCATGTCAGAAACTTTGATTGAGTTACCATTGTTAGCAACACTGAGGGAGGACGGTGGTGCACAGTCATGTAGGCGTGTACATTATGAACTTGTTAAAAGTGGTTTTTGCCGGGCAACATACCCACTTGCATTTTTTCAGGTTGACACTTGATCACCAGTTGCTGGCTGCCAATGAATGTTGCTAAGACAGCTGATGTAGTTTATGACTTTTACCTGCATGTAAATGTGCTTCCAAAAAGTACCTAGCATTTGAGACTACGTATGTGCCTTGTGTATAATAGATGAATGAAATCCCGCAAAATCTCGTAGAATCCCATAGACTGGGTTGGCTGTTGATTATTGTCGAATGTGCAGAACCCTAATGCAACAATCTCTCTTCTTCTCCTCCATGCGCTCTCAGCCGACACGTTACTACCCTCGGTAGCCATTACACACACCAACAATTCCAAATAACAAAGGGTACGGGTAGTTCGAGGAGAGAGAGTGCGAGAGAGAGAGAGAGAGAGAGAGAGAGAGAGAGAGAGAGAGAGAGAGAAGAGGAGGAGAGATTGCTGCATTATTGAACAGCCGAATGGTACCGTTCACAATTTTATAAACATGTGCAGAACCCTATTGTGTTTTCTGAATCTGGACCAATTCACGACGAAATATTTTAGCGATCCGAGTTTCAGACTAAAACGAAAGATGACCTTTACCGTGCTGTACATGCAAATTTTCGATTGGTGCGGTAAAACTTTGCCGAAAACACTCTTTTCACTAAAGTCGCTAAAATATCTCCATCTCTAAAATTAGCCGTTTTACAGTACACCATTCTGGTCGTCTGTGACCCGGTGACCCTTGTGTGTTAACCTACAATTGAAAAGGGCAAGTTGTCCCAACAGAATAACACGGGCAAAATTCTTAAGTAATGTTAAGCGGCAGCTATGCGGGATTATGCGGTCATTATGCAAAGTGTTGTCTGTCATGAGTACAACTTTAGCGTACAGTTTCGGGCAAGTATACAACTTTGCCGTACAAACTCATGGGATGGTACGAATGTGTAGCACATTTTCATCGTCAGGCACTATTTTCTTGAACATTCCCATGGATTACAGTAGAGTCGTGCGCCGAAGAACGTTGAGCCCAAGAACATTCAGCCTGAAATGCTAAGAACGCCACAGCCTAAAGTTATAAACGGCGGTGTTGGTTTTCCGGCAGCCTTTGGATATATGATCCAGAACAAATTGTTTCTAAGAACGCCCCAGGCTAACTAACCCATCGAAAATAACGTTCTTGGACGCGCGACTCTACTGTATGTGGGTTTATGAACAGAAAAATTCTCGAAAACACGGATGAAAGCCAATAACGCGGAAAATTGCGCAGAAGTCACGTTATCCAGTGGGAACAGGACAAGCTACATTGTAGTGAAGTGATGAACAAAGAGTAATACTGGTGCATGTGACTGTGTGTGTGTTATTTGGCACCCGTCTTGATCTGTTTCTTATCAGATTCAGACCCGCTATCGTTGCTATAAGAGAAAATATGTGGGTGCACATCCAGTGCATTTGAAAAAAAATCTGTGTGCTTCTCTTGCGACGAGCGTATACACAGCACAACGTGCGTGCATGTGTGTATGTGTGGTACATGATCGGAAATTTGCCGCTAAATAATGTTGTCCTGAAATGGCTGGTGTGGGGTAATGACTAATGAGCATTGTGTTCCCCAGATGTTTGTTTTTTTGGGCAGAATTTTCATCTGTACCGTGGTACCAAGAGTATATAATAGGGGTGAAACAATTATACCGAATACTCGAGTACTCGCTCGGGTTTTTCAGAAATAATCGTACTCGGAATAAATCAGAGTACAGGTCGTCCCCCGTTAATACGAGTCCGGTTAGTACATAAACCCCGTTAGTACATAAGAAATCTCAAGTCCCGGACGAAACGTGGTCACTTCCATACAAATTTTGTCGGTTAGTACATAATTCGTTAGTACATAAACCCCGTTAGTACATAACATTTCTCCGTACCCGCATGCCACCTACCTCAATAGTACATAATTTGTTGGTCTTTTGGCCTTCCAGTGGACGCACATCGTGTTCTAGTTTCTACTTGTGGACGCAATTAGCTCAGAAATCAGAGCGCACATCACAAACCGACAAAGCTCTTGTTTTTTCGAGTGACTGTACAGGCACCGCTGGGCATGTATCATGTAAACTGTAGAATCTTCGCTGACTGTGACCGTTATAACATAATTTTTATGTTATATCGAGGGAATCAAGAATATCTCGCTCCCTAGTCATGGCAGCAAGAAACACTCAGAAAAATTGAAAAAAGTGAAAAATTCTGGTATACAAGCAAGTTATGTACACTTTCGTTTAGTACATAAACCCCGTTAATACATAACATTTGTCAAGTCCCAGAGATTATGTATTAACGAGGGACGACCTGTACTCGTTCATACGTGGTACATGCATTTACCACAGAAATCTGCAGTTTCAGAGCAGCAATCGTCAGATATTGATGTGCAGACTGTGTGGTGAACATTTGTTCAAGAGTAGAGAGAGCCCAAATGACCCAGCCACCAATATACCAGAGAAAAATGACTGCCATTCGGTTCAATCAGGGGTGTATCATGTGATTTTAAGGCCCTCGGTGTGCAATTTTTAGGAGATGAAGAATACTCGAATACTCGAATATTCGATCGGAGAAAATCAGAGTACTCGAACTCGGGATCTCAATGCGAACTTTCACCCCTAGTATATAACCTCCCTGGTCTGGCCAGCTGGGGGATTATACTCTTGCTGATACCAAGAGTACATAACCTGGGTTATGTACTCTTGCTGATACTAAGTGTGTACTAGTACCATGGTACTACCAAGTACCAGGGAGTGAACAACTTTATTACTCACATGATCTGTACAAATCCATGATATCACTCTTCCTGCAAACTGAAAAAGAATGAGTCATTCCTACTAAACTCTGTACATTATAATTATGTGTCAGCTTGGCCAATTGGGTACGTACGTACTCGTACTCATGCTAAGGTAGAAAAAAGAAAATCACCTTTAGTTTTACTTCCACCAGCACGCCTGGCGCCGTGGCCATCCAGACTGCAGTCTAGTCGTGACGTTAGTTGTAGCTACGTGACTCCCTCAATGACTCATGTCTGCGCCAACAGTGGCAACATCATAATCAAGATTCAATAAGTCGATGATGCAGCCAATGGCAAAGCGCTACAAGTACAAGTACAAGGAGATTCCTGTTGTTGGCAGAAGATTCCTCTATGTTCCTATCGATGATCGAGCAGATTTTGCTACGTACTTTTTATTCTCGTCATTCAAGACGTAATGTCTAATGAAGATTAGCTCCAGGGACCAGGGAGTCGTGATTTGATCGTATTCAGCACCGGCTGCACCGTGCACCGGACACAAATCAATGGAAAAAACAAAAAAGGAAATCATGAAGGCGTAAAATACCGTAGAGTACCGTTACGTATACAAAGACTTTAATCGCCGTATGCCGTATACGGTAGATACGGTATATCACGCCTCCCGGATGCGTACTACAAATGAGTGTTTCTCACAACTCACGTGACCATGCACTGGCCAATCACGAGCGCGAAAAATGAGAATATTCGCGAACATTCTCAACATGGTGGGCGCTTTATAAACTCCCCACACAGCTTTCCTTCCTTGAACTGCAAACACGTGTTTACAGAAATTAGGAGCTGGAGAGGAGAGCATTTCTTGTAGCTTTCTTGCCATCACAATGGAAGAGGAAACTGAGACTTTCGCCTTTCAGGCTGAGATCGCTCAGCTTATGAGCTTGATCATCAACACCTTTTATTCCAACAAGGAGATTTTCCTCAGAGAACTTGTTTCCAACTCCTCCGATGTACGTAGATTTGTGGCGAAATGTGCAGTAAAGTGGATGTGTTTTTGTGTTTCCGGCTGCTCCTTGCGCTGGATAGTTTGTAACGTTCCTTGGTGTCGTGCTGCGTTTTTCCTGGCTAGGCGCTGGACAAGATCCGGTATGAGAGTTTGACCGACCCAAGCCGCCTGGACTCAGGCAAGGATTTGAAAATCGACATTGTTCCCGACCGCGAGAACAATACTCTTACCATTTGGGACACTGGTATCGGCATGACGAAGGCTGACCTCGTCAACAACCTTGGTACCATCGCCAAGAGTGGTACGAAGGCCTTCATGGAGGCTCTCCAGGTATGTGATAACTTTCTTTGAATTTTTGTTTATTTTTCGTACTTATTTGTAGTGAAAGTTGCGTAAAAAATGGCGCCCGCATCTCCAAGGCTATGTTGAGTATGCACTATGCCTGGATTGCTTTGTGTACTCCATTTTAAATCTACATCATAGACATAGATACAGGTTTTTACCCATATCATCAGCATCATTCTGCGGTACTTCCCCGCACACTTTTTCGTGTGCAGTTGGGCAGCAGCGTTAAGGCTCCGTACCGGTATTCCCTTGTAATTCCCCGTGTCGAAACGCGTAATTAGGTGATTGTCTGCGTAGAGGATTTCGCTTGCTCCTGTTAGCGAAGTATTCATAGTGCTAGCTTTGGTCGCAAGTCTGGAGCACTGTTATTGTTACACTGTGCTTGCAGTGTTTCATTTATCTTGTGATGTTCAGGCATATCATACTACATGTAGTACATTGTACATGTGCATGACTGGGATTTGCTTGCTTCTCCTCGATTCAAGTCGTTGAGCTGTTGTATATTCTATTGCTTGCACCGTGTCGTTTTGTAGTCTGGTGCTGATATCTCTATGATTGGTCAATTCGGTGTTGGATTCTACTCTGCCTACCTCGTCGCCGATAAGGTCTCCGTGACCACCAAGGTGAGTAGGGATACTTCTTGAACTGATTTTAATTGACCAAAGTTGACAAACAAATTGAGGGAGCTTATCAAGATATTCCTGCCGGTTGCTTATCTCCCATTGTGTTGCAATTGTGTGCTAATTTATTTCTGTAAGCTTTTCAGGGATTCTTGTGAAACCAGCTGGGTATTTTTGCAAATTGTTTTGCCATCTATTCTCGTACACAGCACAATGATGACGAGCAGTACGTTTGGGAGTCTTCAGCTGGTGGCTCCTTCACCGTCCGCCGTGATGACACCGGTGAGCGCATTGGACGTGGTACTAAGATCACTCTCCTCTTCAAGGAGGACCAGATGGAGTATCTTGAGGAAAAGCGTGTCCGTGACATCATCAAGAAGCACAGTCAGTTCATTGGCTATCCCATCTCTCTGCAGGTTAGTCAATTAGATAATTTTTTGATACATACTTGTTTTCCGGAGGCTGTCTTAGTGGTGCTACGCTGCATTTTGAAGAAGCGTGGTGTACATAGCTCACTGACAATGCCAGTACAGGTAGTAGTAGTAGTATTTATTATTTTACTAGGGCAATCCCCACAGACTGTGAGTCTTTTTACAGGGTACCCTAGGTACAGGTGGAATCCTGATAATTCGAACCCCAAAATGCCAGACATTCTAATTATCCAGACATTACCCACAATTCATTATGTATGTCAAAATGCTCACCTGGACACGCAGAGTTGCACTACGCACCCCGGGCATAGATTTGGGGACACAGAACTGCGCATGCACACCAGACTAATTTGAAGAAAATAAAGTGAATTATTATCAGCACAAATCCCACACATTTTCTATGTAAGTGGATTCCGTGGAATTTCTAATTCACCGGACATACCCAGTTGGAGGTTCGAATTATCAGAAATTGTTCTGTGGAAATCGTATTGGTAGAAATCGGTCCCAGACGTGACTGTTCTAATTAAGCCATATTTGAATTATCAGGATTCCACCTGTATATGTTGCCTGCACAGTGTACTACAGTGTATGCGTGTGCATCAATGTGATGTGAATATTAGCTGTTCATACATTGGATGCTGTACTGGTAATTTTTGGGCGGTGGAATATGTCAACGAGAGTATTGCTTTACTGTAGCTTTTTTGACTTCATATGTGCCTTTTTGTATGTTCCTTTTTTTACTTCTGTAGGTTGAGAAAGAGCGAGAGACTGAGTTGAGTGAGGACGAAGAGGAGGAGGAGGCCAAGGACGAAGAGGGCAAGGAAGAGGACAAGCCCAAGGTTGAGGATGTTGAGGATGAGGAAGAGGGTGAAGATAAGGAGAAGACCAAGAAGAAGAAGACCATCAAGGAGAAGTACACCGAGCTTGACCAGCTGAACAAAACCAAGCCCCTGTGGACTCGCAACCCTGATGACATCAGCAAGGACGAGTACGCCGAGTTCTACAAGAGCCTGACCAATGACTGGGAAGACCACCTTGCCGTCAAGCACTTCTCTGTTGAGGGTCAACTCGAGTTCCGTGCTTTGCTCTTTGTTCCCAAGCGCGCTCCCTTCGACATGTTCGAAAACAAGAAGCAGAAGAACAACATCAAGCTGTACGTCCGCCGTGTGTTCATTATGGATAACTGCGAGGAGCTGATCCCAGACTACCTCAACTTTGTCAAGGGTGTTGTTGACAGCGAAGACTTGCCACTGAACATCTCTCGTGAGATGCTCCAGCAGAACAAGGTTCTCAAGGTTATTCGCAAGAACCTGGTCAAGAAGTGCCTTGACCTGTTCAACGAGATTGCCGAGGACAAGGACAGCTTCAAGAAGTTCTATGAGCAGTTCGGCAAGAACCTCAAGCTTGGAATCCACGAGGACTCTGCAAATCGCACGAAGCTTGCCAACCTTCTCCGCTTCCACTCCACCCAATCTGGTGACGAAATGACCTCATTGAAGGACTATGTCACTCGCATGAAGGACAACCAGAAGCACATCTACTACATCACCGGTGAGTCCCGTGAGCAAGTAGCCAACTCTGCTTTTGTTGAGCGTCTGAGGAAACGTGGCCTAGAGGTAATGTACATGTGTGACCCCATCGATGAGTACTCTGTTCAACAGCTGAAGGAGTTTGATGGAAAGAACCTCACCAGCATCACCAAGGAGGGACTTGAGCTGCCTGAAGATGAAGATGAGAAGAAGAGATTCGAGGAGGCCAAGGCCCGTTGTGAGAATCTTTGCCAGGTCATGAAGGACATCCTTGACAAGAAGGTTGAGAAGGTTTCCGTTTCAAACCGTCTTGTTGGATCTCCAGCTGTTATTGTCACCGGCCAGTATGGCTGGACCGCCAACATGGAGCGTATCATGAAGGCCCAGGCACTCCGCGATACCTCCACCATGGGCTACATGCAGGCCAAGAAGCACTTCGAGATCAATGCTGACCATCCCATTGTCGAGGCTCTCCGTGTCAAAGCCGATGCCGACAAGAATGACAAAGCTGTCAAGGACCTTGTCTGGCTCTTGTACGAGACCTCTCTCATGGCATCTGGATTCTCTCTTGAGGAGCCGACCATCCACGCTAGTCGCATCCACCGAATGATCATGCTCGGTCTTGGAGTTGATGAGGTAGCGGAGGATGTAGCAGCCACCGCTGCTTCCAGCGACCTGCCTCCACTTGATGGAGATGAAGATGACACTTCCCGCATGGAGGAAGTCGACTAAACAATCATTGTCCTGTTAAAACTTTTGTACTTGATTTGTGTACACTTTAGTATTAGTATCGTTCCATACTTGCTGAGCATCCTCTCACGACATCAACATCAAACTGAAATGGCTTTCCCTCCAGCATATTTGAGTTTCTCTTTTCTATCCATTTATAAAAGTTTTTTATTTTAATTTCCGCTTTCTTAGCTTCATCTGATCTGTGCTCCTGACAAGAAATCGCTGCTCCTCCATTTCTTTAGCTGTGTCCTTTGCCTGTTGTCTTTGTCGTGTGTACATGGTGTCGTGTTGTTTGCCCCTGTCAATTGCATTGGGTTTCCATGGCATCATTCCTTGTGCAAGTAGCATGTGGCATTTGCATGTCTTCTGCTGATCATCCAGTTCGTGTAGTTTGTTCCCTGGATATCTCTCTGCGGCGGCACCTCCTGTAAATGTCCGTTCGGGGTTCTCAACAATTCTACACTCGTTCTTCTTTCCATGCGTCTGGCCTAGCAAGTGTCCATTTTTGCATTCTTCTTTGTATGCTGTTGACTACAATTGTGGAGCAGGGAGTCGTCAATAATAATCAAACACCGGTATTTGACGACTCCCTGGTGTGGTGTGGCTACAGTTCTTTGCTTTTTATTTTTTGTTCATTTGTATGTACCAAGAGTTCATAACCCAATATATGGGGGTTATGTACTCTTGGATGTACCGATAAACCTCTTCGAAATACCTGTATTGTGTTCGTACCTTTCATACGAAAGTCAGTTGTTTGCTCTCCACACTGTCACTGGAGCTGAATGGCAGTCGACTAGTCGTGAGTCAGTCAAGTCTCCAGTCCAGTCGGCGGGAGGACTGAGCTCCAGTGTGGGGAACACACAACTTTCTTATACATGTACAATTTGTTCAAGGTCCGCTGCTTTTATTCTTCGCTGTGTTGAGTTGTGTTGGTGTTTTTTTGGAATAGTATCTTGCGCTTATTTTGCTAGGTTCTTGCCTCACATGCACAGTGCTAGTGGCCTCTGCTACATGTAATCACTAGTAGCTTCCTACATTGTGGTTCTATAGTATATCGGCTAGGCTCGAGCCACTTTGGCCAGGAAAAAAACTATCTTCTCTGTTTTATGTTGTTCTCTAGTATGACTGTTTGCCAAGTGCAAAATCAAAGTGCAGGAATCTCTCCACTGCAAGGGACAACACTAGGAAGCGGACCGTTGGATGGATCCTACAACAGCGATGTCAATTTGTTGGCAGCATTGGACCAATCCCAGCGCTTGCAGCCACCGTCGGGTAGCCGACCGCAAGGGCACCGATCTGACGTAGCATCTCAAGCACAGGATGCTGAGTCATCTTCCACAATAAGCACACCGCTGGTATGTGTCCCATCATCCCATTTGGCTCGGCAGGGCAGAAGTTCACTGAATTATCAGCGCAGTCCATTCAGAGCTTTGCGGATGGCGATGGTGACAACTCCAAGATCATGACAGATCAGCCAGCTCATCTCCTTCGGCGAGTACAGCTCTAGAAGGACAGCAAGATCTTGGATCTTGTGTCGGAGGGCGCATGCATTCAGAATCATTTACCGCCAATGTATACGTCTCGTTCCAATGAGGCGTCGCACAAGAGTGATGTTGTTTTCTCTTACCTAGTGTTTGGCGGTGAAATCCATTCAGCAATCCGATATCTCTGTCCAGAGTCAGCCGATGGTATCTTGCACTTACATGACCCGGTGGACGAATCTTCCACAAGAACAGCTAGAGATGTATATTGCGATCAAGGCACCACACATCTGTTGACCCTCCAGAATCCATCCTGCTGGAGGGCGATGCGGCAATAGTCAACCGCATGTTATTCCGGAGAATAACGCCCGTGCTGATTCGCAAGATGTCTCGAGGAATGAAAGGTTCTTCTGCCCCATCCGGTGTTGATGCAGATGGGTGGTGCAGAATGTTCACCAGTTACAAAGCTGCATCTGACCACCTCTGTCGTGCATTGGCGCTCACAGAGCCGTGCTTGAGGCAATACCGACTCACGATGTGAGTGCATTTACCGCATCTAAACTCATCCTATTGGCCAAGAAGCCGTCTTCGCCCTATTGCAGTCGGGGAAGTGTTCCGTCGTCTAATTGGTTGCCCAGTGATGTCTGTGATCAAGCCTGACCTTCTACGTGCTATCGCTCCCATGCAGCTCTGTGTGGGTGTGCCATCTACCGGCGAAGCCGCTGTACACGCTATACGGAAGTTTTTCAACCGTGATGATGCAGAGGCAGTTTTCTTTGTGGATGCGACAAGCGCTTTCAACGCCCTGGACCGCACTGCAGCACTTCACACCATTCCGAGGATCTATCCGGCTCTGGGTAGGATATTTCAAAATACCTACTCAGATAAGACCAGGCTGTGTGTGGCTGGTGGCGGCGAGGTTCTCTCCCAAGAAGGAACCTGTCAGGCCGATCCCCTGGTCATGGCGTATTATGCTGTAGCAACCATACCGGTAGTTAAGAGGTTGCGGGAGGCAGACCCCAATGTTAACCAGGTGTGGTATGTTGACGATGATGCAGCTGGCGGTGATATTAACTCCCTCGCCAGCTACTGGAAAGATGTTTTAACTTTATCGGACCTGAGTATGGATACGATCCCAATCCACGAAGACCACTCAGGACCGGGCTGACGAACTATTTTGGGGGACGGGAGTCTGCGTCACGGAGGCGGGTCACCAATATCTCACGACGATCATTGGTTCTGAAGGGTATTGCCATCGTGCCGGAGACAGGTATGTCAACAACTGGCGACAGGAGCTGATGGCTCTCGCTGCAATGGCAGAAATGCAACCCCAGGCCGCCTACGCTATGCTCACGAAGGGCTTATCGTCCAAGTGGTCCTACCACTTGAGAGCATCATAGATAGACTCCATCACCCTGGCACCTTTACATGAGGTATTGGATCATCAGTTTCTTCCTGCCCTTTTGGGCCAGGGAATGGCAGCTGACAGCTCGTAGAGACAGCTTCTGTCTCTCCCGACGAGATTCGGGGGCTTGGCAATCCCTATGGTAGCAAAGTCTGCAGAGGCAGAGCATCAGGCATCACTTGCTATCATGGTGGCAATAGTGAAACTTGATCGACGCCCACCCAAGCGAGAGCGACCAAGACGTCCCCGTCATCAGTCCGGACCAAACCTTGCAAAGCGTCATATATGGAGGGTGTGACCAATCCTGTTCTCGAAGCGCGACGAACGAGGCATCGCCCGACAAAGGCGCCAGGAAAATGTCGGTGGGTGCTGCGGAGCTTTCACCGGTTAACAGCACAACCGTCCTGGAAAAACCGCACCGTGCTGAAGAAGTCGGATTTCAGAGACGCGCTATGCATGCGCTATGGTCTGCCACTTGAAAGTGCATGTGATCATTGGGTCTGTGGGAAGTCCATAACTACCCACCGTGCCCGACCGGTGGCTATCCTTCGGCTCACCATAACGGCGTACTGCAGGAGGTACTGCCCGATGTCGAGATTGAGCCACGTTTGCTCCCACAACACGGTGAGGACATATCTGCCGCCTCGGCTAATCGTCAGCCAGAGGCACGCCTGGACATACGGGCTAGGGGTTTCTGGTCGCGGCAGCAGGATGCTTTTTTTCTTTTAATGTAAGGGTCACTGGCCTTGGGCCGTCCTTGTTGTCTCGTCTGGAAATCCTTAGCCACCTGAGATCACATGAGATAATGAAGAAGGCGGCGTATGGTGACCAGGTGGAGAGGGCATCATTCACCCCACTGGTGTTTTCGATCTCAGGTGTGATGGGCAAGGAAACCACTACATTTTAGAAGTCGCTAGCTGCTTTGGATCCCTCATCATCCGGAAGAAAATAGTTGGTTTAATACAGAATTACAGCATACGTAATGCATCCAACATAACTGGTGTTCAATTATCCGGTTCCCTCACCTATCCGGATATTTTTTTGTGGAAAACGTATGTGTGCGGTCTTGCATTTGAGTGTTCTATTTCTTTCCGAATTATTTGGGTTGTCTTTTTGCTTTGGTTAGCCTGAGGGCCGTAGCCCCGAGGGCTACCCTGAAGGGCACAAACAAGCCATAAGACCCTCCCTGCCATGCACTAACTATTTTAGAACGAGGTTACATGCATTAGCTCACTCCAGGGAGTCGTAAAATACGGTATTTTACGACTCCCTGGCTCACTCCCATTATGCTTGTGTACCATTGTATTGGGTAGTTTTGTGATTTGTGTGCAGAGAGACTTGGTGTGGTATGAAAGAATATTTTCTTCTGGTAAGTTATGGTAACTCAGCACCACTTAGGACTACTAAAAGTAGAATAGAAGCAAATGAAATGCTGGGCTCTTATTGCGAGCTTCATTCTTATGCATAGCTTGTGGAGCTATTTAGGGCTTTGAGAGCCCCTTGTCGATACCTCTAATGACTTTGATCTTCGGTTTTTATACTAGGTTTCCGCAAGCTGTTGACAAAGGAAATTCGTACAGATGAAAGAATACGGGAGGCAAAAACCGTACACACTTCTGAAATGCGTAGCTTTTAGTAGTACACCGTACATTTTATGCAGATTTCGTTATCTGCACCGTACTATAATTGTTTTTGTTTTTTTTACGGGGTAACGGCCTCTTTTACGGGCAAAATAAAGTCATGTAGACGTGAAACCGTACTATAATGCATACAGGGAGTTGTACGCACCAGTTTAGAGTATATTCAGCGGGCTAATCCAAGGCCCTCGACGCGTCATCAAGAGTAGTAAAAATTAATAACGATTGAGCGGGCTTTAAACTCTGATAAGGCGGCCCTTGGCCGGAATGTCGCTGATTGGTCGTTTCCTGGACAACGAGACAGACCTCGTTCTAAATTCGATTATAAAGCCAGTCTCAGTTATAAAGACATGGGCTTCATAAATGAAATGACATTTGACGTATGTTTTGTAAACTTTGAATGAAGGAATAAGTACTATGCTACCAAGGCCGGGTATACATACAGTCAAGAGTACATGGGGTTATGTACTCTTGATACCGTATATCCGCACCTTTAAAGCCATGGAGTTAAATTCGATTATAAAGCCAGTCTCAGTTATAAAGCCATGGGCTTCATAAACGAAATGACATTTGACGTATGTTTTGTAAAAATGAAGGAATAAGTACTATGCTACCAAGGCCGGGTATACATACCGTATGTCCGCACCTATAAAGCCATGGAGTTATATTCGATAAAGCCAGTCTCAGTTATAAATGAAATGACATTTGACGTATGTTTTGTAAAAATGAAGGAATAAGTACTATGCTAACAAACCTACAGCCCAGGAGGGATAAGGAGGGTGAACAGGTGGATTTAGATTGAATTTCTGTGTGGACTTTGACTTTTATGGCATGGCGTAGTGGGTGAGTCATTTTGCATCTAAAATAGCTAGGAAAGCAGCAGTGTTTGGAATATAAGGCCATGGCTTTAAAGGCGCTGACATTAGAGAGGTTCCGGGGTACGATTTTCCGTGCCAAAATCCGTATGGGCGCTACGGATTTTTTCCAGGCGTGCTCCATACGATTTTTTGGCACGAGAATCCGTGTGGACTGGCTTTCATACGAACCATGCTTCGTATGGAGATTTTGCGTCATCAGGTGCAGAAAGATTTTTCGCGTACAAATTTGGTACGAGAAACATCGATTTTTCGCGGGAAGTTTTGATTTCGGTACAAAATTTCAAAATAAAAAGGCATAGCGCGGGAATGTGACGTGTTTGCGATCGTAACCTAGGCAATGACGGCAAACACATAAGTTCCGTACCCGGAACTTTTCACTGCTCGAAAATGACGTATAAAAAATCCGTAGAGCCTCCACGGATTTTGGCACGAAAAATCGTACTCCGGAACCTCCCTATTATGGTACATGTACGCGCGCACAAGTACACAGCCTTCTCCAACAAAAAAGGAGCATATGCGTAGTCCCAGAGGTTTTATATCTGAATCATTTCTGGCATTTCTTATGCCAGCACACACCTTTTTTAATTTAATTTAATGGAACCAAGAGTACTATCAAGAGTACATAACGGGGTACTATCTTATTCCTCACCCACAGTATTTGTATTCAGTATGGGCTGCAAGAGAACTAACTTCTGGTTACGGCGACGGGTGTGCAAATTTCATAGCAGTGACATTGTTGAGAACAGAACAACTTTAGCCACGTGAACACACATCGACCATTTCAACTGGTTCTGCGGATTTCAAGTAAATGGCATGGTACTCATGGTTGTTATTAGGACATGTACTGCAGAGCTTGCAAAAAATAGACGGTCTTACACCATGGACCGGCAAGGCAGTAAGTTGACTAGCAACTGCATACAGTTATTAAAAAGCAAGAACGAAGCAAGACCGGGCATCCCTCCACCCTGGAGTGAAGAAGAGAATATGAAAAAGTAATAAGGATGGCACCTCGCACGAGGCAAACATGCTCAAGTAGCTTAGATCTGACTTGGTGGGAGCTGAACTGGGGGAACAGGCTAAAGTAATGGCAGGGTGTCCATTGGACGAGCAGACACACGACATGACGTTATGAATACTGCAATAAAGCCACCGGGATTGGCAAAACAACACCTGCAGCAATGTGCAGCTGGCGCCAATGCCACTCAAAGAAGAAATGTGTGGCTGTTGAATGATTCCACTTGATTTCACACATGCCCACCCACCGTGCCCGTTACAACGCTGTGTTTGCATCATGTCCTTGAACAGCCAACGCAATCATTGTCGTATTCCCAGCAACAATAAAATCCGGCGGTGCAGATAGCTGTTGAGTAGTCAAGCGCCTACATGCAGGTCCTGCATGTGCATGGTAACTGATAGTTCCAGTCCAACTTGAACAGCTGGAATTGATCTTCACCAAATGAGAACTCCAATGGTACGGGCTGGGAGCAAAGCAGTACTCCACCTCAGGGTTGGTTTGCTCGAATAGTGTCAACCTCTCACGTCTTCGAAACCAACTTCGCCCATTTTTCATTGTGCTGTTGTGATGTCTTGGCAAAATGACTTTTTACAAGCTGCATTGGCTTGTCTTTGCCAGAGAGGTTGATCCGGTTTCTGTGCTCCCAGATTGGTGCAAACAATTCGCTGCTGACGCAATCACCACCAGTAGCCTTTGTCTTTGGTGCATTCTGACGTAAGCAATACGCAAGATAGAAGCCTGTCATGAATGCATCAAAGCCAGCCCGATGACTGCCTGTGCACCATTTACGAATTGGCTTGGATGATAGCGAAGCACTGGCTGCTACATTTGCAGGACCTGGTTTTGCCACTGCAACCTTCTGCGTACCCGTGCCACTGCTGCTTTCTGCTGGCGATTTACAAATCTTCTTTGCTGGTGGTTCTGTGAACATCCAAAACACAGAAAACACATAGACATCCTGTATAAAGATGCGGCTGAACTATGTTTATCCCAAACTGTATGCAACAAAAATCACAGCCAGCATAGCAAGCATACATTCACATTGTGTTGCAGCAGACACATAAAGTGTCCCTTACAAATACAGACATGCTTCAAAGTGAACCGGATAATCGAACACACATACTGTATGTATGCATGACATATGCTGTAATTCGGTAACCAACGATATTCTTCCGGACGGCGAGGGATTCAGATAAAAGAGGACCGGATAAGCGAGGTCTGACTGTACACAGTGAAGACTGAAGATCGCAGCACAAACTCCTGGGGTACTACAGAAGAAACCTTAGAACCATTCAACAGCCGGGGAAGGGGGAAATAATCACCACCTGATCCCCAGCATCCACGTGCACATACCTGAGTCATCACTATCAGCTTCATCGCCATCACTTGATGACACTTCTCCTTCGGATAGATGAGTTTCTGCACTGCCGTTCGTACCTGAGCGTGCAGCAGCCTTTCTCTCCGCCCGTTGTCTCCGCTTCCGGCTCTTCTTTGCAATTTCAGCGTCTTCAACATCAAGGATGTCATCCAAATCATGTGATTTCGGACAGCTGTTATTCAGGTGACAAAACCCATAGGCCTGCAAAGTAAAGTTATGAATAAGAAGAGAACCCGGCACACAACGTATGACATATGGTCATTATGGCCTCCAACTTGGAACTAATCACATCGGGGAACAAGCGCATGTTATGCACGACAGCACGTACATGCACTATACGGTGCAGTCTTACTGCAGGCGAAAATTGACTGCACTGATTTAGTTGATTGTGGATTACACTAGCCAATGCCGATATCTCCATATCTGCCTTGGCTAGTGAAATCCAGGAGCACAGTGCAATGTATACATACATGTACATGCTCTTGTTCTTAGGAGCTGAGAAAAGATGGATCGAGTACAAACATTTATTAAAACTCGGCTTACAGCAAACTTTTCACAGATGTCAGATTTCTGCACCGCTGCCTCTGTACTTGCTGCACCCGACCTCTGACTGGCTGCGGTGAATGACGACCTTAGCTTGCACTTGATTGTATCGATATTGGCAGACAGGACGGGAGAGAGAAAGATAAGAGATATGTGGCGACGGCCAGCCACAGAATCCTTGTAATTCCTTCTTTGACTGAGCGGAACAGGAAGGAATCAACAGCCACAAGCAGAAGCATAGAAAATGGTGAGGCACAAGTTATGCGTTAGAGTCCACGAACTAAACAAGGTTTTGAACAGTCAGACGTGCACAAGGTAGCACAAGACTGACAAGGAGTACTGAGACATTCCACGACAAGGAAGTGAGCTTGAGCACTGCTCGATAGCGCTAACCAACGGCCTTCCAACTTGGAAGGTTCGTGGATATTAGTGATAATTGCAAAGAGGGGAAGGTAAGCACCATCAAGCCGAACACAAGCTACATTCCAAGGCACAGTGGAATGCTGGCTTGGTACCGTTTTCCTTTCAATATTTTCCTTGGCTCACCATCCGAGTAATAAGTATTATGTAAAATAGAAGAAGAAAACACATGGGAACGAGTTATGAAGCAACTATCTAAGGCTGTAACAAGATAATACGCAGTCAGAACGTGTGATAACAGGGCACAAAACTGACAGGTTACCGAGGCATTCAACAACCTAGGACCTAGCTCTAACACATCTCTAGTGTGCAAACCAACAACAGCCTTCCAACTTCGAAGGTTCAAGGTTGGGTAGGACCAAATTCTATTTTACATTTAATACTGGCTCATTATCTGAGTTCAATAAGTACTATACTAACAAACTTGCAGCAGCAGGAAGGGTGAACAAGTGGATTCAGATTGAAATTTCTGTGTGGACTTTTACTTTTACGGCATTGCGTAGCGTGTGAGTCATTTTGCATCTAAAATAGCTAGGAAAGCAGCGGTATTTCGAACATACGGCCATGGCTTTAAAGGCGCTGCTAACATACGGTAATTAAAAAAGGTGATCCAGTACTTGTAGTGCACAGTGAAATAATGTCCAGTATACAAGCATACAACAACAGTAGACATTAACTTAGAATTAAGGCCGATTCAGAAGTCATTTCGCGTACAGGAAACGCGTCGCGTCGCAAAAAAGTTGATCTGAGCTCAACTATTTCACGTACTGTAAAAGCAGAAATTTTCGGTGGTGTAATATTTTCGGTATTCTCCAAAATCGGCAGTTCGGTGGAGGGAGATTGTTCGGTAAAACCCGTTTTCCAGGTACTACATGTATACAGTATTGGCTGTACCGAAATTCCAGGTACTACATGTATACAGTATTGGCTGTACCGAAATTTTCGGCGCGTTTTATTTTCGGTAAAAATTGTCGGCACCGAAGTTACCGAAAATAAAACACCACCGGAAATTTCTGCTTTTACAGTACGGGAAAGCCATCGCGCTACAGTCGCGCGATGACTTTCCCATATGCGACATGAAGTATGAATCGGGCTTTAGTACTGGAAGCACTGCCAACAGAACTACCTTACATGCTTGCAATGATGCAGTACGCTCTGCCCTTGTTAGGGTATTGAGCACTATTTTGCAGCAAGAACCTCAGACACTTTGTGCTTACAATGATACACAGAATTGAGAGAATATACATGTACGTAGTCCATTCACCCAAATAGTCCCGCTGGGATTCGAAAGCCCAATTTTGGTCCAAATAAGGCTCAACACCCACTTTAAAATCAAAAAATTGGGTTTCGGTTCTGCTTCTCTGTACACGTTGACATGGTATACCTGTCCTGATATTGCAAAACCTGGCCGAATTGCTAACTCTCTGGCCTTTGACTTTTCCGGCCTCTAATGTGGCAAGGAAGAATCGCACAGGACACACAACTATATCTACTATTCAACATGCGAGGCACTAAAGGTTAGGGTGACAGTTCGGATGAACAGACTTTAAATCAGCGAAGGTAAAGCAGACATGAAGCCATTGAAGGCAACTTCCAACCCCTACCTGTGTCGGAAGACATATTGCAGGTACGACGCCGGCAGACGCATGTGATACTCGGAGATCACTTTCGTGTCATACAGGCCAGATGCAAACATCACGCTTGTGTCGGCAATAAACTGATCAAACGTGTTTGGTAAGTCGGCATAGAACGAGCCGTAGAGAAACGCCAGGTCGACCATGGCGTTGTGCATAACTAGCGGTCGGCCACTCGTGAAGATAAGACTGATGAGTGAACGGATCGACTTTTCTGGTTCAACTCCCTGCACAAGGACAGCGTTTATAGGGCACACAGAGTGTACGGTTCATATGCATGGGGCAAGCATGTGTTCTTTTCCGTAAAATATATTTATTATCATTTGAAATGCATAAAACCAAAGCAACTCTGAAGACAAGCAGGATATGGTGCATGTGTGTACACAACATGTAAGCCGCCACCCATATAACAGAATATTAATTTGCAAATGCACAGATTACCGCATACTACATACTTGGTCATTGCCCCGCTTGTACGGCAGGCCCTTCGCGTACTGCTTGTTAAAGTCAAAGCCATGATCGATGAGGAACTTCAGTGCGCCCGGCTCTACTGTGTAGTTCTCGGAGCAAAGCGTGCTGATGTCAAACGTCTGTGCGATCCATCGCTCGCCGACCTCGTCCAAAGAGGGGTTGAGACGCCGGAAGCAGGATAGGCCGACAGCTATGACAGCACGCGTGCGCACTGTCGTAGCCAGGGTCTTGTAGCGCTCCTCAACAGAGCTGCAACGACAATGGCAACCAGAACGAAAAGAAATCCATGACCAAAACAGTCATGTGGATACACAGAAAAGAAAGCGACACAAGCTGCAAATGTCCACGCTCGATACAGAAATACAAAGCAAAAACACCAGGAAGATGGTGGCAGCTGATCACACTTTCCCCACCATGGACTACACAACTCTGTCTCGCAAGCTTATTATTTACAAGTACAATACCACACATTGCATGCCTTGAAAAAAAGGTACTATTCTGCTTTGATACTACTTCTTTCTTCAAATGGCCTGTTTCTCATCACTTGGCTAGGCTAGCATTGTGTCATGTTCTCATCACTTGGCTAGGCTAGCATTGTGGCTATTCACGTATTACGCGAGTGAGCACAAATACACGTCCGCACTAGGCTATTCTCAGGACTGATTAAGGCTACTGGACCCTGGCTCAGCCAGACATGCTACCTCTGTAAAAGTTTGGTATTAATCTTACTATGCCATCAGTTGTCGCCGATTTCCCAGGCCGCTGAGTTCCTGTACGTAAGTATAGGTACAGGCACAATCTGTTTTGAATTTAGGACAAGACGATGGAAGTCATTATGAAGTGTTGTGCAAGCTGTTTGTGGTTCATATGTTCAATTTACAAGTGTACTTGTGCATGCATGCATGCGCACGCACACACACACACACATGTACACATACGTGTGCCCCCCTTCCCCCATCTCCCCAGTCAAATATCTACAGCATGATATCAACACAGCATTATGTAGCGGTTTTGTTGCCAACTACTTCAAGGGTATCACACTACGAGAAGCTTGAGTCTCACGAGGATTGACATGTCTACGAGATTGGAATATTTGTAGAATGCTCCGCTAATCGAACTCGGATGCAGTGTTTGCTCCAGAGCCGGGTCAGCCAGGTCAGTGACCCAGTTGGGGGATACTTTGACCCGTTTGAATAAAGAAAACCGGGACCCGGTTGGGAGTATGCTCAGCATACATGATGTCATGTTGAGTACTTTTTTTGTACTTCAAGGGTAGATCTCCACACTGATCTGTCAGTGACAGGCTGACGGTGTGTGCAGGTTCGCATTAAACATGTACTGTACAGCGGGGAGTAGTAACCCCTCCCTGCTATTGAACGTGCCCGGCTCTGACCCGGTTGCAAGAGTTGTGCCAGGTACACGTGTACCCGGTTGTTCTGAAACTCTAGAGCAGACACTGGGATGGTGAGCCAATCGCATTTACGTATAAGAGAAAGGACCAAGATGTTACAAGTTATGACTAATAGTCCACCACGGCAACGACTAACGAGATAATAATTATACAGATTGTATATTATCTCATTACCGTGGTGGACTGTTAGGCGTAACTCGAAACATTTTGACCCTTTCTCTTATACATAAATGCTCAGCTAGCTAAACAAAACTGGTTCATGTCACTGAAATAAATATCAGGAATGGAAGGTCAAATTCTAGAGAAATAATTTTTTCACTGCAATCTAGATTCTCACAAGATCCATAGCCAGGAACTCGCAGTTGTTTATAGCTTGCAGCAGTGCTGGCCACGCACTCTCCAGATTCTCCACGTGAACATCCTGGACATTCACTGCTTTGAAGTCAGCCATCAGAGAAATTACGCAAATAGTAATCGTGAACACTTCCTAATTCTCAGACCACGGACCTCCACGAATGCAGCAGACGCCTGCATGCAGTAGATTTTATCTAAAGAAGTATCTTACAGTGCCGCAAGTATACCTAATACACTCATAATAATTATAGGGTCTTCAGTTGTAACTCGAGCTATTTTTAGAAAACGGAAATGATTTTGTTCTCAATGCGCATTGTTAATGTTCATCATGCATACTCTTTGAAAAACGAAACAATTACAAGAATGTGCGCATGATGTCACCGATCCGACCAACAGCATCATAATTATATCATGACGATGGTAGCGCAGCCTGCTTTGAGAACAAAAGTCCAGTACAAACTAGTTTGTCAAAATAATTTTTTAATTTTAGTCATCTACATGTAGCTCGTATCAAGAGTCCATGACTCTTGGTAGTATTTTTATTAGTACGACATCGCGTAGGAAGCGGAACAAACTGCATTCTGTTTTGAAAATGGGCACCGCTAGCGCTGCACCAGGCCTGCATGGCATGCAGAGTCGTCAAATACCGGTATCCTGCACTGCAGGGTACGGTACGCGGTGTGTACGAGTACCGTACCGTGACGAATCCGCAGCTGCATGCATGCTTGGCCTGCATGCAAGTGCATATGCGCTGCATGCTGATCACCATTATCATGATTTTTTATGGAGAAAAGCGATACAGAAAAAAAGGTGAGATTCTCAAGCATTTTTTGTGACTCTTGATCTTGCTTGCTGGCCGTACACATGGTACAAGACATGCATTGTGCAGCTACATGTAGCTATCAGTAATCACTTCCATCGTAGATTTTCAATCCTCACACTTTTTTCTTCTTCTTCTTTGCTGCTTCCTTTTGGTAAGCAGTGTCCACTCACCTTTCCATTCTTTCTCTATACTCGTTGTTAGTGACTCATCTACCTGCCGTTACCCCTTCACTGCCTTTGTTTGAAATAGCCAGAGCCCCAAACCCGCAAGTAGAGTTATTTCTATTGCATTTTGTCCGAAATTGTATAATATGTCCTCCCGCCAAGTCCCCCTTACATGCCCTGGCCACACACGGCCTGTTGTAGACGTTGCCTTTAGTGGTATAACGCAGTATGGTTCCTTTCTGATAAGTGCATCAAAAGGTAAGGTAGTAGTGACTTTGGTTGATGCAAACTTGGTTTCCCAGTTTTTTTTATCAGTTCCGATTTGTGCATTTTTGTCTCAGATGGTCAACCCATGTTACGAGCTGGTGACACTGGCGATTGGCTTGGTACATTCGAAGGCCACAAAGGTGCTGTGTGGAGTGCTACCCTAACAGAAGACGGAGAACGAGCTGCGACTGGAGCTGCCGACTTCACCGCGTACGTTCTTTACTCTGCTAATCTATGATTATTGATACAGCCTATTGTATATCATGCACATGCAGTACATTGTTTTTGTAGTGGCAAGTTGAATGTACTTCTTTCTAGTACATGTACTACGGAAACGTGGTTATACGGGTGGTGCGTTCTCCTGTAGGCGCAATTGCAATCTGTCTAGAGTCATGAATCAATAAGCTGATCCTCACCGACTCTTCCTGCACGTCCCCACCCATGTTCAGGTACGCCCGATGGACAAGACCACACAGGTCGTCGGCCAATTGGCTAATGTCTTCTTCAGGCTTTCGACTTGTATTAACCCGTTATGTACCGCGCATCTAATGTATGCGTAGGGTACTCCTCGCCAATGATGGACCTATAGGATAAAATCTAGACGCATTTTGTATGTGCAAGTTATGTTTTTCTGAATCTATAGTAATGAATGGGTCCATTTGTCAACATATTGTAATCCAGCACGCAGCTATAAGTAGAGGGCATACACGGAATACCCAATTATGAGCCAATTGTGCGTAATTCTGACAATTGAGATCGCTACATTTGAAATAAAGTATAGACGTATCAGGGACGGCCATTGGGACGCACAGTGACAGAAGGATACCACAGGCACTAATTGCATGCATGAACAGCAACAGAAGGGGCGGAAAACGGATGTATCGTCTAAATACCAGACGCAAATAATTGCGTCAAATATTCAAATTTTTGCAATTATTTCAGATTTGAAATATGCAGTTTTTGCTGATCTACTCACGTCGAGCGAGGATTGGTGATTGAGAAGACAAGAAAGCTGCCCTCCCTCTCGCTGCTACTTGGAGAGCGAATGCTGTGATGGCTTCAGCGATGAAAATTGGCAGTTTCGATTCAGGTCCTGAGGAGATATCGCTGCTTCAGCTCTCTCCAGTTGTCTACCACGACTAGAGGATGTCGACATTAGCTGGAGAAGGCTATATCTCTATTAGCAGCAGCGTGACGGAACGAAAACACGATCGAAATTGGCAAAATATATCGCAGAGCGCTGCATTTGCGAAGCGCACATTTCGCCGCGATCGGTCTCCATACTTTCAAATGGCGACCTACCCATATCATACATCAAAATTTTCAGTGGGATCTCAGCTGTCCACTGCAAAAACCGTGAGTCAATCAGAGAAAGGACGCCGCCGAACGGCGCGTCCAAGTGTGGCGTGCCGAACCGTAAATATTTTTACGGTTCGAGATGGGCGCAGCACATAAAAGGGTTAACGGGCTGTCTCCGGAGGTGCGAAGCTCCTCGATAGGTCCTCTACGACCTGATGCCACTTCACTCGGCGGGCTTTGGATACAGTCGCAATGAATTTTTGTGCGGCCTCTCTTAGCCATACGGCTAAGTATTGGGCCTTCTGCGCGGCAGTTCACTCGTTCACACGAGCACATTGATTGAAGTTCTGTAAGTACTCCACCCAATCCCCCACACCATCGTGCACTTCAGGCATCACTGCCGGTCTGACCACCATCGCCCCACCCACCCACCATTAGCACCTCCTGCAGCAGCAGCAGCAGGCAAGTGGACGTTGGCTGCAGCAGCCGGAGCATGGTTTTGAGGTATGATAAAAAGCTCAGAGAATCGAGTGTGTTCGCTCTCGGAGAAATCTTTGTCTTTGCAATTGCAGGACTGTGATGCCTTTTTCCTCATATCCCCCACTTGCCACTCCGTACGGTATGCTTCCAAGCAATGAGAACTGTTCAGGTCACATGCACTGCAGAGTACATACGCACGCAGTACAGCCGGCATCGGATCATACCATTCTCGCACGGATCAGCAAAAATCATCGTCAAACTTGTCTGTACAGTATAGTACGGTTCGGTGGTCAACCGATCACCAGTCCGCGCGCCAGTTCAAACTCTTTATTGTACGAGCGTCCAAATGACATTCAATGCATTAATGTGATAGCATTATGTACATCGGGATGTCTTGCCGTAGAAGCGGACGTTGCAGCTCCCACGTGCATGAGGGGAGCACGTTCACCCAACATGACATAGTTCGTCGCCAAGGGAAACAGTCAGCTGCCGATCCTGATATCACACGGTAACTGGACAGTTTTAGAAAACCACAGGGAAAGACGAAACGTGTATGTTGGCTTGAGGTTACGACAGTTAGTAAATCTATTTAACGTTATCGGCACTTCAGTACGAAATAGCGGTAGTGACGCCTGCGATACTTCTGTGAGGGAGTTCGTTGCTCCCCACACTGGAGTCAACTCGGTGGGGAAAACCCTAGTTCCAGGGTGAGGAGCAACCACGCACTTCTTCTATAAACACGTGTTTGTAACTTACGTGAGCATAAAGCTCAAACCAGACCAACAATGAACTGAGCTTTCTGCAGGTCAGAACTAGCTGCTGTTGTAAGAAGTGGAATTCGACACTTGCCACATGGGTCCATGTCATGCAGGATGCTGCCCTGCAGGCATAGAACTTTCACCTTTCCGGTACGATTTGACCAAAGTACAAGTAGCCCATACGTTGTGCAGTGTGGTGTTGTGCAGTGTGGTGTTGTGCAGTGTGGTGTTTGCATCTCGATCTCCCAGTCAAGCTCCATGCACAGGAATCAACCGCATGCCCCTTCAGAAGTTGTTTTTACCGTCCCTGTCCGTTTATCCAGCACTTTGTAATAGTCTTAATATTAAAGCCAGCTGTCACCGCGAGGCGCCGATGCCTCGCACTTTGCTGTCTGTCAGCGCAGCATTCAACCGTGTGACATTTGTGTATTCTCCAGTCAAGTGTGCATACTTGATTGCTTTTCATCCTGTTTGGTATGTACAGGAAGTTATGGGAGGCATCCACTGGCGTGCATCTGGCTACTTTTGCCCACCCACACATCGTCAAGGCGGTGGCCTTCACGAATGTAAGTAATATTTGTAGATTGGGTTCTATCAGAACTCAACATGCTTATCCTATAGACCTTATGCACGTTGCACAGATGTACAACGTTCTGTACTACATGTACATGTAGGACCGTAGGTGTGTACAGACCCAGTTGGGTGTTCATTGTGTGCTATGCATGCGCATTTGACAATTTTAGCCTCATAATTAATGGCAAACAATCACTTGTCCAGCTTCTTCACTTTGGTTAGAACTAATGACTAGCTAGATCTTTGTCAGAAAAAAGGTTTTCGTATGAAATGCCTTCAGGGCCTTTCTTAGTGGAAATAGCAGTAAACACAATAGGGTCCTGCACATTCAACACCCAACCGGTTCTACGGGATTTCGTGCATCTGTACAACGTGCATAAGGCTTATTCTACTCTCCATTGCTGGTGCTATGCCAGGCAGTGATGTGTTACCTGGATTGTGATAGCTGCTGGCTAACGCATCTAAAGCCTCAGAAAATCCTGACTTGGTTGGTTAGTTAGAATTCCCTGACTGACGAGGACACAGATCCCTGATGCAAATAACTTGATAACTCGGGACCTTTCAGCCTATTGTTGCAGAAGCACTAATTTTCTTCTTGAAAACTGTTCCATGTGTGCATCAATTGTACTTCTGGGGAACTTGCGAAGGAGATTCTGGCCCAACTTCGGTCCTGTGCCCTTGTCCTTATTTGTGTACGCTGGGTCTTCCCCAAGAATGAGCAACCCCGCACATGGGCTCAGGACAGCACAATTTGTTGTTTAGTAATGTTTACGTCATTAGAGCAGTTCCGCGCTACGTAGTTATGTTACAGGTGGAGTCCTGATAGTTCGAACCCCGAAATTCCAGAGATGCCATGACTAATTTGTACGAAATGTTGCTTTTTCTGCATTTGGTGTTATCTGGCCCTTTTCTCACTATCCATCACTGCATTTCACAGATTCATTTCAGGAAATATATACCGTATGTTCAACATTTCGGTCAAGAAATATGCGAATAAGCATCACTGGGAATGAATTGGGCACGGGTGGGATAGTCAGTGTTGTGCACTTTCGTACGAATGATGATGCGTGAAGTGCCCTGCTTTATTCTAAATGGCCCCCTTCCTGTTCGTCTTTTTCTCTATTTCTTGTCCCAGGACAAGACAAGGCTAGTGACCGGCTGCCAAAATAAACAAGTCTATATCTGCAGCTGTGAAAGGCCTGATGCAGGTGAGCAGTGGACGAACTGCATGTCTTTGCTGTTGCTGTTATTTACTTCAATCGTGGCGGCACTTAGCCTGTGCTTGGTAGAACTATCTCCTACTGACTTTACTAATGGAGTGAATAGGTTTGCTGTTGTAATCTAAGACATTATTTAGCGTTGCTGTAAGTGTAGAGGTGGCACCTATGCCTCTCTCTTTGTCTGAGTTGTGGTCAATGTGAACATATTCTTCTTTGATTATAGAAAAGCAATTGCTGAAGAAACATAATTCCATGGTAAAGCGTGTTTGCTGCGGTCCCGGTGACAACTTGGTTTTCAGCTCTTCAGAAGATAGCTGCATTGGGTAAGTGTGCAATGCCATCTGCTACACTATTGCTGTTGCTCATTAACTGTCAACACAATGCATTCCTGTTTCCTAGTGTCCTCGGTGGGTAACTTTAGTGGCATGTTGTGATGTTGCGGTGAGCGGTTGCATTGCTGTGGAAGTGCATGCCATCAGGTTGTCCAGCTCCTATGTGTGGCTGCCATGGCACTATTCCGGGGTATTATCTGTGCAGTGGTGCTCTGCACACCAGTAGGACTAGAGCAGGCATCCTGTGGCACAAATGCAGCTCAGTTCCACACACTACATTGCTTTGCACCACTCATTTCCACCTACCCGGACGTGATCCAGACTTTTTGCCGCGTGACACCTATGCGGAACTTGTGCTATCCGATTTTCACGTACTCTTGATTATGGTCTAGCTACAAAGCAGTGGTGTGGCAATGGTCTTTTTATTACTGCAGTACCATTCCTTCTTGATCGTTCTTTGTATGTCATAGTGTTCATTGCATATTCATCACTTCATTCCTTTGTGCTGAACGTGATCACATGTAGGTATGCAAGTGTTTGTGTTGTTTCTTTCTTTGTACTGTGAAGTGGTTCTCATTTTGGTGTTGTGTATGTCATGTGTGCTCCTATTCTGTTTCTTACTGTTTTCTTCCAGTGTTTGGGACCTCCGCAGCAACCAGGAAGTACAGTCGCTGCCCACCACCAACGCAGTGACCAGCTTGGAATTGTCGCGTGACGGAAATCATTTGACTGCCTGTCACGACAGAATTGTCACCGTGTACAATGCTGCAACGTAAGTGACTGCGTGATGTGCGCAGGTGGTCTGAAGGGTGTAGACAGCGACTGTGTGTGCGTGTGTGCTGTGTTTCTGTACACTTGTGCAGTCATATTACCGGTATTACTGCGTATCCCCAAGAGTACATAAGGCCAAGTAAAATAAAATCCCAGTTTATCGTCCTTTTTTTCACAAAAATCGGGGAGGGAGGGCGGATTTTATTTTTATTTTTTATTTTTTGATGTGCTACAGACTAGTATAGTTCTTGGTAAACAATGACACATCATGTGCAACAATCTGCAACAGAATAGTGGTAGTGTATGGAATACACAATGCTATAACAGTTATATGTACATAAACAATTACATGCAAAATCTTTGGATCGACAGATTGTCACTCCACTCATAAGACACAAACCCCAATACTGTTTGGTTCACACAGACCACCAGATAAATGATAGAAAGCTGCAGAAGGGAAAGAACCAGTCAGAACAGTAACCAATAGTCAGTCATAAAGGGAACATGTTGGAATACAATTCACTTCTTCCCCTGAGGGACATGCGTGCGGGTACGCTTCTTCATGGCGCTCTTCCCAGACTCCTGGCAAGCACCACACACAGGATACGCATCGGCATTATTGACTAGACCCTCTCCTGAAGCGCAGTAGCAGCATACAGTGGGATACCCAGCAGAGTAGTACGGGATCTCAATAGGACTGTCACATGTGAGATTTCCCTTGACGTGCACGGAAGCCAGGGCACTGGTGACTTCGCAAGCTACATCCGTGAGATGACTGCCACAGGAGAAGCTCAGGGTCTCCAAGGCCGCGACCAGTTCCACACGTGCTGCTGACTTGACGCTCTGCTTGGCATACAGAACACGAGGCTTGCCACACTCGGAGCACCTGATGACCTCCTTGACATTCTTGGCATACTGGGCGCTGGGCGGGAATGGCATGCCATGACCACCAGAGGCTGACTGGCTTGCTGCAACCAGAGATGGCCTGTGCTTCTCCAATGTTGGTTCGCCATATACAGCATCAAAGCTCTTGTACCGCTCGCCATCAGGTACAGGGTCTGGGAGGTGATGCAGCTTCGAGAAGACATCCTCTGGCAGTCGCGGAGGCTTGCACACTGAGCATGCTGGTTTGCCACACTTCAGGATGGTGAAGGAGTAATGCCGGGCAATGCAGTGCTCTTCCAGGAATGTCAGAAGTACCTTGTTCTTTGAAATGGACTGCTTGGTGGTACTCTTGGTATCCAGTGACGGGTCGATGAGTTTGACGGTGTCACGAAAAGCCTCAACCTCCTCGTCCGTGGCAGCATGAAAGCACTGGAATGGTACACCCGTCAGGCGAAGGCGTTGGAACAGCGAGCAAATCAAGATCTTCATATCTTCCATTGCATCCAGCACTGCATCTTTCAGGCCAGGGGTCTTCACGGCAGCATTCCTGATGTCCTTCATGTTGTTGCAGCCTTTCAGTTGATTCTCGAAAGTGGTCTCATTCCGAACTACACCGACACCCTGCAAAGCGATGTTCAAGATCGACATGATGCGCTCCACCGGATTCTTCCAAGAGTTGTACGGGGGTGTTCGAACAGCACAGACATAATCTAGGTCGAGCTTGATGAACAGCGACAGGAGGGACAACTGCGTGGAGAGGTAGGTTGGACGATGGTCGGGCCCGCCATCGGTGTACATGCAGAGGATAGGTTTTACATCGCCTTTCTGCAGGATACTCAGGAGCTCGCAACCATGGCGCGATGGAGAGGAATGTTGAAATACACAGTCCTTCAAGCCCACGTGGACTGTTCTGCGATAGAAGGAGTCATCAATGGATTCTGGCACATCCACAATGAGATTCACGCTTGGTGTGAGATTGAACTTCGTGAAATCGTGGTCCGAAACTACCAGTTTTTCATTCAGCCCAACCAGAACCGGCCTTGATCTACTGCTGCCACAGGATGCCCAGGCTCTCCAACTTTGATTGTGTGCTTGTCATCTTGGCATACAAAGCACACATGATCACGAAACTGCACAGCAAATTCCCGCTCATAGCGAAACAGAGCGCTGGCGTAGTGGCAGTCAATGTGAGCTGTCCGGAACTGACGTGATTGAACCATGAATTTTACTTTGAGTTTGCCCGTGTAGTGGCGAGCTGTAGCCAATGCAGGATTTCTCGGCCAGAACTGATACCGGAGCCATTGCACTGACGGGATGGGTGTGTCTGGAGGGCAACGCTTAGTGACCTCCTCGTGCATATCCCTGACGCTCAAGGCCTTGGCAAGGTGAGTAATGACAGTGTTGTCTTCTTCCACATTGTCATGCCGTCGGTCATCAACTGCAGTCTCCACGGAGCTCTCAATGTATTGCTGGCATTGCTCAAGAAAAGCAGTATATGACTCGGGCCTACCGCTGTTCACAGTGCGCAAATCCCAGATGAGGTCTGCATCCTCTGTTTCGAACATTTCTGCAATTCGTTTGTCCACTGCTGCTTGGTCTGCGTTTGTACTGGCACTCGCATCTCCCGTGAGCCTTCTGTACACCTCCCGAAGAAATGCAGGCTTGGTGTTCGTCACAGAGCCAAACAGATGGATGAATTCCCTTCGCATAATGCGAGTGTGGAATGTTGGCATGCAGGATTTGAGCTGTTGCTGGATGGCGGAATTCTTTTGCAGGAGCTCAGATTCCTCAGCACACTCTGGAATACGCCAGATGAAATGCACATGCGCCTTGCTGCCAGTGTACGAATACAGAACGCACTTGACGGGCACAACTATCCCCTCCAGGTACTCGTGTCTCCGGCGATGTTCAGTAGGACAATGGTCCTCAATCAGGATGTGTTCATAATCCTCAGCAGCAGATATAGCGGCGTGCAGACTTCTATATCTCGCACCCAGAGTTGGCTTCACGACTAGAGTCGCCCCAATCACCTTCAGCTCATCCACGTCAGTTCTCACGCAGGTACGCTTGGCTTCACTGGTGTAGACTGTATCCAGATGCGCTTTCAGGTACGCAGCATACTTGCGGAAGTTGTCAGCAAGTCTCAACACAGCTTCCCGGACACTTTTCCAGTGCTGGTGCTTCATGTAGGAGCAGCCAGCCAAGAAGAACAGGGATGACGACAACGCATCCAAATTCTGGCGGCACAGGTTCGACTGGTCCCGCTTTCTCCTTTTGCGATCTTCCGGCGTGTTGTACCCAACAAACTTCTCCAACAATGCAGGCACTGCACAACCTCGACTTGACAAGGTGTGGTGATTGCCATCGATATACCACAATGCATCACTGATTGTTCCTACGAAGTTCACACCAGCTGATCCAGCAAGCGCCTCTTCCCAGCCCAACTTGTTCTCCTCCAAGAACAGCAGAAGATCATTTTTCAGCACAGCTTTCTTGTTGACAGGGTTCCATTTCGGCGGAAGAGCACACTGCGTCTTCGACGCAGCCATCAACATAGCGAAAGCGTCACCAGACGGAGTTCTCTCCTGTGTTGTCGCTGTCGCTGCCTGTTCAGGGCAAGCGATAACGAATTCCACGTATTGCCCAAGAGCGCTGACAGTCTCGCCTACTGGCGAATCTGGACTCACAGGGGTTTTGGAACCTTGCTTTGTGTCGCCAACACTAGCTTGGACACAAGAGACAACGTCGCTCTCCTCAAGGCGCTCCCCATGGTCCAACTCGCCAGCGCTGAACTGGGTGAAAATGTCCGAGAGAGTTGAAGACGCAGAGACAACACAGCCATACCAGGACTTCAGAACTTTCAACCCGCGACGGATTTGCAGCAAAACAAACGGCATGTCGCTTCTCAACAAAGTCGCAACTACGGAAAGAACGGAAAACTGTCGAGGTCTCGACAGGATGAAGACGGACTTTCGGCAGAAAGACGAAGCTGTGTTTTCAAGCCTTAGCCGACGTAAAAAATCAAGCTTTTGGCAAAATTCTAGATTTAAAAAATAAAAATAAATTCCGGGCGGCCTCGAAAAATGGGGCGGGCGGGGACGATAAACTAGGATTTTTTTTACTTGGCCTAACCCTCCAGAGTGTGCAACTCCCACATACCCTGCTGTCCCGACAGAATTTCAAGTTGACGTCATACTTTATGACGCAATGCTCCTTGCACCAGTGATTTACAACATGTGTACGGGTGTCAACGCATCACACGTTTTTCTTTGCAATAATTTGTACAGGATCGATGGGCTTCGGTCAACCACAGGTTCCGGATTCGTCTGATAATCTGTGTACAGTGCGCATTGCATCATCAAAATGACGTCAACTTGAAATTCTGTCGGGACAGCACCCATACTCGAGTTGCACACTCTGGGGGGTTATGTACTCTTGGTATCCCGGGCACTGTATTAGGGGCCGTCCATAATTATCAATCTTTTACAAAAAGAAAAAGTTTGGTTTATTTTATTTTATTTTTTACGAGAAACCACGAACCTCGAGAACAGAATACTGCATGATAGAGGTGGTTGCAGACGCAACTGTGGTGGTGGTGAAACTGGAGCATCTCCGCCGACCTGAGGTTTGTGGGTGGGTCTATAGGAGAGTTTCGTTATGAAAAATATTGATAACTGAAATATCAATCCGTTCTAGTAGTCAAGTCAATACTGTATAACATTTTAGGTGCATTAAAATTTCGGTGCCACGGACCTGCCAGGTTTCCGGTGTAATGTAGAATTAGGTGACCAGCTTTCCCTTCATTTACAGTCCATACTCTAGTGCCTTTTAGGTGTAATTTAAATTTAGGTGCCTGTTTTCTCTACCGAAATCACCGAGATTAAAGTTACATCGAGAATAACATGTTTTTGTATATTTTTTGTTCAGGTGGAAGGGGGAGGGTCATAACTAAACTTTTTCGTTTCGTGAAAATTATTGATAATGCCGGATGGCCCCTTGATGTATGGTGCACTGGATATGCTATCCCAGTCACTTTTATCGTTGGTGCAGAGGACCTTGGCTATGGCGGGCATATCTTATGGCCCGAGGGCGTATATTTAACCCTCTCACTACCAGCCATTCAAATATCGATCCGCAATAGGCAATCACTAAATATTTCGTCACACGCTCAAATAATGTCGGATTATTACGAATGAGGGCTCTACGTCTTCAGAAAGACCTTGACTATCGACTGCAACTATCGCTTTCACTCCTTGGTGCATAATTGGAGCACGGCGAAGCTCGAAGCTAGTGCGCGATCAAAAATGCGCATTAAAACATTTTGAGTCGGCGTCACGCTGAGAATAACTCTGATATCTTCTCGCTTACCTATGTGTTTTGGGGCTGGAAATCCTTCGGGTTTTAGGTATTTTCACAAGAACTTCGTCTGGTTTCTATGAGCCACGATTTTACAAATCAGTGAGCCACTCGTGACAGATCGCGCTGCGCATATTTGCTTGAGTTTGACAACGTCTTCTTCATCACGGCGCGGCACACACGAATGGCGCTTGGTGTTGTAGTTTCTACGAGTGCGTAGCTGCCATCATTAGCTTTCCAGAGAGTGGTTGTTTGTGAGAAATGGCCAAAGAGAGCAGAGACATAACAAAAGTCGTATTTTTGTAGACTGTGAATTGACTCAATGGCGAAAATAATGGGTAGTGAAAGGGTTAATGACGTTACACTGCATTTTGCTCAATCTGTGCTTGCTGAATACTGCTTGTTTGTAGGTTGGAGCCCATCAAGGAGCTGCAGATGCCCAGCAAAATGTACTCCGCCACTCTTCATCCAGCAAATGAGAGTGTCGTAACAGGTGGAGAAGACCTGCAAATCTACAAGTTTGATTATGCCACAGGAGAACAACTAGGTACGATTTGCCTCCGTGTCGCACGTGCAATGGTTTGCAGACACGATAATATTATTATTATGGGTGATCCGGGTACCTGTCTGTTTATTTTTTGTAACTGCTGATCCGTTAGCAAACGAGTACCCGACTTATTAGCTAACTTGTACAGTCGTACAGTTTGAATGTGTGGTTGCTGGTTGGATCCTGCTACATATGACAATTTAGACTGCTTTGCATGTAGCGCAGTATGTGCGCAGTATGTGCGCATGCTGCGCTTGTCGCGATGTAGTACACTTGCTGCGAATTGCATGGCATCGCATGTCCTCCTGGCACGAAATGTGGAAGGCTATTGTATAGTAACTGTAACTATTGGCTGCTAAAGGGAACGCGATAACCCGTCCGTTAAGCCAGGTACCCGTTTCTATCCTTAAAGGGTAACCGTTTCACCCCTAATTATTATACCTTAGTGCAAGATCCGCTGCCTTTCCTTATGATCGACACATGGCTGGAGATCCGTAAGGAACATCCTTGGTTGTACATTTAAGATTTGCCACTGATTTGGGTGTCAGCAGTATTTATTTAAAAAAAAAACCCCCTGGGTACTGGTACTATCGTTGATGCTCGAAGTGGTCAGCCGTTATACTGCGTGGTATATCGGGTTGAGTTTTGATTGTGTGTCTGATTGTGCACCTTGGATTGATTGTATTGTGTGTTTGATATTCCAGAGGCGTACAAAGGTCACTTTGGTCCTATTCACGCTGTGAGGTACTCTCCTGATGGTGAAGTGTACAGTTCCGGATCTGAGGATGGCACCCTTCGTCTCTGGCAAAACACAGTAGGAAAGACCTATGGCCTGTGGGTGGCCGAGGCATTGGCGCCAGAGGCTGCCAACACAGCATCCTAATCTGCTCATGGACGGGTGACCAATTCTACTTGCAGCTCTACTATCGCTTACCTCGTTGGTCTGCTTTTTAATTAAATGATTTTTCGTTATGCCCTGGCGTTTCTTCAAATTCAAGCTGTGGGTTGGTTGTCTCGTCCTTTTGCCATGTTCTTTTGTTCCTGATTCAGTCCTATTACCACCTCCAAGATTTTCATTTAATTTTTGTACAACCTATGTGAAGAGTAAAATTTTGGTGAATTATAAAATCTGTCAGTCTGTACAATGTAGCACAATTTAGTTCTGTTTTTGTCCACATGTTCTCAGTTTGCGCTATGTCCAATGCCACGTGCCGTAACTGGACAAATGTGTCCACAGCGTCGGTCAAGTCGTAGTTAAGTCCTATTCCGCCGTAACTGTGCGTGTGCACTGGCAGCGCCGCAATACCCTAACTGGCATGTATTGCGTGTCCAGTGGGCTGGACTTCAAAAAAAGTGTGTGTCGAGTACTAGTATGACACTGATCGCAGATTGCGTGACTTTCGCAGTATTTATTTATAATGCCATACGTGTTTCATTCGATTTGGAACTTGTTTGCCGTGTGAAGACTGCTTTCGTCGGGGCGCTTGTGAGATCTCGGAAGGCTGCTCTCTGGTTGTTTTCATGTCTGCTTTGTTTGTTTTTTTGTCCGTTTCCCATTCTCTCTGCTTACTCCTTTCTCGTTTGGTTATCCCACTCAACGGTTATCCCACTCAACTTCTTATTTGTTTCCTCCATGTGTATTCAGGGCTATCTCTAGTCCTGATGCCAATTTGTAGCATAAAATATACTCAAAAACACCATCACTTGGTATGCCGTTTGGGTGATAGGTGAAAGCAAGAGTGCATAAACCAAAGTGGATGGTTCCTGTGGGAGCGTACTTCGTGCAGTACGTCATTTCTGACGGCATGGTTTATGTACTCTTGGTGATAGCAAGAGTCCATGATCCCTTTGCCTATGTTAACTTTTGGCATGCAGTTTACTGGGAAAGTGGGTTTCATACAAGAATTGGTACAGTTGGTGCAATGTTCTTTGCAGTATTCTTGGTTTTGTTTAGAGAGAGCGTGTGTGCAGCTAGCTAGGCAGGATGGATGCATTGTAAGCTGCATTGGACTCATCTTGGCCTATTGCAGAATTTCCCACACTACTGTGCATGTCCTTTTGTTGCTGGGCAGGAAAGTGATCAAGTGTGTACAAAGTGCTGTCCGTAATAGTTGGTACCAAGAATCGGTTAACCTTAAACAGTGTTCACCGGTATTCTATTTAGGATCTGCTGTTCTATATAGTTCGTCAACCGTACAAGGTCTTCCGTCCTCTCGAGTGCTGTATACAAACGATGGCATAAGCGGGCCAATTGCCCATGAAGGACAGTCAGAAAAACACTGTCGAAAGCGACTCAATCACCAAGTTGCACGTGCACTCTTGATTAGACTCTGTCTACGATGAAAAGTCCACTGAGCATATGAATGTTTGCATCTCACAGCACTTGTCATGGCATAGTTATACTGATACACGTTATCTCGTGCAGAACAATATTAAACACACGTGTGAAAAATCTACCGGTGTGTGCCGACTTTAAAGGCAACCTGTGGGAAGGCATCTAACTACTTCAGCTCTTTGTTGCAATTTTGTAGTCCCAGGCTCTTGGTGTGCATTTCCAGAATATAATGTAGATTTCTGATGCTATGCATGCTCAGAAACCTGGTTTCAGATCTTCTTTTGAATGCAACCGTACTTCCTTTGGACTCGGAAACGAATACTTGGCAACAGTCTGCCGCCATTGGAGGAGCCCCCCAGCAGTGGAGCTGAGTCACCGAACCTTCGAACCATTGTTGTAGCCCTGATTCGAAGTGCATAGTTCAGTGTGCACACCACACCATGTCCATGATTCTGGGAAAAGTGCAATTCGTTGCTTTATATTATTCGGATTATTGAAGCTGCAATCTGCCGCTCCACAGGTCCACTGCAAACATGCACCAGTATGATCAAGAGTGTATAAGCTCCCTGAGCTTGGTATAGTGGAGATTGGATATAACGACACTCCTTCGGGAGAAAGCAAAATGTCGCTATATTCGATCTGTCACTAAACCGGATCTTCACATTTAGTATGCAATATGTATATCTAAAGTCATCCCGCAACGCTGCACTGCGGCTACAACGTGCAATGTAAAGCAGTGACCCGGAGGTCCGGGCACGTGGCACAGTCATTATACCATGTTCTAGACATGTCAGTCTGCCTGATACTAGAGGAAAGTCGTTATATCCGATGTATTTTCACTGTTTTTCAGGTCTTCGGGCACCAAAAAAAGTGTCAGTAAATTCGATCTGTCGTTATTTTCGAGGTCGTTATACCCGATCTATAATGTACAGAAAGGACTTGCTAAACGACTTGGGCAACAGAATTGTGTCGCTAAACTCGATTTGTCGTTATACCCAAGGTCGTTATATCCAATCTCCACTGTATGACCAAGAGAACGTACTGTACCAAGCAACCTTCTGAAGTAATCATGGTAATGTACTCTCGATGTGACCTGTGACATTATGCTACCTACTGTGCCTTGACGCAAATGGCAAGTTCCTTGCACTTTCCCGAACCCATTCATGTAGGTGAACTGGCACTCTAGTTTACGTACCCTAGCATGGCGCTATTGAATCTTGAAGTCTTGATATGATTTTAGTTAAACTTCAAGTCAAGGGTGAAAATCACTGACATGTGCACAAACCCAGTTCAGTTTCCGTGGGAAATGTTGAGCAGTAGCAGTGTAAAGATGGAAGGTCATGATGAAATGACAATGAGTTATTATTTTAAAAAAGCGTTCACGAAATACGCACATGTTGGTACTCTACAGCTAATACCATACGCATCATGTGAAGGATGTTGGCGAGTGAAAGAGCTGGCCCGCACCGGCACACCTCTCTGTCAAGTAGAGGCTTGCTCTGCTTTCTCGGGGTTATCGTCAGAAGAGGCTGCTGTTCCTTTGTCCCGTTCTTCTAACGTTCTCTTGCTGGCCACCAATGCATAGTTGATTGGCATAGAGTCGGATAGTGTCCAGCGCTGCGTGAGAGGGCTGAACGTCAAACCCTGGCAAAGTTCCACTCGCATCAAAGACCCAGATTCTGCAAGAAGCACGTCAGCACGCATATGCAAACGGTCGCACAGATATAACATTATGTTCAGACTGTGATTTGTTGCCGAAAGATATACAATCACAGAATCCCTGTCGACGCACAGCAAAGGGAGGCCTCGAAAGGACATGAAGGTGAATTCATTAATTCATGAACCATGTCCATAACGTATGCCCAGAAATGCATTCTTATGAGACCATATCGAAACAGACCTCGAATGAAATGGGAGATTAAAACAATAGGATTATATTTCTTTAAAAAAGAAAGAAAATAGTGTTTCTTGTATTAGGGCGCGTTTGGTTGGGGTTGCACTTGTTCTGGGTCGGCCAGAACATGATCTGCTTGCTCCGGCCTCGAGGCCGGAGCAGACCGAGCAGTTTCACTTTTTCACAGTGAAACCTGGCGGGAACATCGATTTTGGTCCGAAATGATCTCGTGCATACGCTTTTGGGTTGGACTCGTTGTACCGTACAAAGTGACCATAGTGACCCGTACACATTTTGAAGAATGCACAAGTTTGGCACACTTTTTCACAAAAATGTGCTCTGTTTCTGGAGTACCGTTTGGTTGGCATGAGGCTGCTCCACGTGCACCAGCTGTTCGATCTTGTTCTAGATCGTACCAACCAAACATGGCCTTAGTTTTAGATCTAATAATGTTTGTTTGTATTCTTTATTTAGAGTGGAAGTCCAAAACAGGCCCTAGCCTAATAACAATGGTCCCACTAGTGAGGGAATGCTGTATATCTGTGCATAAGGATCAGTGAGTGTAACAGCAACTATTAGGGAAAGAAAAAGAGAGAAGAAAAACAACTCAAAACAGTTCACTTTATGGTACCATAAATATCTTTCCTTTGTTGTCCAACTCTCAGTGTGATGAAGATTTCTGATGATTATCACATGAAAACGACGTTCAAATCATAAAATATTGTCCCATTGTTCCGTGGTACGAGTGTGCTCACTTTACTCTCATCGATATTAGGTTTCTTGTCTCCACGCCGACTTTTAAGTACTTCTTTTTCTTTTCTATAAATTTATCCTTGGCTCTCCATCCGAGTCCATTATACTTCGAAGTAGAAATACAAACATAAAAGCAGCACCAATCAATCCCAATCTACATACAACTTGACATCAATCATACCAAGCGGAGACTTCACTCAACACCACGGGCAAAACAAATTAGTTGAAATTACCTCTGCAGTTCATTAAAAGCACGCTCAAGTCGTCCGGAGATATGAACTTTTCCCACTCATGTGTTCCTGGTGGTGCATAGCCGAGTGACTCGGCAGCAACAATGCCAAGCGCATACGAGAGACACGTCTTGTTCAGAGTGGTGAAGACCACGGCACCACCATTCTGTCCAACACCGAATACAAGCAAAGAGCATTCCATGCCAGGATTTAACACAGGGAAAATATCGTTTCAATCCCACAAAGTCCAAACAAAACACACACCTGGACAAGGCGACAGCAGGTATTGACAAACGACCGCTGGTCTGACACATGCTCAATCACTTCTGACGCGACGACAATGTGAAACGACGATGACTCCGGTAGGTCCTCCGCAGCACCGCACTGGTACCGCAGTCTTCCCGAAAAAGACGAATCCATGGCCGCATGGTGTCGAGCAATGTCAATGCTACGCTGCGAGGCATCCAGTCCCAGAACAGATGCTCCAAGTCTGGCCATTGGCTGATAACACATAGAAAGAGGAGCACATACATGTTCTTCAGCATTCTGCGAGAGCTGTGGCAATACGCCCAGTGAGAAGGCAGATTTTGCCTGTCCGTATGGTGAAGTAAAATAAAGCTAAACAAACAAAAAAACATGTGCTGGTCAGTGCAACATGATAGAAACTGATATGCCTGAAAAGTATTCGACTTATCGTAGTAATAGACTATGTGCAGGTGCACCACACCGTTGAAACCTATAACATAAGATTCGAACAATAAACTATGACAGGAAGCTTTTACCTCACTTAGCAGACCTCCGCCACAACCTATATCTAAAATCTTCAGCCCTTCAAGGCTGGCTGCCGGTCGAGCAGTTGTGCTGTCCGTTGACTCTGCCGAAGACTGCTGTGAAGGAGTTTGAACAATGTGCCTCGCCGCCCGTTGTACCAACGGCACACGCAGCGCATTCAGACTGTGCAGAGGTGCAAATGCTCCACGAGGATCCCACCATTTCGAGGACAGAGAGGAGAATTTGGCCACCTCCTCATCATTAATACTAGACGTGGATCTGGAACGAGTCAATGGAAACAAAACAGATGAGAAGTGCACAAAATCACCGCAGTGCAAGGCAGAACATCCTAATAGAAAAGAAAGCGCAAACATGGTTTCCCCGCCATCGCTAGTTATAAAAGTACAAGATAGGGCATGAGGTACTGGTAGATACAAGTTTTACACCTTGTGTGTACAGTGCTTGGTCTGACAGTAGGTGTTGTATTGTATTGTCCCCTACATGTGGAACTACACGCCTGTTTATGTTTGTGTCAGTGATTAGTCCGCAGGCTGGATGTAGGTGTTATTCTACACAATGGAATTCTGTTGACATGACATGTTGTAATTGTGGATAGACAATGTATCACTCTGTATTCGCATCTGTCCAATGAGATTAAATTGAAGCCCCCCCCCCCCCATTCATTTTCCGATTTTCGGGTTTTTCATGCAATTCAACGAAAATGCAGTTGAAAGTCACTATCACTAGATGGTTCATAAAAACACATTTGTCTGGGCCATGGGGCGAAGTCAGGGATTCGCCCCATTTAGCATACTGTAGTTGACAAATTTTCGAACCATTCTAATTTCAGCCTTCCAGGGCTAAAACCCATCTTGGCCGCATTAAATTTTTGGCCTGTACTGCTGCTGCCTGCATACACTGTCACACTGAACCTTGCAGAACAAAATTTCGGCCGCAGCAAATTTTTTAGCCTAACATGACCAGGCCGAAAATAAATATGAGCCGGATATTTGTTGACTTACAGTAGCAGCAAGACAATATTGGAAAGTGAAAAAATGGGATACGGGGTAACTGTTTCCCATGCCCGCCCCCCCCCCCCCTACTATTTTGACCTGGCTAGAACCCTGTATTCCCAATCAAAATGGCGCATCTCCACCAAAATGAGAAGAGTGTGCCTTACAAGATAGGAATTTGTACAGAATGTTGCACTTGAAGCATTCTTTTATAGCACGGAAAGTAGAGAATATATGATCAATGAAGCGTTGCAGCTTCCTCGGACCAACACCGCTCGAATCAGTTCCAAGAAGACTACAAGTGGTGACATTTTGATTCTACAGTAGGCCGCGCTTCCTCTTTAAAGATCGTCATGTGAATCGGTGAGGAGTTCCGTGATAAGTTATGACACAAAACGAAAAGAAATTTCGCCGTGGACTCATTCTCTGGGAGTTGCACACTACGGTTTATGTACAAACATCATACATTATACTCATTTTCTCTGTGCTGCGCTGATGAGTCCACAAAGGACGAAACAGTTCTGTCCGCAGATTGAGTACATTATACTCTTGATATTTCTGTGCACTATACCCACGCCATACACTAATTCACTGAGGTACAGTAGAAGTTTTATCCTTTGATGATTTCCCTCAAATATCAGATCTATTTGAGTTTTATTCACTCCCTACATAATTTTATTATCATCAACCACCGGCTAGGAGAGATTTCAAAGATAGGTACTAGTATCCATTTAATACCCCTGGAGAATCCGTGAATATATAATACAGAGTGTGTGTGCATAATGGAATGCCCTTCAACTATGGTTGCAGTAAACTCACGAGCATTTCCTTGATTGGACTGAAATCATTCGCCGTACGAAGGTGAGGTGCCGGGCACTCTTTGAACAAGAGCAAGCCATATCCACTGAACACTCGCCCAATGACGCTTCTAAACCTGCTTCTATGATTGAACACCTTTTTGAACTCCTGCCGTCCTGGAGTCTTTGACTTCACCTTTTTTTGAAAATGATGACCCACAAGGGCCACATATATGCACAGTCCACACTTCGCTCTCTGGCGGCTTGTTTGCACAGGGAAACCCCCTACAAGCAAGCACGTCACAAAACGTTTCGTCACAAAACCTACAAAAATTGAAAAAATGCGAAGCTGATTGGTTTACGGTATTTTAATTTTTGCTTGAAAGATACAGCCACTGTCTTTACTACTTTTCATTCGGGCTGTTTAGCTACTTTCCTTCCAGCATTCTTCGAGAAACCTGTATGTGATATATTGTGAGCAAGGTCATACTGGAAAGCTGTCTATTGCATAATATTATTGAACAGAGTACAGCTCGCAATGTTCTCTTTGGTGTTTCCTTCCAACCATAATCCGAAGATTGACATTTTGTGGATTTGAACTTCATTGAGCAACTGCATCAGGATGTGGGGTCAGGGCTACTACCGAGGACGTTCACGGGATCAGCAAGGAAGAAGCAACAATGCGAATGAGTCAGAGCTGAACCAGGGAGCTCCACAGCCACGTGGCCCAGCCAGCCAACGAAGTGGTCCGGAGTGGAAAGGTGGAGTTTTACAATTATAGTCTGACTCCAATTGTCCTGGGTGTCTTGTCAATAACATGCTTTAACGTATTGGTGTTGTTCTTGTGAAAGGCACATAGTAAAGCCTTCTGTAAAGAACGATTGTGAAACTAAGGAGTAACTGGAAACTTGGTGACAAGTATTCTACCGTCATACTGTAAGACGTGTTATTATAACGAGTCGCAAATTTAACGATTGTCCAAAATTCAGAGGTTAACGAGGAGATATGTTAACGATCTTGCAGTATTTTGCCATATCCACACACAACATATATGAAGCAGTGCGGCCTCAACGAATCTTATTATAACGAAGAAATGTCATCCGTTAAAACGTTAGATTTGCTTCCTCGTTATATATATACATGTCTTACAGTATCCTTTCCTTACACAGGCCCCTCAATAGGCCTCTGCGGCCTTTGGACAATCCTTAAATATAAATCAATCAATATAGTCACTACTAAGTGCATGCATGGAAATTTGAGGTCAAACCGACGACTGGTGATACTTTATTAGCAGGCTGGCTAAAGGGTACCCCATTTTCGGCCAATGAGAGCGTTTTCGCTAGACACGCTCTGCTTCGCGCACTGATAGCCAGGTAACCAGGTAACCAGATCAATGTTTGATCCCAATCGAAAAAATCCTATTGCCCCCCCCCCCTCGCCGCGTTTTTTTTGCGCTTTTCAACTGGTTGAAGATTCCTTCTGAAAATGTCCAACCGCGGGATAACATGGATGACTAGGGCACACATTTACCCTCATTGGTGTATTCTCCTGCACCTATCCAGACCTACCGATGCATTCACTTTTCAATATTTTTCTAGGATTAAATGTTATATGCTTGCTGTGGCTCAATTCTAATGGATACTTTGCTGTGTCCAGGCACTTGGCAAATCTCCAGTAGAACAAGGTAGAGTGCATTTCAGTGTTATACGTGCGCTGTTACATGTGTAAAAAGGTCTGTGCTCTGCGCATTGAGGACTTTTACGGCAGTTTGCCAAGCCTTTCTTTGTACATGCGTGCCTACAAGTATCTGGTTGGCGGTGTGTCACCCAGCACAGCGAAAGCAGTGTAGTTACAGCTATGCAATTCATTGCCAAGACTGGCACATAACAGTAGGGAGGTTTCGCTCTACGTAATTGCGTATGAAAATCCGTATGTCGTACGCGCCGGGGAGCGAGGGCAACTTTCATACGTAAATCTCTGTACGGATTTCCGTAGGAAAGCTGTTTCCTTCGTTGGGTCCTCCGTAGGACTTTTTGAAATATTTTTCGCACCTTACGGATTTATCCATGGCAACGTTTAAGTCGCGGGAGAAAGCAAGGCACACCACGTGGAGAACAAAATGGAAAACGCGGTTTCGGTTCGTGTTGCATGCGGTGGACGCATGCAGCCAACGCGTGTCCGAAGCAGCAAGGCATCATGCTTAGCAGTCGTGGTGAAATTATGTAGAGCGGAAACTCGACAGCGCTGATTTTTACATATGAAAATTACGTGCAGTTCCTACGTTATTTTCATACGTGATTACGTAGAGCGAAACCTCCCCAGTGTCTGCACCTACCCAGGCTTCAGCTCGTGGACATGCAGCAAACACATGAAACAGAGAAGAACATTTTGAAAATGTACAACACCGTGCACCCGGTTTCAAGGTGACGATGTGAAACATCTAAGGCTTTAATCCTACCAATGTGATAAGTGGCTGTAGTTCATTCACGGCTCGTGTTTTCAGGATCAGCTACATGTACATGGCACCCTTCCGAATGGAGATGATGCTCCCGTTTCGGGGAACATGGCTAGTCCACTAAGTTAACTACACTTCACTGGCCGCTGCTGCACTCCATGTGTCTTGTCACCGAATCTGCTCGCTGCGTTGCCCCAGTCAGTGCCATGTGTACAGAATTGATTCTTTGAGCCTCGTTGTAACTGGCACAGCAAACGCAACACTGCTGAATGCGGCATGGCGCCAGCCAAAAGGAGCTAGATGTACGCCTATCGCTTTTGGGCCTGGAGTCTGGAAGCCGCTTTTTAATTTGTTTAGATTGTTGCCGTGAGCTGGCCATCATGTAAGTATGACATTCTGTTTGCAATGCCCTGTGATTGTACACTAAGTTGCTAACATAACACAGCAGGATGTAGGGGGTAGTGGGCAATGGTTTTCTGTGCATGTGGCCGGTACTACTAAGTATTTGTTATGCTAGTTGTACAACTAGCATATTGCTGTCTATCCCAGGTTCCATGTACTGTATAACATGTAATTTTAGGTGCAGTAAAATTTCGGTACCGAGGACCTGCCAGGTTTCAGGTGTAATGTAGAATTAGGTGACCAGCGTTTCCTGCACCTACAGGGCACTCTCCAGTGCCATTTAGGTGTAATTTAAATTTTGGTGCCTGGTTTCTTTGCCGAAATCACCGAAATTTAAGTTACACCGAAAATAACGTGTTATACAGCACCTGCTCTTATTTATAGACACAACTTTAAATTTGTGGTGGCATTCAGACTTGAGTGTGAACTGTCTCTTATTTTACCAGGTTTGCTATTGTGATGTCCAGATCACATCTTTTCAAAATCGACCTCGTTTCTGTCATGCAATGGTGTGCATGTGGAGCACTGTGTTGAATGTTTGTGTGCCTTCTCTGTTTGCAGAGGACGAACAGAGCTGGCTCCGTCAACAGCAGCAGCAGCAGCAGGCAAGGGTTTCTGATCAACACTCCGCACACCGTTATCCCCAGCAAACCGAGCAGTATGCTCATGACCCTGGCTATAAGCGAGCAGCTGCACCTCCGGCGAGCAAGTCTGATGCAATCTCAGCGCCCCGTGCTCGGCAACAGCCACCTGGGCATACACCACGAGCAGTGCGTTCCACACCCTTAGAAGCTGGCCAGCATGAGTCCGTGCAGTATGCTCCTCGTTCTCCGCAAGTTGCTTACTCTGGTGAAGGGCCCCAGTCCGGCTCTCATCACCGGCAGCCTGCTTCACCAAGCAATGCGAGACAAGATTCATCACACGAGACAAACCCAGCGCAGGAGCACCCAAGACCAAACAGAACTCTCCTTAGCGCTACATCTATCCCGAAGCGAACACTTCTGACTGAACCGCGTAGCTCGGCTCCTGCTGGTCGTGGCGCTCCTCGGGAATCTCAGAAGCAAGCAAGTCAGCCTGACCGTTCTTCCGGGCCAGTTCGTGATCTCTCGTCCAATGCCCAGCCGAGGCGTACTGATGTTCCGCCTAGGAATCAGGCTGCTCAATGGCAAGACTATGCAGATGCACCTCACCAGTCACAGCGATCGGCCTCAGGCCCTGCGCTTGATGATAGAAGTAGAAGCAGGCCATCATCCGGCACGCACCAATCCTCTGTGCAGCTCCATGGAGTTGGTGGGGAACCGGGATGGAACTCTGCTGATGTCAAGACTGACAGACAAACTGACACTAGCCATCAGCAACAACAGCTGCTGCAAGCTGTTCCACAACAGCAACCAAAGCCACATCCAGGACGCGAGCATCACCAGCAGAGAGATGAACCACAGCATCGTCCACAACAACAAAGACATCACCAAGGTCGGTTGAATCAAGACGAGCAGCATCCACATTGGCAGCAGCAGCGTCAACAGACCCAGCCTTCAGATTCTGATAGGCACGTGCCTGCACAAGGAAGAAGTACCGATTATAATGGTAGACATCAGCAACAACAGCAGCCCAAAGCTGTTTCACAACAGGCCGTAGTACCTCCAACCCAGCAGCCGCAAAAACAACAGCCAAAACCGCATCTTGGGCGTGAGCATCACCAGCAGAGAGACGAACCACAGCATCGTCTACAACAACAGAGCCATCACCAAGATCGGTTGAATCAAGACGAGCAGCATCCACATTGGCAGCAGCAGCGTCAACAGACCCAGCTTTCAGATTCTGATAAGCACGTGCCTTCGCCAAGAAAAAGTACCGACTATGATGGTAGACATCAGCAACAACAGCAGCCCAAAGCTGTTTCACAACAGGCCGTAGTACCTTCGACCCATCAACCGCAAAAACAACAGCCAAAACCGCATCTTGGGCGTGAGCATCACCAGCAGAGAGACGAACCACAGCATCGTCCACAACAACAGAGCCATCACCAAGATCGGTTGAATCAAGACGAGCAGCATCCACATTGGCAGCAGCAGCAGCAGCGTCAACAGACCCAGCCTTCAGATTCTGATAAGCACCTGCCTGCACCAAGAAGAAGTACCGACTATGATAGTCACTCACGCAGCTATGCCAGAAGTGATGAGCCTGGGCAATCGGGACACTCGTACTCCAGACAGGAGCAGCAACAGCAGCTTCGTACATATCCTGAGAGCACGCACACATCTGGCGAAGCACATGCTGCACAAGGCGAGTCTGACCACCATGCGTATGACAGGTTGAAGGGGCGATCAGCAGTACCACCAGCGGTAACAGCACAGCATAGCCAGCATCCATCTGAGCGCGCACATCCACCAGACCTTCCAAGTAGGACTGCCCAAGACAATGTTGCTTCGACTGGCAGTGATGGTATTGCGTGGCGCAGGGGAGACACTGGTAGCAAGGAGAGTGCTACTTCAACTGGCAATGATGGTATTGCGTGGCGCAGGGGAGACACTGGTAGCAAGGAGAGTGCTGCTTCAACTGGCAGTGATGATATTGCATGGTCACTTGCTAGACCTATTCGCGACGGCGCTGGGGATAATTGGCAAGCGAAAGGGCAAGTTGATGAACGTAGTGATGTTGCTGCTGCTCCCGAGACCTGGCAACGCAATCACAACTCTGTTCAACAATACTCGTCAGAATCGGACAGGAAGTCTGCTTTCAGAAGCCGCCCTGTGGAAGATGATTTGCCTCGGGCAGTCAGTTACCGACATGACTCCCACAAGCGTGACGTATCTGCACAATCTTCCTTTCCAGCTGATAATCGCCACTACAAGCATGGGCCAGTTGATCGTCACCAAGCGTACAATGAACCAGCTGCTGGTGGCAAAAGTCATCCTGTGCCCACGGAGGATCTGAATCGTGCGGAACAACCAGCGGGGTCGGTGAGTCGTGTAGGGTATGCTTCACAATCTGTGGACACTGCTCGGGTGCATTCACAAATTTCTCCAGGTGATGAGCGGAGAAGCAGGACTGGTCCTCGTGTACCAGAATCTGAGCAAGAGCAAACGCATCACATCCCTGGGTATAGATCTCCTACAGACGACAGGTACTCAGGAGCTGACCCACACACTGCTGATAGTGTGACTTTCAGAAGCCGCCCTGTGCAAGATGATTTGCCTCAGGCAGTCAGTTACCGACATGACTCTCACGAGCGTGACGTATCTGCACAATCTTCCTTTCCTGCTGATGATCGCCACTACAAGCATGTGCCAGTTGATCGTCACCAAGCGTACAATGAACCAGCTGCTGGTGGCAAAAGTCATCCTGTGTCCAAGGAGGATCTGAATCGTGCGGAACAACCAGCGGGGTCGGTGAGTCGTGTAAGGTATGCTTCTGAATCTGTTGACACTGCTCGGGTGCATTCACAAATTTCTCCAGGTGATGAGCGGAGAAGCAGGACTGGTCCTCGTGTACCAGAATCTGAGCAAGAGCAAACGCATCACATCCCTGGTTATCGATCTCCTACAGACGACAGGTACTCAGGAGCTGACCCACTCACTGCTGATAGCCTGCCTGATGTGCGCTTTGCAGAGGATATGTATGAACAGTCCTTGAGCCAGGCATCGGCAGATCGAGAAAGTGTGGCACAGTCACACAGCCATGAGCACCTGCCTACGCGCACCCAATCTGCTGCAGTGCACAGTACAGTAGACAGACCTGAACGCACTGTGGCTAGCTTACCGGAGGCTGAACTCAAAGTTCTGACTCGCAAGACTTTTGACTATGGTCACTCGGTCCCGGTTGCAGGTGCAAAGGCACCTGCGGATCAACAACCGTCGGACCCTGCTCCTCCCAAAGTGAATGATTCATTTTTTGACCTGGGTGGGGAAAGCAAATCACGGTCTGTTGATACTGGTGATCGTAGACAGAACATGGAGCGAGTTTCTGGATACACGGAGCAAGACGGCACGTCTCATGATGTGGACTCTTTGTTTGACCGAGAGAGACGACCGCCAGTGTCTAGTAGGCAACGTGTTGTTCCTAGCCATACTGCTGAGTTGGGTTCTGCGGACGGTGCTGGCCGTCTGGCCATGCTCGGTCGCCAGTGGCCGTTAAAGACCACTACTGCAACACTACGTCCTAAGCAACGGGAAGTTACCCCGGAGCGTGACTGGGGAAGACGCCTGTCTCCGGAAGACGACAGGAGTTATGGGCCACCGGCGGTGCCAGATGCTGCATATTCCCGTGACCGCTACGATTCCCGTGTTTTGGGCAGGTCACCTGAGGATCGTCTGCCTGGCAGACATGAGGCTGAGTTTGAAGATGAGGACCTTCTCGGAGAGCCACTCAATGAGGATTATGATGGAAGACCATACTCGCCCCCAGATGAGAGCGGTGGTCGAGCATGGACTGCATCTAGTGAAGCTCGTCATGCATCGTCACCTGATCAGAAACATTGGCAACAGCCAAAGCAGCAACGTGATACATGGGAGGGCTTTGGTTTTGGTGACAGTAGCAAGTCAGCTGAAGCCAGTGAAGACGCTGCCATGATGCAGATAGCCAAGGCCTTGTTCCCAGATGCTGCTGAAGCACTGGCTAAGGTTGGCATGGAGAGCAAGCTGACGGATCTGATTGTCAGTGCAGGTATGTTATGTTGATGTGCGTGCGTGCGCGCGTGTGTGTGTGTGTGTGAGTTTGCAGATGTGTGTGTCTACATGTGGACATGTGTGTGCCTGTGCCTGTTTCAGGCATGTTACGCTACCCTCACATGTGTGTGTGTGTGTGTGTGTGTGTGTGTGTGTGTGTGTGTTCTTGTTTTGCTATGCATGTGTCTTTGTGTGCGATTATTGCCTGTGCGTGTTGAACTCAACCTGCTGCAGAGAAAATGCTTGGTTTTCCAGCTTTTCCTTTTCCTGTATAGCCTCGTCTTGGGCTCAGTGAATATTTGTACTGTTACGACATTGCTTCAAGTGTGCCAGTTGACAGTGCAATGCAAAATTTCAACTAAACAGACCACTAGTATCTTGATTGTGAAAAAGGTTCGGTGTTCAGCATGTATTTCATCCTGATCCACTTTGCTATTCTTCTTTCACTCTCTTCAGCTGCTGCCAATACTAGCACTACTGCAAAGGACAAGCCAAACCTTCCCCCGTGGCTTCGCGAGCAGCTCGGCACCATGATGGCCAATAAACAAAAGCGAGATGAAGACGCTTCGAAGACTGCCGCCAAGGGCGGAAAGTCCGCAAGGCAGGCTGGAAGTGATACGGACTACTCTGACTCGGAGGATGAAGAGCGGGGTGCAGAGTCTGACACCAGTGCAGCGGAAGTTCTTTCATCGGAAGAAGAGGTAGGCTAAGTGCTGTGCATACAGGCGACTATACGCACTGTATAATATTACAGTGACAAGTTTTTTTCTTCAAACAGTGCGAGTATGATATACGCACTAGTTGTGTCTGCATGCATTCCATTCCTTGCAGTACTCTAGCAGTTGTCTGGTATCATAAAGTTATGTGAATGTGCTGCAGTTACATTCTGCTGGCAATGCCCATCTCACTCTTTGGTCTTTGTTTTGCTGCTGATTTCCTTCTGAACAGAGTCCGCGTAGAGCGAAGAAGAAGCCTCGTAGTAAGAAGAAGAAATCATCTAAAGTGAAGAAGGCTCCTACTCAAGAGTCTTTGGTACGGCACGCCGTTTGCTGCTTTGTTTAGGTGCCACATTGCATCTGCTCAGGTGCCTGTGTGTTTTTCCACCACTGTTGCTGCTGCTACTGCTGTTCCTGCTGCTGCTGCTGCTGTTCCTCCTGCTGCTGTTGCTGCTGCTGCTGTTCCTCCTGCTGCTGATGCTGTTGCTGCTGCTGCTGCTGCTGCTGCCACTGTTGTTACTGCTGCCTTTGGTTTTGGTCTTGTTCTTCAGGTTTGTGGCTCATGACAAAGAGGACAGATGGTAGTTGTGCTTCACATGCTGTCCATTGTTTCTTCTGAATGAGCCAAGCTTGTTCTTAGGAGTACCTATGTATTGCGTTAGTACTGCTCTTCACCAGGTGGCCCGGCAGCCTTGGCGCGAATTTACGGACGATCAAGGGTCAGAGAAGCTGAAGGCCATGAGTAGTGCATGTGCACTATGTGCTGATGTGCTACTTAGTGTGGCGTGCTCTGTTTCTTGTGCACCTCCATAGTGCATAGTGCCTAGCCTGTTTCCTTCAAAACTCTGGATTGGCGGAGTGGGTCAACCTTCCAGAAGAATATCGTGTCTGCGATGGAATTGAAACGTGCCCGATCACACGATGGCGATCTGCAGTGTAAATCAGCGATTGGTGGACTTCCTTGCTTCGTTTTGCTAGCAGACTGAAGGCTGATTTTCAACCGTAATGTTTTCAGTGCCTGCGCTCTCCTTGACGGGCTGTGTGTCTCAAGGATGCATTGCCATGGTGTATTGTGATGAGATCATAGTTTAGCCCGTCCAGGAGCTGGTGCTAGAAATCGTGCTAAAGTTTCTATTGCGTTCCTCGTGTAGTTTGGTGACTCCTGCACTGCTGCGAAATAAGGAGTGTAAGTTGTGATACATAGCCAACTCTGGGAACTGCTGGTACGTTTTGATCTAGTCGCTACACTCATCAGCTTGCTATGCAGCAACAATCTATTACCCGTGCTCACTCGTAGCCACAGGTACTCGAGCATGGCATATCATAGCTTTGTGCTTGACAAGTGCTTGCTTTTGGTGTTGACTTGATATCTCTCACGCCATCTGTCTAACCATATTCATCGCGCTACGTTTGTGAAATGCGATCAGCTTCAGCAGTGGAATCTGACAGCCGGTTTTCTTTTTCTCACCTCGCCACCTGGTTAGCGACATGGTACCACTTGTGTGATTTTTGTGTCCTTCTCAAGAACATGATATTAGACTACTGTCCGTAGGCTGTGCCATTCTCTTTTTTGGCTGGAGTTGTGGTACCAGGGTGCAGTGCTGTACGCAGGCCGGTTTAGACTTGAGGTGTGCGACTACTTTCTGTGTGCATTCCTGTCTTGAAGAGAGCGCTCTTATGGTGTACACTGTGCAGTGCCTGGTTTGTCTTCCGAAATATGCTTGTACGAGTCGACTGGTGCAGCTATCTCTTGGATTGTTTTGAGTCCTGAAAATGGCTGGAAGACTCTTTCTCTTCTTGCCTTCATCGACTGAATATAAAGAAGCCATTCGCATTGAATAGCCAGGGACATGTCAGCTACGTGCACAACAAAAAATGCCCTGTGATTCGAGTGTGAATCAGCCTGTGTCAGCATGTCAGTTACCCAACTCGTGGAAGGTCTGTGAACTCGGTGGATTGAACTTCTTTTCGCTCCCGGCGTCCTGTATGGTAGTGCTGAATGCAAATGTCACATGCGTGCACATCGGGCGAAATGGCAGGAACTGTGCACTTAGTACAAGTCATGTACTTGTTACGTGCCATGTAGCTCTGCATGTGTGGCTGTGTTTCTTGTGTTTCAGTTTGACCAGGTGCGGCGCATGATGACAAGTGTTTTGTTAGATGCTACCGAGCATGACATTGAGAAAGTGGCGCGGGATGCTATGGAAGAGTATCGTCTTCCCAAACGTAAGTCGTCTCTCATCACACTACCTCATGTTGACAGCCGTACGTGATGTATTGATGGCATACCGTATTTCCGCAAATAAAAGGCCGTCCTCGTATACAACGCCTTCCTCGTATACAAGGCCGGGGCAGGGGGCGATTGAAAAAATAAAAGACCGTCTCCGATTAGAAGACCGGGCCTACTAAATGAGTCTTTGTTCTTGTGTTAAAAATAGAAGACCGTGCTCAAACTGTGGGAAAAATAGAAGACCGTGCTCAAACTGTGTAGAAGAAAATGGAAGAACGGAGGTAACACTGTGTGGCGAGAAATAGAAGACCGGGCCGGGGTCAAACTGGGTTGAAAGAATAAAAGACCGTCCTCGAATACAAGACCGTCCTCGATTATAAGGCCGGGTTAGGACGAGGTTGAAAAAATAGTAGACCGGCCTACTATTTGTGGAAATACGGTAGTTCATCCACTGCTTTCTAAGTTTCTAGACTTGTCTGAACTCGAAGGGAAATGTACGGTCACTGTAAGAGGTGCTGTTTGTTTCTGTTTTTTTTTTTTTTCTCTTCTTGACTTTGGCATACGTGCGTGAATGTGTAGTCAGCCTACATGTGCTTTCCCTGGCTTGATACTTCTGTTGATGAGCTGCGAGTGTGGATATGCCCGCATGAGAGAAATTAATTTACAAAGACCAACAGGTAGACATACTAGTAGTACATGTGCCGTTTTTATATGTGTGCGGAACTGCAACCTCTGCAAATGAAATGGGTAAGACTTCATCTCTGGGTAAGGAAAGTGCAGCGCCCTATGCTTTCTTGCATTGTCATAATATGCCTTGGCGGATTGTGTGTGTTTCTGTTCTTCTGTGCAGGTCCACTGCTCATTGGCTATGATGAGTCTATCAGCTGCAGTGAGGATGAGAGGGAGGACTTCGATTTACAAGCTGGACCTGACACAACAGCAGCAGCAGCCGGTGGACCACCTGCCCGCTCATCTCGGTGGGATGCCCCTATGCCGAAGAAGTCGGCAAAGCAGAAGCGCGCCGCAAAGCGCTCCTTTTCACGAAGCCGCTCTCGTTCTCCCAGTCCAGAACGGAAGCGCTCACGGCGGCGTTCTTATTCACGATCCTTGTCTCCTAAGCGTTCTCCTAGCCCACGGCGACGTCACCGATCTCGATCTCGCCCACCACCTAGAAGAAGACGGTCGCGGTCTCCGTCTTATAGTACTCGATCTTGGAGTAGGAGTAGGAGCAGGAGCCCACCACCAACCCACAGGAGCCCATCACCAACCCACAGGAGCCCATCACCAACCCACAGGTTGGTAGCATGGTGTATTGCCAGTGACTGGAAATATCTGCTTGTCTCTTTCCTTCACACATAGCACTCTGTGTTCGTACTTTCGCGAGCTATGTGTGTGCGTGTGTGTGCGTGTAATGTGCGCAGCTCTCAGTGTGCACATGCATGCTTTGGGTTCCTAAGGTTTCTGACTGCTTGCTATGTAGGTTTGTACATTTTTGTTGCTGTGATGTCATCACGTACCTCACAGTTCGTGTTTCCCTTTTTGGAACTGTATCAAGGGACAATGGCTTCTTTTAGTTGTTACTGAAGTTCACAGCTCTCTCCCCTGCTTTTCAAAATACACGTACTACACGGCAGGCTCAAGATGCTGTTGCATGCTTCTCATTCATTCCATGTGATTTGTCTTTGCTGTCCATCATATTTCTTCGTGTACACTGATGTTCAGCCAAGGTGTGTGTGTGTGTGTGTGTGTGTGTGTGTGTGTGTGTGTGTGTGTGTGTGTGTGTGCGTGCGTGCATGCGTGTGTATGCGCGCGCGCGTGTGTGCGTGTGTGCGTGTGTGTATGTGTGTGTGTGTGTGTTCTGCAGACGTTCCCGTGCACCTCCTCCACGGCAGCGTGCACCTCCACAGCAACGGCGTCATCATCAGCCTGTTGAGTACTACAAGACTAGTGGCTACGACTGGGCTAAACTTGTACGGGGCCGCAATCGCTTCTAACGGTAAGCCTGACCAAATGCAACATGCAACTGCTGCAAAGCTTGCTTGCTTGCACACTTTGTTTGCAGGTGTTTCCGTGCTTCTAAATATCACCAATCTGATTCCCTGTCTTCTGGTGTGTGCGTGTGTGTGTGTGTGTGTGTGTGTGTGTGTGTGTGTGTGTGTGTGTGTGTGTGTGTGTGTGGCGTGTGTGGCGTGTGTTTGCGTCCACATGTCTTGTGTGCTTGTGTGTTTGTGTGTGTGTGTGTGTGTGTGTGTGTGTGTGCACATTGACTTGTTTGTGTTTGTGCTTCTAGATTTGTTTCTGAATCGAGCGCTGCCGTTCCATATCTATTCATTCTTCCTCGGCTTCCATACTTTATTACGATTTCCTACTTGCTTGGGAAGTCGCAACACTCCTTTGTGTAGCTACTGGCACTGCCGCGCAATTTGACTTATTTTCACTCTAATCTGATGGAGTCCCAACCACATGTGCATGGTATATGTTTTAATATACCTTTAAAAAGTGCTATTCGTTTTTTTGCACTTTCTGATAGCCCTGTGTTCTGTACTTTATTTGTTTTACCTTGTGCTGATAGGCTGTTTGATAGTAATGTCTGGCATCTACACACAGACATTGTAATGCCTTTTTAAATTAAGGATATTTAGTGCAATTATGGATATTTAGTGCACAGCTGATCTCTGTTTGTGGGATGACCCCAACTACATGTCATCCCAGTGTCCCTGGATTAGAGCCCTCAATTATTGTGTCCTTTCAAAACATCTGAACCCCGTATCTACAACTCTGGCCCTCTCTTCCTCCTCTGTTTCTGCACACCTTAGACACGTCATCTACTGGCGTTTGCTTGGCCACGGCACCTATTCACATGCATCGTTGAAATATTTCCCTCTCCATTCCATGCGTCTATCCTGAAATGCAGGATTATCATGGCGTTGCGTAAGCGAAACCAACACAACGCGAGTTCTTTCGTCATGAAAATGGTCCAATTTTTAAGAGAAGTGAGTGAACAGCCATTGGTCTACCACGTGTTGTCGGTCATTGGCGAAACCTAAACGATGGCTTCTTTTGTTGTGACATAAGCGTCTGAGTGTTATCTTTGTGTTCAGCTTTTTTCATCACTACTTCAGTGCGGAAAACTGCCGGGACAGTGATGCTGGGGGTTTTGCTTCTGCAGCCGTCTTCAGATTATACTAGTTCCGGCGACATCGTCCTGTCTCTTGATCACTTCTGGTCAAAGCTTTTTTTTCATTTTTTTCTCACAGTGAACCTGTTGCAGTTTAAAACGTTTGCCTACTTCACAGAGCAGTGAACAAGCAAGCCTTGTGCAGTTATTCGTTATTGCATGAAGAAGGTAAGTATGGTAGAGCAATGCTGCTTGAATCCTGATGTTCTCAGCAAGTTGGAGTCGCTTACTGTAAATCAACAACTAAATGAAGTTTCAGTCAGAATTCCTTTTCGAAGCCATGTCACGGGGCAGGAATAGTTTGAATCCCAAGTAATACTGAACCCTAAAGTTACATGTACCGTACTACCGGTATAGCACAAGGTGTTGATCTGATTTTCTGACTTTTTGGTACACGTGACCATAATTATCTAGAAAAAAATGATACTTGTGGACGACCCCCAACAACCCACCTTTTGTTCCAAACTGCGGAAGAGCTTCAGCCAAAGATCATGTAAGCACAGCCTCAATGCTCATGAATGAATTTTTTGACAGCCTCAATGCTCATGAATGAACTTTTTGACAGCCTCAATGCTCATGAATGAACTTTTTGACGAGGCCGAGGGGCATTTCAATGCTGGCAGTCGCATAGATTATGATACATGCAACAAATTACCCTTGTCACCTCTCCACTCCAGTCTATGCATCCCCCGTACATAATTGAAAATCACGGCCTCCGCCGCTCCGGGTCATAAAAAAAGTTTAATAGACTTAATAATCAAAAATGATCAAGGTGATACTGGCAGAAACTGTTAAATTTCTAGCAAGCTAAAGAGAAAGGAACTGCATGGACTTGGGAGCATCATGGGATTTTGCTCAAGAACCATGTGGACATTGGAAGAGGGCAAAAAAAAGCACAGTAACACGAAAATCCTCAATGCGCGCCTACGGACAGCTTGATGCGCCTACGGACAGCTCGATGCGCCTACAAACCAGCAAAAAGCCACTGGAGCAGCGGAGCCAGGAGTCCTAAATCACTGTGCACACTTGCATGCCAGCATGCAAGTGTATGCAAACAAGGATGACCATGCATCCTCAAAGAAATTGGAGAGAGTATGTACAAGAACAATGATAAGAAAATAAATATGGCACGCGCAACAGTGAGCTTGCTACAAATTGGAAATTGAGACTGGATATGAGCACAAAGGAGAATCAGTGGCCATTTTTGAATGTGAAATTTTCCGGACGGATGCATTCTCAATTGGAGAAGCCATGCGCTCAAGGACAAACCACACCTAGACACCAAGTCGCTGCTCTGTGCCTGCGTACACATGGAGTAAGTGCAGCAGCTGGCCGTATTTGACATTGCGATGAGACGGAAGAGTTCTGCCATGCACGGAGAGAACACCACAAAGATATCATGTTCGGAACACCCTACAGAGTGATGTTACTCGCATGTACATATGGCTGTAAAGTAAAATTCCTTCAATACACTATAAAAGCGAAGGTAACGATGTGAGCATAACCCAGGACCAAATCACCAAGGCTGATTACTGTGCTCAAAACTCCTGTGCTAATCCAAACGCCATCCTTGGGTTTTCATGGTTCACAATGAGTATGCACTGTCTTGCTCCGCGCATCTGCTACTCGTCACCATTGTAGTATAGGAAGGAGAAGTATGTGTACTGGTCATGCTCAATGAAATCCAAACTCGTGAATAAAGTTTGTGCCCTGTATTAAATACACCATTCTCTGCAGAGCCCAGTGATTGCGGGCCGGGAACTGCACAGCGACTGGAGCTGTGTTGAGTCGCATGATTGCATTTTCATTCAACAGTAGAGAAAGAATGTTGAAGCTCCATTGTAGCCTCGTCACACTTCAGTAGGTACAAAGAGATTCACCGCACTCTTCTTTAATTACTAGTATTAGGCGAGAGATGTTCTTATATCCTCTCCGAATTTTACGAGGCTCTCTAAAGCTCTCCAAACTTCAGAGGTGGTTGAAACTAGGAGATTCCCGCAGTTTGGGATCATCGCATGCGAACTAGGCTAAAAGCCACGTGTTGATCATGAGTGTACGCATTTCTCTTTTCGCATACGCACAGTTCATACTACATTCATGGCAATCAAGATCGCGCGCTTCATATTGCTTGACATATGAAAAATATCTCCGAATTCTTCGAGACCCGTTCTTAGATTACTGTAAATCATATTATTTTAACGACCCGCAAAGTTAACGATTTTCTGATTTTCGAAGGTTAACGGTTTGAAAAGTTAACGATTTTCTCAGACAGATGCAATAATACTAGGAATGCTCGACAAGAACATTCATTGTTGTCCATCACAGTATACCTCGATGTCAGGAGAATAAAGAAAATGAAATTTATCCAGCGTAAGAGCGTAAAAAATTCAAATTTGTTGATCTCCTGCCGCTTCGTCAAAATTCATCTGAGAGACTTCGGAGTTGTTCGAGCCGACTGCTGAGCGTCTCTGCTATCATCTAGATCTTTCGATTGTTGAATTCCGTTGAGAATTGACCGGGTTACGATCCGTTGAACACGCGCTGCATGCCATAATGTGAAATGATCGATTTCAATCGTGCGAGACCCAAATCATACGACTTTTGCTAACAAATTTTAAAATAACGACAACTCTTTGCTCGTTAACTCGTTAGATTTACTTGTTCGTTACATACCGTATATTCTCTATTATAAGCGCCGTGCTTATATTTTTTCAACACCCCTCTACCCCGTGCTTATATTGGAGACCGCGCTTATATTGGAGACCGTGCTTATATTTTTCAACCAATGCATTCATACAGAGCGAGAAGAAATACATGCTAGATATCATGCATGCAGCATTGATTTCCACCAAGACCGTGCTAGTAATAGAGACCGTGCTTATAATGTTTCGAAAGGTGCTCACAGTGTGCTAGTATTAGAGACTGTGCTAGTAATGGAGACCTGTGCTTAAATAGAGAATATACGGTATTCATGATTTACAGTATACCAGTTTCTTCGACTTCTGTTATCTTCTTCTCCAAGAAGCTAGAGAATATAAGAACGCACCCTAAAATTGAGATTCCCGGGCAGGACCCATGTGAAATTGGGTGTGGACGGCGAATTATTTTTTTCATATTTTTTCCAATGTATGTATGTATGCATGCCATGCTGAACTTTTTTTTACAGTATTTTCCAATTTTATTAACTTTTTTTAAATACAGAAAACAGGTACTGTACGCGTTTTTCTCTCCTTTTTTCTGTATTTCGGCCAACAATGGCCCTGATCTGTATATCAGGGAGTCGTACAGTACTGTGCATGTATATGAACTGCACTGTTAAAAAAAATTGGCTTTGGGCCTTTGGCTCGATTTTGGTGTAAAGCGGGATTCACAGAAGTTTTTTTGCGATGCGACACGCGATGCGACGCGATCTGCGATGGATGCGTGCGATGCGAACTCGCGAAATACCATTCACAGAAGAAGTCAGCGATGCGACAAAGTTTTGCTGATTTGGGTACGTCACCATGATATTCGCGCGGTTTGACACAACTTGTAAAAATTTATAGGCAACTCTTGCACCTTTGTACAACTTTGCTGTAGAAAAGGTCAAAATCGTACACCAAATCGCTTGTCGCATCGCATCGCAAAAGTTGAGCCAAGCTCAACTTCTGCGATGGCCTGCGATGGCCCAGTTGCGGCAGTTGCGTGGGGTGCGACATGGCTGCGATTTGGGGTTTTCCCGGTTTCGCGTCTGTCGCATCGCGTGTCGCATCGCAAAAAAGCTTCTGTGAATCCCGCTTAAGAGGGCCCGGGAATTCAGAATCTCTATTTTTTTGGTCTCGCCTTAGGGGTCGTCCACAAATATCGATATTTTTTTAGAGAAGATAATTATACCAAATATCGTCTTGAAAAAATATCGATATTTACGGATGACCCCTTAGAAGTAAACATATTTCATCCAAATTTCACCATGAGGGCATCATCAGAGAGCATAGTATTTATATAGTTGCCAGGGAAAGATGACTGAGAACCGACACCACGACATGACTACATAACCCTGTGCGCATGGCACTGTATGCCCATGGGTTCATCTAACGTTACATGTACATGCCATGTAATTCACATGTACCTCAAGTAGGCTTACACTATTACTATTAGTATATCAAAAGGTTTGCAAATTCTTCAGCTTGAACAGTGTGATTTTGTAAGAATATATGAACAAGCAATGGCCAAGATACTCAAGTCTCATAAGTCATAACTAGGATATTCGTATCAGTTGATACATGCTTGTTTGGGGCCTAGCTGGATCTCGGATAGCTCTGGCAGGAACTTGCGCTGAAACAAGGAAATACTGTAAGTCTTACAAATTTTCGGTGCGTTTCAACTTCAGCCTCGCAGGGCAAAACACATTTCGGGCGCATTAAATTTTCAGCCTGCACAGTGTATTGCTGCTGCCTGTATACACTGTCACCCTGAACTCTGCAAAACAAAACTTCGGCCGCAACAAATTTTAGGCGCAAAATAGCCAAGATAAATATGCGCCGAATACCGTATTAATTTTGTTGACTTACAGTACTAGTATTGCTACCAGGGAGTAGTAAAATACTGATATTTTACTACTCCCTGGTTACTACACAAGAATCCATGCTGCTGTGCGTGCAAACATGGGCTGACCCAATTTGTGTATGCATTACAAACACCGTGTACGTGTACAAGTAGAACAATCACTTCGAACAAAAAATACTAGAAATAGATCCCGATCACATAACACTGTCCGTTTCTGTGCATAACATCAAGAGTAGATAAACAAGAGTGTGCAACTCGCGGATGGGTTGGCCCACGGCGGAATTTTTTGTTGACGTAATCTTTTCGACGACGCACGCGCTGCGAGCCTTTTGGAGAGGTTTCCCTCGTGCACTAGCGGGGCTTTACACTACAAGGTCGGTGCCCAGCACGTGCTCTCACACTGCTCTGCGGCAAAGTCCGCGTTTCCCTGAAAAAAGGTGACGTCAACAAAAAATTCCGCCGTGGGCGGGGGTATCTGCAGATTGTGCAGAAGAGATCCGGAGTTGCACACTCTTGTTTATCTACTCTTGATAACATGTACGCAGCTTTGAATTCGTGCAGTGCATATGAAACTAGGGTTTGTTACAGTTGGCATTAGAATAAAAATAATAACCCCCCTCCCCCACACACACATGCCACTGACTTACAAGATTTCTGTCAACCGAATTTGCCATGGCAGGAAGCCGAAGAGACTATGTGTTGGACCACAGGACACAAGCAAATTTGGATCAGGTACATCTACTCCACCTGTTGTCCAGTCAACACATGATCACAGACATAGCAGAGTACCACAGAAGGAATCAGACAACTGGAATAGCTTGCTTGAGTTACGGAGAGAGAGCGAGAGACACATGAAGACACAGAGAGAGAGAGAGAGAGAGAGAGAGAGAGAGAGAGAGAGAGAGAGAGAGAGAGAGAGAGAGAGAGAGAGAGAGAGAGAGAGAGAGAGACAGAGAAGGGGGGAGAGAGAGAGAGAGAGATCACCCAAAGGCTGAGCAAGAGTGAGCAGAAAACTGAGAAAAAGAATATTATGTTATCCTATGTACAGGTGACGTTATCAGTACTCATGGTGCAACACCACACCATCACCGAATACGTTTGGACATCAATCTGTGTAGTATGGATACGAGGACAGCGACACCGGTAAACGCCAACCACACCATGCAATCACGCCAAGATTGTACCAAACGCAGTACATCCTGTCACACTTGCCAGGCAGTACACTGCACTGCACGCGTTAATGTACATGTTGCACGACAAGCACTACAGTCAGCAGATACACTTAGGCCAGTAGTGGCAGCTAGCACATAGCACTACAATCATACTAGTATACAGTTGTGCTAGGTGAAATCTGACCCAAGGTGCCCAGCTGGCACCCTGGACTAGTGTGCCCAGCTGGCACCCTGGACTAGTGTGCCCAGCTGGCACCCTGGACTAGTTCCTATTACATCACTGGACTTGTACAGCCTACAGGTGTACACTCAGCAGTATCCGCACCACTTCCAGGGCGTGCAAGTGTTCAGCGTGCCAAATATGCACTTTGGTTGTGATTTCACCCAGCGCAACTCTACGTACAGTGTAGTCCTGCTGAGATTCACAATCTCCAAACAGGCAGCATTCTAGTCAGTCAACATGAGAATACTATGTACAATCAGACTTGCAGTAATAAACTTGATCTTGATTTTCCCGTACAAAAGGCTTCGGTACGGACTAAGAAATCACACACCAGTGGGTGCTGAGCTTCATGAACAAACTTGATCTACACTGCTGCTTAATAAAACCCGACTGCATGAGTTGAGTTCGCACGCTGCACCATTTCACATCCCATTGTTCACAGGTCTAGGGCTGCACAGCACTCGGCACATACTTGCGATCTGATTTCATTGAGCAGCACTGTAAATTGCTAGTACAGTGTATAAGCCGCACTTTGAGCACTCAAAATTCACCCAAAAAAGGGGGTTACGGCTTATACTCCGTCGATCAAATTAACGGTGATAAATAGGGTAGATATTTGTATTTCGCGGCAAAAAAATGATAGGCACGGCCTATACTCCAGTGCGGTCTATACTCCGGAGAAAACGGTATGTACACTGTGCTTTATCCAGAGCACACCCCTGCTGGACTCTATCCCTTTCAAACTTTGATGTATGGTCGTAATGGATGGAGCGTGAAGAACAACACCTTTCGCACACCCGGCTAAATCTTGCTACTCGCAAGGATGACTTTATAATTATTACAAGTACAACACACCTGCTAGCCTGCATCTACGCATGCATGTGACAAGGCATTCAGGTGCAACACTATTACATCAATTCCCAACAAAGACAAGCCACAGTTGACTCAAACTGGACAGTCACTGGGTTACGTGCTATGCTGAATTTGAATGATCTGTGCGTTGTCTGCAAGTTAAAAAGTACCCTCTCCAAGTGTGCGTGCGTGCGTGTGTGTGTGTGTGTGTGTGTGTGTGTGTACGACTTGAACGTACTGTCGTCGACATTGAAATCCGATGGGATGACCGGGGCCAGCGCCCTTTACTGCCTTAGCGCGTACATGCACTGTAGTCTACGTACTCACTGTAAAAATGGACAATCAGTGCTCGTGGCTGCAAGGCCAGCGCCCCGTGGCTGCAAGGCCAGCGCCCCGTGGCCACTTGATTTCTCAACGGATTTCAATGTCCGCAACAGTAGTTCCAAAGTATGAACAGCTGCCAGTAATGGACGGCGTCCGGTTCCACAAAGCTCAGATAAGGGGAGTTAAAGTTTTGTAAGAAAGGGTTTGCTCCCCACACTGGAGCTCGCGCTATTCCGCCGACTTTAGGGTTAAAGTTTAATAGTTTTAAAACACAAACTCTCTCCGTCTCACACCCAACCCCCCACCCACATGGCAGTTAGGCATTGCAGAGGTAACAGTACTTAGTACATGTGCGTGTGAAACCAGTACGCACCCAGTACCAATACCTATTACCAGCAGTTACGACTGACATGGCCCAAAGTGAAACTTACCTGAAATGATATTGTGAACAGAGGACACATCCATCTGGGTGGCACTCATCTGTTGCTTAGCTACAGACGCACAAACATGACGAGCGCAGGAAATGACTGCACTGCGGCCATCTTCTAGAGAAGCTAGGCGTAGGTGAGAGACACTGGTAGTTTTTGCTGTAAACAACAACACCAACACCAACAACAACAACACAGGATTTGATCCATTAACAATAGAAACCATACGACCACTTGTGACTGAAAAACAAGAATTCAGTTGTCAATATGCCCAGAAAGCAAGATTTACACCTCTCAACATTACCATGCACAATAACTTTGCACTGGAAGTATACTTCGAAGTAACTGAATTGGAGGTATCATGCAAAGCACTTTATTCCCACCAGAAAGTCAAAAACTTCAAACATACATGTACATGTGCTGTACGTATCTGTTACATCCAAGTATATGACATTGTACATGACATCAATGCAGGGTGGGAGGAGAACGCTTGTTTGTGGTGCAGCGTTAAATATACTTCAGCAACAACAACTCTGTAACGTCCCAAAACAAATCTTCGCAAAGTCAATTGACAGAGGCTGGGTGCACATGCTGGCAAATCTACAGTGTCACATGTTCTAAAGTGCAACCATAGTACCATAGAAACAAAGCAGCACGGCACCCACCACACCGACCAATAAGAACACATCTAAAAGAGTGCATCAACAAATACCAACAGAGCGTGTAAATAAGGCATGGAACAGTGAGATACTAAGTCTTATAGACACCTACTAGTACTCACCACTTTGTACAGGGAGCATAGACAAAGATATCTTTACACGAGTTGAATAGTCCGAACCAAGTAGCTCAACCTTCCGCCGATCAATAGTAGATAATAATTGTTGCTGATTTCGTTTTAATTCTCCTGTAAGAAGGTGGACCCACAAGCATGCCACTTAGTGTTTTCCTACTAATTCCTATGCAATGCTTCCAGCCAGGGCCTACCCTGATGAAGAGAATGAGAAATGATGAAAATATGAGGGGATTTAACAGAAGAAAGAGGACCAAAGAGCTACAAGTTCCGGTGTAATACCCACAAACACCACCAGTTACTTTATAATCAGCTCATGCGATAGCATTGCACGACACTGACCAACGGTACTGACATTCTACACCTAACTGCACGAGCATGAGCTGATTGTAAAGTATCTGGCGGTGTTAGTGGATATTATAGCGTAACTTGTAGCTCTTTGGTCCTCTTTCTCCTCATAAATTAAACCTTGGCTCTCCACCCGAGTCTAAAAATGAGGGAATAGGCATGTTTTACATGGTTGTACGACCTCTACCTTATCCGAACATACTCCTCATCTAAACGCCCGGGAGACAACCCTGCGCCCCGAGGGGTGTGGATAATCAGCACTCTACTGTATTGACAACTGGAGTATTCAGGGTTTGCGGTGGATTCGAAAAGCGAATTCCAAAACTTTTCTAGAGTCAGGAGATTCAAGATTAGTTGCTCAAAAGACCATTTGAAGCTGCAGGTCCGATAATGAATGTGATTTCACATGTACTTCGAAGTAGCGAGAAGAAACACAAAAATGAGGAGTCTTGATTCTCAAACATAAATGTGTAGGCAATTAGCAAGCCCCACCTACAACAATGCACAAAACGTGTAAAGAATTCGGGATAGGTGAAACAACAATAAACAACAAAAGCGGAAATGTTACTTGCAAGGAACGGCTCAACCTGAAGGTAGTTCTGTTTTCGAGTCAGATTGCATTTTTGTCCTCAAGAAATTTATTTCAATATTCTGCTAGAAGTTACTCTGGTCCCTTAGTACATGTAGTTTATGGGCAACCATCTTTGGCAATGTTTCAACAGGCCGAGGTGGAACCACCACCATCATTACATAATAAATATATGGATGTACTAGCTGCATGTCAACCTCAGCTATGCCTTCCTCACAATCGGGATGGCCATGACAACAGGCTACTGGCGTGTTTATTTTCAATACTAGTAGTGCATTCTAGCATGTTGATGAGAAGTGCAACAATAAATTCAAGAATTGAATCACTGTCACAACTTACCTTCTCCATCAAATACTGTGATATACGATATTCCCAAGGCCGCTGACCAGACCACCATGCTAGCAACATCCTCATATTCTATGTTTTCTTCCTTCAATTGGAAGGCTATGTGCAGTGGCAGCTTGTTTAGATGTCGTTTATCGTCCTCAACGTTGCCAGGTTTGACACCGTGAAAATGTCTTGTTCTTAGCCATCTACTCCAGGATGAGAACCAAACTTTGATGGACAAGAAAAAGTGAATGAGACGAAGTACTAGAGTATACAGAAACATGGTTGCGTAAGCAGAGACGACATTGGAAAGAAACGACTAAAGTTTGTTCATCTCTTCAGCAAACTACACAGAAATAGGAAAATAATGTGCTCGACGTACGACGTGTTCTAAGATCTTTTTGAATAAAGCCGGTGTCATGCATTCTCAGCGCGCATATGTCATCGGTCAATGCACAAAGTCACAGGCGGCGCGCTAGCATCCTGCGTAACTCTGCAGCATATGCATGCAGAGATCTAGAGAACGACGTGCAGCTGCTTGATCTGACGCAGTGACGGTCATTTTGTCGCCATTTCCTCATTCGATGAACATGCGCGGTTGCCAGGGAGATGCTGAATGCCATACATAAAATAAACCCATTTACATCTTTACAAGGCTGGATATTTTGAGCCAGCAAGGCAGCCAATTATATCTGATGGTGGTTTACATCTTCCTATCATACCCTGGTTTCTCATCATTGTGTTGCTTTTGCCTGTAAAAGAAGCTGTTCATCATCAGGCCAAAATTTTTTCAGGGCCTTCATACAATCCCGTATGATATGGCTCAAGTAAAAATGAGAAACATAAAAATTAAATATATTAAATCAATACAAATCATCAATATAATTATGATGCCTGTAACAGTGTTCCGGATGCGCTGGCACGTATTACAGTAAATCATACTTCCGCTTTACACCAACAAGCAGAAAGATCAAGATGCACTTATGTGTACAGGACGCATGCACTTTGCACAGGCGCGGAAGACACATGGCAACCTCGACTAACACACCTCTCACATACCGATCCAGGAACTTGGATCGAGAGCTCAAGAACGATCATAACCACATCAAAACCATGACGGCTGACAATCGAACTGAGCACGCCATACAGAAGCAATGGTTCCGGATTAAAAATGGAGCAAAGAAGATCACAAGGACCATATAAAAGAAACACACATGCACGCAAATAAGCGATGACGCGGAGACAAAGAGTTTTAGTTTTAAACACACATGCATATGAGGATTTGTTCAGAACAACATCCACAATTGTCAACGTTCAAAATCCCTTCCAGAATAAGAAAGACAACACAAGCCAGCCACAGAAGGCATGGACAGCTCATGGTTGAAAGCAATTGCTCTGTAAAAGCTAGAGCCCAGTGGTTGCAGAGTACATGCATACAAGTGTGGAGGGTTGTGTATGCTTGTTCAGAAAGAGCCTATGTACAGGGAGCATGTGATGTGCACATCGAAGATGTGCATTGTGCATAACAACACAATGTCATATTGAAACAAAAGCTGGTCACTTTTTGCACAGTAAAAAACACAAAAAACAATGCAGCACATCAGCACACACCACTGTTCAAGGACATAAAACAACAACGAACGAAAGAATGGATATTCTCCAAACTCTTGTAGAGTTCACGACCCATGCAACTTACACTTTGGATACATTTGAATGCTGGGTTTAAGCGTTTCTTGCATTTCATAAGGCGGAACAAATACAATCATGTACACAAGAGAGTCTGGTTGCGATGTAAACTTCTACTGCCAACAGGTAGACTGACTGCGTGAGCCTGTTATATTTAAGCGACATCAGCAACGGCGAAAATGCTATGCTGGTGGTTATTTCTCACCAGCATCCACCAGTCTGTTCTTGAAAGACTTCAATAACGTCATCGTCATCCATTTCTAGTTGCTTCGGAGATTGGTCATCACCAATTCGGTTGCCGTCGAACATAAACCGAAGAGAATTGACAGGTACACCTTGTCTTTCACAGTACGCTTGCTTGAGCTTACGTAGCGGAGTCGTGCGCTTGATCTTGAAATGGACTTCACTGCTATCTTGTCCCATAACCTTCAAATTGATGTGCTCATTCTCAGCCTTGACTTCGTCACCCATTTTGAAGTTTGTAGTCAGGGAATAATCTAGGTATACACTGTAAAATAGCAAGGAATAAATCTAAAAGTCTCCTAAACGAGCTTACTGCAAGGGAGTGAGTCAAATAGCCGTTTGTAACAGATCAATCGGCAGAGCAAGACCCAAACAAAACAACTGGTAATTGTTGAGAGAAAAGCGGCAGCATGCCACCTACCCACGGCCCCCGGGCGATATGGCGCTAAATTTGCGATTGCCATGGTAATAAATATGGCGACTGTGCATGTGGTGAACTTCAAATAAAAAGATTTAGCGCGAAACCTGGCAAAACATTGTTGTAGAAAAGAATGATATAATTATGCATGCAAATAAAAGACAAAACCGTCAGGTCTTGTCTTTTTGCATGTATCCACATCATGCACTCGTAGTATAGTCTAGATCTACTCGGCGATCGGGAGGACAGCTACGTAGCAGGATCATTCATGACTGCAGAGCAGGGACTCCCAGCTGCATGCTGCAGACTTGCGGAGTAGGTCTACGTGACGTCTACGAGTGGAGATGTCATCCATTATGACTGGTGACTGGTGTCAGCAAGAGTCCATAGTGTACTCTTGATAATTATAATAACTGTCAGTCAGGGAGTCGTAAAATACCGGTATTTTACGACTCCCTGGTGTCAGTGATGATTGACTGAGTCTGTCGATGAGTCGTAGTGCAAGAAAGCGGTGTTCTGGAACAGGGTGTGATGTGACTCGAGTAGTACTGAGTCTGTAGCTGCCATGCTGGTTGTTCATGCGTGGCAATGCCAACAACGCAGGAGTTCGATCAGCTGTTCATTGCTGTCAAAGCTTGCTTCTCTCAAAAGCGAACACACGATGGTCCTTCGAAGTAGAAGTTAGCTAGCTTGCTCTAGCCCATCGTGGCCTCGCTGAAGCCAATTGCCTTTTTCAAGGGCAACTTTGGCGTACTAGTATTCTGCATGTAGTATTATGTAGCTTTGCTCGTTTTTGAAATGGGCCAGATCTGTCCATCAACCGCATCTCCGCTTTGTGTCGGACATCGTCATCTTCGACACTCTCTGCTGAGCCATGGAAGAAGTAAAGCTCCGACGGAATTTCCCGATCTCTCGTTTCTGCCTCCTGAAATGGCGATCAGTATACTGTCTCACCTGAGTGCAACAGAGCTTTGCCTTGCAGGATGTGTTAATGAATACTGGCAGGAGCTAGCGGATAGTGAATTGCTCTGGAAAGGGTGTGTTCCCCAATTGTGTATGTGCATGTGAACGAGCTTTGGTGTGTCTAGTGATTTCACCAATGTCTTGAGTTTCATGTTATATTCGTGCACTGCAAAGAGAATTAAAAGAACCATCAAGTACACTCATGTCACACTTTGTTAGGTATGTGTGTGCGTCTGTGTCACATGTGTGTGCGTGTGTGTGTGTGTGTGTACTGTGTACTCTTTCTCTCCCTACTCTGACCCTGGAGATGACAGGTCACAGAGTGCTGAAAGTCACCGTAACGAAAATGTATCTTCTTGTAATAGTTCGATAGCCATGCAATACCTTTCTTCTTTCTCTTGTCTTTGGTTGCCGTGACTGGCTAATGTCCCTTTCCATGTTGTATTGGCTTGTATAGGCAATAATGAAAGAAATACCGGTACAGTAAAACCTGGTTTAAGCGACCACCCCACGGTGCAAGCTAAAGCGGTCGTTAAAGCCAGGTGGTCTTGACTTTAGAACCAGGTCCCACAGTGTCTGTGTAGGACTGTCGGTGCATGGAAAAACGGTCGTTAAGAGCAGGTGGTCACTAAACCCAGAGGTCGCTTACACCAGGTTTTACTGTACTTGGATTCCTTGCCAACTGACGAGCATGGTCTTACCAATATAAAAAAGAAAGAGGAAGGAAGACAAGAGGTTGGAGTGCATTTCTTTTTGGTTTTTCTTGTTTTTTTTTGCACAGGCTTTGCTATTCTGACTGGGGCAATATCGACTCCTTTTTACCGGATGGCATGGTAAGAGTGGGTTTTGCGTACCTCCCTGTTGCATTGCTATCTTGGATGAAAGCTGTTCCCATCGTCAAATCAGTCAACGCATGTGCAAATTAGGTACCATTGCCTTTGGGTTATCCGTCATAATAATAATAATAAAAAATGCCAATGTATCAGTCCAGTGAAATTCAAACTAACTATGAAAATTGAAAATGTCTTCTAAAATTTGATCTTTGTCTTCCCTAATAATTATATTGTGCTCACCTCCTTTATAATTATGTGCTGGTGTTTGCAGGTCCCTATTCAATCCTACAAGAGACTCTACTTGCTTATGGATGATGGTTCATCGTTGTTCAACGGGGATTCTGTCAGCGTAAGTAGGTGTATTGTGTGCAGTATACTGCCTTGCACGTAGAAATGAGTAACTCTGTCCCTGGTTGGCAGTTAGTAATCAACGTCAATGCAACAAATCAGCTTAGCCAAGTCAGTGCTCAGCGACATATTGAAAACTACAATGAGCATACACTTGAAGCATACATGTATAAAGATACTCAGGTGCATTCTCCTGGAAGTCTCGAAACCGTTCGAGAGTTGCACAGGAAGAAATGAGGCAAATAGCTGAGCGATTATTCTCGCAAGACCAGTTTGAGAGCCAAAAAGGGCAAAGCCAGATTTGAAAAGGAGCAGTCATTTTTTTGCAAGGAGTTCGTTGTGACGTCGGGATAAGGGGTCGTCGCAAAAGTTGCTTTGTCGTCCCTGAAACGAACATCATTCGTTTTGGGGGGGGGGGGGGGGCGCGCAAGCCAAAATTGCAAGTCGACCAACACTGTACATATGTCATGAACATGCATGCGATTTTCGTCGTCCAGCATAGCAAGCTGCGTTCGTTTCAGAGGGAGGGGAGGGGACGAAATGAACGATGTTCGTTTCGGGGACGACAAAAAGCTTTTGCTACGAACCCTAAGTTAGTACATCTATGCATGCTTGCAAAAGCATGAGAATCTTCTGAACTTTCCCGGGAGAGCTTCTGAGAGTCTCTATCTTCTTGGTGAGCCCGTCCAAGAAACTGCTGTAAAAAGAAAGAGGCACTCGGCATTTCTAGAGACCCACGCACAACCGCACCCTCTGCATGAATTATATATTTTTTAAATTGCGCAACAAGGCATACGACCAGTGGGCATGTTTTCGTCATCTGTTCATCTACGTAGCATTGCTATGCCTGGGAAATTACTAGCTTGCTGTGATTTCTCTTGCTTTGTTGTTCTTGTTTTGCATCTTTTAATGCATGTTATAGGGTCTGGAGTTTCTTCTGAACAATGGTGTTGTTGGCCCATCTGACCGGCATATTGGCTGTTTCTTGCATGAGTCTCGGCGACTGCATGCGGATAAAGTCTTGCGACTTCTACAAGATAGGTAGGGGAACGTCTTCATTTGTTTATGCAGCTAGTGTACTGCTTTATTCTCTCTCCCTCTCTCTATTTCGTCTGTGTCTCTCTCTGTCTATCGGTCTGTGTGTGTGTGTGTGTGTGTGTGTGTGTGTGTCTCTGTGTGTCTCTGTGTGTCTCTGTCTCTGTCTCTCTCTCTCTCTCTCTCTCTCTCTCTCTCTCTCTCTCTCTCTCTCTCTCTCTCTCTCTCTCTCTCTCTCGCTGTCTCTCTCTCTCTCTCTCTCTCTCTCTCTCTCTCTCTCTCTCTCTCCCTCTCATGCATGCGGACACACATACACACACGCACATGCTTGCTTTGTATGAGATCATTGTCCTTGTTTTGTTCATTCATGTAACGAAAAAGTAAAGTTCGCACGCCCGCGTTACCATCAGCTGTACGATTGTGTTGAGAAACAAGCCCAGCTGAGGAAGAATGTGTTCATTCATGTACTGTTGAGATATGTAGTGTAGCTTGTTGGTATTGTATTTTTGTTTTTATTGACAAATTACATTTCTTGAGCATTGGCAGTCCTGCACAGTTCTTGTTTCAGACATACCAGAAGCTGGGCGAATTGGTCCACTGTTGCTATTTTAATACCCTTGTGTGTGTGTGTTTTTTTTCTGTCAATAGACGTGGCGTTCTGGATGAACTGGTTGGGCTGCTTGACTTTCATGATGTATTTCTTCCTGATGCGCTACGGTAAGGGACGCTACTGTAAAACATGTAATTTTAGGTGAATTAAAATTTCGGTGCCAGGGACCTGCCAGGTTTCAGGTGTAATTTAGAATTAGGTGAACAGCGTTCCCTTCACATACAGTGCATACTCTAGTGTCTTTTATGTTTAATTTATATTTAGGTGCCTGGTTTCTCTACCGAAATCACCGAAATTAAAGTTACACCGAAAATTACATGTTTCACAGTACTAGTAAAGTAAGTATGTACAAGTACAGTGCTGGCAACTGAAATCCGACCCCCTCGGATTTCAGTTGCCAGCACTGTAGTATGACTGTACCACATGTATGGGTATTGTTCCTTCGGGAAGAAAAACATGGGGAAACAACTTGTCAAGGCAGACCTTTCTTGGTGTGCATGCTCTTGTGCTGGAACCTCAGAGGCCCTTTGGTGTACCCTTGTTCCAGCTGCTCAAAGAGAAAGCTGCGAATACAGATACCGTAGTATCTCTATTACAAGCGCAGTCTCTTGTAGAAGCCCAGTTTCTATTATAAGCGCACTCCAAGAGGGCTTCGAAGATATACAGTAAAACCTGTAATGGCGACCACTCGGATATGGCGACCACTCGACCATGGCGGCCACTTTTCCTTGTCACGGACGCATTCACATTCAAAACACCTCGGATAAGGCGACCACTCGCTCAACGCGACCGGCGACCACCCACCCGCGACCGCGTTCCACAGTGCTAGTCATGTAAATGTATGCATTGCATGGTGCACCAGGCATGGTAGATCTACACATCAGTGCAGGAAGTGTAGATGTACATGGTGCATACACGACATTTGACAGGTCTGAGGACCCCATGCCCGGCCAGGCACATGAGTCGTGCTAGAGTAGCATAGGTATGTGCACTGTGATGCACTGATCAAAATGATGTATCACATGTGGGTATGGTCACGTGGCCCACTGAACCTGGATAAGAAGACCACCTGGCCACGGCGACCACTTTTTCTCGTCCCTTGAGGGGTCGCCTTAGACAGGTTTCACTGTACAAGCGCAGTCTCCAATATAAGTGCAGCGCTTATAGTGGAGAACCGTATGGATCATGTTCATGCATGTTTGACGTCACACGGTATCACATAAACACATGCTGTGGTAAAAGTCTGTGATCCCCAAGATCTAAAGTACAGACTCGGTGTACCAGGAAGAACAAAACTGCAGTCCCGGTACCTGCTGGGAAACTTTCTGGTACTGATATGAAAAATAATAGGCAATGTACATGTACGAGGTGGTTGAAAAATGATAAGCCCAGTCTCCAATATAAGCCCAGGGTCTGGACTGGTTGAAAAAATATAGCCGCTGGGCTTATAATGGAGATAATACGGTAAGTTGATCTTCTGCTGACTGAAATACGGTGCAGTTCGGCCTGGGCTAAATGTTCTTGTCTGGTCACTGCCTGCCGAACATGTGTTTCTCATCGCTACATTTTGGCCACCAGCGTTCATTTTGCGCGCCATGCCTACATGCTCTGAGTGGAGATGGCTTAGGAGTCATAAGACCACTGCAAAGTGTTACACGCGCATCAGTTGAATACGTCGGGGAGGTTTCCACTGACCCCACATTCCTAGTGATGGTGATAGTCCGCTAAATACATCTTTTAGTTTCATGTCTATGTTAAACTCGTAATTTTTCATCTATGGCTTTTCTGAATGCATGCGCGTATTGTGTTCTTCGTCCTGGTCGTCATTTCCAACTTCAGAAAATTTTTTACGGAGGTCCCAGCTCCAAAGGTTCGTGGTGATTTTCTGGAACATCTGCTGACCAAATTCTCACGGCGTTATTTTGAGTGCAACCGCGACATGGGGCTGCCACAAGGTAAGCATTTTCTCTAGCATTCGTTGCTACTACACAGTCACAGCACAGGGAAGGAAGTATCCCACTTGGACGGAGTTGCTGCTCAGACTGTCCTGCTCCACCACCCCAGGCACTTGATGGTAGCTTTTTTAAGTTTGTCTCGTTGCTTGATTCATGTTTGGTGGGAGTAACTGCTACCGTCCTGCATCAATTGAGGATCAAAAGCTTCCAGTTACAGCAGCCCACTGCTATAATTTAGCCTCTCATTACGCAATGCCAACGTACGAGTAGTGCTTGCTGTCTGTCCAATCAATCATGAGATTGTCAAGGTCTTCCTATTCATCCAAAGGCACGCTCTTCATCCAAAGTTTGATGTTGTTTCTAACCTTTATTCTTGCAATGGTTTCAAATCTTCACTCACGATGGTTGTTTCAAATCTTTATTCTCGCGATAGCCTGTGGCCAATAAGAGAGTTGTTGTTGTTGTTGTTGTTGTTGTTGCTGTGTGGGTACGGGTGTGCACATGTATCTGACAATGTACATGTATTCTATACTGCTTCACTGCTGTGCGCAGATACCACCTACGTTCTGTGCTACTCTCTCATTATGCTGAGCGTTGACCTTGGCAGTCCGCACGTCAAGAACAAGATGACGAAGCGGGAGTTCATTCGCAACCTGCGCGGTGCTGTGCAGGGAACACCCGGAGACTACCTTGTCAACCTCTACGACAACATCTATCTACATGGCCACGTGGCCAAAAAATCCCACTACAAAGTCTACAACAATGCTGACTTCTGACATCCACAGCTTGGAGATGCATCCTTGTCTTGATCACGCTGCGCTACCTCAAAGTATTTCATCTTTACTCCTTTTTTGGCTTTTAGGCCCGGATTGCTTTAACCACACACCACTGCTGCCTCTCCATCTATCTGTCTATCTTTCATCACTGTCCCAGTTGACTGCAAGTATTTGGTTATTAGTCTGGATACCGGTATATCGTTTTAGGTCGCCCTTGTACCGCTGCTCCAGAACACGCTGTTTTATCATTTTGAATCCTGCTACATTTTTTTTTATTTCCCCGGTCTTTTTTTTAACTGCATAAAATTGCCTCACTCTTCTGCTGTCTGGCTGTTTTCCTAGCCTCTGCTGCTGCTGCTGTATGCTGTGCTGCGTTCTATTTTTAACTGGGGTGCCTTGAGTGATCTGTTATTTTAATTTACCTGTGCTCGTTTTCTACATTTCTAGCGAACTGAGCACTGAAAATGAAATTGAAGATAAACGATTTTCCTAACTGGTGTCCAAAACTATATACCGTTTTTGTAAAAGAAAGCGAGTAATCCAACTGGGTACCAGGCTACCAGTAACAAAGTTACAGTGTACTTGGCCTCATTGCAACAACCGGCTGCCTGCACAAGACTGAAGGCTGTAGCATCTGTACCGTATACGGTAGCGAGAACAACCATTCATGGCTCATGTTTGGTGGTGGTGGTGTGTTACTAGAGGTGTCAACTCACTTCGCAGCATGCAGAGTTCATTCAATGACCATTGTTGACCATGCTGTCATCAGTGGCCATGTTCCGCAGTGACCTTCACCCGCGACTATCAATTCTAAGATCATTGGTTCACATGCCTGCGTTGGCAACCTTTCCACCTACGAAAGAAAGCATGAATGACAGCACATACACTGTGGATTCACATTCTAAGTTAAACTTTCAAAGCGGTACTTTGGTATCGGCGTGCGTAGTTCAAACTCAGTTCTTGCAGATTGGCATGAAACGCATGTCAAGGTTGGCTGGGAGTGACAATAAAGAAAAAATCTAAAAGCTACAAGAATGTGGAACGACTCCATGGTTCACCAGCGCCTGACGGAGTTATGTGAATGCTCAAGTAGAATAGTGGCCACTCCAATCCAGCAGTAGTGGCAAAAAAAAACTAAAAATGTACTCTTTGATTACATAGTACATAACATTGAAACTAAAATTCAGCTGCGGCTATGAAATTCAAATGGCAAAAAAACCGTCAATACAGGCACTATCAGAGATTATAAGACCAAAACAGAAAAGCTAAGGTATGTACCGGGTAAAACTTGACAAAGAAATGCTGGCTTCATTTCACTAGTTCCTGGAATGGTCCAGCGTATGACACATATCAGTGTCTGAAGCACCCAATCGGTAGCTATCATTGTGACACTGGTATTAACTGTAGTGCAGTGGTAGCATTGAAGTGAAATCTTATTTCATGAATAAAACAGCTTCAGCACTGCGTTGCCGGCCCTGGCATGAGGAACGCTGGGTTGTGCAGTGAATGTGGTTTTGCCAAGATTATAATTGTTGCATGAGGACTCGGATCTCCCTTGCCACCACTGTATGGCGAAAATGTCCTGATGCAATCGTAAGAGAGCATTGTTAGTGATCACTAGGTATATTGGTGTCCTCCGACACGTCTGCACCATCAGTGCTCGCTTCTTCATTACCTGTTGGCTCTGGAGTGGCTGAAGGTGATGGCGGTTCATCATCTGTTTTAGCCTGTTCATCGTCTTTGCCTTCACCGGAGTCCAACTCCTTGACCAGCGCACCAACATACCGGTACTTGAATTGAAAGGACTGCTCCCATTCCCGAGCTGTGCTCAGCTGTCCTCTGGTGAGATCGGACAGGTCATCATCGACATCCTTCACAGCACTGTGTTCGTTGCTCATCAGAGCCAAAGCTCGTGTCGCATCATGCCCAGCTAATACTTCATACGGACCACCTGCAGCAATACACCGGTTACATTATTAGTTATTTCAGTACTTAGGCTGCGTTCATTTTTAGCTACCTAGTAGAGTAGAGTCATTCTACTGATAGAGGTAGAAGGTAGAGGTGTGCATGGTAAGTTCACGAACGCTGTCCTACCAGATTTAGTAGTTTTCACGATACGTGCATCATTGTACATTGTACATGAAATGTTTCTCTTCTGAATGGAGTTGTGTACAACTCCTCGATTTTTCTGGAAATCCCGTACCTCTACCAACTTCTACCGACTTCTACCAGCTCGAACTTGGTAGAGCCGGTAGAGAAAGGTAGAATGTACTCTTTGAGTAGAAAAAAGAAATGCACATATGGAAAGAAGTAGTTTCTACCCAAACCTGTAGATCAAAAACGAACGCCCCCTTAGGCATATTAATTTTAAGGTAGCTCGAACCACTTTGGCCAAGAACAACTTTTACAGAAGAAGTGTTGTTTTCTCTGTTCTAAATTGTTCTCTAGCATGCGTAGACGCAAGAGTCCTGCTTCATTCCCAAGTACTAGTACACTGCTAATTCCCATCGAATTTACCCAGCGGCCCAGCTACTACGCTTTGCTACAATTATAATTATAATTATATTATGCACTGCACCGTCAAATAACTGACATGACAGTCAGACACTCACCAGGTCCATAGAAATGCTTCCCTGCAGTCACGTCGAAAATCTTCCCACAAACAGCCAGCAGAACGGGCTTCGTCGGATCCTTGCCATCATAGGCCAAAAGCTGTTCCACGGTCAAATCACCCACTACTTGCTCCACAGCAGGTTCTTTCTTTACATCTTTTCCTGGGTCAGCTGGGGCAAATATGATTTTGTAGAGAAGAAATCCACAAACTGCAATCAAAAACAGGTTGAATGGTTCGAGTAAGGTCGACAGTTCTTCTATGATGTCCACTGCCATATTGCGGCCGGTGCCGCTGTCTTTGCCTTTGGTCAACAAATTGAATGAAGCAGAAGAGCAGCGGAACTGCAGACAGAAAGCACCTTCAGCCCCAAAAAAGTAATTAGTTGAGAGACCTTGCAAGGCTGGATGGCATTGTTGGAACAGGCATGGTAGATCTACTTGGCATATGAGAACGAACGTCGAACCTCTGTTTTTCAAAATCACTGCGTGGTTGCACGTCACACGTGGCCGGCAGGACTAGTAGGCCTACGTCATGACTGTATACTCATGACGTAAGGTTGCACTTACCATAATTATAATGGCCATGCATGATGCGAATGGAACATCATGCATAAATGATGTGATTTTGTATTCATGTGCCAGTCTGCCAGATGGTCTTCACTTCAGTGATCACTGGATCTGGATTCTAGTGATACTAGTAATGGTATGACCAGGGAGATGTAAAGTAAAGTTTGCGCCCTCCGATGATCATCCGTGTTACCACCGGCTATACAATTCTGTTGAGAAACACAACCAACTTAGGGAGTTTCCGACGCTCGTGCCAGATTATACCAGGGAGACGTACAATCATGACTCCTGCATAATTATTTGATAATCATTCTTGTAAAGCACACCCTCACGATGTGCGGTTATATCCAGGACTCAGTCAGTCATGTATCCATAGCACCAAGAGTACATAATCAGTTATGTACTCTTGATAGCACTTCAAGTACCGGTACCCGCAAGCGGAGTCTGCGCTCATGAACACAATAATCGCCGATTGAACTGAATACTGCCTTTTGTTTTCACATGAACGTTTTGAACTCCATCGCAACCACATGCACTACATGTAATTGTAGTTCATAACCGGCCTCTCTCCCAGCTGGTCTCTTCATTACGCTCACCAGTTATTCGTAAATCATGCGCAGCCGCTGCGCATGATTTACGAATAACTGGTTTGGACATCGCTTTCCTTCCGGCTTCACCTCGACGATGGGCCAGGCCTGAAATTTGGTGAAATGCAAAAATCACTCAGTGTTCGCAGCAAAGAGACTACCATGGGGTGGGGGGTGAGTGTAATGTCAATGTGTTCACATATCGGGTATTATGCTCTCCAACAGCACAGCCATTCACAGCAGAAACAGATTTATTGCAAGGGCAAACTGTTACTTAGGCCGTGACTATGGTTAGTGTATTCAGTGGAACAAATTGTGAAGAGCAGAGCGATGCATGAATACTGAGAAGTTCATGGCCGATACGGAAAGGTGTGGCCGCTTCTAGGGTGACTCGGGCAACACTGAGGTGTTTTTAATAAAAAGCATGGCCGCTGGATAAATCACATGTAAAGCACCTTGTTACAAGTGAAAGCAGAGCTGCAGCTTGATAGAGCCGTCTGATCATGTGTGACGGTGATGGTGTCATGTACATAAAGACAGTTAATAATGCAGTGCCATATTTACAGTTTGCAGCATAATCATGTGTGAGAAGTGTCTCAAGGCGAAAATGCATGCAGTAACTGGCACAGCACATGCTGCGCGTATAATCATGTTCAATGAGTTTGACATTGGCCAGACTTTACTGTGCGGTCCAACATTCAGAATCATGGATATACCAGATGATGTGTCTGCGCTAGGCTCAACAGTCGATCTCCCCTACCCTGTATGATCAGTCACCAACACACTGAATATGATAACGGCCGTCTCTTGATAGCACTTCTTCTCACTCAAGTTTCTGCATCCTTGTTTTGATTCCGCAGTTCAGAGGTTTTGATCAGTGATCCCCTGAAACAAGCAAACAAACCGTGAAAACAAACATCAGAAGGTGGAAACCATTGATGCCGGTGTATACAGGCATGCATGCAGTGGTAGTGTTAGAAGAACAAGCTCGGGATGTCACCGTACGTGTAGCCTCTGAGAGCAAGCCACTTGGCTATACCGCGGCTCAAAAGAAGCTTGCTACTCCGAATGTGGATGAGTTCATGCATCCTGCTGACTTGGCCCGGATAGCAATTGACTGACTCAAGACTGCTATCTGGCGCGCACAAAGAGTATATCGAACCTTCAACTCGGCAAACCTGCAAGAAAGTAGGGGTGTCAACGGGTAGTAGGGTACCCGTGTTACCCGTAATTAGAGCAGGTATTCGGGTGGCGGTTTGCGGCTCCTGAGAACCCGATCGGGTAGTGGGAGTGCGGGGTTTTCGCAACGGTGCATGTGAAAAGCACGGCTATGTGCTTACTGTACACTTTCTATGTAGCGCAAGTGCACACTCACTGTACAAACTATTTAAAATATATACCCGATAGGGTGACCGTGCTACCCGAACTCGTTACCCGACCAAATCCCTACCCGTTGCAGGCCTACCAGAAAGCGCGCCCCTGCCCAGTGTACAGGTGGCAGGAAGCGTGAGCTCCATGTTGGAAGCAGCCAACTCCTCTAAAGTAACTACCAGGAGTAAATTAACGTGCTGCTCAATGAAATCCGATCGCGCGAGTCTCGCATGAGATGAGCGCTGTGCAGCCCTAGATCTGGAAGCACTGGGATGTTCAGTCATGCAGGGCGCACAGTTAGCTGACTCACTCGAGCAGATTTAATGGGGCATCAACGTAGGTAACGCAAACTACAAACTTCCTGTGTTTACATCAACACAGACCATGATAATAATATACAGAGTGATAACAACCGTCACCAAGTACTTATACACAGTAGACTTACTGAGTCCCCACTTGATCATAGTAACTACTCCAGTTGATCTCTCATAGCCAAACTGGCACCACGCTACGTTATTTGAGTGATCACTTTCGACAACAAGTCCCAGCGGGTTGACTGCCAGAGTCAGCGTGAAGACACCGCTGTTTAAATCCGTCACATCCACCCACTGGCAGTCGATGTCATAGCGGTACACATCGGCACAATTCACACTGATACCCTGTGTACCATGTGCACAGTGGAATCGTCGTGAAGTATCCGGGTCACACTCAACGTCCTCAAGACAAAAACTAGCCTGCATAAACATTGCATGGAGCATATGAAAACAGACACAAGTACAATTAATGCCGCATAGGGTCAATAGACAGCCAGAAACATAAACCGGTACATGTACACACCAGATAGACATTACGAGCACACGCCTATGCCCTAACTGGTTCTGATGCTCACCTTGTGGCCTTCCACGACCAGCTTTCCTTGCTCGTCAGAGATGTTGTAATGAGTGAACTCCTCAAAGCTATGAAAGTGCCTATGACACGAATGCCACTGCCATTGTCTCCTGTCATTCGACGGCATGAAGTCAGCCGTCCCATAGTTCATGATGCGCGCTGAGAAGCGGAGCAGCTTCCGATAGACATAGTAGGCTTCAGAAGAATACGGGTTGTAGGCGCTGGCTGAGCTTGAGAGACAGTTTTCTTCCATGGCACACCTAAGCCGGACCAGTCTCTGCCGGTGAACAGTTCTTGACAAGGTTGACTTCAAGCGAAAGGCATCAGGGATAAGGTCAGGCAGCTCTGTAGTCAGAACAACAAGGAGCAAGCCCGATTAGTATTAGATCAGAGAACCTTTCCAGCTACATGGTATACTTGCTTCAATACTCGAACCGTGAGTTAGGTCACACTGGCAATGTACATGACGTGTATTCACTTCATCCCAGCCACTAATTCAAGTCCAGTCTGTTCGATCAATTCAAAATCTTACGTTTGGAGCAAAGAACAGTTGTTTCGCCCTGCGGACAGAATCTGGCTCCGATCCAGCTGTTCTTGCTGCCCTGTGCACAGTGGTGGAGCTTCTGTTCCTTGCCAGTGCACCTGAGCTGCAAAGAAGAGTTCAGGAAAGACCGAAAATATCAATGTGCCACCACATCAGTATATGCATACCATCAAAGCAAAAGTCAAGGCTTCCGTCTAAACTGCTGTGGTCCATTGAAATGTTGTGGTCTCGCCCCCCCCCCCCCCCACACACACACACTCCCCTCCTCCGAGTCTGAGCATCCACACATGCCCCTGCCTCCTAAATTGTCTTAGAAACTCGCACTCCAGCACTGCAAAGTGCTTTGAAGGCTTGGCACAATGCTGACAAGTGAAGTCCAACTACCGACACACTGCTGTGTCCCGATGATCCAGACTGCGGCAACCCATTGATGCCATGAGTGCATGGGCTGGATGATGGAAAGCAACTCGAGATGCTGCTGCTCTTGGACTGCAGATGGGATTTTACTTTATAGCCGTCACTCCAGGTGTGTGGAGTGAGGTCATGAAACTGCAGCGGCACCACATGAAACCCATTTTTTTGCGAAAAATATGCCATAAGCATAGTAGTATAGTTTTATTCCCGTAGCTATGCAGAAGACGTTACTTCAGTAACGTCTGGCGCTAGCCAGGGTCCACACAGCTTTAATTTGGTATTTGTTTGTTTGTGTGTTTGTTTGTGTCACGCCTGGCGCTATCCGTATCTGACGGCAAAAAAGCATAGGATGTTATAAATTTTTCAATTCTCCTATTTTTTTTCAGGCATATCCTGGGATTCGAACCCGCACTATCGCCCTACATGCATTCCCCCATACACTTCGCATTCATACCCATTCTTCCAAGTTGCTTCACGTTATTATCTTGCGTTTGAAAGCCCTATTTGAATATTGCGGGCAGCTAGACGGTGTCGTATTACCCTAGATCGTACCTGTCCCGTACATATCCCCTACCGTACCGTGCCATCAAAGACGGCTGGCCACAATGCATATTCAAATAGGGCTTTCAAATGCAAGATCACAATGTGAAACAACTTGGAAGAATTAGTATGTATGCGAAGTGTATCGGGGGATGCATGCAGGGCGCGCGATAGTGCGGGTTCGAATCCCAGGTTATGTCTTAAAAAAAAAGGATTTTTTAAAGAATTTATAACATCCCTATGCTTTTTTTTTTGTCTAGGTCATCAAGGCAAAAAAGCATAGCGTAGGGCCCTGAGCTTCCAAGCTCTCTCGTTGGCTCCCAGCAGTCAGGGGGGGGGGGGGGGGCATGTTTCTTACCGGTGCAATCCAGTGTGTGACTAAGCCAGCAGACTGATTGGTTGGCGGTGCTGGTGGAAAGTAGGGCGTATGCGACACTGCAAAGCCCAATCCCATGTCCCGGCATGCCACGTTGGCTTCCAGCATGGTCCATCGGCCAAGCGAGTTCTTACACAGTCCACCCCACTGCGCGCGGTGGCGGATGTGTACAAACCCTTCAGACGCTGTCCTGCCACCGTACACACGGACCTACCATGACCGAAAGCAGTAATCAGGGAGAGAGAACTGCATTGAGCTTTGCATGTTTGTGTTGCAACTTGAAACCGAGTGTTTCCAAATTTTGAGTACACAATATACATACATGTAACTAAGCGTAGACGTTAACCAGGATTGTGAGTGCAGTGTTATGTAAAACATCCAAGTAGAATCATCGTCCGTGACCTGCAGCTTAGTAATGGTGGCTTCGCCAGTGAGGAGAGAAACTGAGACCTAGCTAGTCACATGCACTGTAGGCATCTAACGTCAGACGCCGGTGCATTGCCTGATGACAGGCCGGCAGAAGCCAATGCAAGCTGGGTATCTTGCCAGCCGATGACACATTCACACTAACTGTAGGACTTACCCGTGTGTTGAAACGTGGCACTCTACATTCAATGGATACATCTCTGGAATGCCGACAACTGGCATAGAACTGATTATCAGGGCGTGGATTCACTCGCTTGTCACAGTCCAGAAGGTCACCCTCATTACCCCGGCAGTTCACGTCCTGAAGCCACACAGGTCCAATACCACGTCCATATGGTGTCTTCGAGAACATATTCTTCACTGATCCAAAGCCCAGCTGTCGACATGCAACCGTCGCTGTCTCCTTGTAGAAGTATGTACCGCACACGGTGCCCCATCTGCCCTGCACGTGGACTTCAAGACGGCCTTCGTTGTTACGTGCGCCTCCTCTCAAGCGCACTTTCTGTGGCCTCTGCGCATCACACAAAAAAGTCACAGGGTGGCATTGCCTTCAATTAGCTATTGATTCCATATCCCACACAACATCTATACACGTATACGTGTGTGTTACTACACTGGTGTCTATGAGCAAGATCTGAAAGAAGTGAATGTGCAGTTATTGACAGTTGGACTGATGAAATCCTGGCTTAGCACATTACTACTTGAAGCACAAAACAGCCAAGCAGCCAATGCCTTTATCCAGTTGCGGTCATTCAAAGAGAACTGTACTGAAAATAATATTAATTTACTACCACACATAAGTGTCACAAAATCCGCGCATTGAACACGGACATTGTGTATTATATTTCACGTACAATGTAAGGTTATTCAAATCATAATGCCTGGAGGCACTTACCTCAGTGCCATTCTGGAAAAACGTCCGACATGATTTCAGGCAGCGGACCTTGGCTGCCGGCAGCATGTAGTAACCGTTGAAACCGAGGTGACGGCAGTCCTTGAGCAGAGACTCGCCACCGTGGCACGAGACACCTTTCATCCAAAAGAAAGGTCTGTCCCCGCCCACCACTGAAGAGAAATTGAAGTAGGAGCTGGTCTCGTCCACAACGCTGGTTTCCTCAGCGTCACAGTAACCCATCTGTCCGCACACTACTTTGGAGTTGATTTGCGACCACTCCTCTCCACTCACTAGCCCCCAGCGATTGCGATAGAATACCTTCAAGTCACCAGACACATATCAACAGGCGACACGTGACAAGGAATAGCCAATTGATGAGATATGTCACAGTTGGAATGAGATGATGTGGCATTGCATGTATGCACTTGCAACACAAACATAGACACTAGTTAGTTACAGCACTACTGCCTTTGCACTCCTACTGAGGATAGACATCATTGAACTTACAATGCAGGTAGGCATGCACCTACTTTCCTAGCAGATCTATAAACCTCACCTATCTATCATAGCGTTACTCGGGGAGCGGTATAAAAACTCCATCATGCCGGGTCAAAGGTGCAGCAGATTCACTGTAACTAACTACTTCAAGTACTTGTGCAATTGTGAGTCTTGAGAGAAATCCAGTTTTGCCTTGTAACTCGGTGGCGTATTACAACTCACTTGCAGGTAGCCTTCCAGATCATCGTCAGAACCTCCTTGTAGCCGGACGAGCAGCTCTGGAACATGGACACGCTTCCTCCTTACAAAATAGCACCGGACACCTGCAGGCCAACGTACAATGAAGGAAATCCCCGTGTCAGGTGACGCAACAAGATAAGGATTAGCCTCCAGCGGCAGTCTATGTTGTGATGCTGGGCAGAACATCTGTACGTGCTGTGTACGTTTGAAATAATGAGCTGTTGATGTGCAAACTAGCCGTGCTTTTAGTAAGCGGGATACTAGGAACAAGACTCGGCTAGGTCTGGCTGGCAAGATTCGTCCACTCCGTGAGTTGCATGCTTTAGAGTTTAGAACTTTAAACCATATCAGGTGCATAACCCGCAGGCCAAGGCTGCCTTCAAAGTGGTTCCTATCTAGGCTCGTCATACATGTTTTCAAGACAAAGTAGACATCTGGCCTCGGGCATCCAGTCAACTTCGCTAATAACGACTGTGGATATAACGACAATTTGCGAATAACGACAGAATTTTCATGCCCAGAGCACAGTCCATTCTACCTGTAAACATATAATGAGACTTCGGGTATAACGACACTTCGCGAATAAGGACACTTTTCTGATGCCCGGCCGAGTGTCGTTATACGCAAAGTTGACTCAGTGTACCGTGGTGTGTGCGTGGGGTGGAGGTTGGAACAAGTTTATACGTTTTTTACTCTTTTTTTTATATACCACAGGCTGATTCGACGACTAGCACTGGTTGGTATCAGCATACCAACAGAACTGTCCATACATACTATGATACTATGCAGCAAAGTGGCAGGGTTCTGCCAGCATGTTAGTACAACTGATGTGTTCGCTGCAACTAGACTACATACCTGCGTCCTCTCGGTGGTATGGGTCGCAGTCATGTTGGCCAATGGTGAACTTGCAATCCACAAGCTTCTTCTCGTCGCCACTGCAGTTCACCTCATCCAGTAGTGTGGGCATGGACGGGTCAGTGGTCCTGTACTTACCGCCGACGATGATGCGGAGGGCTCGGCGAAAGCCCAGTTGCCGGCAAATGACGTTGCCATCGCTCAAGTCGAAGTTGTCATCGCAGATGGTGCCCCACGTCCCGTTGTGTTGCACCTGTATGTTAGAAGGGAAATATTATAGAGTGCTTGAAGCTGTCCTCCCCTGACGTCCACTCACGCACAGTACAGACGTGACGAACGCTCTCCGAGTCTCGCCAATAACACAAATAATTCACTTGAGACACTCATACGTCCTTTATCTGGGCGGTCCGGGGCTGGGCACTGCCTGTAATCATATACATCGCATACGTTTTGATGCGGGAACGGCCAGAGATATGGCATGCGATGTCACTATTTAGTATTAACACTAAAAGTTTGAGAAAGAAGGGAACGAAAACGTTCAATACTTATGAGTCAGTTATGACACATGTCATAATTGACTGGTAGTGCTTCTTGTGTAGACAATACATGTTTGTAGTAAACAAAAGAGTGGTAATATTCCCATTTTTAAACTCACCTAAAGGGTGCCCAGTAGACTGAAGTGCATGTACCTTCGGTGTCCGCATAACTGAGTCTGAGGTATGAGTGTACTGTTTTTTTGCTGTAAATCCGGAATCAATATGTTTGACAAACTAAACCCACGACATGTCATGAAGCATATGCTCTCTCTCCCCTCCCCCCCCCCCCCCCCACACACACTGGTGAATATGTAAGTGACTCGAAAACAAATCATTTCGGCCCCCCGTGTGAATTCCCCCGCCAGCCAGTAGAATAGGGGGGGGGGCTGCTATAGTACTAGTAGTAGTGATGAGACCCTCACAATGATTGCCCCTGTGATGAGCATTGATTTCATTTGATTCAAGTAAGTAATTAATTCCTGTTCAAGCAGGTGCATGGCAGTGGCAATGCCTGTAAAACGGGGCTTACTCGTCGTCAGAGAAGTGAGAGCAACTGCAAGGTCCATTCAAACGTCGTACACATCCCTCAAACCCATCACGTGGAGTGCTCTGAATGAAACTGTGTTGCGAATTACCCTGCGTGAAGTAAGTTACTGATAGTTGATGTCAGTATGTAATGTCTAATGACTGTGATGCTTGCTGTTATTTGCTACAAGTCTGGTCTTGGGGACTAGCACCGCCAACTCACCTCTACTCTCCCTTCCAGCGCATTCGGTCCGCCGACCAAGCGGACAGACAGCTTCGTTGGCCGCCGCCTCTCTATGCGATTGGTTTCCTCATTTTCCTGACCGTGGGCTGGTCCCACACAAACGGTTGCGGCGAACAGAATCAGGAGTAGTGCCATCAAGCTCCAATGGATTCGGAGCCTATTCGCAAACATGGCTACTTCCTTACTAAAACACTTGAAACCTAACCAGTGACCTGCATTTGAACCACTGAAGATATTCTGCCTAATCGTATACCGCACAATAACTCAACCACACCGCAATGCTAACGGACACCTATGAAGTCAAGGAGCGGTCGTTCAAGAAAGAAGAAAACTGGTGCGTTGCATTGTTGTGCTCGGAAAATATTTCGTAATCGTAACCAACAATCAAGAGAGTGGAGCACTAGCACCGCGCCTGGAAGCAATTAAGTCGCCTCACCAGCTCGCTACTTCAAACATTATCATCGCAGCCACAAGCAGTCTTACCAGAGTAACTACAGCAGTCCAATCCAGTCCATAGTCCAGCCGTGTCCACGCTGACTCCCGTCAAATTCTGACAGAAACAGCGCTCCGGGGAAACAAGATCTGTCGAACTGTCCTCTAGCACCACTCAAGCCAGTTGCCGGAACATTTGCAGTTGTCTGCTGTGGTTGTCGAGGCAGTCGGTTCGACAGCCAGCTGCCAATGCCGCGAACCGCCATGCATAGTGCTGCTGCTCTCAGAATCTCCTCGGGAACACAGGCATTCATTGTTGTCCCAGTAAGTCTGACTCTTACTAGTCTTAGTGTAGTCTGCTGAGTCTCTCGCACTAACACTCGCAGGTGCTTTTCCTCCCTGGCCTACAACAGCTGTAGTGTAGCTAGGTGATCACAGACACAGGCTCCGCAGTAGACCTACATCAGTAGAATTTTCTGATACATGTACTGATGTAGATCTACCGCACTTTATGTTGCACATAGGAATCCAGGCGCTCCCCATAATAACTTGCATAATCAGATAATACCAGTCCTCATGCCACATGATAAAGCTCACCCACTGCACTGAGTGGTGAAGACGAAGATAACCAGCAGCAAGCGCTGTATTCATGGTATTCGCGCCCTCAACCCTCATTACATCTCTACTAGATCTGTACTACAGGGCGACCACGAAGTCGTTCATGCAACCATGTGGCCATGTAATGGGACAAAGTCAAACAGAGTATGGCTTGGTAATAAGCTTATTGGCCCAGGCTTGGTACTACATGTATTACTAATACTAGTAAGTAGTAATACCAATGCGGGATTGTGTGTTTACATCTTTCATACCAGTCGACGACCGTGATACCGGTTGCACACAACGACAGTCATTATGATAAACAATCATAACCCAACATCGTGATAATGAGGTTCGCCCTGGACTGCTGGAGTTGTTGATCAGTCCGTTACATCTTCACTACTGTACTTACCTACAATAACTACAAGGCAGTGGAAGCGGAATTACCTGTCTACCAGTGTTGCCACCGTCGAAGATGAAACTGACCTCGAAAGCGATGGTGTTGTGTGAACCTAACCACTCGACAAGGGCAGGGAGTCGAGTCGGGCCGAAACCACTCCCCTACTCGGGCCTACTGGCCCTAGCCTAGCCCTGGCCCTGCAGGCCTGGTGAACAAAAGCAACAATCAGCGTCATATCAACTCAGCTGTCAATCTACCCAGCACAGAGCTAGAGCCATACAAGCCGAAGAAAGAAAAAAGAAGAAAAAAGTCTACAGCACGAGGTATTCCCAGGCGGTCACCCATCCAAGTACTAACCTCGCCCGACGTTGCTTGACTTCGGTGATCGGACGAGAACCGGTATTTTCAACGTGGTATGGCCGTAGACATCTATGGTTCGTCAGCGACTGCTTTTATTCCTTTTCTTCAAGACTGATCATTTTCAGAACATCATAATCATGATAATCCAGCGCCAAAGGGACCACTGACACTGTATTTGTCGACAACGCCTCAAGGCTCAAAGCGGACAAACTGAAAGGGCATGACTTCCAAGTAATAGCAGGAGTCCATAAACATAGCTTACATGTACATACTCTTGGTAATATGCATGTACCGGTACATGCAGAATCCAGAGTAAAATGAGCTACCAGAACTACTCTTCACAGACTTGCTTTTATACTTTGTCTTCCGAAAATTTCTACCAGGATGAAATATGTATACTCTACTCATGGTACAATGTATTACATCAAAACACCAAAGGTACACACAGATGGGAGCTATAATCATACTCTTGGCACACGATTGCATTACTACTAATTGCCGCCCGGCACATGTGTGATCAGGGGCGTCGGAAGGTATTTTAGTGTGGTACGGTCAGCCATCTGAACTACAATTTACTCGTGGGGGCGTGGTGGCTGAGCCGAATATTTGGGAAATTTAGATCCCAAATCAGTGTATTTTATTGATTCACGGGGTAGAATCTACCTGGGGTAAAAAGTGGTACGGTCAATACCGTAGTGACCGTACCGTGTCCGACGCCCCTGATGATGCACTGACATTAACCATTGAGGTGCAGTAACCTGTAGCCATGCACAAGTTCGTGCTTTGAGAGTTCATTTCCCCAGAAGCAAATGGTGGCTTTATACAGATTGTGTAATTAATTATTCAGCGTGATTTGCACAAATAGTACCAGCGCGCATGCTGGGTATGATGGTACACTGGAGATCGTCGTATCGTACCGGTACTTCCCCCATGACAATGCGGCAACCAGACTGTCAGCCTTTTACAGTGCTCGTATAGCAGAGGCTCGAGTTGGACACGGATGGAAGTCCTACGGAGCACCATCACAAACTTTTTTGTAGCACACATGTGATAGGGCCCGATTATCTGGCCGGGGCACTAGTTGTACAAGTATAGTGAAATGCAAACATGAACTACTTCCAAGCAGATAGGAATCAAACGATAACAATGTGAAAACAACGCACAGAAATGAAAAAAACCAACAACACTACAACAACAACAACAACAAAACAAGCAGTGCATGATTGTTATGATACAGCGCAAGAACAGTTGTGGTAAAAACCAGAGCAGGAGAAAATTAAGGTCTTTAAAACTTAATGGAAAAAATGGAGCTATATGTATGTTAAGAGTAAATGCTCAATGTTCCACAGAGAAATACATGTTGACAAGGGACGTGCAAAGACAATCTAACCAACGGATGATACTACAACCTGTCGCAGCACATCGTCGGCTGAGCGAACGGCAATTTTCATGGTGACACTGTCGGTGAGCGCGAGGCGAGCGCGCACGAGGACCTTCTCGTGATTGCGGAACATGCCGGCCAGTAGGAGCACATGCGTCGATTTTCCTTCTTGCACTTTCCCGGTGCGCTCACAAGCGTGCATACCCATGAACTGCATCACCTGATCAACAGCAGCTGTAGACGAGAGAACAATGACAAACATAGCAGCAACAACAAATGAACTCATCAGTAAGTCAGGGTATATTAGGAATCTATTTAGGATCAAACACCCATAAACAGGAACATGCAACTGTCATACTGGGCAGAGCGCTGTCTTCAACGCAAAACCTGTGAGCATGTGCCTGTTGGCTGCATACTCCTGTGGTACACATGGCACGAAAGACACTTCAATCCAAATAGGTTAGGAAAGCTCAGTCTTACCTTCGAGACTCTTCATGCTGGTCAGGGCGTAAGTATCCTCATCCTCATTGTCCTCTCCTAGCTCTTCCCATGTTGTTGAGAAACTCGATGTGGCCAGCGGGGACATATGATCGGCCAGTGTCACCTCGAGATCCTCGAGCTGGATATAACACGCGCACGCACACGCACACACACATACAGAAGAAAACACTGTTAGTGGCATGGTCCACCAGCACTTGGCAACAGAAAGAAAGTGGCATAAAGCTGCAGGGACGGCCTCTAATACACCAAGAAACCATGGCATACAGCCAGCAGTCTGCAGAACAGTCCCCAGCCCAGGGACCACAGTGACTCTAACACCACTGAAAGCTGTCAACACTGACACCACTCTAAGATGAAACAGAGCCAGCAGATTTTGATGTGAGTGTGGTGACACTTGCAGCAACAGACGTAGAGAGCCCAGTCAAATCAGCACCTGCACCAGTCCCCCCCCCCCCCCCCCCGGACCAGCCAGAGCAGAGCACACTTACCACATATTCATCTTCATATCCATCTCCACCGTCCGGTTCTTGAGTAACGGGGTCACAGTCCTTGACGATGAATTTCAATGTGCACGAGAAGGATCCACTTGCTACAGCAGTAGAAGTAAATACAAGCAGATATCAGATTGCTATGTCTCTTCACATTGAAAGGGCAGTTCTGGTATAGATGTACCAACCTGAATAAATTCCAGCCACTGTGATGCAAGCAAAACTAAGCAGTCAGATCAGCAACGGTGGCCCAGGCCGCGTTGTAACGTAGTGCTATCAAACACAATGTACATGTACATGCAAATCACACACTTGCGTGTGTTCACAAATTGCTGCTTCCATCTGTTTATACATAAATAACTTACCACATAGACTGGGATCTTCATCCAGTGCCATGCATGTGTACGTTGTGGACGGCTGGTTGTACGGCAATCGGGCAATTGGTACGGTGTTCACTAACTCAAAGCCCTCATCGCCAGTCTCCAAGGCCACGCTTACATTCTCCAGCAGTTGATCGTTTAGTGTATTTGTACAGTCAAACTGTGTGGGCAAGAACACATAACCATACATGCACAACACATTGGTAAGAACAGCCAACTAATTACTTGTCTGTAAAATCACAACACAGAGCACTTCACAAACATACAGTGTAGCAGACGAGAATACTCAACTAGTATCAGATGCATATCGACTGACAGTTACAGACTAAATGTGGAAGTGCACATTGATGGCGCACATATTTAGAAGATGTGGATACATCAGCAATTTAGTGCGTCAACAAGTGCAGGGCAAAGGCCAGATCACCGAACACTGTGGTGCACCAGTACACGGTACAGATACTTGACAGCAATACACATCCAACAACTCAGCCAAACACCGAACATCTGCGTAGCTGACCTGGAAGACGACGTGATTGGCGAACATGTGGCGGACACAGCGGACGACATACTCTGTTTCGGACTCGGTCAGCTCCACTGGTTTGATAGACGAACGGAAGAGAGGGCCCAGGTCGGCAAACTCTGGAATGGCAGCCAGTTGCTCTACAAAACACAGACATAGGGACAGGACGGAATTACACCAAAGCCACAACTAACAGGTACAGTCAAGTAATCAGAGTTGATTGCAAGCCAGTTGCAAGTGATCATGAACAGGAGTTCAGGGCAGAAGAGAAGCACAGTATACCTGAGTACACATCTTGAGCAGAGGCACCAGTCTTTGCTGCCGCTGCTGCACCGCTTGCTGATGCTGAGCCGGTGGTCAGTGAAGCTGCTGTGGAGGCACCAGATGTAGCTGTGCCTAAACGAAGAAACACAAGCACACAGGAACACACGCACAAGCACATGCAAATACATACTTAGCCATTATGACAGTGACACAGTAACACCGAGAAGAAGGACACACTCCAGGCTCCTGAACATCTCCAAAGTTTTCACTAGTATACAATAGGGAGGTTCCGGAGTACGATTTTTCGTGCCAAAATCCGTAGAGGCGCTACGGATTTTTTATACGTCGTTTTCGAGCAGTGAAATGTTCCGGAGTACGGAACTTATGTGTTTGCCGTCATTGCCTAGGTTACGATCGCAAACACGTCACATTCCCGCGCTATGCCTTTGTATTTTGAAAAATTGTACCGAAATCAAAACTTCCCGCGGAAATCGATGTTTCTCGTACCAAATTTGTACGCGAAAAATCTTTCTGCACCCGATTTTGGCAAAATCTCCATACGAAACATGGTTCGTGTGAAAGCCAGTCCACACGGATTCTCCGTGCCGAAAAATCGTATGGAGCACGCCGGGAAAAAATCCGTAGCGCCCACACCGATTTTGGACAAAAAAATCGTACCCCGGAACCTCTCTAATACAGTACTTTCACGCCTTATCGAAAGAGTACTTTCACGCCTTATCGAAAGCTTTGGGCTTTCGAAGTGAAGCTCACAATCATGATTCAATGCCTTCTGACCAAGTAAAACGGAAAGCCATAGCAACCCACGGGCTGTGGTGCACCAACACAAGTCATTAACACGTTACTACAACACTGCTCAATGAAATCCAATCGAGTGAGTCAAGTTTGCACTCTGCACCAGTGAACATCCCGCTGTTTGGAGGTCTACAAGCCGTAGGGCTGCACAGCGCCCGGCGCGTGCTTGCCTCAAGCACTCAGTTTTTTTTTAGCCGCACTGCACTTTAAATTATAAGAAGCTCACCAAGTCTAGATGAGTCCGCTGATGTCTCCAGAGGTACTGTCTTGATATCAAACGGTACATCATGCTGACTAGTGTCATTCATGTACGTGAACAGGGCACTCTCCAGGCCGACAATGGAAACGGGCAGGCGATTCAGCACATACGTGTTGATGTGTGATTTCTGCTGGTCTTTGAGTAGATGATAGTAGAACGTGGCGCGGTCGCGTACTTCATCATCCGTATCATACAGACCCCTAGATCACCACCATGTACAATGAACAACATAAGTCAACAAGTACCCACAGCAGCCTTCCATGAGACTATTCTGAAAGTGCAAACTACATAAGACCCTTGAACTCTCAAAACACCTATGATGGCAATACAGCATACGTGAACAGTAACAGAAGGAAGGACAATGAATGGTCATCAGATTGCCTCCAATACATTGGTAACAGTGGCACGTACCAGTGAGCCAAACACCACCACAACAGGCATACGTGTGCCATAAAAACTACTTTTTAAAAGCCAAACTAGAATTCAGATAGCAACATACCGCTCCAGAAGAGTAAGGATACTGGGCAAAAGCTCAGCATCAGCCGCACCAAATTTAGCGAGGGCAGTAATAGCAGCTACAAAGCCGAGGAGAAACGTGAAAACACAAACACAGCATGCAATGAACACTCAGCAGCTCGCCAGGAAATACCACAAGCACCCCGCCATCGACCAAGTACAGTGTTAGTGTCCTGTCATGTGACACGATTGCCTTTCAAAACCGAACAACTGGTCTACATGGCCCGTGAGAATATTTCACAATGCGCCAACATTTCATGGCCTGGGGTGGATGCAATCCAGCTCCACAGGGTCAAGGTAGATACACCACAGCAATCTACAGAATGCATGCTCGTGCAGGCACATAAGTATACGTACACATGCACGCGCAGTCAAGCCCACTCACACGCACCTGCAATCAAACATACACGCACCTGCAATCAAACATACACGCACCTGCAATCAAACATACACGCACCTGCAATCTAACACACACACACACACATTCACTCACTCAACCCCCCACACCATACCGGCTCTGATCTGAGCATTCTCCAGCATGACACGGTTGTAGACATAGCGGATATACGTGTTTGGACGAGATGAACGCGATCCTTCCACACCAACAAGATGCAGTACACGCACAGCCAGGTTGACATGCTCACAGTCCTCAATGTACTCGCACAAGTGACCCAGACCTGGAAAAGAGACAACAGCAAATGCAACACGATCATTCCTCTGGTGGGTGCGAGTGTCAAACCAGGGGACAATGCTGTGGTGTACACAGGCTTCCTGAATTAGTATTATAGCATTGTACTATAATAGTATACTGCACTCGCATGTGCATCTGTTTTGTTCCATTAGACAATCAATGTAAGTTGTTCGATCTCAGTACATTACACGTGCCACTTTCATAGTGTCCTGGTACCCTCTGTTTCTCAACCATGGTCTAAGACCATCCCACTATGGCTGACTGTTGATTGAGAAACAGAGGGTACCAGGTTCAAGTCCTGCTTGCAAGCGGAATGATTATTTCCAGCTGTGCTGTGACCCACAGTTAATTGGTAACTCGTGGCCTGGCACGAGGGAAACATGGATGTAGCGAATGGGATTTTCGGTCTTTGACCACTTTGCTGGTGGGCTGATCCACTCACCTCCCACCTCTTTAGAAGCGAAAGCATTAGCACACAGCGCCACTCAAAGGATTCTGATCGAAAGCACAGCCCGGTGTTCGCAGGTCTGGGGCTGCACAGCGCCCGGTTCGTACTCAACTCACACGATCAGATTTCATGAGCAGCACTGTAATATGATGTAGAGGAGCTGATACTGTAACACAGCAGCAGCAGCAGGACATTTTTACGAAAGGTACGCTCTCTTACAGGTATCCTTGGCTTCGGGGTTCTCTTCCAGGATGTTGATGATAGCTTCCACAATGGCCGTCTTGAACTCAACACCACCCTGTATATACGCACAGACAGACAGACAGACACACACACACTAGTTGTTGAAGAAGATGCGCTCATTTGTCCAGTGTCCATCAGAGACACATGTCACACGTTGAACTCCTGCCTCGCTTACTCAGGGCTCACTAATCCGGTAACCTTGATTGTCCAGCCCTGACATACGTGAAAGGAATACCGTACTGGCAATATATGTTGCCGCAGTGAGGCCATGAAGCGTTACATTGGCACATGTTTGCCGCACGCAGGGCGTTACATGCAAAGTCGCACAGGAGCCGTTACACAGGTTTCTATATTGCCGCAGTCCTTTTTTTGCTATTGCCGCATCACTTTTGTGCTATTGCCGCATCATTTTTTTTGCTTTTGCCGCATCATTTTTTTCTTTTCATCCACATTGAAGGCACAGAAATTCAGTTGCTATCCAACTGTTACAAACCCGACGGCAAAGGGCGACAACGATAACAATAGAAGACTGTATATTTTAACTATCAGAGTGATCTGTTCACAAAAAGATCATCAAAAGGAAAGTGACATAGGGGAAGAGCGCTTCCTCCAAACACTACTGTCACTCACACATTGAGATCGCCAACCACTGAATGATGCGCCTTCGAGTGTCAGGACTTCCTGCTGCGTCCAGTTTTGAACTTTTCACCACGCGGTACACGTGCTTTCACAGTTTTCAGCCTTTTTTTGCAGTGCAAACTGCAATGAAAAGATCGCCGCACCCCGCCGGACGCGCGTTACGAACTCAACGAAAATTTGTCGCACTAGCCTGGTCGCGCGTTACGCCGCACCCCCTGCGTTACGCGTTACGCGGCAACATATATTGCCAGTACGGTAGATGTGAACACGATTTCCTATTTTAATAAAGATTCCTGAATGGCAGTTCTCAACATATTCAGGCAAGTTGGCTTTGCCAGACACGCCTCTGAGGGGCTTTGCCCAAGTGTGTCCGGGCAAGAGGGGTAGGACTGCACTGTGCAAAGTGATGAAGCGGTACATACAGACAAGACAGCACAATGGTGTAGCCTGCCTGCATCTAGTGAGTGAGCCAAATCCAAACAAAACAGAGGAAAGGACACACAAAGCGAAAAAAAAGAATGTGATTGGAGTTGATGAAGGTGCATAGCTACGACCACTTACCTCTTCCCTCAAAGCAGTCCCAAGGAATGACAACATGGCTGGGTACTTTTTCGGGAACCTTGAGCAAAGGTTGCTGCAGTAAAAACCAAGCAGAGAATAGGTTTCAGAGACATCTATCAGCACAGAAAAAAACCAAGCAACGTCCATTTCAGCTATAGGCAGACAGACACAGTCGAACACAATAAAACATTATAATACTAGTAGTGTTTTTCTTACCGGATAGCATCAACAATGACCACTTTGAACTCCTCAGCAATGTCACCCATGTATGTGGAGATCTGTTTCATCAGCAAGTCAATCTTGTTCTCTTGGCCAGTCTGTTAAAAGGACATGAGAAAGAGAGAGAGAGAGAGATTACTATCACCGCAATATAGCTTCTTACAGTGCTGTGCACCAACACATAGTGGATGATAGGTATACACTAAGGGCTCACAGTGTTGGGTCAATTCAAAATGAAAGTTGACTTCACACATGAGGCAGCAGCAGCAGCAGCAGCAGCAGAATCCACCGACAGTACATAGTAGAGACACTTGCCTTGAGCAGTGTGGTGATTGCCAGTGTTGCAATGCTACGATTGCTGTCAGTGATGAGAAGTTCCAAATCATGATTGACTATCTGGATCAGTGACGGATCCTGCATAGCCATCTGCAATCAAATTGAATAAGAAAAACAAACCATAAAGCAAACACATAGCAATCAGAACTAACAGTGCTAGTGACCACCGTACAGTACTGTCAGTAGTACAATATCAGGGGAACTCCAGTTGCGCTGGGTGAAATCCCACCCAGAGTGCATATTTGGCGCCCTCAACTTGCACGGCCCTTGACGCCCTGGAATTGGTATGAACTCGGCTGGACGCACACATGTACAAATACAGTGATGTAATCGGAACTGGTCCACGGTGCCAGCTTTGCACTTTGGCTCGGATTTCCCTGAACGCAACTGTAGTAACAAAGAAGAATGCACCAGGAGTGTGGAATGGCTAAAGAAGAGTGATCTCCCCCGTGAGTCCGTTCCTGGAGTGTGTTCACTGGGCCGCAGGCCCGGTCTTACAGCACATTTGGCAGTGAGTTTGGGCTCATTTCCGTTCTCTCAGAGCTTTCCAGGATGCACAGGACCATGGAAAACATCCAAAGGCAACCACAGTTGTTGGCAGGAGAAGATATTAGAACAAATGGGAACTTTGCCAAAATACCTATTTGCAGTGAATTTATCAGACAACAATCAAGAGTACGTGAAACCCAGAGTGTACAGCTCCGATGGGTTGCTGTCACGGCGAAATTCCGTGATTACATCATTTTAGTGACGTAGTGCGTACAAGCAGGATTCAAGCAGGTCTCTTTCTGCACAACTGTAGCTCAGTTGCACGCACTACGCCACTTCCCGCCCCAGATCTTAACCAAATATGATGTAAATCCCGGAATTTCGCCGTGACAGACACTCATGCAGAAAAATTCAGAAGCTGTGCACTCTGGGTTTCATGTACTCTTGGTACAAGTAAAAGGTTTAGAACGAGACAGTCTGAGGTCGCTGAAGTTATGTTCTTGGAACCCAGAGCCGACTGAAGTGTATACAGATTCCAGAGAGGTTAGAAATTAAAGAAGCTAATCTAAGATTCATCGCGATCCCATGAAAGAAAAAAAACAGAACAGGAAAATAAATCATGCCTTCGCAGAACCTACCTTGTTGAGCGCACGGAGAGCAGCAAATCGCAGAGTCGGCTTCGGAGAGTTGAGCATGATGGAGAGAGCTGTGCAGATACAATTCAATAGGACAAGTGACAAAGACACAAACCCATATGGACTATATAAAACAAGACAAGAATCAGCCAAACTCAAAAACCACGTAGTGTACAAATGAAAAAAAAGGAGAAGATACCAACAGCAAAAGAATAAACCAGAGGGCTTAAAGGGGCACTCCGGGAATATTTTCGGTGGTGTGTTCTCTTCATGGGTGCCTTGTATGGCCCCCAAGGAATGGGGAATCGCGAAAACTAGACCCAAAAAGTCGATATATGAAGCCAGGGAGGGCCAAGTTTGTCTCCTCTTTTGATGGTTTTGATGACGTCACGTGTGATTAGTATTCAAATTCTCTGCATTTGAAGATCTTAGTTGTTTGAATTTTCTGGTGATGAAGAACGATGTTTGGTCGACATTCCCAAGCTTCACAACTGCGGACCTACTCTAAGGAACCTGAAGGACCCTCTGAGGTGCCCCTGGTAGAAGCGCAGCCTGATGAGGGCCAGGAGATTGGAGCGGACGACTTCACTGGTCCGCGTACGAGGATCCCGAAATTCTCTATATGTCGTGAGGCATATGGTCAGAACAGTTTTTTTAGACAAGCTGACACGAAGTCGGGGTGATGTGTAACGCACGTCAAAGGGCTGTCAATGCTAACAGCTGCAGCGCTCTCTCGACAGCGAAGGTAATCGACTGCCCTCTGCATCACCCCACATTTCTGGCAGGAACACCAATCGTTATTTCCTTGTCGACCAGTGAAGTCGTCCGCTCCAATTTCCTGGCCGTCATCAGGCTGCGCTTCTACCAGTGGCACCTCAGGAGGTCCTTCAGGTTCCTTAGAGTATGGTCGCAGTTGTGAAGCTTGGGAATGTTGACCAAACATCGTTCTTCATCACCAGAAAATTCAAACAACTAAGATCTTCAAATGCAGAGAATTTGAATACTAATCACACGTGACGTCATCAAAACCATCAAAAGAGGAGACAAACTTGGCCCTCCCTAGCTTCATATATCGACTTTTTGGGCCTAGTTTTCGCGATTCCCCATTCCTTGGGGGCCATATAAGGCCCCCATGAAGAGAACACACCACCGAAAATATTCCCGGAGTGCCCCTTTAACAAGTATGCCAGCTACACGAAAACAGAAACTCACTTGAAACTGCTGTGGTTGTGATGGAGCGAGCCTTAGCATCAGTGAGCTGACCAAGACAACGTGCAGCTTCGTACATAACCATCTGCAAAAGAGGAGCACAGCGTGAGTGAGCACTGGTTGCGAGAGGACACAACTTATCTAGAGACAGAATAATGAAAAGCACAACACGATAACTTAGCCCACTAGAGCAACTAGCTTGTAAAGGAGAAGTCAACTTACCTCACTCTTATTCCGGACACAGCTCTCCAGGAAATTGATCAAGTCGCTGGGGGCAGAGCTATATGAGGGCAGCCATACAAAGAAAGAGAGAGAGAGAGAGAGAGAGAGAGAGAGAGAGACAGAGAGAGAGAGAGAGAGAGAGAGAGAGAGAGTGGAAGTGGGGTGGTTAGTGAACAATCATGCTTGGGAATGATGGCAAAATTGGGCTTACTTAGCAAAACCATTTATACAGAATCAAGGAAATAACAAACTTGATTCTCCTCATGCTCGCAACAAGGACATTGGTTTGGCCAGCAGGGCTGCAACATTACCAAAGCTTCCTTTGTACCACACATAGCAGAAACCTCGTCATATTTGATGGATAGCAAATAGTTGCCAAACACACATCCTTACCCAGGCTCAGATTCTTCCAATGCTTTGGCAGCAATGCGAATCTAAAGCAGGAGAGAAAACAGACAGCAACAGCACACCGACTGTGACTATAGTGCCACGCCAGATGAAATGACACTGCACGAGACAAGCAGATAATTCAAAACGATCTGAGGGAGGAAAGTTATTGATGTAATTATGTGGATTAGGTAAGGTACATCGATGACACCAGTCCCCTGAGGCAACAGAAAAGAACTACGAGCATGGAGTGTAGGGTGGTGGCAGCCATATATTCAAGGGAAAACGGCCTATGAAAGTCAGCGAGCGACGGGCAGATAGACGATGCCTTACCAAGAGACATGTAGCATGGGGCGACCTTAATGACGACTTGGTATGCTTGGCGACAAGCTTGCTAACAGCCATACGGTCAGCAGAGCGGATGTGGTACAGCAAACCAAGGGCATGATACTGTAAAAAGTGTACAAACCAAAAAACACACACACAAGATTAAGCACTGCACGAACAGTAAAGAACATCTACGTCAAGTGCAATCAATTACATGTGCAATGGGGAGGCAAACAAAGCAGAAACAAACGAGAAATTACAGACACGAGTACATACCTGAACCATCCTGTTCTCGCTGGACACAGCTTCCTGAACCTCATTGACCCAGCGCTTCACCACTTCATTGCCCTTCAACAGCATATGCTGAATTTCAAACAGAAAGACCAATCACACCTTGACCTTGACCTTTGACGCCCATCGCCGGAGGCGATGATAGCAATGCTACGGCAGAAGCCATAGCAACTTGTGCTGGGATTGCACCATTCAACAGCTTGCAAGGCTGAAGAATTGACCGTCACTATTCAGCCTGGTCTACACCATACAGCTATTTGAAGTGACTTTTTCTGGCCAGTGAATCCCTATTTTTGGTCTTTTTCTTTTTTCTTTTTTTCTTCTTTTTTTCCCACACACACATCACACCACATACTCCGGCATGCACTGGCTGTTGGTAACCACCCAGGAGAATGAAAGAAAAGTCAGGAAGAGTCTGAGAAAGAGAAGAAAGACGTGTGTGACCATAATCGTCGGGAATCGAACCCGCAACCTATCGATTGGAAATCGCTGCACATACCACTGCACCATATGGGACACACACACACACACACACACACACACACACACACACACACACACACATCACACACACACACACACACACACACACACACACACACACACACACACACACACACACACACACACACACACACACACACACACAGGGCTTGTACGAAACACGCCACGCAACTCAAGAAATTCTCCGAATATGCTCTTTAGTTATTCAAACACACGGGCCACCATCAATTCTCCATAATAGTCTCATTTCAATTCAAAAATCTACGCTGCAAGACACACCCCAACCTCCACTACTGTGACTACCAGAAAGATTGCAGAAGCACTCACACAAACACCAGAAAAGACATCCAACCGCCAGCAGATGTTGGTAACTTACAACGGAAGACACAAGCGCGGCACTTGCTACAGTCGGATTCCTGTCGACGATGGCTTGCTTCATGTACCTCTCAATACTTTGGATCATTGTGCTCTGCACATACACAAAGTAATTCACAAGGAGTCACTGTTAGAAACATGGAAATAAACATAATATAACACCACAAGCATGGCGCAGCATGACCAGAAGATGAACAATGGCACAGCACTACATCATGATATAGCAGGCATGAGCACTACCAGCAGTCACATCGTCACAGTTATTACATGGAACACCTGTGAGTGGAAGCTGCAGAACAGGGGTGGTGAATCAAACAGCAATCACAGAAATCTTACGTCAGTGATCCTGCACAGTGCACGAATAGCACCACCTCTGTACAGATCCTCCTGCAAATGGTGCAACACACGTACAGACAACAAATCAGAACAACAGCAGAATGAGGAATATGGTGCTTGGAGTGACCTTGTTCATTCCACAAAGATGCGCCAAACGACAAAGTTCTCCAGTCCGCTGTCCAGCAGCATGCCCAACCCACCCTCTCAATACTCTGGAGCTGTAAGTGAATACATGAACAATAAAATCTCGAGGAGACAAAATCACAGACTCTCAACCCACCTTTCCAGTCATGTCCTTGGTCAAGCTAAAAGCAGAAAAACACACGAGATTTGCACAATGTTAAAACCGCAGCGCACTAAATCACCACAGCGTACATTCATGCACCGCACCTACCTAACTATAAGTCCCATCACGGAGAGCTGCAGCATTGCAAGCAGGAAGCCACCCACAGCATGAAGTGCAACCACACGCCCTGACCTAGGGACATCAGCTAAAACGCACTGCCTACCTGCTAGTGACAATGATGACATCCTCCGACACGTTGGCCATTTCCTTGATAGCCAGGTACAGCAAGCGTCGGATGACGGGCTGACAAAGAGCAAAGTACGAAGAACACAGAGCAAAGTGAGGACAACTACTTGCCTACTACCGTATTTTACCGGTTGTAAGTCGACCCCGGTTATAGGTCGACCCCCGTATCTGGAGGTCTCAATTCTGCGTTTTAAAGTTTTCACCCAAAGAAGCACTACTAGTACTAGCCACCTTCTGCTACTAACACATCAACAAATCATGTAAACATTCCTTACTGGAGGGTGTAACGTCCCAATCCTTGTATTTATTGAAAAAGGCCAGTAAACTGGCAAACATGTGTAAACATGGTGCACTCGTGCATGCAGTGCAGGTCATTTTTGTAAGATACTGATAGTTCCCGGTTATAAGTCGAATCCTGGTTGTAAGTCGACCCCCCACCCTTTCTCCTTCCATTTTAAGTCGTAAAAGGTCGACTTACAACCGGAAAAATACGGTACTAGTACTACTGTACTAGAAATTGTTGTTTTCATGCGTACCACACGTCGGAATCATGGTTGACAAAGATACTACATTGTGGAATTCACGGCTAGAGGGTGCCGACAGTTGGTAAGTTCCGTAAGGTTCGCACTCCTATTGCAACAATTGGTCAGATTCGCAGGCACACTATTAAAAAAAAGCACTTGAGAAAGCTGAACCTTATGCCTACCTTTTGAGATTGGAATAATTTAGTCATGGAGAAGAAGGTCTCGGTGGCTTCCTTCGTTCCAATGGTCTCGCCCTAAGAACACAGGGTCACCACACGCAATACATGGGCTATGCTCAGTAAACTACTACCTGTGAATACAGTACACAGAAGCATACTTTCAGGCAAATGTTAGGCCAAGTAAAAAATATTGATTGTTTATCGTCCGCGCCCGCCCCGAATTTTCACCCTCCCGGCCAAATTATTATATTTTTTAGTACTGGTAAATGCACTGTATGTCCTGCCTTCTACGGCCTCTAATCAGCATGGCCCAGATTTTCGAAGGTCAAGTCCACAGACTGAACCATAACTTGGTCGCTATGGCCCTAGTATGGGCTTGAAAAGTGAAACTGATTATCAGCTGCCTGATTTCTTCATTTTCTACATTGGTTGTTGCAACTTTCTTTAGGAATGGGTTTGCTCCCACACACCTTTCCTTATTAGAATCCTCAAAATTGTCTTGCAAGATGTCATTCGTGGCTGACGATTCATCTGCATCCCATGGATTTATCTCACTCTGCGCCAAAATGGCTTCAAAAAAATACATCAACAAAAAACCCAAGAAAAAGGCATGTCTGGGGTTGCGAACACCTACCCGGTACCCTACAGCCCAGGGAGTCGTAAAATAAAAAAATAAATGGTATTTTACGACTCCCTGCTACAGCCATACATGTACTGGGTACATGCATGATAAAAAATAAAAAATAAAAACCCTCCCGTCCGCCCCGATTTCTCGGGAAAAGCTGACGATAAACAATCAATATATTTTACATGGCCTTACATACAAAATTGTGAGCTACACCTCCGGATATTAACCAGATGACTCTTTCTCCTGAAAGAAAAATCTACTTGAAGTAGCAGAAACTAGACGAAGGATGCCACCAGTGCAGCAGACTGCTTGAAAACACTCCAATGCCCCGGGTACCAGTGCAGAGCTTGGTACAGCACAACCGTGGACCAAAACACTATTCTGACGTAACTAAATCTCATGCACCTAATGATATCACCTGACAACATAGAGAATGATGGCGATCATGACGCTATATGTACCGTAGTTCCATGAACATAATTCGAATTTTTTCACAATAAACCCAAGATTAAAGATGGGAGAATGGAAATAAGGGGATACATCCCAGGGATACGGTGTGTGTGCGTGTGTGTGTGAGTGTGTGTGTATGTGTGTGTGTGTGTGTGTGTGTGTGTGTGTGTGTGTGTGTGTGTGTGTGGTGTGCGTGTGTGTGTGTGTGTGTGGTGTGTGTGTGGTGTGTGTGTATGTGTGTGTGTGTGTGTGTGTGTGTGTGTGTGGTGTGTGTGTGTATGTGTACGTGTGTGTGGTGTGTGTGTGTGTGTGTGTGTGTGTGTGTGTGTGTGCATGAACCCAGCACGTCGCTATGCATACTAAAGTGGAAGTGGAAGATCTCAAATATAAATAATGCCCCCAGGGACTGGATCCTATGATGTCTCCTGATCACAGAATGCAATACAACTTGATTGAGAGCAGTGGGAACTGAAATAGTGTCTTGAATACGGATGTGCCCGCTAAGAGAGGTTCTACTGTATTGTAGCACATTTTGTTTTTATTATCTTCATTGAAGAGTGTACTCTCAGGTGTGTGTGTGTGTGTGGGGGGGGGGGGGGGGGGGGTGTACGCGCAAGTCTTGAGCTGTCTCATTCAGATCTTGTTCGCTATCGTTGCTATAAGAGAAAATCTGTGGGTGCACATCCAGTGCATTTGCAGATTTGCGTGCTTCTCTTGCGACGGGCGTATACATGGTACATGGTACGCGTGCGTGTGTACATGTACCTGTATACAAGTGAGATTGTGTGCTTGCGCAAGTGGGTGTGCATACAATACCATGCACACGCAAATGAGCATGCACGCACATAATGGTGTGTGCGTACGTGCGTATGCACGTGTGCGCGACTGTGTGCGCATACGTTTATGTGAGTGTGTGCAATGATAGTGCTTGGCAAGTTCTGCTCCATGCCGCCAGGCGTGACTGAAAGCGCCATCTTCAGACTGGGCCAGTAGCTGCCTAATCCACAATAGACATGTATTGGCATGTATGCATGTAAACTGTGTGAATACTAGTACAATGAAGTGTGCTGGATATTATACATTATATCCAGGAATTAGGAAGTTAGGCAACAAATGAAAATTTGTAGTTGCCAAAATTAACATACACGCCTATTCTGTCATAGCCACACCTACATCAAAAATACATAGTCCTGGCCAATAGCAGTATGGGGCGGTTGCATTTGCTGAGTTACGAATTTCTTTCCCTACCTGGTTGATCATGAACATGATCTTCGTGAGTACGTGGCGACATTTCTTCGTATCAGGTGCAGTTTCATTGAAGATCCGTGCCTGAACAAGTACCCAACCGAACGCACAAATTAGCCTCATGCTCGCAGGCCACTATCTACTCCAGTGTATCTAAATATTACCTCCTGAAGAACTGCACTTTTCTCCAGATTTGCAAACGGGTTCACTACCACTCCTGAGACCATACAACAAGAAATCAATCAGTATCTGCACTGCAAAGCTCATAGCCTCAAGGGGCTTATACCTTCATCTTCCTCCTTTTTCTTCAGCATCTTGCTGAAAGAGCTACGAACCTCCTCAGCAGCAAAATCAAAAACAAAAGCACAGTAAACCTGAAATTTGTCTTTCTCTCTTTTCTTCTTCACTTCAGTTCAGACAATCGAGATCAACGAACTCGATCCATACGAAAAAGCAACCTATGACGCATGATTCCACGTCCACAACATAGTCATTCGATGGTTCAGTGCAGTGCATTGTGCAGTGCAGTCTCCGCTCTCGATCTCCAGTGCACTGCACACTGCGGTGCTCCATCCAGTCCGCTAGCACTGCACAGATTTACCGTGCAGTGCCGTGTGGTTCACATGTTCCATGATCCAGAGGTGTGTGATCGTACCCGGGCCGGGGCTACGTGGAACCAACACACGGCCAGGCAAGCGCCATGCCGGCTAAGTGTCCGAGGCAGGTTGTTTTTTTGTTTTTGGATTTTTTGAAGGTTTCTGATTTGAGTGGTTTCATTCAGCCTCAGAGATCACCATTTTCTGTGCTGTCACCGTATTCATTTTTGTCTTTCCTACTGCACCTTGGAAAGCAATAACAAAGTTTTTATTTCCTATCATATGAAGCCTCTTCTTGAAAGCACCACAACACGAAATATCTTGCTCTATTCTCTGAGGCGCAGCAATGGCTGGTGTTAGCAAAGCCATAGGGAGACTGCAAGCTGGGCGAACAATGTTCCTGCTTTGTGACATGCAAGAGAAATTCCGACCTTCCATCCAGCACTTTGATGATATCGCTCAAGTATCACACCGTTTGGTTAGTCGCAACGATGGTTACGTACACTGTACTTCGTCCAGTGTTATTTTATTGGATATGCAATGCTATTACAAGTACATGAAGCTTGTACCGGGTACATTATGTACATGTACGTGAAATATTGCCACACGTGGTCTCCACTGAGGCATGAATTGCTCCGAATGAAAGTTTGGGCCTCTTTCTAAAGGTTTCATGAGAGAGAAATCCCACATTAGAATGTACTGTGGTTTCTTCAAATGAAGTTTATTTCAATACCGGTATAATTATGTTCAAACAAAAAAAGGGTAGATAACTTGTAATGCATGATCAAGTACCTGTATTTGAAGTAAGTACTAGCAAGAGTACATAAACCAGAGTGTGCAACTGTGCATATCAGATCTGAAACAGCGCAGTTCGTGCACTACGTCACCCTGATGAGATCAGCCAAGCCGCGACTTGCGTACAGCTCAAATTTTCATGTTTCATAGCCCGGAAATCAGCCAAGTTTGCTTGATTTTAGACGTCCTGTTTCAGGATTTCGGTGTTTTGTGTGACTGTGTACGCTGCGTACATCCACCGACAAGTAAAGTCACCAGGCTATCCGTCTCAAAAAACCGAAATCAGGACAAACTCAGTGAACTGCACCACCGCGACTGGTTACGCAACTTTTCACCGTACCTGTGGCTTACCATGCCGTCAGAAATGACGTAGTGCACGAATTACGCTCCCACAGGAACCATCCCGAGTTGCACACTCTGGTTTATGTACTCTTGGTACTAGTAGTAGTACAGTGCTGCTCAATGAAATCTGATCGCTTGAGTTTTAAGTACGCGCCGGGTGCTGTGCAACCCTCAGTACAAGACCTGCGAACACTGGGATGTTGCTGCAGGGGCGCAAAGCTGACTCTCTCGATCGGATTTCATCGAACAGCACTGTTGGTCAGCATTACGAAGAGATCTAGCCACTCATACAGCAAGGGATGTGTGTGTGTGTGTGTGTGTGTGTGTGTGTGTGTGTGTGTGTGTGTGCCGGTATTGGTGGTCTAGGTGTGAACATTGTTTCGCTCGTTTTCAGAGGGTGTTCGACTGACTGAGAATGGGCCATTGTTTGAACGGGCCACTTTCTCCATACGTGCAGCCGTTCAAAAGTAGCTTTACAGAGATGTCAACCAACTGGGTCTGTCACTCTGTTTTTGCGTACTTGAAATTCTGATTTTCCGTATTTTTCAGTGTTTTGCGTAGCAATGCACTGCACTGCCATGTACGGTGCTTGTACATGTTTCTTTTCTTTTTCTTTCTTCTGTCACGCACATTCACGGCAGAGGCTGGATTTTCAGTGCAAGCATATGCGACTTGTACGCAAGGCATGATTTTTCGTGCTACGTGTAGTCGTAGCACGGCGTGCGCTCAATTTTGGTACAAGGATATTCATTGCTCAGCTTGCGTTTGCCATGCTTCCACTCAGCTGATCGATCCTTTTCGATTTTCCGTGCCATTTGCTCAAATTCCGTAGTGCGGACGAAGGAGTGATTTCCCGCACTAATACGGAAAGATGCGGAAGGTTGGCAGCACTGACTTCACTTGTAAGACTGGATCGGCACTCTGCTATTGTGTTACCATGGAAACGCCTTTGGTCCCTATACCAGGACCAGTTATTACAACCGAACAAACATGTTGTTTCGCAAGCAAACAGTCAAATCATTGGCATAGCTTTAGACATTAATTTTAGTACTTTGAAATCCAGTTATTGATTATAATATTATTATTGGTATGTGACCAGCATGCTCGATAGGCCTCTGTGGCCTTTGGACAATCCTTAAATAAAAATCAATCAATCAATCATGTTTGTGCTTCTATTTTGGTTGCATTGTGTCATGTAGGTTCAAGCAGCCAAGCACATGAAAATCCCCATCGTTGCCACTGAACAGGTACTGGCGGTTGAGAATTGATGAGTGGTGGTGTGTGTGTGTGTGTGGGGGGGGGGGGGATGTTTATGGTACATGTACCTCACTAGATACACTGGCATTTCTTTAACGAAATATGCTACTTGTTTTCTATCTCTATATGTTTTGCTTCATATGTACTTCCGGTCTAATTCCGTTTCCAATGTTACATTGAGCAAGTACCCCAAAGGTAAGAACTCCATGGCTATCCAAGCCATCAATATTGTCTTTCTTTTGGATTTATTGGGGGGTGGGGATCAGCAAGCAGGAGTGAGAGGTGTTGCGTCTCTCAAACCAGGAGGTGTAAGTCACGAAGTGTCATCAGCCTCCACAGTGCATCATAATACTCTGACGCCTCCGTAGAGGCGACAGGTAAGGATTATCCCTTACTGATGATGCCTGTTCTCTCTGCAGAGTGGACATTCTAATGCTCAGCTTACGTACAGTGGCACTGATTGCTAATGTGCACATTACTTTCTGTGCCATGTGTATGCTTCTGAATAATAATTGTCGAGGGGCAGGCGATACATGGCAGTACATGTAGTATATTTCATGCCACACGTTATATGAAAAGTCATAGATGCGGGTTACCATGGTGTTGCTATGCCAACCACTGTCAATGGTACTGGTATTCCTGGATCAAATATCTTGTTGCCACGTGGGAGTTGTGGGCACTTTCCTGATACCTGGTTTCCTGGCCATAGTCTGATCGTTTACTCTTCCATGGCAACAGCTGTACATTTAGTAATTGCCCACCTTCCCTCGCGCCCAGACCACAGTCCATTCATAAAAATATTGATTTTTTTGCTTTTGGCCATAAATGGGTTGAAATTTGAGTTTTTTTAAAGAATTTTTCTGCGGTCCCCTATGGAATAATCTTCCAATTATGAATCTGAAGTCTATTTCTCAAAGCAAGCCGTAATAAGAATAGGATTTTGGCCAGGTTTAGCCCCAAAATTGCAGAATTGGGAAAACCATGAAAATTCAGGCCGTTCCACCCCACTTGCAACTGTACATGTGCAGTTCGAACCCCAGTTGAGATACCTTTTTTGGACCCTTTTCAGATTTCAAATTTCGCGGCACTGCACCATGCATGGACGATAGAATCAAGAAAATCGCCAATTACGGGAGCTCGTCAGAGCCCATCTTTTTATGAATGAACTGTGGACTGGTGTGTGACATGGTGTTCACCAGGGAGTACTAAAAAGGTTATTTAGTACTCCCAGGTGTTCACATTGGACCGGGCGGCGGGCGCATCCATTTACTCTGAACAAAGGTTGTGAAAGTGTCACATGACCAGAATGAGCAGATTACAGCCATGTACATGAACATGACATTCTTGTGGTTTCTGGCAGGAGATTGAAGTCCGCCTTCGCTTCAAGATCGGTGTGATTCTGTGTGACGATGAAGTGTGTGTACTGAAACTGCACCTGGACAGAAGTCAATACTATTATTTTGTACTTTTTGTTCCTCATAGTTTGGTGTTGAGCGGTGAGCTAACCGATTCACTTTAGGAGATCGTTAATTTTGCACCTCGTTAGAATAATGGCGTTAACAGTATTTGTTGGTGTGTATCTGACTACTCTTGTGACCTAGGTCTTGGTAACACCGTGTCTACAATCGACACCACTGATGTGCCGGTGTTTGCAAAAACCAAATTCTCCATGATGGTGCCAGACGTCAAGGAGCTCATAGCCAAAGAGCATGCACATGTAGACAGCTTTGTCATCTTCGGAATAGAGGTAAGTGGGTTGGAAAGCACTTCGAAGTATCAGTATCTACTTGCAGCAGTCTTCAATGTGAAGTGAATGGGGCAAAGGGTGCAATTAAAAACACAGAACGATGATAAGAGATCATACCAGAAGTTTAGTAAATATCGAACTTTTTTCACCAAACGAATTATTTTAGTTTAGACCCAACCCCTCCCTCCCCCCCCCCCCCCTCAGAACATAAAAAATGTTGACATACATGCGTATACAACAGCCATGTACATGAATCAATGTTTTCTGAAACGAAATTGGTCAACCCCCTCCCACCCCATAACGAAATTATTTCGTTTTGTGAAAAAAGTTCGATATTTATGGACGACCCCTTACTAATTTCCACAACCAGACAGCAATATACTCAGCCCGGATTTAGCCCTTTCTCGACCCCTGACCACTACCACTGTCATGTAGAATGCATTTCAGTCCACGACATGCAGCCATGATGCCGTCTGTACTATTTCCAGTACTATATCGTATTCCTCCTTGTGTTGACTTTCAGACACAAGTGTGTATATCACAGACAACCTTGGATCTTCTCGGCGACAATCACCAGGTACATGTCGTCGCAGATGCGTGTTCATCCCGGAACCTACTGGACAGGAAATATGCACTCAAGGTGAGCAAATAGGTCAGAGGAATTTCACGGAAAGCTATCTCTTTGTCTGTCAAATCCTATATAATTTTATATGATTTTTCCAATTATTGGGAAAGGGTAGATCACACCTTACACAGCAAAGTTCTTTCTTCAAAAACCTGTTGGAGTATGCATTCCATGTTTATCAGAGATGATGTCTGCCAAGTTTCACCAGCACAAGTACAAGGGCTTTACTTTTTCTGTAACAGGCCCTCTCGTGCAAAGGTGTCCAGAATTTTCAAAATCCTATATATAGGATTTGGCCTCTTCAAAAATTGGTTTTGTACTTCCCAGTTTCCCCTGCCAATAAAAACCCTAGTTGGCATTATCCAAGCCTAGATATGGCCCATATGGAGCTAACAAAAACAATTCTATGCACCTATGGCTATAGAAGAAGCACCTCCTAGGCTAGTACCCCAAGAGTATTCCACTGTTAATATGTGTACGTACTTGAACACAACTGATTTAGTAAATGCCCCATACAGGTAGTGTCTCATATTGATCTGCGAGCACTTTACAACACGACTTCAATGCTAGGATGCTGCTAATATTCATCTATTCCACTCCTAGTCTATTTCTACCGCTTGTAATTGCAATTCATCAGTAATAATTGTACCCAGAGACCTTTCCCGGGGTCTTAGCCATTGGGTAACCTCTATTTATTCATTATAAAGAAAGAGATGCATCGTAGGAAAGATTGAAATGCATCTTCAATAACATTGCTTCCAATTCGACCATTTTCGAGGCTGCAAATGCGTCTTGAAGTTTAATCCTGTATATAGGATTGACTGGTGACAGACAAAGAGATATCCACCGAGAAATGTTTGCAGCAACTGTGTCCAAAATTCAGAATGCGAAGCCGACTCTATTGTTGCAGAATACTACCTGGGCTTTGTCCTACAGTTGTCTACAATATAGACTGCAGTGCATGCTAGTCTAGATGTTGATGGCGACTGTTGAATTGTGACTGTACCTTGCTGCAGCGGTTGCGACAAAGTGGAGCGTTCATCACGACCAGCGAAGCACTGCTGTTTGAGCTACTCGGCGGCTCCAAGCATCCCAACTTCAAGGAGGTCCAGGCACTTGTCAAGGACGGTGCTCCCGTCTTCTGAAGTCGGCGACAGTCATCAGCTCCTCAGGCAGATAGGAGCTTGCTGATATCAGTGTTAAAATTGCCACTGCATGATATCACATTTCTACTAATGTCCTTGAGTACAAGCAACTGTCCTCCAAGTAAACCCACCACGCATGGCACATACAGTTTTCACGATTTTTTAAACGATTTCTGCCAGTGTGCCACCATTCAGCACATCAACTCGCTGCATAGGCTCTTTTGACAGACAGTATTTGTAACAGTGGAACTGAATCCACGAATATTCAAAATCAATATCATGGAAGGTCCAATATTGGCAATAACTCAAACTTCCAAACATGCTACGCGCAAGAAATGTCAAAGTGGATCAGCTGTTCATCTTAGCACTGACCAGCAGCAGTGAATCTAAGCCAAAGAAAATAAATATGAGCTCAACGATGATTAAAAAAACAACAATACTCAGGGCAAAGTGCCCCGAGCTATGAAACGGTCGACTGAATCCCACAGTACGTGAAAGAACGCCATTAACATTAAAAGAGGAAAGAAGTACTAGTAAGAAGTACTAGTAAGTTGTTGATATAAAGTGTATGTACTGTTTTGTATTTGTTTCATTGCCTCATGCTCATTTTCTGTATTGGTCCTTGTTTGAGGTTTCAAGAGGTTTTCATGCGGTGATGATTATGAAGAATTTGACCACAAAATAATAGTAGAACACAGATGCGTAAATCAAATAGTAGGGAAGCAGGAAAGTTGACAAAAATACCTACCTAATTCTAGACGAGCTGCCTTCGGCTGTTTCACGTTTTCTTAGTGGATGCCATGCGAGCGACGAGGCAGGGGCTAGGGCGAAATGAACCAATGACAGCTCTTGTAAAAAATCTACAGAAACACAATTATGTGGACAAAGCAAAGGATAACAATAGGAGAGACCATCAGATTGCACCCTGAGATGAACAGGACTTGAAAGCTACTCCAAAGTAGGTTGCAAGAAAGTGGTTTGGGCTTGGAGTACCGTACAAGAGTCCGCATGAACCATGACCCCTTAGAAGGTGCGACTAATTTCCTGCACAAGGGTTCTCCCACAGCACAGCCATCTCTCCATACATTTTCCTGCAAGCTAACAGGACACTCCACATGACACAATCGAGATTCCTTGAAGCTCAGGAAGAGAGAGAGGAAGCAAGAGCAGGCATTGCTTTTGAATAGAAGTGCCTGCAGCAAATCACGTTTCTCAAGAAGCACATGCACAAAAAAATGATCAAGTTACAGTTAATATCTGTTAGTTACCTAGGAAAGAGTGCAATGGCTGTAGACAGTACAACAACTGCCCAGAATTCCACCGTGCTTATTGTGTGCTCCATGACAAAGTATGGAGGGACCCCGGGCAGTACATTGTAGACAAGGCCGGTGGCGAGGTAGACAACAAGACTACCCCACATGCTCAAGTGATGGATCCAAGTCTGCACACAAAAGAACACCATAGAGGCAGGGATACAAACAAACTCAAAACGAAGATATAGGAGAGAAGGGGGGGGGGGAGAGAGAGAGAGAGAGAGAAAACAAAAGACAGGGACACCATAGAGGCAGGGATACAAACAAACTCAAAACGAAGATATAGGAGAGAAGGGGGGGGGGGGGGGAGAGAGAGAGAGAAAACAAAAGACAGGGAGGAGTGAAAGTCAAACATGGCCAGCCAGCAGTGTGATCTCCTGACACCTGTAGCGGCCTGACTCCCAACCATTACGTCATACTACATAAGCATGCACAAGAAAATAAAACATTATCCTTGGCCTCAACTTCTTTGTTGTCCGGTTGGCCATTGTAGCCGTCGACTAGGGCCCGACGTAAAACCTCTAAACACCCATACGGCCATAGCATAAGACTACAATCAAAAGCACAACCCAACACCCTGACGCTCCAGTCAGGTTTTCAATACTACCGTAAAGTACCGCCAGAGCGCCCCACCATCTCGTCCTTTCGTGGTCGTCGTGTGGAGGTGGTTTCCTGTCTGTAGGTCATACGACACGAACCGTGTACAAACAATGCACGTTGTGCAGTCAATCCGTACCCAGTTTACCTTCGAGGGGATGCGAGCTCCACATGAGAACATGTCACGTGTGACCTTAGTACACTAAAGTTCTCACACCGTACAAACTTCGTAGCACTCTTCCATACGAATTTTTTTTCCAATGGCTGTAAAATCAAGGTGGGGCGCTCTCGCGAGACGGGGCGCTCTGGCGGTACTTTACGGTACTAGCTCAAAAGACCAGGTTCAAGATCCTACTTTCCACACAGCATCGCGCAGGCCACAACCAAGCAATGAAGATTACAACTAGATTGTACTAAAATGGAACAGCCGTGGGCGGATGCCCTCAATGATGGATGCTTCCACATTCAGCATACTATGTTCGAACCCAGCAGACTTCAAAATCAAAATACAAAATAGGCTACCGGTATCGTGTCCGGCTATCAGCGGTCACTCTTTGATATTTTTGTCAGTACAGAAGAACTTGAGACACCCTGGGGGATCATTAGCCATACCCGTCATTTAGGGCTGTGACATGGGCCACATGGCTACATGTATGTAGTACTTCAAGTACAGGCAGTACACTCATATCTCTCTTATCCGGACGTTGAAGTTACGGGCACTTCGGTCAACCGAGCACCCTATGGGTGAGGTTTAGTGGAAATATTACTATTCTTTTGCTAATTTCTGTGGAAATAACGACGTCGTATGCCAGATCTCTGGCCCGTCTCCATCAAAATGTATGTGATTGAAGTTATGGGCAGTGCCTGGTCCCGGACCGCAGATAAGAAGGATGAGTGTACATTGTCGCTTGGCAACACATACTGGTACATAAAATCACTACGATGTATTGACTTGTCATGTAACTTGAAAGAAGTGATAGCAAGCTGTCGCAACGATGAACTTCAAGGTGCAGGAAACGAAGTCACCAGTCATATGAATACACAGTACTTTAAAGAATCCACAGGCATAGAGAAAGAATATTCCATCAGCATAAAGTACATGCACAACAGTGGCACAGCTGTTTTTTCATCATACCATTTACTAGTGCTAGTAATTGAAACCAGTATAAACCAGGAACTTACCACATACTGTGTCTCTATCAACAAGTGCAGTGTCACTGTCAGGATGCACGCCGTGTTCTGCGTGGTACCAAACTCCAGTACACCAACATTACTGTCACTGTAGGCCTGTGAACAAGAACAAGAGAACACCACAGAACAGCAGTCATGTAGCCACCGTCGCAGTGAACCCAGTCGTACACCATCAGTTGGTCAGCATTGCTAGCATATCAGTGATTCAAAGCAATACAACCCTTTCTTCACAAAGCAATACTGCTCGCTGAAATCGGACCCAAAGTACAAGGCTGGCGCCCTGGACCAGGTATGATTACATCATTGTATTTGTACATGTGTGCGTCCAGCTGGATTCGTGCCACTTCAAGGGCGTCAAGGGCCGTGCAAGTTGAGTGCACCAAATATACAATCTGGATCGGATTTCACCGAGCGCAACTGTAGTACTGGATGCAAGAGAGAAAGGATACTGACGTATTATGCTATCTATCTGAACTTCGTATTAGTATTCAACATTTCAGCGAGGAGAATAATTATTAATTATTTACATTGTACTTTGAAGTACTTACCAAAAAGGAGACGAAAAACAAAGCCAGACTCTGCCATACAGCGTCAGCCATCGTGATGAAGAAGTGCTTCTTGTTGTAAATCTGAAGTACCAGATTAGCAGCAAAGAGCCGTGTTGGGATTAGGACCTTAACGGCATGCTGTAAACGGCATGCTGTAAACTGTAGCACTCCAGTGGAAGCCACAACATACACATACACAGAAGTACATGTAGATAATACTATACTAGATGTATTCAATCTGCAGACAGAACTGCTTCATCCTTCGCGGACTCATCTGCGCAGCACAGAGACTAAATCTGAAAATAATTTTCCAAAGCCACATTAAAAAAAAGAGGCCCCAACGTTACGTGCCAGAGTACTCAAACTGACAAGTCAGTGAGCTCTGCGTAGCGGGAACAGGAAAGGCACTATCCCACATGAGAGGGTGCAACTACTACACTACCAGGGGCAAATACTCATAGATGTTAGTACAGTACCAGATGTAGCACTGCTGTGGGAGTAACATTGAGTACTATAGAGTGATACTTACGCTATCACTTTGGCTTTCCGAGTACAGTGCAGGTCTCGCGAGGAGAACCTCTGGTGGAATGTTCTGGTCGAGAACAGCAGTGACAATGGGCGGTACCGACGTGAAAACAAGGTTGTACAACAGCAAGTACAAATCTTCTATGGCAACCGAGCCAGACCAGCCATTGAACAGTTGAAACCAGAAGATGAGCAGCACGAACAGCTAGAAGTGGGATCGACACAGGGCAAGACAACACAGTATATTGTCACACAAAATTCTCCCGCCGGGAAAAGAAAAGGAAAGAGCATTATATTTTAAAAAAACAATTCGGCACGTTCTTGCACATATCCTGTAAAGAGCACATGTGAAAAGGGTGCACATTGCAGGTGCAGGGTCCAACCAATGAGCACTCATGTGAATGCCACCCTAGAACTCTCGGCCGAGAAAACTAAAAGAGATACGCTCGGAAAATGCATGGCAGGGAAACACCAATGCAATCATGTACATGCACTTCAGTCTTCACTTTCTGAAAAAAGAAGGCATATTCCAGGATATAGACCCCGGGGAGTTGAAAGAAAGTGGTGTAGTGTAGAATGGATACATACTGGTAACTACAATACATATAAGTACCGGTAAAAGTAGTGAAGTTGGCCAAAACTGAACTGGGGCATCCCCCTCCCCACCACCACTCCCCTTCCAACGCACGGACAAGAACGGACCCAGTCACTCAGCTCCCCCTCCCCCCCCCCCCCCAATAAGCTAAATAACACAGAAAACCCAACAGACCCAGTCTCTCCCCCCCCCCCCCCCCCCCACACACACACCCACATGGGCACCCACATGGACACACACAGACTTACAGCATTCTTATAGTAAAAGAAGAGAATCATACGAGAAATGCGATCATAGCACCAGTGGCCGTGCACCAACAGCAGACGGTGTAGGTAGTGGAAGCGGCTGATAGCAAAGTCAGATGCCATGACAGCCTGTTGTCCCTCCACACCGGAGATACCCACTCCCGTGTTGGCCATCTGTATCATACTGACATCGTTAGCACCATCACCGACGGCCAGTGACATCACGTTGAGTTCCTGACGAACTAGACCCACAACACTCGCCTAGGGTTACAAAAGGATACAAGGACAGACACACACACGCACACACACAACACAGACACACACATACATAAGACAGAGATGGTTTAACAATGAAATAGCACATTTAATGCATATTGCTACAAGAGCATTCAAGTACTCTGTTCATAGGCTAGAGAGAGACAGCAAGGCCAGCACACATAGGCATGCAACGCAGAAAGTCACACTTATGCACTTGTACCCCCCCCCCCCCACGTGCACATAGAGACGCACGGACATTATCCATATAAAAATCGCTCTGTGAGCGGTTCTAAAAAACCTTTACTGGTACTGCCCCGTCGTAAAAGTAAGAAATTAGAACTGGCCCATTGTCCCCCCAAATGCGAACTGATCCACCTAAATCGCGAATGACGGGACCCGAACGCACCAGTAGCACGAGGTCGGGAGGGCACAGGATCACGGCAATTATCATAGGGTAACACCAGTAGTAGTAGTAGTAGAATTTATTATTTTGATAGGGAAGCCTACCGCTAGTACAGTACATGGCCTATGGTCCGGACCAACGTCCCCATCTGCATCCACAGGTAGGAACCTCGTGCTACTGGTGCGTTCGGGTCCCGTCATTCGCGATTTAGGTGGATCAGTTCGCATTTGGGGGGACAATGGGCCAGTTCTAATTTCTTACTTTTACGACGGGGCAGTACCAGTAAAGGTTTTTTAGAACCGCTCACAGAGCGATTTTTATATGGATAATTTCAGCTCTTTTTCCGTTCCCTCCCCACCCCAACCCCGAAGGTAAACATGATGACCACGCGCGCGATGTACTGTATGTAGCCATGCGACTGCAATAACACACTGATACATACCAGCCCTCCCCGCCTCGCTACCCCGCACACAGATACACAAACATGTGTATGCACACGGCACACACACGTGGCCACGCACACATACGCACATGCACACGGCACAAACAGGAAATTCTTCATGTATAATGCCATGCAAAGCAGTGGCCACCGTACTTGAGGAAGTCAGTTGTGAAACAAAAATAATTCAACTACAGCGTGTAGACAAGCTGACGGCCAAAGCACAACATAGCAAACATGACATTTGCCCAAGGATTGCAGTTTGCAGACCATGCCATGGAAGCAGCGAATACAGAATGTAATATCATATAAAGTGACAAGCAAGGACGTGGCCATCATACACCAGAACTTGCAGAAAGTCACATATCCAACAGATAGAGAAGTGAACAGCAATCTGATACAGCCCACACAGGACAAAGCGGACCTGATACTCGTCCCAGGATCGCAAGTGGCAAACCCTTTTCAATGCATAACATGCAGGTGTACGTTAGACGCATGAACATCTGACCGTGTGGCCAGCATACAATGTCATCACATGTTTACCCCACAAGTTACACACATGCACAGTAGAAGCACAATGAAAGCAATGGAAAAGTACGATGTGGTTGCTGAAGCATCTTCACACTTCAAATTCAGACTTCAATGTGGTCGTCACGGGATGATAGACCTGCAAGATACAAGTGATGAAGAAAGAAAGCAGAAGGTCGTGAGGTAGGCTATGAGACACCACAAACGGTTCACCTACATGTCTGTTCAGGGCTAGTGCACTCACACGGAGAATTGTCATAATCGAGCATTTCCCAAACTGAGAAGTGCAATGAAATCCACTTGCATGCACAGGAGCAATTTTGCAATATTATGATGCGCAATTCGACACGATCTGCGATGCTGCGTGCGATGTGCCCTGCTGTCATGATAGTGACAGTCACCGCGGTATGTTTTGTCAACGTCGCCCGTGCACTCTTCTGTCAAGTCCAAAGTGCTCACATATTTGGCAATGTTTTTGCAGTGATTAACTTTTATCCTAGTTATGTCACGGGTAACTTAAAATGAAGTACCCGCAGGCCGTGTCGATCTGCACATCGTCCACTCTCTCATGTACTTGGCCTGCTTTGTCTGTGTATCCATTTCATGTGCGATCCACAAAATCGACTAGACAGTGGGTGCAATGCGCTCTCTACCTGAAGACGTTCTTCTGGCGACATCTCGCCATGTACTTGGCCTGGCTTTGTCTGTGTATCCATTTCATGTTCGATCAACTAAATCTCAATGCACTACAGAGACTAGACAGTGGGTGCAATACGCTCTCTATCTGAAGACGTGAACCATTACATTTTTTGGAAAAGTTATACGTACACCTGAAACGTAATGAAGTACAGGAATAGAGAGAGTGACTACAATACGCTCTCGACCTGATATAGTGATAACGTGAGTACAAGACACTCTCCACCTGATAACGTGTTAGAAGGTAACATGTCTACAGTCCCACCGTACCCTTCCGACACGACTGTGGACCATTAAATTTTTTTGAGAAGTTATACGTACACCTTGAACGTAATGAAGTACAGGAATAGAGAGAGTGACTACAATACGCTCTCGACCTGATAACGTGAGTACAAGACACTCTCCACCTGATAACGTGTTAGTAGAAGGTAACAGGTCTACAGTCCCACCGTACCCTTCATCATTCCTCATTCACCATCGCGCGATACCCTGGCACACACTGGCAACATATCAATGGGGTGCCTTACCGTCGTCTAGAGGAGACGTCTTCGCAGCAATATTTTCCCTCCTGCGCATTCAGTCGCCGACGCGACAGCGTTCACGGGGCCGTTCCAGTTGCGGAAGACATTCGATTCATCGGGCCAATTCAGAAACAGGGCCGTGGACACACAGGGGGCAGAGGAGAGACATTGTTAGTGGACAAGAAATATGCAGTGGCAAGTGGCGAGTGCCGCATGGGTGTCAAGTTGTCATGCACAATTCAGCTATTACTTACGGTCCAGCTAGTCCTGCCATTGCTCGCTCGTCCTGGTTCCTCCTCGTTCGTCTTCCTGCACGTCTGCACTTCTCCTTCCCCACCGTTGGCTTTGCGGTACGGGGGTGCCGGAAGGAATTCCCACCATGTATCCATGTACATGAAGTCCCACCATGACTCTCCATGTACATGTCCACGGCCACGTCAGCAGTTTGTATAGTACCGGCCGGCCGGAAGGAGTTCCCACGATGTCTCCAAAGGCCTAGAGCGGACGTCTTTGCAGCAATTCTTTTCGTCCTGCACATTCAGTTCGCCGACGATGTCTCCAAAGGCAAAGGCCTAGAGCCTAGTAGAGGGGACGTCTTTGCAGCAATTCTTTTCACCCTAGTACCCTGCACATTCACTCCGCCGACACGACAGCGTTTACGGGGCCGTTCCAGGTGCAAAAGGTCCACGTCAGCAGTTCTCAACTATTTCGCGTACGGGATAGTCGCCGCGACAGCGTTTAAGGGGTCGTTCCAGGTGCAAAAGGTATCCATCAATGGCACTTTGCAGTATGGGGTACGGAAAAGGGGCCTCCTCGTTCGACTTCGCGGCCAATTCGTCGACTTCTGCAGTTCTCCTTCCCGTCAGGGGTACCGAAAGGGGCCCTCTCGCAGTTGTCCTTGCCGTCAGGTCCATGATCCACGTCATGCAGTTCTCAACTGCAACTATTTCGCGTACGGGATAGTGGTCTTTGTCGTACGCGACATCGGCGTTTACCGAGTGGCATTGGCACAAAGCAGACCGTTGACGGGGTCACGTGTCAAAAAAGTATCAACAACGTGTCGACTACGTGTCGACCACGTGTATAGCGGTACACTCAGCGGTACACTAATTCTCGTGCCATTCTCGTGTCACAAAACTGGAACATCGAGTACCAGTATGGAAAGGCTTCAGACAGGAAGCCTTTCCAATACATAAGCACACGCTCACCTTTTGTAGTGGAGTGCTGCGGCAGCAGACCACTGACCTGCACTGCGACGCCAGCTGAAGAAAGTCGAGCTTTAGCGAGTCCGTCAAGAGGAACTGCAAGGTCTTGCCGTCTACCACTAAGGCACGCTGTCGCTGAACATGGCGGTTGGAGGTAGTTGACGCTGCAAATGAGACCTGTCCCTTACTGTTACCTCTACATTATGGGAAAAAGGAAAATAAGGGAAAGGCAGAAACCCAGTCGGATTATTATTATTATTAGCATGTTTGTGTTGAAGTCACTCAGCGGGGTGCCGAGTCCAAAGCTTCGCATATGCTAAATGGTTTGCACGAGAGCTACAAAGGCACACTAAACTCTGCAGGGCTTGCGACTAGGCAGAGAAGGAAGAGGAAATATTGCAAAGAGTGTTGTCATACTCACACAGGGAAGATGAAGCTGATTGCTGGATGAGAAGAAAATTTTCTCCTAGAGCAAAACACAAGGTCAGAAATCAGACCATCACAATCATGATATGCCAGCAGCTATCATAGGATTCCCGCATCTCACTATAACTGTAGGACGTTTGTCTTGCCATATACCTTCTCAATAACATTTGAAACAGCCATGCTGCAATAAGAACTGTGCGTGATATCCATCTGATCACGTATACGGCTCTTGTGTGGCAAGTCATGGGAGGGCACACCATGGACAGTCGCAAACATATCAATGGTTGGAAGTTCTTCACAGGACGGCGCTTGCATTGCAAGTAACACAGGACCATCAGAACGACGAAGCTGCATGTTAGACTCACGGGTGTCGAAATGCCCGCTGCAAGTTAAGCTCCTCAAGACGAGCCAGGAGACGTTCCTCGCACTGCGCCTACAAAACATAACACAACATAACACAACATAACATGTCAGTATTAGGCGGAGAAGACTAGCGCATCAGCAATAACGGATGGCCAGGGAAACGCGTTGCACAGTGACATGTTTTGCACATCAGCATAATAGCAGAACACGGCCAGCTCATTTCATGCAGGCCTCGGAAGATGAAACACCGGGTGTCACTGCCGAAAGTCAGTAGGTAGTGTGGTATCCTACAATCAAGACAATACCAGTGCAGGAACACTACTCATACATTTACCAGTAGTAATGTATGAACACACACAAGACAGGACCAGCTAAAACCATCACATGGGCAAGTTTTTAAAATGTGTTTTCTTCTTCTTTTCTTTTGCTATGAAATCCTACTTCAAGTCCAGTTGAGCACTAAACAAAATCCAAGACAAACAACACGAGTATGGTATGCTGAAAGACTTGGATTTTCACAGGGGTAACCGGCTACTAACAGCGGAGTGATTCAAATTTGGTATGCCTTGATGGCATTGATCACCAGGCACTGGTATTGGTTTCGAACAAGGGAACACAAGCCAGAGTGTGCATAGGAGATCCGAAAGGGGAGAAGTCAGAAGTTGGCTAACCTGGGTGGTAGCATTCAGGACGATCACCTCCATGTCTTCATCGATTAGTTGACAGGAGTACGACACATTGATAGCAGTTTCCTGGTCAAGGCAAGTGAGATGGCAGACAGAGACAAGAACAAAAAATGTCATGTGCGTTACCCCTGGCACATTGGCCACACGAAGTGGCAAGACAATCGTCCTGAGAGTAGACAACAACAAACATCACACCTATTACCCCCTAAATGCAAGTGCATATCAAATCATTAGCAGCCGAGCAGTGCATGCGGCTATTATAATGAGTATTACCTGCTTGTCACCAGTCAGCACCCAAACGTTGATGCCAGCTGCGCGCAGACCAGCAATGGTTTCAGCCACATGGTCCTGCAGGCGATCTTCAATACCAGTAGCACCCAGTAATTCCAGGTTCTGCTCAATTCGACACGCGGATAAGCGCAGCAACTCCTCACGGTTCGTCGCGGCACACTCTGCTTCCTCGTGCTCCTGTAACCAAGCTCCATACTCGTCGACTGAGACGTCCTACATCACAACCACAAACGAGAAAGTCATGTCGAATATGCAGGTCGAACCAAAGTATGTAATCTATGGCACCCGGTGCTGCGCACTTCGTGAATCAGTAGTTTACACTGAACTGGACTACAGCAACGCGCCTACATGTACATGCTGAGAGACAGGCCTACATGTACATGCCGAGAGACAGCTCGCATGTACCTCAAGTGGTCTGTGTACCATGATCTGCTACGCCAAAGAGCGTGGGACAAGCAATCCCAGTACACTAGATACAGTAGTGTTGGCCTTACCCTACTGCCCATACAGAGCGTGCGCAGACCCTGTCTTCCGTACATGTCCAGTTGGCGCTGAGTGGCATCCGCTCTTGTTTCTTCGATTGGCGGCGTAGTGCAAAGCTCGTCTTCAGGTAGCGAAACGGAGCGCGTAACTGAACATACCGGGGGCAGCACACAGAAAAGAAGAACAAGAAGATTGAATGAACTAGCAAGCATTCAAATCACTGATGTGTTCGCCTGTACGGACACAGTGAGCACAGTGAGATTAGAAGCTGAACTACAGTGGAACTCACTTAGTACGTACCCAGGTAAAGCGTGCACCCGCTTAGTACGGTCCTCTTTCGTCGCAAGGATTTCCTCCCATAAGCGCATACAAAGGCGTATGGATACGACGTACTCTGATAAGATGTACAACTAATGAATGGATTTTTCAGCAGGTCCAAACAGACTGGTCGACCTGCCTCGCATACTACGTACTATTTTGGTGTTTTTGTGTACCTGCACACATGATACGACAGGTTTGCTTGACAGGTGCTTTAGTATATTGACAGTGCGGAGGAGGCTGTCTGCAGCACTAGGAGCCTGGTTTGGCGGCACTAACCACGTATATTTCTGAGTGCAATAAAGAGTTTTGAGCATTTTTGACATACTGCACATGTATTGTATTAGGGCATGTTCGATTGGTAAGGATCGGGATCGGGATCCAGATCTCAGATCCGTCGGATCCTTCAGAGTCAACTGGACACTTTTTTGAGCCTTGACTGTTGCCATGTGGACGAAGTAATAAAAAGTCGTACTCACAGCGCCGGTTGTACAAAAAGTCAGCAAGCTCTATCTCGATCCACGTGTGCATACCACAATGTGTACAAAAACGAGTTTTACCCGCCATATACGCACAACGGTCACATTTGGATCCGTTGGATCCGGTCAACCCTGCTCCCCGAGGTGGGTTGACCGGATCCAAATCCGAAGGATCCGGATTCGAGCAATCGAAAGGGTGCGAATCCAGTGGATCTGGTGGATCGGGATCCCGATCCTACCAAACGAGCATGCCCTTAGTTGAGCCACAGAAGTCAACTTTGGATAAGAAGTACCTCGGAAACTACGTACTTTTTTCCATTCCCCGAGGGGGTACGTCTTATCGAGTTCCACTGTACAACACCACCGGTGTTTGAAGTATAAATCCACAAACAAGAACCAGGACAAACGAGGAAAAACCCAACATGCGTGGGGCTGGCAATGAAACCCAATCCACAATGAAAGCACAACAGTGGCCTGCACATTAGACGGGATCACTCGTAAAGCAACGCTTTTAAAGTAGAACTTACAACTGCCCGCACCAGATGGATGATTGAAGCAGGAATAGATAGCAGAATCAGCACCCTTGGTAAGTAACTTTAGTTTGTCCGTGCCCTGGCGGCGTACAATGACAGACATCCGTTTGCGCGTTGAATCGAAGTGCAGAACGTTGAGCACATCGTAGCAAACCAGCGACCCATCCGGAACGCGTATCGTGACTGTGTCCACAGATCTCTTAATCAGCACGTAGTCGTACGCGTGAGCAGCCAAGACAAGGGCCAACTCGTCCGGCGACTCGGCCTCGTACACGGAAGCAGAGGCGGGCTTGTCTGGCGACGGCGTTGCAGATTTGGTGCCGCCGTTAGACGTGGGAGTCCTCTCACTGGTCACAACAGTGTTGCACAGAGCAAGCACAAGCAGGAACTCCTCCTCTATGCTGCCAGGTTGGGAGAGCTCTAAGCGCTGTACAAGCTTGTAGTCAGCTGGCACAGATGCCTGTAGACACATAGACGACCGGGGAAAAGAAGAAGGATCCAATTAGGAGTCAATCATATTCTACTCTACCAGCAGATCTAAACTAACGCAGGCAGAATCTGGAGTGTCCCACCACACTCAACACCAAAGTGATGTTGCAAATCCAGAAAGAAAGCAAAGGCAGTCTGTAATGCTCACATTGCTGTCTGGTCCCAACGCACGGCGTTGTGCCACGCTCATGGCAGGCGCGTTACGAATGTTTGGAGTGGGCGAAACATCTGACAAAAACAAACAATACACAATACAGACTAGGCAAGTCACACTGAGTCCCGAAAGGCCGAAGCAGGTAAGGATGAGTGCTCAAACGCTGACTGCCCTAGCACCCACCAGAAATATGAACAAGAGGCCAGAAGATGAAAGAGAATTCTCGTAACTATAAATTGCACGCTATAACACATTCACACACACACACATACATGTACACACACACACTGCACCACCCAGGAGAGTTCTGCACACGACAACCCACTGTCAAAGCACCACTGTCAGTAACAGCGACCAACAGTGGAAGAATACACGACATGCAGATCTACTTCACAAACCTGGCGAATGAGGGTACTCAATTCCATTGATACTGCATCGCCGAAAGATCATTTCATTCTCCGTTAGCGTGCCAGTCTTGTCTGAGAAGATATACTGAATCTGCCCAAGATCCTCATTAAGATTGAGAGCACGGCAGATCAGACGCTTGTTGGTTCGAGCACTGAAAAAATGTTTGTCCCAGTGTAAGAACAGGACCTGGAAGACCTTCACAAATTCAACGCTAACGTAAAGCGAGATAGGCACCAGCACCTGCAATGCATATACGGCACGACAACAAGAGATCAACAGATGAAGTGGAGATGCTAGTACACTAGTGCATACATGTTCATTCAACACAGAGACTGCACTAGGGGGATTTGGTACCAGAGAATATAAATTAGCAGGCAGAGCAAGCCATACTATACTAGTAGTTGTACATGTACACTCCGTGATATAGACAAGTACAGTCCATCGTGGCAGCTAGGTAGCCTGCATTCCAGCTCAGTCTTGATGGCATTTTTATGCACTGTACAGGCGTGAGAACGGCCTGGCCCGAGCACCACTCGTTGCTCACCTGGAGTGCAATAACCAAGACTAAGAAAATGAGTGTGGCATCTGAGTTCAATTCCAGATCAGATCCTGGTAGGTAGATTGTGTTTCTGTAGTCACGTGCACCCGTCCAGACGCGGTTACCTGTACGCACAGGCAGCAAATAAATACCTCAGGATCTTAGGCAACAAGTACAGTTACAATGAACAGAAATAACTACACTCATACCTCGTATATCTGGGCGGTCCGGGACCGGGCACTGCCCGTAACTTTGAAATAACCGTAAACTCCGAATCACATACATTTTGATGGGGAACGGCCACAGATATGGCATATGACATCACTATTTCCACAAAATGTGACAAACAAGTAGTGATATTTCCAGTGAAACTCGCCCAAAGGGTGCCCGGTAGACCGAAGTGCCCGTAACTTCGGGGTTCGGATAACCTAGGTATGAGTGTACATGTACTTTGCAGCCGGGCCAGTTGTAAAGGGACTGAACGAATGCCAGTTGGCAAAATGCCTAGGCTCAAGACGGGCCATGCAAGTCACTGTTGAGATGCAGTAAAACATGACGCTAAGAGACTGCGTGCCTTTACTGACACTATCATGTCTGGTCCCGAGCTAGGCTTCAACACAATCGTGTTCATACCTGCGTACAAACCACAAAGACTGGTATTCTGTGCACCATTGGCTGGCCAGCAAAAACAGGCTTGGCTGCATTTTTCACATAAATGTACCCTCCTGGGCATTAGGAGCCCTATTCCAGTAAACAACTGTGACTATAAGGTATGTATATTGGACTCCAGGTGCTTTCGAAGCAGGACAACACTGACCTATTGCTCCAATAGAACACAGGATTGCCAGAATTCCAATCAGCCAGACAATCTCTTTATTGATGGCACGTTCCAGCTTGCTTCGTTTTGATGGCGGTCCGCTGTTGTTCAGCATGGCTTTCGTCTCATGACCTACCAGAACAAGAAAAGGCAAAATAGATGGCACACACATACATGTACGAGGTGAAAGACATTAACGTGCCTGTGCCTGTGTTAGAGTCCAAGGCTTTGAGTGTCTTGGATCAAGATTTACACAAGTACGCGGAGAGATATTCCTTCTCTCCACGTGGTTTCTCTGCGCGCGCAAACGTCGAGTAGAACACACGAACGCAAGTACAAGTACTAGTAATCAAATTGTTGCATGGCGCTCCCGTCACGCAGAGCAGAACCGCATTGCTAGCTAAATGTGACTACCTAATCAATTCGTGCGATTGTTCTTGCATTGGTGTCTGATAACTGCACTCAGAGCCACAACTTCCGGTGTGACGCAATCAACTGACCCAGAAAAGAGACAGCAAAACAAACAAAAGACAAAGGACACAGAAACAAGCAATGGGTACAGGGTGTGTAAATATGATTGTGGGACTAATCGCTAACCAATGCCCAGAATACTGGGTGACAGTGGTTAACAAGGAAAGAGCACACAATGGTACAAGCTTACCTGTATACACAACCAAACCGAGAACAGAGCGGGTGTTGCGCAAGGCACATCCCCGCAACAGCAGGTTGTCCTTAGTCAGTGGCGTATTGGTAGTTTTCTCCGGGATTTGCCTGAGAAAGCACAGGAAGAAATAGAGAACGTAAATGCAGCACTGAATGGGCAGGAGCAATACACGACCATGCAAACTAGGCAAACTTGCTACTACATAGTGGCTGCCTAACTTAAACTTCAGAGCAAAACAACTCTCGTATTAAAATGACCTGTAGATAGTGCAGAGAATGGCCGTACATATGGAAACATTACAATGCGCACACTACAATGATATAGCCACTAACATGTATTTTTACATGTCCAGCACTAGTCTGCTAGCCTTGGCGGTGAGCATTCTTTGAAAAAAACTACCAGTAGTCTTGAACACATGATCATATCGGAGCACTGACAATTCAGCTGTCTTGGGAAGGCTTGGTGGAGATAAGTGACAAACACGTATCCTGCACTAATGTTCCTGGTCTGCTCGTTCTCATCGTGCTCCCGCTTGTTTTAACTACTTTACAACGTTCAGCCCGGGCTGTCTTACATTGTGACGGAGTGCAAGACATACAGCCACTGATGCTTACGTTAGAAAGCCCAACGCAGATTTGTAGCTCACAGCATAAGCACACTAATTGCTCCAGCTCCTTCACAAACAATTGCATCATTGCTTGCATACATGAACATGCAACAAAACTTACAGATACCCAGTAAAGCTGTAAATTTGATGATGCGGATTCTCGCAGTGTACTCTTGCTTTGAACTTGGATGGGTCAAATGAGTCACCCTGTGCCAAAAGAAGCGCAATAGATCAGAAAGTGTCGAGCCGGATCTGTTCCCATATACACACGCACGTACAATATTGGACATTGGACATCCTGGAACCTCTCTGTTTTACACACGCACACACATACATACAGACACACACATACACACAGACACATACACATACACACGGGCACTAGGCGTGCAGAAACATAATTATTCCCGTAGCTATGCAGAAGACGTTACTTCAGTAACGTCTGGCGCTAGCCAGGGTCCACACAGCTTTAATTTGGTACTTCCTCCGCGTCATCGAAATTAGTGACTTGTCACTTGTTACTGACAACTCCATAAGCTAAGCCATTCAAAACTTATTACACAGTATGATAGTCTGAAGACTAGTGTAACGTTCCAGGACAGTTGGACTGAGAGTTTTCATGCAGAGATGAAGTCCTCGTCGTCGCTGATGTCAATGGACGCAAAAATATCGTTCTGAAATATTTCAAGGAAGGTTGAAAGTTGGTCGTGCCTCATCTCAAACGCTTTGACTTTCTCCACAGGACAAGAGCTGCTATGCTTGTCGTCTGCTAGCTCTGGATGATTTCTATTTCACCACCAACGAAGCCTAGTAAGAATACACGATCGTTGCGAGGTCGGTTGATTACCGTCGGCGGAATCACCTCGATCTTGAAATGACCTTTTTTTTAGCCGTGGCATGCCCATTTTTTTTATTTTAGCTGTGTGGTCACAGCTCATGCAGGTAAGTGTACTATCACGTCCAGCGCGCCCTCTTTTTCAGCATCACTGGTATATCATGGCCCGGTACCGGTACGGCACCTGCGCGTGCATCACTAGCACTACGTGTAGAGTCTACAGACAACTTCGCCAATAACGACATTCGGCGGGGCATCAGAAAAGTGTCCTTATTCGCGAAGTGTCCTTATAACCGAAGTCCCATTTGAATGTATGTGAACCCATATTTTGTATAGTATGATATGCATATCAAAATCAAGCTCTTTTCTTGCTATATGTCAATGTGTACTTTATTTTCATATTGCAGTTGAAAGGAACTAAAAATTCAATATGGAAGGGAAATCAATTGAAAAATATGCCTTTTTGAGCAATCTACAGGGCCAGAGACATGTACATGTATGATGATGACTGTACAATCATGTACAACTACATGTACATTGTATACATATAGGTGTGCTGGTAAATCCAACAATTTTGAAGCCAACATAAAAAAGGAAGAAAAAGCCCCCCACCCCTTGGCTGCATTTTCTTGCATGTACATATGTGTGCAATAATATCCATCACCAGTGCACCATATGCATAGGTTCTGGTACTTCTGCATGACAGGTACATGTACTTGACTGACAGGTACTTGAAATAGCTGTCAAAAGCCCAGAAAGTCGTTATTCAAGCAGTGAATATGACCTCAGGGCACTAAAAGCATGTCGCTATATGCGAATTGTCGTTATTCAGATAGTCGTTATATCCGAAGTTAAATGTATACAGTTAGATGGGACTTTGCTCTGGGCATGGAAATTCGGTCGTTATTCGCGAATTGTCGTTATATCCGCAGTCGTTATTAGCGAAGTTGACTGTACACGGCTCTTGCAGGTACAATCATGTACTGAGTGTCTCAGCCAGAGCGACAAATTTTATCGCTGTTGCAAGCATTTAGTTTGCTGACCCCTCGATGTTTCTCCAAGCGCTGCCACTTGTTCCACTAAGTCATTCTCACCCCAGCTAAGGTAAAACAGTGATGATGCTTGAGTGAATGGCCATCAGCTCGAGAAATGTGCAGGCTGCAACGCCTGACTGATCTCAGCGAGTCTAAATTACCATCGCAGCGACATCAGCGAAGAAATTGCGTCTAGTTCAAAAATTCCAGCTTCCAATAACAGAAAATAGACCTTTGCCGTCACTCTATACTGATGACTATCGCCTATGTCGAATTCCTTGCCTCTGGTACGAGTGCTGGAGAGTACATACCCCGTTTTATATCAAAAGTCAAACTGCGACAATTCCGATGACGCGGAGGAAGTATTTGTTTGTTTGTGTGTTTGTGTCACGCCTGGCGCTATCCGTATCTGACGGCAAAAAAGCATAGGATGTTATAAATTTTTCAATTCTCCTATCCTGGGATTCGAACCCGCACTATCACCCTACATGCATTCCCCCATACACTTCGCATTCATACCCATTCTTCCAAGTAAGTTGCTTCACGTTATTATCTTGCGTTTGAAAGCCCTATTTGAATATTGCGGGCAGCTGTATGTGGCCAGCTGTGTTTGATGGTACGGTACGGTACGGGAGACGGTGTCGTATTACCCTCGATCGTACCTGTCCCGTACCTATCCCCTACCGTACCGTGCCATCAAAGACGGCTGGCCACAATGCATATTCAAATAGGGCTTTCAAATGCAAGATCACAATGTGAAACAACTTGGAAGAATTAGTATGTATGCGAAGTGTATCGGGGGATGCATGCAGGGCGCGCGATAGTGCGGGTTCGAATCCCAGGTTATGTCTTAAAAAAAAAGGATTTTTTTAAAGAATTTATAACATCCCTATGCTTTTTTTTTTGTCTAGGTCATCAAGGCAAAAGAGCATAGCGTAGGGCCCGGGCGCCCTGAGCTTCCAAGCTCTCTCGTATCATTCGAGAGTTTTGAGAGTTCGAGACAGATCGATTCAAATACGCAATACATAAGATGAACAAAACTATAAAACTATAATTATGGAAACAAGAGACACAATCTTAAAATCGCAACGAGGAGGTCCTCATCGTTACGATTTTAAAATTACTAGTACCCAGAAATATTAGTTAGTTCACACCAGTACAATGAATTGGAAGGTACAACTGCAACTGTACTTATGGTTGAATAGTGTGGTGGTAAAGACACACCTGAAACGGCGGTAAATACATAAATGCCCACATACGCTCTCTACGCTACAAAAAGTACAATCTGGTACATGTACAAAGCTCTCCTTCTCACCACTACCATCATCAGTTTGCGCCTGGCGCCTGAGCACGTGTATGGACATGTGCGTATTTACCGCCATTTCGCTACAAGTTTTTTGTAGGTAGGTCTTTACCACCATCTTATTCAACTGTACCAGTACAAGGTACTCAATCTGAGGGTAACAAGCTAAATGTATTGCCACTCACATCAGGCGTGATAAGAGTCTTGGGTACGACCCTCTGCTTTAGGTTCGTTTCACCATCCAAATTAGACGTTTCCACGTAGCAGAGGTTTGTAACCCTATCACTGCTGTGAATGAGTACCAGGTCTGCCGGGAAGACATCATCACACTTGATCTCAACAACATCACCAACGCATACATTCTGCCACAGAACACTATCGTATGCTCCTGTTTTACTGCAAGACACAGATAGGAAAGAAAACACACAGTAGGAAACATTTAGAATTAATGCCGAGCTTCAGTATTGCACGGCATTTTCAAAGTTTTGGTGTTGGGAATCCTGGGTGGAGAAGCCTGCCACAATGTTTCAGGTAATACCCAAACCTTTACTAGAGTGCAGCACATGCACTGTGGACAGACTGAAGCAAAGTTATCACTATCAGTAACTGTGCGCTTCATGCTAATGGTATTACCTGTAACTTAATTCAAGAAGTACCATAGTTCTGCACAATTTCAGTTATAAGAACATAATCTTATATCCGAAAATGTGCCATTTTGGTATACTAGTACAGTTGTGGCAAGTGAAATCCGACACTTGCCATAGGGGACAGCGCCACAAATGGACACCAATGATGTAATGCACTGCACCTAATTTGTACTATAGAGCCGTATGCATCCCGAACAGATCGAAAGGTCACAGCGTAGATACACACAGTTCACAAATATGGTACACATAAGGAGTATTGGTATCCAGGCCCCATTCATTTTTGCCAGCACCTTTTGAACCTTGACTGTGATGAGTACGAGTTTTGTCATCAGACAGATAAAGTTGTATGTAACACATGTACTGTACGTATGTAGGGCTGCAGACTGCATGGTGCAGTCCCTTATGCCAAGCGTCGGATTTCACTTGCCACAACTGTACATGTATTTTCGCAGCCTTTTTCGTTCTTGCCTTTCTCAGTCGAAAGCTATGAAACTTCCGTCTGCGGAACCTTTCTAATTATTCTACATGTAACAAGGCTTGCCGTTATGTACTGCAGAAAAATTCATATACATAAAGCCTATTAGTCAACGAAATTTTCGCAAATCATGATTAACTATTAGCAATACAGGCTGGCCAGCCCTGCCATCATGCCAGGACAGGATACATATTCACTAAAAAAATTCCAGGCAAAATACATACAAACGGCTCAGTGCGAAGGAGTGACAGTGCCCTCTGGGGCAGGATACACACTTGGACAACCTGGCATTACTGTGCCACTGTATATCAGGTATATAGAAAAGTGCCGGCCACAGTTCCAATGATTACTATGTATTGTAACTCACACGTGACATGACATGTTGCTAAGTGCATGTTATGGTTTCCTGACACACGCATACAAGCTCCAATAAAGACTAAGTGGCAAGTAGGTGCTGCGCATAGACTGTAGACTGAATACAGACTACAGTGCAGCACTGGTCACAGCTGCACGTGAGTGAGTCAATAGCTGCTCCTTGAGGAAAAGGCTCTGGAAAAGATTACACATCATTGATGGTGACAATATTGATGGGAACACTGATATGAATGTTGGCTGCTCTCTACATGGGTGCTCATGCTTTTCCTGCCATCAAGTGCACATGAGGAACCTTCCTCATGCTGAATACCCGGGTAAAACCTGGGTATGTACATGTACATACTCAGGTATTACAGAGGTATTTAAAACAAAAATACAAATACCAGGGTCAAACAATTGATCTGGGTGCATTCTGTGTTAAATTTTCAAGCATTCTAGACACCCATATACGGTGCACATGGTACACTTTGGGAAACGCGTCCATATATCTGGACTGGGGATGCCTTAATTGGGCCGCCAAAACCAAACGGCACTCCAAAGCGCGTTCGGTTAAAACCTTATCTCTTTGGTAGTTAGCGGACCGCACACTTGGGAGCTAACCAACCAACTCTTTGACCCCTCCATTGAAAGTAACTAAAATTTAATAATTATTGCTGGTGGCAAAAGCTGATATTTTGAAGAAAAAAATAGCAAAGAAACTTGAGCTTTATCTCAGATATTCATGTTGAGTACATGAAACACATCATTCGGACACAAAATCTTCAATGCAAGTGCCTCACCTATTATAGACTGCGGCGCTCCTCCTATTAACGTCTCGATCATTGAGATAACGGCGTCGATCCTCAACAATATCTTTGATGGCAGTTACTGCTAGCACAAACAATAACGGCGTCATCGCCAGATACGGCTGTAAGGCATTGAGCTGAGGAACCCAATTGAGAATGACGATCGTAAGAAAATAGATGTTGGCGACTCGATGAAACTGCTCAAACAAATTTTTTGGGAGAAATGTAATAGCGGTATACTTTGTTGTTCGGATTCCATTACTGTGCTGCAAATATTCAGGAAGAACATCTCCCTCCTCAAATTGTCGCTGGTACTTGGCTTCCACAATTCTGGCATGAATTCGGCTCTCCGTACTGGCAACCGACGCTGATTCCGCCATATCAGTGGAGGAAGTTGCACCGTAATTTACCCTTCTTCCAGAATTAATGCTAGACTTGTCTGAAGTGCGCGTGCCACGGGTGGACACAGATAGTTCATCCGGTATCATCGAGGAGACGATCACGTCTCGTTCGCCAGATTACTTATAAGTGGGCACTGCGCCGTGCCCACGCCAAGAGAAGAGCTACTTCAACAAAGGTGATGAATAAAAAAATAGCAGGCCTACTAATATGTGCAGTCAAGAGTGAAAGTCCACCAACAAGCCAAGTAAAGCTGGACTGTACTGACTCTGTACTGTAGACTGTACTGTACTACGACTACGAGTAGATCTACGAGTACGAGATCACATGCGATGGTACATGGTACGCGTGGTCGCGTGCGGGCGCGGGACTGCAAGATGCGCGTACGCGTCGCGTCAAGTAATAAATCCGCATTTCAAAGACACGAGGAAAAAACGTGGGTGCTTTGAAAAGGGGTTTGAAAATGCAAAACAGAATAAAGATGTCAGAGTTTGAGATCGATGAGTAGACTCTACGAGTAGCTAGCTAGCCGGCCTTTCAGTCACTGACGCGGGGCCATAACCACTAAAGACTAAAGTGTTGTTCAAGTCACGACTCAAGTGCTGATGACGAAGATCGGAAGTAGAACTGCAAACACAAGCTCGAGCCGAGCCGAGAACGCTCTCCGGCGACACCGTGATTCACGGCATCAGTCCACGTATCAAGCTCAACTGAGCTTCGAGCCAGAGCGATGGGGGGTAAGAATCAACAAGGCCACCATTTCTTATTTCTTTGTTTCGCGTCGGAATCAGAACTGCCAGAATCAGAATCATGATAATGCGAGAGGCGGAAATAATAGTTGCAAAAAAAGGCTCATCAGAGGTGTATAGCACCAAAGCACTGTAAATTATAAATATTATAGCACAATATTCAATAGCTCGAGCATGGTGTACATTCCAAAGTAAAATCGTACATCGAAGCACAACATCTGGGTAATCTGATCGCAGTTGCCGAAGAAACGATTTACCAACGATGGCCTCAAGGCCATTTCTGAACACCAGCTTTGACGTATGCAACCAGTCCACGCGCATGATGACTCGCACGATCGTACACTCAGATCATGCTCACTGTATATGTGCATGTTCGATTTATAATTTTTTTCCGAAACAAAAAGCAAAACATGTGCGCGGACGTATGATTTACTGCCCGAGTACGAGCGAGTATAAGGGCAATACCGGCTGATACATGACCGAACGGCTTCAGCCGTGAGGTCATGTATCAAGCCGGTATTGCCCGTATACGTTACTGTAAGACATGTATATATAACGAGGAAGCAAATCTAACGTTTTAACTTTTAACGGATGGCATTTCTTCGTTATAATAAGATCCGTTGAGGCCGTACTGCTTCATATATGCTGTGTGTGGATATGACAGAATACTGCAAGATCGTTAACATATCTTCTCGTTAACCTATGAATTTTGGACAATCGTTAAATTTGCGACTCGTTATAATAACATGTCTTACAGTATATACGGGTGAGTACGAAGTGCAGTAAATCATTGCATGCTTCACACCGGTGTTTTATATAGAGTACAGTTCAGCATTGCAAGTCCTTTTCTTGCACCTCTTCGACCTGGATCCTGCCAGACTTGGAGTTCGTTGAGAAATGTACGTCGTTTGAGGCTTTCAGGACTTATTAATTTTTTGTATTTCTTCACCATTACTTTTCTTATGGTGTGAGCCAAAGTCGCAAGTTGACCAACACTGTGCATACATGTACCGTAAAGTACCGCAAGAGTGCCCCACCTTGATTTACAGCCAGGGAAAGGAAAATCGTATGGCAGAGTGCAACTAAGAGGTTGTATAGTGTCACATTGGTGTAAGAACCTTACCTTTTTTTTAAAGGTCACTCTTAGCAAGTTTCTGTGTGGAGCTCGCATCTGCTCGAAGGTAACTTGAGTAGACTGCACAATGTGCATTGTGTGTACAAAGTACGCGTCGTTTGACCTACAGACGGGACATGTCGCCACCACCTCCACAATACGACCACGAAGGGACCCGATGGTGGGGCGCTGTCGCGATACTTTGCGGTACGATACACATGTACCCGATTTTTGTCACCCAGCGAGCTGCATTCATTTTTGGAGGGTGGGGAGGGGGTCCTGATATTCTGCAGCAGAATTCACGGGGGGGGGGGGGGGGGGTAATACCAAGAGTACACAAGCTATTAGGCCATCATTTTTTGTATCTATGTTTCGCGTCGTCCACACGCATACGTTTTGCCTTTTTCGGAAAAAAATAAAAAAATCGAACATGCACGCTACAGTGAGTGTACGATTGTGCGAATCTCAATCATCAGTGTCGACTGGTTGCATACGGCGAAGCTGGGATTCAGAAATGGCCTCGAGGCCAGCGTTGGTAAATCGTTTGTTTGGCATCTGCGAGCAGTATTCTATGAGCGTACACCAGACCGCATCGCTCGCCTCAAGCTGAGAGGATGCGTCGCTCCGGACCTCTTTGCACCGCTGCTGAAGTCTGAGTACAATAATCCAGCGAAGCATGGGCACCAATGGTTGCCTCCTCTGTCCAAAGTGAATATTTACTCACGCTTATAACCCAGATGTTGTGCTTGGATGTAGGATTTTTCTTTCGAATGCACACCATGCACAAGGTATTGTGCTATGTACAGTGCTATACCTGATGAGTGATGAGCCTTTTTTTTATTATTTTGCAATTTTGCAATTTTTTTTCACCTCTCGCATATGATTCTGGAAGTTGAACTGACGCGAAACATAGATATAAAAAAATGATGGCCTTAGCTCTTGATAAAAACCAATCCAAGGGTCCAGCACCAAATCTTCGTATCACTATTAGCAGCTCAGACTAGTGCTGAAACGATAGTGGATTTTCACCTACCGATTATAGTCGTTAGCAAATATTGTCAGAATTTTGTGCGAAATTGCTCGCTACCCTTTCACTGATGCAGATTTTTTGGTATTATGAATATGAAGACATAGCTTGTGGAAACCAAGTTTCTGCCGGGAGTATGCATTGCAGTTTTGAACCATACCCCTGGCAGAACCTGATTCAAACTTCGCAAAAAAAGACGGGGTGGGGGTCAGCAGTCTCCGGTTCTCGCTGATCCTGTTTCGAAGGAATAATAATAGACAGTTGATGCCAACTTCATTCGTCGCTCACAATCCTCTTTGTCACCAAGGAGTGACCCGAGCTGGCAAGAGGATCGCCAAGTGTCATTATCATGGGTTAGGTGAATCCACTCTGTTTTCTCTGTTATGTGTTCAGGGTTAGCGACCAGCTACTGAATATGTCCTTGATGACTGGAAGAGAATTGGGCAACCGCCGTTTCTCGGTGCTATAACGTAATGATTAGTTGATCGTTAAATTATCGATCGATTACCGAGTAATTGATATACCGGTAATCATTTCAGCCCTAGCCCAGACTGATGATGACATACATGCAACCCTGCCCCAAGGCCAAGGGTAGCATCCAGAGTACATAACCCTCCTGGTAAGAAGAGTGGCCATCCCTGCAGATCAGGATTGAGCAGGCAATACTCACATCGTTTCACTTTCTTTCTGATGCAGGGAGCTAATCTGTTCGTAAGAGTCCCAACAGAATCCATCGCTGCACCAGGTGCTAGCAGGGTTTGAGTAAGTCTGCTTGGCGTAAGCTACATTTTAGTAGGAGTACAGACGTTCAAGTCAGCGGCTACACACCTACAGACCAAGACTGGCAGGCCGTACTTCTCATGATCTCATGAGTTGATACACTCAAGTAATACCAGTGACATCCAGACAGAGTGACTCTGGTACAGAATAAGAATGATATAATTATGATATCGGGGCTTGAGCCCCCACGTCGAACACCAATGGAGTGACTTCCGGGAAGGTGTACAAGACGTTGCATTCACAAGACAGTAGTACCACGAGATGGAGAAGAAAGGCCGAAGTCGACGATGACGATAACAACAACAACAATAACAATCAAAGCATTAAACACTCAGTGTATTTTACATGCATATGGTGACACACAGCGCCCTCACATTACATGTATCCATTGTAAAAGTGATAATAGTCACAAGCATGGATGATATTCAAAAGAGCTACTTCTCAAGTTCTACCAAATTCATTTATTGATAGAATACCACCAGAAACAGCACAGGAGTGTTTTGTTTAAAAAAAATTGGTACGAAGGTGTTATTAAAAAAGTACTCCGGTGCGTGGTACCAGCCACACACAAAAACAGGCAAGTTCAACATGATCAAAATTACCATAAAACAGTCGTTACAACCTCTTGACCTCTTCAGGTCACTTTACGTATTCTTCAAGCCATTGACAACGATCTGTGCCTTTGACAAGCTTGTCTGTTTTACAACTTCTTCCGTTAGAGACTTTGACTCCTCCACAGCCTTTGCAGCAACTTCTGATCGATCGTTCCATTCGTGCGAGCCTTGGAATGGAAAGCTATAGGTGGCATTGTATGCAGGCCATGAGCGATAGATGTTCACTCCAGGAATTGCTAAGAGAGGGAGAGAAAAGAGAGAGAGAGAGAGAGAGAGAGAGAGAGAGAGAGAGAGAGAGAGAGATTAGAATACACTAAAGAAGAAAAGGATACAGGGGAACCACTATAAGTATTCCCGTATTTTCCGCAGTACAAACGGAAACTTTCAGTGGAGATATATTTTCGGTAACTTCGGTACAGGTATTTTTTTACTTAAAATAAAGCGCAACCTAAAAATCCACCATGCTATGCCACACAGTGTGCAAAATGCATTTTTGAATCTGGAAAACTGGTTTACCGAAATTTTCGTGCTACCAAACCGTTGATTTTGGGAAATACCGAAAATATTACACCACAGAAAACTCCCGGTTTTACAGTATAAGCCGCACTTTAAACACAGGGTAGATGTCTGCATTTCGTGACAAATCTGTGTGCGGCTTATACTGCGGAAAATACGGTAGTGCCTCGAGAATACTACACAAAATGACACTACAGTCTACCCTCAACAAGTGACGTCGCACAATCAGTTTTGGGACAAAACTGCGCAACTTCTTGCGAGAGTGTCACTTACGAAGACAGTGCACCGTGCGCAGACACACACAGGTACAGTACATTGTGTCCTACTTGCAAAAGCACATGATCCATGGTGAGGAGACTGAAATGCGTACTCAGACAAGACACTTTAAATCAGCATACAGTCGACTCACCATTGCCACGGAGTAACCAGTTCATTGGGACAATCGGGTCATCCGGTGATGCAACAACAGATGTACTTGTTGGAATGTAGCGAATGGTGAGGCCACAGCGCCTCTTGTCTGATGTATTAGCTTCAGAACCATGTATAATATTTGGATGATGGATTTCCACATCACCCTGCAGCACAGAATAGCATCATCCAGAGGTTTTTTCAAGGTTACTACAATCACACTCCACGAGCAGGCAATGAAAAAAAGACCCTAGCTTAGAGTGCATTCACACAGTAGGTAAACTACCGTAAATGTCCGTAAATAACAGTTATAACTGACAATTCGATAGTCAACAAATAATTATAGGTACTAGTAATCGATAATCAAAAATTCAGTGATCGTTCACCCATAATACTGTAAAAGCCATTATATATAACGAAGTGCTAACTCTAACGAGTTAACGAGGAGAAATCTGTCGTTAAAATAGAAATTGTTATACAGAAATCGATACATATACTGTCCTATTGAGCGTTCAGAATGAGTGAGAATCGTTACCTTTGTTACACGTAAACCAGTCAATTTTGGGAAATCGTTATAATTATATGCGCCAGAGTTAGAATAATGGCTTTTACAGTAGTTACAATGTTAAAGTATCTCTGGTAATTAATTCCATGCGACCACATGTACCTGCCACATACAATATGTTAGGCAGGAACACATACGGTGGTGGCAGCTGAAGTCCGACCCCAACTCGGTGCACTCACATTGCAAAGACGCAGCACGCGCTTGTAACGATACGAAATAGAGAGCACTAGAATCGGTGCTGCACTTGAGCACGAACACCAGGGGTCGGATTTCAGTTGCCAGCACTGCACATGAAGGGTGAAAGTGGCTTGTATCAGTGTTTTGACCGTGATGAAACCATACACTGCTACTGTAGAGGTTATACAAATGACGTCACCATGGTGGGCCAGCGGATTCGCTTATGGGAGCTAAGCATGCAACGCGAGTCGGAGGTTTCACTTGAGCTAGTGCGCGTCGCGGCTTTGCACCTCCATACAAAGCATCTGCATCTCAATTGATGATGTCATCACAGAACCTCTTGAACAAAATAGGCAATTATCCATTGGAAGTGTTGAATGAAGTCACAAACCTAGTGTAAGTAGGGGCGAGTAAGGTAAATGTATGCAAGTAGTACACAACACAAATCACAGTCAGGAATTTTTCCGAATTTACCAATCTTCAGTGTGCCATACAGAAAGTTGACCACAGGCCGCAAAACCCTATACCGAGGCTCCATGCGCACCCAGAGCCAAACCTTACCGGCTGCAATTCAATGTCAACAACATCCTCCTCACGAATGTCTACATCCGTATAAGATGAGAGAACATTGTCACCACCAGCACGGGATAGTTCCTGTACAATTTTTTTCGGAAAGAACAAGAAGGGAAGATATCAACAGTGCACTAGTGTCCGATACAACAGGAGAGCAACAAATTATACAATAAGATTATGCCGATGAAAGTAAAGTGAGCACACTCATACCAGTGTGATGACGATTTCTGATGATTATCACATGAAAACGATGTTCGAATCTTAAAATATTGTTCAATTGTTCAAGTGGTATAAAGTGCGCTCACTTTCCTTTCATCGATATTAGGTTTCTTGTCTCCATGCAGACTTTTAAAAGATTAGGCACGGGTATTTAAGTGGTAGGGATTTCATTTATATTAATCTCACAAATTTTGTCAGATTATTATTTTTAAAGCAAATAGATGCCTAGAAAAGATGATAGATAAAACGCAAAGAATGCAATTATACATGTATGGACTTGGAAGTATGCATCAAGAAAGTCGTGACAACGAAACACATACTATATTTGGGGTTGTGCCGATGAAAGATATACATAATTCACCACAACATACAGCCATATCTGTAGTACATGCATGTTACCTTGAGTGCCTGTCGATGTGATCCACGCACGACTCGCAAGCAGCCATTTTCACGGCTGGAATGATCAACAGCCAGCCACAGTGACACCACCTTCATTGGCTTCAGTGGCCAATAGGCACCATCCTGAGGCCGGAATTGTCAGAATGCAAGCAACAGAATTACACTCTCACAATAAAACTGCACAGCATGCGAATGAGTAGGATTGACCTGCTTGCGGCGAAAAGCAAAGATACAAATTGTTGCATGTCAAACTACCAAGCCAACCATATCTCTGGGTAGGCTGGCCCTAGAACATGAAATCACGTAGGATCGTTGCTTTAGCATTCACTGCATGCCAATGCAGAAAGCCTGCGTCTGCATTGGTTAGCGACAGAGCAGCTGAATGCGCAATGTGATGGATGCACTAGTACATAGGCAAAACACAACACAAGTTGACAATAACGGGAAACTTAATTTGGCCAATCATGAGACGGGTGCCCTGCAACTCCGAGTTACAGCCAAAATAATTACCGTACGAGGTGAATAGCAATTTCTGGACATGAAAATAAAATAGAGTCCCACTAGCTGTGTGTTTTACATTTTTCATATCTTTTTGTATCTATTGTATGGCCTAATCCTTCATCTTTCCAAATATGTGACAATTGCTCATGCTGTGATCCCAGAGACTTTATAGCAGGATGTTTTCGACAGGCCAATTTTTTGGCCTAAATTTCAGTGTATGGAATTCTGGACATGAAAGTAAAATAGCGTCAATAGGCATCCTATACTGCACCATTTTTGTTATTTTTTCGATTGATATACTGCAGTTGGCCTCTTCACACTTCCAGCCAACAAGTCCAAGACTATACAGCGTCTGAAGTGGAGTGCACATGGGGAAGCCAACGATTCGTCCATTACTTCTTATTTTACTCAAAATTCAAAATTCTCATGCGACATAGTACCACAAAACTCGTTGAAATGCCTCCCAAGAAAAGGATATCAACAAGGCACCGACACGAGGAGAAACTACAACAGCCCAGCTGTCAACTACAACAAGAAAACACTTCATCCACCTGACTGACTTGACTCTACACGCGACGAAAAATTATTTTACTCGAAATGTCCAGAAATGTACAATGTCCAGAAATAGCAATTCACCTCGTACTCACTCGATTAGAAGCCGGGGGCTTCTATTTTTTCAGTACCAATTTCGAGGAGACTTCTATTCGAGAGGGGCTTTTATTGTTTCATTCCATACCAGTATTCCAATCGATTCTGTAAAACTTTCATATTCACAGCAACTCGGCCCCGAGTTAGTTTGCAAACACTACATCGACCAGGACTTGTACCAATACTCAATAGGAACATGCACGAGATGTTTTTTGCAAACTTGACCTTCATACATGGCACTACCTGGTCAACCCATGCTTTGCGAATAGTAGTCCGGGCTTCTAGCCGAGAGGGGCTTGTATTTTTTCAAACAGTCCTTGTAGGGGGGCTATTATTCAAGAGGGGAATCAAGTGAGTACGGTATGTTTCCTGCCGTTGTCAACTTGTGTTGCAAGCTTTACTTTGTATGTTCAATACTCTCAAAAGTCAAGGGCACCCATGCCGTGCACAGTTAAACTCATATCTATGCACATCCTCCACATGCACAGTCCACTGGCACACGCAACACCTACATTTCCTGCATTTTGCTACCCAATTGAAGGGTAGCATCTCAGGATTCCCAAGTCCTGATCAGAGAGCGTACACACTTTGACGTACACTGGCACCGATTCATTTTAAGATCAGATAAATACCAAATTCAAGAAAGGGATTATTAGATCATATTGGATTATTGGATCATTGGCTCTCCATCCGAGTCTATCAAGAAAGGGAAGCGAAATGTACTAGTAAACATGTTGAAACGCAGGTACCGGAACATGATGATACTTGGAACATTCTAAATGTGATAGGATAACATACATGGCAGCAAACAGCCCAGACACTCACCTGATGCCACAGAACCTCCTGGCCTGAGCGAGGCATTTTGCAGAAATAGTGCGAGGCAAACAATGCAATACTTTCCCCGACAAACTCAGCAGCCAGTCGTAGTAACGCCGGGTCACTGACGATTCGCAGCCAAAAGGCATCTGCAAATAAAGATCGAAGTAAACAAAAAGATTGACATGAGATCCTGATCATTGCATACTATGGATACTAGGAGTGGGTGGATACATGCCGGTATACAGTCATAATGTACTTCCCCCGACAAGGTACATCCGGCCATGGTATAGAGTCTGGCGTTGAGAAGTTTATTTCCATTGCCACTAGGTTCAGCGTCAATTCCTGTGTGCTGTCTTGCTTAGTACACAAAGGACGAAACAGTACCGTCTTTGAGTGTATTCTGTAGAAAGTGCAAGTAGTTTATCAAGAAGTTCGGCAAATCATGAAATTGTGACTGTGAATAGCTGCTGGAAACTGAAAAAATCTGCATCGTACCAGGTGACATTGGACGACCCCCCTTTCAGTCTCTTTCTCTATGGCTGATTGGTCATATCTCAACATCTTTGGTAACTATATTCTACTCCTGGTAAGTTGTTTTTTCTGCCCTACATCGCAAGGAGCATTTTTTTCTGCTATGTTGCTGCTGCCATAACACTGCCTACGTGATCTGCGATCAGCACGCGGCAACCTTCCTCAAATGCCTACTTCAAAAAGTATCTTGAAGAGTAATATCAAAGACTCCTTCTTCCTCCAAAGCTTCGCAAGGCGAGCGTGTGGGGCTGAGTGGATATTTGGATCAACACTATTGGTTGATGGCCTGATTGGGTTATCACTATATGGCGACTGTATTATATTGTTGCCATGAGATTGGCATTGCATACCGTATTTTCCCCAATAAATGTACAGTACTTTTATATTTTCAAAGGTGGTCAGACCTGTACTACCGTAAAGTACCGTTGATCCGCCCCCTCTCTAATTCCCGCCCCCTGTCGATTTTCTCCTTGTGAAGCGACTTCGGCGTATACAACGAAATACGATGTTGAACCGACGCATACACTGCTGTACACAATACTTGCCAATCCAGGATCAAAATGTGCACAATCCAGCACATTGAGACTGATCCTCTACGTTGTTGTACATCGTACTGCACTTGACAGCCTTGATCTAATTCCCGCCCCCTGCCGAAAACCCAGCTGGGAAGCGACATGGCGTGGGGGCGGATCAACGGTACTTTACGGTACTATAGGAGACTACTGTACGCATGCAGGGCTGCAGACTGCATGGTGCAGTCCCTTATGCCAAGTGTCGGATTTCACTTGCCACAACTGTAGTACGGTCTTACATGTGTTACATACAACTTTATCTGTCCGATGACAAAACTCGTACTCATCACAGTCAAGGTTCAAAAGGTGCTGGCAAAAATGAATGGGGCGGATTGGATACCAATACTCCTTATGTGTACCATGTGTTGTGAACTGTGTGTATCTAGCGTGTGACCTTTCGATGTTTTTGGGATGCATACGGCTCTGTAGTACAAATTAGGTGCAGTGCATTACACCATTAGACATCCTTAGCAAAAGTACGATAACGCTAACTTTTACGGTACTCACTCCCAGCCGTGACAAAAGACGTTATCGGGTAACGGAAAAACGTTACAGAGCTCAAAATAACGGGCTGACGTTCGTTATGGTAATTCTGCAAAAAATGCAAAAACCCGCATTGTTTTGTAACTGGCGGGAGATAAAAAGCACGTGCAGATCAAGATGAGAGTCGAGATTGCTCCCTCTAGGCCTCTTATGACATTTAGCTTTTTTGGCGAGTTTTGCCTTTCAGTTGACAATGTCTGCGTCCTCTGCTTCGTGCCTTTCACCCTCTATCCCATCTGGGAAACAAAGGACCAGTTCCACGGCACTCCTGAGGAAGAAATTCATCGGCCTCTCCCAGACGTGCTGGAGCTGGAGAACCCTTACAGTCTTCGGTGCTGCGTTTAGGAGAGGGTTTCCAAGGACCTGCAAACAGCGAAAATTCATTTTCGCTGTGCTTTTGCTATTCCAGAGTGAAAGACCTCGCCAAGGTATTCTTTCGGAACGACAGCAAACGAATCCCTGGTTCAAAATTTTGAATTTACCGCACCTGTTTCCACGAAAATTCATATCGCCATGGTTGTCACGACTACTTCGTCTGAATTATAACGTACATTGTAAAAAGTAAAGTTTGCACGTCTGCGTTACTACCGGCTATACAATTGCGTTGAGAAACACAACCAGCTTAGGAAGTTTCGCATGTGCCAGGCCACCACCATGCCTGTGCTAAGGGAAAAGTCAGCTTGAAAGATCCGAAGTACGGAAAGGTTTGCGTTTACGTTAGCGTTTTTTTTGCCAAGGATATCTATTGGTAGGGACTTCAATCGAAAAACCAAATTTGTGAGTTTCGCATAAAACGCTAGTTTTTCTAAACCGGGAAGATGTGAGAAACCTGTGAAAATTTGAACCCAAATTTCCAAGGCAGTCGATTGAAGATTGGAAAACGGGGGAGAAAGTAGTCACAGAAGTAAATGCAAGTATGTATGTGAGCCGTGTGGTTTCCGTCCAGCACTGCACTATCTGGTGCATACATGGCGATACAGGATGTGTGCATGCCATGCAGTGTGCACGCATGCCGTGCGCGCCTGCTTGCATAAGTCACACGTTTTCACCGTCACTGCTTCTACAGTGTGCGCGCAGTTCACTTGATTTTTTTCCTCTACCACCAGGAAATCGCCGTGGGCTGGTTTCTGTGATCATCTTCCTTCTACTGCGATAAAGCGCGAGCCTCAATGTTCTAGAATCCTCTTGGTTTAGGCTAATTCGAGGCCGCTGAACACGAAAATCGGGTGTTCCTGGCGGGGCCAAGTACGGATCTGGTCGAAATTAGTACTTCGAAGTGCGTCCGCGCCAAGCGCGGAGGCATTATTTTTGGAAGCATGGCATGTGTGGCACCATTGGAAAGGTAATGACCTCAGCTACCTAAAAATAGCATCGACAAGGCCGAAAAGGCCGCGGCACGGCTGTTGGCTGCACTTGGATCGCGGCAAATTAGTTTTCTGCACGTGAACCATGAAAAATCAATGCATGCTCATGCATGTTCATGCATAACCAGTCAGCTGGCCTGCTCGCCCACGCATTTGACAGGTAACAATTCCATCAAATTTGAGATATCGCTTCGTTCTAAGTCTCAAAACAGTTCTAAAGTCACCAAACCACGCTGGTAATCGATGGCTATTCAATGTTAACATCTTCAGGAAGACTTCAGCCGTTTCCCGAGAGTTTGGGCATCGTTGCCGTTATTTTTCACGGTGTTCTTCTTCCTCCTGTCTGGAGCTGCAATTGCATCCTGGAATTATTTGAAAGGTATTTCGTGCGGGCTGTGGGGGGTTCCAACAGGCATAAACTGACATCGCTATAGGATAACTGGTAACTTTCACCCTTCAAGGAAGTAGAGCAATGAGAATTTTTTTGTGGCGGTCGTCCAATTTTTGTGGCGGCCGTGGCTGTATTTGTGCACTTCCAAGGCTTTCATTCTGCCTGATACTACTCTCTACTGTATGGGAATCGTTGTTTAGGCACATGTAGCTGTCTTATTTGGTAGATCTGCTGTTTTCAATCACTTGGGACATTTGTCTAGCCTATTTGTCTTTCGTTCGTGCCATCTATCAGTTTTGTGGGGTGCCTTGACTTGTATTTGTGAAGTTCTCGAGTAAAGACCCTAATTCTTGACTGGAGTCACGTCTTGAATTGAATTTGCTGGGCGAGCCCTCGTTCACGCAGTTGTCCTTATCGTAATAGTCAATATCTGCTTGCTGGACGGACTAGCGGCTAGAACAGGGTGGGATGACCAAATGGTCCAAGTGTGTACTAGTACACGATTATTGTTTCCATCATCGTGAAACAAGCGCTGTGGAATTGCAGTCGTCTGCCTTTGGCACTGAGGACATGAGGAGAGTTGATTGTTACTTCTGCTCAGCAATGAAGCGATCACCAGCTCTCTTTGTTCTAATTATTGAGAGGACATACCGGCATCGCAATCAAGTAAAGATTAGGCAAACCTCGCCAACCTCCAAAGAGAGTCGAAGATATTTTCTCCAAATGCAAAGACGATCTTTGTGAGTTTGTGACTTGCATTTTGCGTGCATACATCATGAGCAAGTCACGGACCACAGCACGTGCGCGGTTACCATGCCATCTCGAACCGACGCCATCTTTCTAAGTTGCCGCTTCTTGACAGCCGTGGCGGGAGAAGATACTCAAAAGAATTATCGGTAAAAATACGAGCATATTCCGCGGAGGCCTACCCATTGGCATTTTGAACAAATTTTTGACCAAAACGTCCCACTTACCGTACTCAATTAAAGGATGGTGAAGCTGTTCTGGTGGAAGTTCTGGGAATCTTTGCAACATCCAATCAACGTGTCCTTGTATTTCTCTAGCAAGATCCCGGTCGATAGCATTCCGCACAATAACAAATCCATCCCGTTCATATTGTTCCCGAATTTCTGATTCGGATTCGAAGCTGGCAAATGCTTGGGGACCTGTCAGATGTAACTGCCGGTGTCCAATATGAGCATTCTTCGATATTTTGGCCAAGCGAAGTGTTGAGGAAACGAGACGATTCCACATTGTTCTATAGATCTAGGAAGGATAGATCTACGACATTCTCAGTTTTCAGACTTGATTTGGCTTGATCCAAATACGTGCGGAACTACATGTAGACAGATAAAAAATATTGCGAAGAACACTGTCATCGCAAATAATTGAAATTACCCATATGGGCCATGTCGTCTCTTCAACTGAACATCGTCATTCCGCCTGTGTAGTTCCATTCTACCACTCCTTTTCCAGGGAGCACGTCGACAGGTACTGAGCTCATGAGGCAGACTGTCAAAGAAAACTCGAAAGCATGCAGCAGTCCGGTTGACAAAAACTCTGCAAATAAAAGTAAGAGTACATAAACCGTTTTTTTTTTTTTTGGTTTATGTACTCTTGATAAAAGGCTAGTGCAAGCAACATCATCATTTTTTATTATAATAGCTATGTTTCGCGTCGTCCGCACGCATACGTGTTGATTTTTTTCGGAAAAAAATAAAAAATCGAACATGCACAGTGAGTGTACGATCGTGCGAGTCATCAGTGTGGACAGGTTGCATACGGCGAAGCTGGGATTCAGAAATGGCCTCTAGCCTAGACCAGCGTTGGTAACTCGTTTGTTCGGCATCTGGGAGCAATATTCTATGAGCTTACACCAGACTGCATTGATCGCCTAAGCTGAGAGGATGCGTCGTTCCGGAGCTCTTTGCACCGCTGCTGAAGTCTGAGTACAATATTCCAGCGAAGCATAGGCACCATGACCAACGGTTGCCTCCTCTGTCCAAAGTGAATATTTAGTATTAATTTTATTTTACTCATGCTGATAACCCAGATGTTGTGCTTCGATGTACGATTTTTCTTTCGAATGTACACCATGCACGAGCTATTGTGCTATGTACAGTGCATACACCTCTGATGAGCCTTTTTTATTATTTTGCAACTTTTTATTTTTTTCCACCTCTCGCATAATTTATGATTCTGGAAGTTGAGCTGACGCGAAACATAGATATAAAAAATGATGGCCTTAACAGCACACAAAAAAACATTCGCGATTCGGTTGCCATGAGTGACGTAGTAAGCGTCTGGACTCTATCCTTATTATAATGCGCGCGAAATACAAAAAAATACAAAAGAGGAAGAAACCTCACATGCGCGTGCATGCTGTGTACATATGTACGTGTGAACTTGGCCATCAACAATATTCATTCACGTTTTTGCAAGGGAGCAATGTTTGCTTCTTTTCCGGTGTCGCAGAATGTCTTGGTGTGACATAGAGCTTCATACGGGTGGCGAGGATACCGGGACGTCTGCGTTTGGAGTGGCCAGCAAGGGCCAAAGTGGCTACCAAGTCGAGAAATTGGCTACCATCGTTGCAGGTGGAAAGGTAAAACTTACGTTGCAAATTCCAACTTGGCAACGTTTGACGTGCACTCCCAGTAGTTGAGCTAGTGTGGCACGTGGCCATTGTTCAACTACATGTGATTGTTCATAAGCGCTTGTTGAACATCAATGTAGCGTTTTCCTCAGGACTGGTAGCGTTCTTGCTGGTATTTTGATATTCGTATTACAGTAGCACCAGGGATTGATTGTAGCAAGAGTACTCTTGATTGTAGTGGACATGCTGTGGTCGACAGTAAAATATAGACTAACGTTTTGGAAACGACAATCATGCACACTCGACGTGCTATATTTGCAGTACATGCAGTTCAGATCAAATCCATAAGTGATCCCGAAAGGCAATACATGTACACGTACTGGTAAAAGTACAATATTCGTATGATCATGTAGCAGTTGGAGATAGTAGCCCAATATGAATTCGAAACAATAAGAAAAAATGGCCAGTCAGCAAGGAGGTTGACTGGGAGAATTGACCAACCAGCACACATGCTTAGAGATAAAGAACATTGTAGAAGAAGTGTTAGAAGTGTCGAGGTTAGTTCAGTACATAGAACAGTGAAGGTGAGTTGGACAAAGCTCTTCCTTCTGAGCTGTATTTTCCAGAGTCGAAAATTTGGGCTCTCCTGCAGGTTCTACCCTGAGCATTTGTTTTCATCATACACAAACTGGTAAGAGAGAGAGAGAGAGAGAGAGTGTGAGAGAGAGAGAGAGAGAGAGAGAGAGAGAGAGAGAGAGAGAGAGAGAGAGAGAGAGAGAGAGAGAGAGAGAGAGAGAGAGAGAGAGGTGGGGGACTTATACACTGGTATGGGTTTGACGACCCAGAGAAATACTGTAGTTTTCTGTTATTTATTTTAAATCTCTTCTGGAGTTTTCAGGCCTGGACATTGTGCAGGCGCTTAGCTCGTGTATAGTCAGTGTAGTCGGGTCACTACACCTGCAAATAGCTGTCATAGGTATTACATAGTGAAAGCAGGTAAAAAAAATGGCAGCTATGAGATTTCCAGTGGTATATGGTCACCCCACCACAGACTTGCTCCAGTACTTGGTCACCACGCCACGGATGTGAGAGCTACGCCCCTGTTGTGTGCAAGTTTGTTGCGGGTATATGTTTTGGGACCCATTTTTTTACAGGTGCCACTAGGGGCCTGTGCAATCCCAGTGCTTTTGATGTTAAAACGGACTATTGTGGATACATGTTAATAAAAATAATTATGTGTTCATGCCATGGGCTACTGCTTGTTTACGAGACTACCATAATGTGTGTGTGTGTGTGTGTAAAAAAAATGGAAAAATGAAAAATAGGGATTCACTGGCCAGAAAAAGTCATTTCAAACAGCTGTGTGGTGATACCAGGCTAAAATAGTGGCGGTCAATTCATCAGCCTTGCAAGCTGTTGAATGGTGTAATCCCAGCACAAGAAAGTTGCTATGTCTAACATAGCTGTTCACTATTATCGCTCCCGCGATGGGCATGTCTGAGGTCTGAGGTGTGTGTGTGTACGTGCGTGTGTGTGTGTGTGTGTGTGTGTACGTGCGTGTGTGTGCATGTGCTATTGTTCCAATGTAGGTATCTCAACAGCCAGTTATCTCGTCATGTTCAACGAAAGACTGTGTATGCTTTGCCATCGATTCGAATGTCTATGTAATCGACCACACACGTCGCGATGAAATCTTTGACCTTTCACTCAGTACGTTGATAAAGTCCAGGTTCTGATTTCTGTCCACTTTGTCTGATGTGCACCGTGTTTGCGGCGATTGGCCTTGCTTGTTGATGTTCTCTTGTGGTTTATTTGAAGGTGGGGTTAAGTGTTCATACTATCTCTTGGACAAACAGGCCTGAGGTAATGGAGCCTGTACAGGGTGATTTTTATGGTAACATTGCTTTCTTTTTTATTCACGTTTGCCTACTCTATTTACTCTCTGTACTGTCGCTCTTGTTGTGGTTATGCAGGCGAAACGGTGGATTGTGTTGCACTGAGCCAGAACTCGGGATTTCTTGCAGTCGGAGACCGGTACAGGATAGATAGCTTGCCCTGTCCATCATCCATCTATTTGTTTGTCTGTCTGTCTTCCCATCTATAGTATAGCTTCAGTGTAAAGCACCCTGGATGCGACATACCATTGGATATCACATACCGTATTGGAGTATAAGCTGCACTGGAGTGTAAGCCGCACCCCCCCCCCCCCATTCTTTGCCACGAAATACAGACATCTAAACTATTTATGACTGTTAATTTGATCATCGGAGTATGCGCCACGTCCCCTATTTTTTGGGGTGAATTTTGAGTGTTCAAAATGCGGCTTATACTCTGGAAATTACGGTACTACTGTAGCGGACATGGAAATCTAGTCGATTGACCGGGGCCGGCGCCCTTAGCGCGTACAGAACGCTGCGTGCAGTGCACAATCTGTCAATCATGTTGATCCGAAGGGACCAGCGCGCTGCAGCGCATAAATGCATGTGTGTATACCGCTTACCCACGGCTACATGGCCAGCGCCCTGAGGCCGCTAAACGTGCGACTGGATTTCCATGTCCACAACAGTATTTTTGACGACCCTGCATTATAGTGATTATACTACTAGTAAACTATTATGCTTTACCTCAAGTACAAAGCACAGGTTTTTATGTCCCCTGGAGGTATTTTATAAGTTACATTGTAAACGATCTACAGTATTTTTCGGATATAAGTCGCACCGGAGTATAAAACCCGCACCTGGGTTTTTTTTGTCACGAAATACAGATTATTTTGCTATGCCTCTAGATTTCATGATTTCCATCCAAGTACAAGACCTGTGCATGTTTTCTTTGTGTTGCCATTTTCCCATCTGTTGTGTACGTTTTGGTATAATGGTGTTGGTTTTTGCAGGAAAGGACAGTTGCATTTTATTGACGTTGCACTTCGAAAGCGAATTTTCTCTGAGGTAGGCCTTTTGTGGTTCCTTTTTGATCCCATTTAATCCTTTCTCCACTGAATCTCTTCAGAGACGTGTATATTGTCGTTCCATGAAATCCCGCAGAGGCAGAGGCAAGGGCATAGGGTTTCTAGCCTGATTGACAGTTGATTTGTAAGATTGCATTGTTGCTTGTCGTGTAGATCTTTTCCAGTTCTCAGTTGCCAGCCCTTTGTAATCGCTCTGCTGACTTTGCTGCTTGTTCCAGGTTCTTGTTTCCGCTGAGAATGTTACCGGTCAGCGGTGCTTCCACTCGGCTACGTTCTGGTCTACGTCGTCAGAACCAGGTAGAGTGCATTGCAGTTACAGAGGGCCATGGAAGATTACAAGTTCTGACTTGGTGTGAACACAGTGTGAATACCAACTACTTCTGAGCAGCGTATAGATTTAAGGGGGTAGTACACTCCAGTTGTTGTACTATATTGTACCCACTGGTCTGCTTTTGGTCCGTTATTCTATAGCATTTACTTATCCCTCTGGTTGGAGCTGATAAACATGGCGGTTATTTGCTCAAGTGTCTTCCTGTATGCATTCGTTCAGGTGCATCATTTCCTTTTAGGGACATACTTGTAGCTATCGATCTGGCTGGTCAGGCTTTGCCCGGCCCACTTTCCCACCAGCCATGTTTCGGTAGTGAAGCAGGTATAACATAGTGTCAATAATTGTGTACAGTATGCTTATGTACTGTCCTGGACGGATTACCTGCACTTTGCCAGACCAGTTTGAAGCGCTGTGCTATGTGCCCGTCCTTTTACCGTCTGCACTTGTGGATCATATAGTTTGTGTAGACGTCTACTAGACGATGCTGTGGTACTTGCCGAGTTGCTAATGGTGGGGTGATTACTTCAAGCATGCAGTCAGTCCCTGTTGTGATATTGTTTTTTCTTTGCCCCCCCCCCCCCCCTCTCTCTCTCTCACTCGCAGGGCATAGCTTGGTGGTGGCCACAGCAGCCGGCATGGTGTACTACTTTAGCCGTATGGCATTGGAAGAATTGCATGATGGTAAGATAAGTGTACAGTTACACACAACCCTGGCCTGCCTGGTGTTGTCATGCATAAGATGTTACTGGCTGGTTTACATTTTGTAGTGTGTCTTGGTCTTTGCTGTTGCGCTGGTGTACCTATCGCACACTTACATTGATGTAGCTATCATGCACTTACTTTGCGTTGGTGTAGCTAACACACACTTACATTGGTGTAGCTATCACACACTTACATTGGTATAGTTTCCCCACACTTACGTTGGCATGTGGACTCAGGAAATGGTCTGATGGTCACCAGTGATGGTGGATCTGGAGTTGTATTCTCTGCCTGTCAAAGTACGAAATAGTTAAATTGAACAGCTGTGGTAGGAGAACTACAGTCGACCTACCCTTATAACGATATTTGCGTCACACCAAGAAATATTGTTATAATGGTAATATTGTTATAGGGGTAACTGGTTCATTTCATACACATACGTCATAATTCAGGGATTTTGTTCTTTTTTACACTCTTCATAGCATAAAAAACTGACATACAGTCGACCTACCCTTATAACGATAACCCTTATAACGATATGTTCCTGCCAAACCAAATCACTCCATTGACTTTTGTATACAACGCCTTACCATTATAACAATATTGCTATAACGATATTACCCCTATAACAATATAGAATGGGCTGACCAATCAACACTTTCCATTCTATAACAATATCCAGCAGGGGATATGCAGAGTCCATTGTCAAGGTAGGGCAAGCTTCACTTGAGAAGTCGCTAGGACATGACGAAATGCAATGGGGGCACCAGTGGGCACCTTGCTGTGTACGTAATGTGCATGTACATACGATTTTGACGCTATGAAGAGTGTAAAAAATGAACTGAATTCATGCATTACGACGTATGTGTATGAAATGAACCAGTTACCCCTATAACAATATTACCCTTATAACAATATTTCTTGGTCAGACGAAAATATCGTTATAAGGGTAGGTCGACTGTACATGCACATTATGTGCACAGCAAGGTGCCAACTGGTGCCCCATTGCATTTCGCCATGTCCCAACGACTTATCAAGTGAAGCTTGCCCTACCTGGATAGTAGGCTCTACATATTCCCTGCTAGATATTGTTATAAAATGGAAAATGTCGATTGGTCAGCCCATTTTATATCGTTATAGGGGTAATATCGTTATAGCAATATTGTTATAGAGGTAAGGCATTGTATACACAAGTCAATGGAGTGATTTGGTTTGCCAGAAAAATATCGTTATAGAGGTTATCGTTATAAGGGTAGGTCGACTGTACCAGTAGCGTTGCATATGTGTAGAGCCATGTGTTTTAGGCGTTTGTTTCAAACATGTTTCTTTGTTGACAGTGCGACACGGTCTTTCACCAGTGCTGCCTAATTATGGTTGGTTCGCCTCTGTGTGCCTGTCTTTACTCATGTAGGAATGGTGGATGGCGATTTTGTAACTGCTCAAGAGGTTAGTGCATTTAAAATTTAAGAAGCATGGTCACTGCCGCATTGAGACCATCGAGCAGTGGAACTAACTGCCCCCTCCACTATGAAGTTGGGCCATCTGTCTGTATCCTCTGTGATCTCTTTTCTTCACCTGTTGCCAAGTTCTTCCAAAAGCACACAGACACACAACATTATGTTGTGCCAATAGGTTCGGTAGTATTGTTACCGACTTGCTTGAAGTAGTTACTAACTGTGAGAATTACTGTTGCGTTTTTGGTTGTTGCAGATTCGAAAGAACATCGTTACAAAGGTCTTCAAGGTTGCTGAACTTCATGGCGATTGGATTGGTGAAGTTCTGCCTATTCAGAGGTCTGGCATGCCAGCATTTCTTGTGACTGTGAGTGATGGCTGGTACACTGTGGTCTCTCTCTCTCTCTCTCTCTCTCTCTCTCTCTCTCTCTCTCTCTCTCTCTCTCTCTCTCTCTCTCTCTCTCTCTCTCTCTCTCTCTCTCTCTCTCTCTCTCTCTCTCACCTTCACCTGCTCCTGCATGCACCATATTTTCTTGCTCGCCATTGCTTCGCCATCTATATTTCTTTTTTTTCCTTCCTTTCCGTCTTCCCTTCTCCTTGTGTTTTACTATAACATCTGTAGGGAAAGGGTCGTTGCAGTCTCAGCGTCTGGGGGACTGCTCTGCCCATTTCATCTCAGACCGAAACAAGTACGGACATTGTATTGCTGGATGCGATCAGTCGTCCGTTGGCATCAGTAGGTGGAGTCAAACGTGCACAGCTGACACAGGATGGCGGCTATCTCATCCTTCTCTCAGAGAGCGGGAAGCTCAGCGTCTGGGATCCGAAGAGCTTTGTGTTTGTGTCCAACCTGTCACTCGATGATAATAAGCAAGTGCTGGACTTTCGCCTGGCAAACAGTGTTGGAAAGATGTGGCGAAAGGCTAATAAGAACTCCTTGGGGTAAGAGATCATACCAGTGAGTAATAAGTACAAGTAGCCTTCTGAATACACTGTTAGGACACATTTACTAGCACCTAGAACTACCACAAACATCACACATGCTAACTACCATTGCAATCCTGTGGACCCCATAAGCCATGTCGGTGATGACCCTATTCTGTTATTTAGTGTACCGTAATATTGGGTGTTTTAGGCAGTCTCTGACTTTCTTACAGGCTGACCTGACTTCCTTTCAAGCATATTTCGGCCTAAGAAAGATCAGCCACAATGGGACAGGGGGTGATTAAAACTGTAGTCCAGGGACACATAGAATGTGTGGTAGGAAAAGCACCTACTGCACAGTGGCTGTTTCAATAATAATTGTCGACAATGTCTTATAGATGTGTTTCTTTCTGCACCACCCGTGCTACATCTGGTATGTGGAGGTTGGTGACTGTTTAAGAGTTCACTTCGCAAACTCTACACTGACTTCTTTTGAAGAATGAAGAAAAAAGAAGAATCCTTTCATTCTCTCCACTCTCTGTGCAGGAATGACGAGCCGCAATTGGTACTCCTGACTCAGTCTGGCTCCAAGGTGAGTGGCAAAAGCAAGGAGTGTTGCACGTCTGTTGTAATGTTGTTGACATTGAAATCTGGTGGAATGACCGGGGCTGCCACCCTGACTGCCTTAGTGAGTACACCCACCGTGATTCACGTACACATTGTAAAAATGGACCAGCAGTGCTCGTGGCTGCAAGGCCAGCGCCCCGTGGCTGCTTGCCTTCTCAACGGATTTCAATGTCCACAACAGTATATGGGGAGGAACAATACTAGCCATCGAATTCACATGGGACGCGTTGTATCCACAACGCAACAGTTAGTTGAATCCCAAGAATCCTGCCAGAGTGCTGAGTATTAGAATATTAACTATCAAATGTGCAGGCCTCATTGCGGAGTGTCACTCAATGGTTCTCGCATTAAATCAGTTGTCTTATCCAGACAATAATTATCTGGCATGTCCTTGATGTTTCAGCCTGTGTGTGCGTGTGCGTGTGTTTGTGTGTGTGCGTGCGTGCGTGTGTACGTGTGTGCGTGTGTGCGTGTGTGTGTGTGTGTGTGTGTGTGTGTACGCGCATGTGTGCGGTCTGGAACTTATGTGCTCGGTCTGTATGTTCAGCACTTCTTGGAGGTCCGCTCCTTCCCATCCTTCCAAGCAATGTACTGCAAAGCAGTGACGCGCTCCGCTCATCTCTCTATGCCTGTCAATGCCCTGGTATGTACATGCTCTATACAGTACGTGGATATGGTGGCACTGGCGTTTCTTTGCATGTTTTCTTGGTGTACTCCACATTTAACTGTATGCTGTCATTACTGTGTGCTTATGCCATCCTAGTGTTTTTCTTTGTATTTTTGCCATTTAAGAGAGCATGTCTGAGAAAACCAGAACATATGTGCAAGTCGATCTCTCAGATTTCGCTCAAATTTTGCAGGTAGGTTTGCTTTGGGGTGTAGACCGACATTCCAAAGCCCGCACAAAATCTTTTGAAGGGAACCATGAAATTGGCATACCCCTCAATATTGGCCCAATATTGGCACGATTTATGGGTCTACAAACGAGCTACGGCACAGCGTACAAGAACAAAGTATGAACAAAACTCCATCAAGTCAACATTACCTCACCTTAGAAGAGTTCTTGGGGCAGCACCACTTAGCCACACCAGCATCCCAGAAGACGAGGGCAATCATCCCTTGACGCCACAAATGATCGTCTTGAAAATAGCCAAATTACAAGCGCTGATAAAACTGCGAGCTACGTCCTCAATTAGCAAACACTATACACCGGCAGATAGTAGAACACCTCTTCTAGCACTGAGGACATGTCCCCCATCATCCTTTTTGGGTTTTCTTGAAATAAACAATTTTGAATTTTTCCACTCGACCATTCTGAAATACGTCCAAACTCATACCTGCGCAGGAAAGCTCGCCCCTCCGCGACGTCTAGTCAGCAATTTCTACTCCAACACCACTCCCAGCGCTGCAGAACAAAGTGTATTGTTGACTCTGACAAGGAAAAGCAGCGGTGATCACTTGTCACTCCAAACGACAAGCTTCTCCTTGCGCCACCAACATAATTCGGTGCAACAGTTGATGCAAAAGTGACTGAATTTTTGCGTGTAGTTTTTGGATTTTACTGCAAGAGGAATGAAGAAATCACGTGCATCGTGACGTAGGATAATGCTTTCTGGTGCGCGACACAATGCACATGATCACGATCGTTCCCGAGGCGCTATTCAAAACGGACCATGAGGGAGGAGGTAAGATGCATTATATTTCTTGCATGCTCTGCTCAGAACATTCAGAAACTATCGTTATAGCACTAGCAGTATTGCACTGGCAAGAATTCTTTGAGATATTTCCTCTTGCAGTAAGAACAGGGATGCATTTTTTCAAACTAACCTCGCTCATCCCGAACATGGTTCAACAGGAACTACAGCTAGTTTACATGCTGATGATCCACGTAGATCTGCAACAGCAAGGAATGACCGTTGTCCATGCCATCAAGGTCGCTTGGAGTTGACCAGCGCGCGGCCTACACTGGTTGCATGGGGTATGTGGCGCGCCCACATGGCAGATTTCTACATGAACAACGTGATTTGACCCTACTCGCCCTAGTCTGTGTGCTGCATATTGAGGGAAAGTCCCGGCTGGAAGGCCTACAACACGACATGCGTGCTCTTAAGCTGGACATCAAGATGCACTTGATCCGATCTTGATCAACGGGTGATCCATGTAAGTGCAGGTGCGCTTGATCAAGGTGACTCGGAACAACTGCTGAACCGTGATCTACGAGACCTGGCATTCTTGTGTCACGAAGCACGTGATTTCATCATTCCTCTTGCAGTAAAATCCAAAAACTACACGCAAAAATTCAGTCACTTTTGCATCAACTGTTGCACCGAAAAATGTTGGTGCCGCAAGGAGAAGCTTGTCGTTTGGAGTGACAAGTGATCACCGCTGCTTTTCCTTGTCAGAGCCAACAATACACTTTGTTCTGCAGCGCTGGGAGTGGTGTTGGAGTAGAAATTGCTGACTAGACGTCGCGGAGGGGCGAGCTTTCCTGCGCAGGTATGAGTTTGGACGTATTTCAGAATGGTCGAGTGGAAAAATTCAAAATTGTTTATTTCAAGAAAACCCAAAAAGGATGATGGGGGACATGTCCTCAGTGCTAGAAGAGGTGTTCTACTATCTGCCGGTGTTTAGTGTTTGCTAATTGAGGACGTAGCTCGCTGTTTTATCAGCGCTTGTAATTTGGCTATTTTCAAGACGATCATTTGTGGCGTCAAGGGATGATTGCCCTCGTCTTCTGGGATGCTGGCGTGGCTAAGTGGTGCTGCCCCAAGAACTCTTCTAAGGTGAGGTAATGTTGGCTTGATGGAGTTTTGTTCGTAGCTTGTTCTTGTACGCTGTGCCGTAGCTCGTTTGTAGACCCATAAATCGTGCCAATATTGGGCCAATATTGAGGGGTATGCCAATTTCATGGTTCCCTTCAAAAGATTTTGCGCGGGCTTTGGAATGTCGATCTACACCCCAAAGCAAACCTACCTGCAAAATTTGAGCGAAATCTGAGAGATCGACTTGCACATATGTTCTGGTTTTCTCAGACATGCTCTCTTAATGACTTTGCCATTGTCACTTCTGTGCTCCATTCGTTACAGGAGCGGCTGTTCGTGTTGAATGATCTGGATGAGTTTGTTTCTCTGCCGGGATGGTAAGTTTTTGTTGAAAACTTAATGCACCAATGCATCGTATGCTGTTACTTGTCATGAAATGTTAATCCTTTGAGAACAGCCGGGAAATTCGAAATTCTTCATAACTATTTCATGTTCTTTGGATCGTAGTCGTTAGTTCTACTCACTCGATCTTCACTATCTAAGGCTTCCTGGAAAGGTGACATCCCTTTGGTATCGGAGCTAATTGGGAGCTGGTCCACAGCCTTTGTCTCCTGGTGTCAATTTATCTTATGCGAACCAACCCGACAATGGTCATCTACCTACATTTTTCAAATCTGTGTGTTTGTACTTGTGCGCACGCGCGCGTGTGTGTGTGTGTGTGTGTGTGTGTGTGTGTGTGTGTGTGTGTGTGATATCTATGACATTGTCTTCTAGTTCAACGGCCATCCCAAGCCGACTCTGCATCCATTGCTTTTCCGAGGCCATTCCAGAGAAGAGGTATGTTGTGATGTGTTGAGTACTCGTTCCCCTTTATGTTATCCATGGAATTGGGTTAGCCACAGGGACCAGGATTGCATACGAGCATGAGATTTTGGATACTGAAGAAAAGCATGTAAATGAAGTTAATGAACAAATAGCGGCATTGTGCCTACATCTTTTTCTCAGCCCTCTGGAACCACATCACTTTGGTGTCGTCTTTAGTTGCAGGGTCACAAGAAAAATGTGATGTTTTATTCTTGTTGATCATCTATGCTGTATTGGAAATATAAAACAGCAGCAGCTTCAGATGCTCTTTCTCTCTCTTTTTCTCTCTCATATGTCCCTTTCTCCGTCTCTTTTTGGCTTTTGGGCAGGCTAGCACTTCTACTGCGCAAGGGCAAGTTTGACGAAGCACTTTTATACGCTGAACAGTTTGGTCTCGATGTCCAGGTGGGTACATTAGTCAAGTTGCCAACATCCTTTGCCGGTGTCTTATTCTTTCTCTCTTTTTATGCATGAGCACGTGTCTGTGACCGCTGTTAATCTAATTAGCAACGAACCCTCTAAAAACTTCTGTAAGGCATGACGTTATTCCGAGTGAGGAAATCTAATCGCGTACCTAAGGCGCACAGGTGATATTGAGGGTGTGTGCTGTCTGTATTTTTTTGCAGGTTGTCAGCGAAGCACGCTGCTCGTGGCTTCTGCAGTCACCTGGTTGGGATGTTGAATCTCATCAGAAGGAGTTGCTTGACAAGCTGGTGGCAGCATTTGATTCTGTCCTGGTGAGTAGGGGAGTGCCTGTGTCTGACCCATTCTGAACAGGAGAGTGTAACTGTTATTTAAAATGAGTCCTTGGCATCTACCGGTATATCTCGCTCCATCTCCCTATAGCCATAGGTCCATGTTTCAAATGTCAACTTGCAGCAATAAATCGTAGATTGACTTTCTTTACATACTAACGCCGGAGCTCGCGCTTCCTGCCGATTGACTTGACACTCGACTGACTCACGACTGCGTCTGGAGCGCATGAGAAGCCCGTCGAACCTTTGAACTGGATCAGTCTGTTGCGACGTGTCTTCGTCCTTTATGTACTTGCCGGTAGTGTAGTAGTCTTCTGTGTACAGTGTACTTTCTGGTTGTGTGCTGGTCATTTGCATGTTTGCTGGCTGTGTGTGGTTGGCAGGACACCAATTTCGTGCTCCAGTGCTGCCTGGATGATCCTCCGGCCTGCCAGATGGCGACCGCTGCCATGTTGAAGTATGCGGATAAGCGGGTAAGCAGTGCCAATTATTGCATTTATCACACCCGTGCTCTGCTTTTTCGACAAGACTACTTTGATAGTTTTTTTGTATCTACCTCTTTACGGTGGGACAGCATAGATGAGTACTTCTGGTGATCTGAGGTGCGTTTGGGCTTATCTGATCTTGCCTGTATTCTCTACACTTGTATCTGTGTCGGGTGTGCTAGGACATTTCAACACTGACGAGGCCAGTGTTCTCTTCGGATTTGTGCGTGTATCTAGCTATGAGAGATGAAATTGCCATCCAGTTGTGCATTCATGTGTTTGTATTGTTGCCTCGTTCCCTGTGCTTTCGTGTTTGCGCGAATCCAGCTGACAACACGGCTGTCAAATCGTCCTGGACCAGATGAACAGGCTGCTCTCATTGCACTCAAACAAGAGGTCAGTATCTGGCTATAGTGGTCACCCCTGATGCGAACTCCCTTAGACCAAGCGTATCCGTCTAGTTGGCGCTCCCCCCCCTTTTTTTTTTTTTTGAAGAACGACACCAACGTGTTGATTGGCAAATTATTGTCTACCTGCCCCGAGTTGCATGTGTGCACTGTGATGGTTAACTTGATGGCTCTGTTGTGTTCTGGTGTGTTCTGGTGTGTTGCTAGCTTGAAACTGCTATCATCCGCTTCGGCACATATCAGCTTGCGTTTGGTGCTGTATCGTTCAGGTAAGTAGGGAAATTCTTATGAGAACATTTGCTGCTGCTGCTGTTGTTGTTATTGTTGTTGTTGTTGTTGTTGTTGTTGTTGTTGTTGTTGTTGTTGTTGTTGTTGTTGTTGTTGTTGTTGTTGTAACTTGTTGTCATTGTTGTTGTTGTTGTTGTTGTTGTTGTTGTTGTTGTTGTTGTTGTTGTTGTCGTCGTTGTCGTCATTGTCATTGTTATTGTTGTTATTGTTACATTCATTGAATTTTCCGCCCACCGCAAGTGCACGCGCTGCTGTGTATTGTTCCGGACACAATGGCTATTGGTTTGTTGTACATGTATGTCCATATTCCGCTAGTAACCTCTCTACATCCTCTGTGTATCTTCTGCATGTTGCTTGTAGCCCATCTCACTGGCAGTCCTTCCGAGCATCTTCAATCATACCTGAGATTTACCAATGTCTGGTCAGCAAGAACCTGGCTGCTGCAACCGTCATGTGGAGAAGACATAAGGTAGATCTTTTTGTGTTCAAGTGAGAAGGATGAGATGCCAGTTTCTGTTCTCTGCATTTTAACGGACATTGAGCAGCTCTCACGTTTACCCCCATACTAATTTATGTTTGTTGGTGTTGTTTTGAACTCTTCTCTAGACGGAGGTGCATGGAAGTGTAACTGTTGACAGTCTTCAACGACTTCTCTCGGCTGTGCCTGATAGTCTGCCATCCAAGAAGTTGGTTGGCTGGCTTAGAGATGCACTGCTTCCGTCCTTTGTTGAAGTGCTGTTCCCAAATGCCGAAGCAGAGGTGTGTACATGTATGATGTTAGTCACCAGTAATGCATGTGAACACCGATGGACACTTTGTTGTCTCAATGGCTCTCTTTTCTTTCTATCCTTTGAATTTCTCTGCTCATTCATCCTTCTAACTTCCAGTAGCAACTACCATTGCAGTGTCATTCGTTCACAGTATGCAACAACACATCATTGCTCTGATGCTAGTGAATTCCTTTTTTATTAGTCTTATTCTCTCCTACTTTTTTGCCTCTTTTCTTGATAAGAAGATTAAAAAATCTATATCCTCGCAATGGCTTATGTTCTGTCTGTTGCTGTGCTTGGTCTCCACTGTAGAACATGTTGAGCAGCTGGGTGAAAGAGCGTGCTCTTCGTCTGGAGCTCACAGAGAAGGTATGTGTGCAGAGCACTGATACAGCTGCCCTTCTGGGAGGTTCTATTACTCTTTAGGATAGACAGTAGTAAAAATGATCTCTATATTGAAGGTGTTTGCTTAGGGATGTATCACTTTACCTAATGACCGTGATGTAAAAAACCAGGATGAACTAGTTTTGATAAATTCTTTGGCCTGGACGTTTTTGAATTGTGTAATTACCGGGCCATCTGTTCTCTATTATTGTCTTCAGTTGTGCGCTGTCCAAGGTGTAACATGTGTGTGTGTGTGTGTGTGTGTGTGTGTGTGTGTGTGCGCGCGTGCGTGTATGTGTGTGTGTGTGTGTGTGTGTGTGTGTGTGTGTGTGTGTGTGTGTGTGTGTGTGTGTGTGTGTGTGTGTGTATGTATCCATGCGTGTTTATGTCTCTGTAGGCCCACTGGCCTGGTAATGCGTTGAGCATGGTGACAACAGTGGCAACAGCACTGCATTCGCCGCACAGTCGACCGTTTGGCAGCAGCAGCACCACCACCAGCAGCACTAGCAGAGGCATTGCTAGCCACAGTCCTGCCACTGGCGTCAGCGGCATGCGCACACCGGCTCGGTTTGTCACGCAGGTCACATCGGTTGCCTCTAGCAATTCTGCCGCAGCGGAGAACGACGACGATGCTCTGATACGGAATGAGTCGCGTCCACTGCAAGGACTGCTGCAGCAGCTGACAGATCTGCAGCTCTTGCACACCAGATACCGCTTTCCAATGAGCCTTGGTGATTTCCTCTTGGTAAGTGTTGTTTACTCTCGTTCTTATAACCTTCGCTACCTGGTGTCCGCATCCTACGGGTACTGGTGGGCGTAAAGCCGATCTGGGTGCAAATGTATTTTTGCTCGCTTGATTATAGCTACATTTCTTGATCGTGCTGGCCTCAAGCGAAGGCCCTTGGTTCGAGTCCTGGTGGTGACAGTCAATTTTTTCTTCAGACTTTTCCTTTTTCTTTCCCTCGCCCGGTGAATATGTCTTGATCAATTTGGTATTTAGTATGGGTTCATCAACTGTATAGGGTTTCTGGCTGCTTGGCTTTCTTGTCCACCTTAGGAGAGTAATCGGACACGTGTGTTCCGTTTGCTGGAGCGTGTGGCAGCAGTGGAGGTCATTGAGCAGGCACTAACGCAACACATCGTCCCGTACTGCCGACAAAACCTGCTCAATTCTGATCAGGTCTTACTCGACTATATCAAGGTGAGTGGGCGCTTCTTTCATACCCAGATGTTGAGGAGGTGTGTGTGTGTGTGCTCAGGTATTAAGGTGATCATGTGTGTACAAAACTTGTATTGCTAATTACTTTGGCATACATCAATATTTTTCCACCAAATTTTCTGTGTCGATACATTGGGTTAGTTGTCATCAATTTCCGATGTCAAATTTCAATTTTGAGAGGAGTGACGTCATCAGTGCTACTTTTTATGTTCAAATTTCAACTCAAAACGCGGAGAAAACGAAAAATAGTAAGGCCACGAATCCTGGTGAATTGGATAGCCTTCGGGCCCTAGATAAAGGATATTGGTGGATATTGTATATAGATATCAACATTTCGCTGGAAACCAGTGTCGACTTGTTTCACCATACGCACTGTACACATTTAGTATACAAAGTTGTTGTACCTCGGGGTCTGCTCAGACTCACCACTGCGATGAACGGGTGTTAAGCATCGATATCCAGCACATTCTCGCTTGCTGGGATGTACAGCTAGCCAATGCAACAGTTCTCATTCGCCAAAGACATTCCCCACGCTCCGCGTTTATGGAGGAAACTGTCATTGTTGTTCGGGAATAGCCGACATTGTCTCCTACACAAAGTGACTGCGAGGATTTGCACGGCAAGCTGATTATGCATGGTTCACCTGTGTGCGCTTGTACCTGTGACATATATGGCACGGACATGTATGGCACCAGTGCAGTGCTAGTGCATGCAGTCATCTGGTCACGTACATGACTGACGCGTAGATCTACTACGGGCTGCGGGGTGCCAGGGCAGGCCTGCACTGCAGGGTATAGATAGCATGCACTGCCCATGCAGGCCAGCTTGACTCGTGATCCCACTTCCACGGCCCGTGCGCGTGCATGTGGCATGTCACACGTCATGCATGGCCGAGTCTACGAGTACGACCACTCAGGGCGTGCGGATCTCTCAAGTATTGTAGTACAGTCATGTAGATCTACCATGCATGCAGGCCAGGCCAGCGCCGCGGCATGCTTGCGTGATGCACGCAGCACGGAGAGATCTCGCCACATAGATCTACTCTACGTGCCAAGGCGGCAACACGCGTGCACGCAGCGGATCGTCAAAAAAAATGCAGAGAGCACGCCAAATCCGACTTCCTTGGCCTCCACGATCAAGTACCAAGACCAGCACACATGTACAGCGAGTGAGCCAATACTAATGTCAGTAAGTCCTTACACAGTTAGTCTTGGAGTGAAGCATTAGTTAGTGAGCTGTCAGTGTCAATAGTGATCCTGTGTTTGTCAACACGCAGGTTCCCACCCTTCAAGTCACACACGTGTTTTTCAACATGCACTGATTTGAGACAGCTCCAGATATCATCTCTACAGAGTATACTGTGTGCAGTCTTGGAATACAGAGACCCACTTAGACCTGACTTCAGTTGGAAGAGAGAGAGAGAGAGAGAGAGAGAGAGAGAGAGAGAGAGAGAGAGAGAGAGAGAGAGAGAGAGAGAGAGAGAGAGAGAGAGAGAGAGAAAGAGAGAGAGAAAGAGAAAGAGAAAGAGAAAGAGAGAGAGAAGAGAGAGAGAGAGAGAGAGAGAGAGAGAGAGAGAGAGAGAGAGAGAGAGAGAGAGAGAGAGAGAGAGAGAGAGAGAGAGAGAATTCTCATCCGCTCAGGTTAGTTGGAGCAGTTGTAAAATCTCTTCTTCAAATAATAATTTCATAAGGCAACATACCACATGTACGTTTATTGTGCACAGGCCTGGACTTCTACAATACTTTTTATCAGACAGTTATAGTATCAGGACTTGTGCTATTCAGATACCAGCTCAGCAACAGACAGCTCTTGCCAGCAGGTAAGCCTACATACTGCATGCCTTCGGATAGCCAAAATAAATGTATCATTGTACAGAATGTTAAGGTAATGCTCACAAACTAGAAGCGCAGACAGATATGTCAGCACAGGGCAGGCATTCTTTACAGCAAAACTCAAGTTGTGGGGTGCTGTGGCAAACGATATCATAATTAACACACACCAGCTTGATAGCATACTTGTCTGGTAACTATGCAAAGAGTTCTTTATGTGAATGCGCGCACATGCACGGGTTGTTACCTGCAGGCAGCACCATGGCACAAACCATAAGATGTCACTATGCCAGGGCGCACATGTACCAACTCCACAAAAACAAGAAGCTGGCGCTGAACGAGCGGCACCGGGCATTCACTGAGTTCTTCGGCTGTGACATGTCAAAGGAAAAGTTTGCCAGGTCAAGGCAGCGGCTAGCTGCACTGATGCAGCGTCGATGGCGTGCAAAGTCCATAGGAGAGTACCTCAACACGTTTCGACTGGAGAGCTGGAGGAAGCTGCGGACCGGTGTGAAAGACCGCCACAGCGTAGAGGACTGCAATGGGTGCTGGTCCAAGCAGGAGTGGAATGCCTGCTTCCCCTTGCAAAGTACCCGTGGCGCCTATCGAAAAGTGCCCGTCAATCAAACCTGTGCAAATGAAAACAGAACAACACAGCCCGTCACTAAAAGCAACCAACGGGAAATCACACGACACGTGGTGAGCGAACTGGAAGCACAATGGGGACAGGAGGATGTAAGCACTCTCCTGGGAGACCGAATCAGCTTTGCTGCAATGGATCGACAGCGCATGCGCCGTTCATTCGAGACAAAAGAATCGGCACAAGCCCGCAATCCTAGAAAAAGGAAACACACGCCCAGATGCTATGCATTTGACAAGGAAGCCCTCCTCGAAGATGCGAGAACAACTACAGCAGGAGAACACATTAACTGGACTGCCCTTGCCACAAAGCACGGCGTTGGCAGTGCAAATCGAGGCCAAATCGTTAAGGTTTGATGTCCAGCAACATTCTCCACCACGGCAGCAGCACGCAAGGAGAAAGCGGAAACGCTTCACAAACGGAATCAGCTTTCCGCAGCAAATGACCAGCCAGCACCTGAAAGCGGCAATTCAGGACAAAGTGGAAAAGAACGACTTGCTGGAAGGCGAGGAGTGCGAGGGGTGCGTGCTTGTGAAGCAAAAAATTAACAACAATGGGATAGTTTCTGAAACTCACCTTGCAGTGAAAGGCCGCAAATTGCCCTTGCTGGCTCTCCGAGAGAAGCTGCTGAAGGAGCACGAGGCTGCTGGCCTGATGAAGGAGAACAACAGAACAAAAGACGAATACAGCAAGATGAATAGAGGGGACGTGGCGAAAGAGCTGAAGGAGATCGGCCAAGTCTACAACGACAATACAAGCACAGCGGACTTGATCAATGTCCTCTACAAGTGTCACCACACACGATGTTTGATCATAAGCAATGATCATGCTGACGTGCTGGGGCACAACATGCTGTGTGAGACTGTACAGGTGGTTTATGACCCCGCCATGCACATTTCTGACAAAGATGGACAAGTTCAGTCATTGGTGGAAGCACCACATGTACGTTTACTGGCTCTGTCCGGGTGTTCAGAAGTCGATCAGCTGAAACTCATCCCGGACAGGCTGGTAGACCTACATGTGGCTGCAGTCCCAATTCCAACTAACGGTGGAGACCCCATCGTCGACAAGTTGGTGGGATTTACAGGCGACATGGCGGCACGCTGGTTCGAGGCAGGTGTTAGCCGATCTGGCAGAAGCCACTACAAGTGCGGAAGTGGATGCGGAGTCAAGTCAGATTCAATTTCAAATTATGAAGACAACATCCGGCCAGTGCCGTCAGTAAAGACCCTCCAAAGTTTTGCTACGGCGGGAAGATATGGCAAAGTGCCAGGCCGCGATTTGGCGAATTTGCACCAGCAGGAGCAGCGAGAATAGCTGGCAGCCAGACACTTGAGCACCACGTCGACACTCAATGATGTACTGCGTGGAGTTCAGCGTGTGCCAGCTCTTCTCGCTTTAAACCACACTGCCAACATTGCCCAGAACGCATCGGAAGACTACTCCATATTCCCCACAGAACCGCTACACGATGTCAAAGGCCACCTGGCACATGTGATTCAGGAAATAAGTCACACCCTCGGCGGACAAGTCAAGGACATGTATGACTCTATTGTGGACAGCCAGGTTGGGCGACAACACAGCCGAGGGTGTGACTGGCGACATGCTGCTGTATTACTGCATGCAGCCATGGAGGAAAAGGAGGACTGCCCAACCTCCGTAAAGCAGCTGCTACGGACCATGACGGACATAGCGCAAATCTGCTATGCGGGGGAGCAGGAAAGAAGCCCAAAGCAACTGCTCCACCTGTCACTGATGCTGTGGCGCCACTTGGCCTGCTCAAAAAAGTTATTACAAAACCAAAAATAAATGTAGAAACATTATATGGAGGTTACCTCCATGATCTACTCCACGCTCCTCAGCAGCTGGCGGTCCTGAACCTGAGAGCATGCAACACGGAGGCGTTGGAGAGGGTGCAAGGGCAAGCTCGCCAAATTGCCCTTGCCACCACAAGCAGAAGGCCTCAAGAAATTACCAGGGAGATAATAATCCGCCTGCGGGGAGAAAGAACAAGCACAAAAAAAAAGCAGACAAGCAGTATTGAAAAAGTACTCGACAGCTCAAGCCTTCCGGGCTACTATTGTAAACCGAGACAACCTGGGACCCGACTTCATTGCCCTGATGACGACAATCGCTCGGTTCTTGGAGAAAGGTGAGGGAGTGTGGTGGCATGGGCATGACAACGCAATCATATTCCATGATGGCCCAGACGACCAGGAAACCAGACTGGAAGGCCCACATCTTCAGCACATCCGCGCAGCAACAATCGAAGATGCAGAGGAAGAAAATGCAAGAGCGTGGCAACGGCTTCTGGATGAAGGTGTGGGCCTTCCAGTTAACCTGCAGCCACACGCCGCAGAGCCACATACATGTATGGCCACCCAGCCGGAGGTTCCTCCAAGAAACGATGTGCATTCCACTACCCAGCCAGAACCAACGACCGGGACGCAAGCCACAGCACAGCCACAAGCTACGGCACAGCCACATCCCACTGATGAGCAGACTGAGGCCCCAACACTGTTGTTGGTGATGGATCAGGTCCCGAATTCTTCCGGTGGGAGCTACACTAGCAAACTGGCCAACGCAATTGAGAAGGTGGCGGGAAAAACTAGCACACTTGAGGACTGGGACCGGCTTAAAACTAGAGTGAAAACGAGTTCTGGACTGTCTCCATGTGAGTTAGCCACATACCATACAGCAGAGAAATGTCTGAAACAGCAGGTTACCAATGCGTTCAAGCAACTACGGCAAACAGGTTTGGAAAGGGAGAGGTACAAGTGGGCAAAGTATCTCGTGTACAAGGTATGGAAAATACCGCTCTAATCAATCTGAATGTTCACAGTATACCAGCTAGAACTGGGAATGGCAGCATTATGCTACTTTTCAACATTGTGGGTTGATACAGTTCGTCAGTTTGCTTCAGAATGCATTTTTCTGCTGCCTGATAAGCTACACAGCAACTCTTGTCCACCACTCTGAAACGGAAACAGCGCGTCTGATGACAATGATGATCAATCACGAGTATAATCATGTTCTTTATCACCCGCCGAAACACCGATAACCTTCAGTTCTTTTGCATGTGCATATTAATGGCCTATCGTGCTGTAACAGGAACTGTAGCATTTTCAAATATTTGCCTGCATATCAGACATTGGAAATGTTTGAAACAAATACAACAGCTCTTTGAAACAATTGCACTTTCTGCCTTTATATTACTGGATGTAGTCCTGATCAGCGTTTCCAACAAGAAACAATAATGTATACTATAGTACACACAATGCTGCCGCCGGACCTTCAAGTTGTTTGGATGCTAGTGTCACATAGACCATTGACTCCTTTTTTTAATAATCCTTTTTAATACAGGTAAAATCCTGATATTTCGAATATGGCTTAATTAGAACATACTACTCAATTAGAAGTCTCTTCCGGGACCGATTTCTGTCAATACGATTTCCACGTCACAATTTCTGATAATTAGAACCTCGATCTGAGTATGTCCGGTTAATTAGAAGTCCCACGGAATCCACTTACATAGAAAATGTTTGGGAATTGAGCTGATAATTCGAAGTTAGCAAACCATAATTAGAAGTTCACTTTATTTTCTGCAAATCAGTTTGGTTTGCATGCGCAGGCAGTTCGGTGTCCACTAAATCTGTGTCTAAGGTGTGTAGTGCCATTCTGCGTGTCAATGCGAGCATCTTGACATACATAATGTGTTGTGGTTGTGGTACATGTTTGGATAATTAGAATGTCCGGATAATTAGAAGTTTTTCCCCGGCATTTTGGTGTTCGAATTATCAGTATTCCACCTGCACTCACAACAATTGCCGCACACTAGCAGGGCATAATTAGTACATAGTGTTAACATATCTTACCAGTTTCTAAGGCTGTTGGATGACCAATTCACAGGTCAGAACATAACCCATTCGGACAGAATATTAATGCAAGTACAATATCACTACTCACCTTCTTTGACACGCCTGTATGTGCCGGACCACTCTTCATAGCCTGTCCCATACACATCAGTTTATATGCGGACATCCCGCTGTAGGCAGAGACCGCGCACGGGTTGTCACGATGTCACGAGGAAAACACCATGCTTCACGGGTAGTAACGTACTCTTCTGCTACTGCTTCAGGTCACTAGCCCGCACCTTCTAGTTCAAATATTAACTTCCTTCCTTGCAAAACGCAATCTGAAAGAAGACAAGAAAAGGCAGAGTGGTTGCATATCTGGGAGGATTTCACAGACCTGCACTTTTTTTGCATGCCAGTAACTGAATATGAATAGCATTTTCTTCCACATTGACACCGCATGATTCTTAATTTTTCTTAGTGCACATGTGTCCAGATCGAGGATAGTGTGCGCAATAACCAGCGCGCTGCATCTTTGGTTGCAGTCCACCCATAAGGGCCGGGTTCCACTGCGGCTTCGCTGCTCCGCTGCACGTCATCTGCGGCATGAAACGTCATCATTACCATAGTGACCGCGGCTCGGGCTGGCGCAGGGAGGCCGCGGCTCACCCCGAGCTTTCGCTACACTGCTTGATCAAAATTGCGATCCGCGGTTGCGGCTCGGCCAGTTTCCCGTACTTGCATTGTTTTGTACGCGAGAGGCCAGAATAACGAGGATATTGATTTCGCGGAGGCAGGTAAAATGTCGTAAGAAAAACTTGGAGCCCCACCACGGTCTTCCAATTATGTTTCTGAAAGTCTATTTCTCCAAAGAGCAAGGCGTAAGAAGAAGTCTACAAATGTTCGGCCCATTCAAATTTCGGCCTCCCAGGGCTAAAACACATTTCGGCTGCAACAAATTCGGCCTGTACTGCTGCTGCCTGTATACACTGTCACACTGAACCTTGCAAAACAAAATTTCGACTGCAACAAATTTTCGGCCAAATACCGATGTGATCAGGCCGAAAATATGCCTGCGCCAAATACTTGTTCACTTACAGTAGGATTGCAGCCAGGTTTTATCGCAAAAGCAATGAATTGGACAAAACCATGAAAATCCAGGCCGTTTCACTCCACTTGCAACAGTACATTGTGCAGCTCGAACTCCAGGCGAGGTACCTTTTTATAGCCCTTGTTCAAATTTCGCGGCACTGCATCGTGTACGATAAAAATCATGAATGATTACAGAATACGAGAGCTCACTAGCGCCACCGCTCATCTTTTTTATGAATGGACTGTAGCAGTGGTGTACATGTATGCAGAGTGCTCGTACATGCGTCGATTCACAGCTATCACTTGCTAGCTGTACACACACTACAGCTGTACTGGTAATCCTGGTGATGCCGAGGACTAGATTGCAGATGATGTGCCAAGACCAGACTACATTAAAGTAGACTGCCTGAAGCAGGGAGTAGTACAGTTCAGCTATTCCCTGCCCTGATCTGAAGAGATGTTCTCAGGTGTACGATTCAGTGGCGCATTTGCTTGAACTACCTGTATATGGCGGCGCTTGCACGATTGTTTTTCCAAGTTTTTTTCCGCGCAATTCACGGGTGTAGATTCTAGCCTGGCAGTTCTGCACCTTTAGTAAACAAGATCACTGTACCGAGTCGCTCCATGTACAACGTAACATTGTAGTTCGTTATCTCTTTGACATTATCTACAGTACATACACAATAGCCAATCTACAAACATGTACCACTTAGCTGCAGACCCCGCAACAATGAAGGCAAGAACGAACAAGCCCACAAACAATAAAATAAATTGCACCTTCTTCACGACATCGCCTCCACTGCTCCAGGTCCATACGACCAGCGATACTGCTCCAAATCCTTCCCGACACAGCAGCAGATGGCTGAACATGTTTACTCAAAAGAAGATTATGTTGGTGCTACTGGTTGCGAGACGGACACCCGAGAAGCAGTGGAACCCGGTTCAGAAAAAAGGAGTTGGCCAGAGTGGACGCTCAAAAGACAAACAACAATGACAAAGACTGTTGTCGACGACAAGCGCAAAGTATATACACAACAAGATCGTTTCTTCTTTGTCGTCTCCCGATCGCGATCCAGCTAAAAATCTGCATTTCAAAAACACGAGGTGTAGCAGTGAAAACTGTTGACGTTTGGCGTGCATGCGCGTGCGCATTCCCAGCTACACAGTAGTTTGGTTCGTGATGGCGCTTTAATCACGCGCAGATCACGCCGATCACAGGATGTCGACCGAATATCACCATGGCGATCACGGTCATGATCTTGAAGTACAGCGGCACCAGAAAAGTGTCCTTATTTTACCTGAGTGTGTGTGTGTGTGTGTGTGTGTGTGTATGTGTGTGTGTGTTAACCCTTTGAGGCCTCACTGAAATTGCGTGTTGTACACCTCCCTGCAGTTCGTGCTATTTTTCTGCTTCTTTGAACTTGCAAGATGAAGTTGTGTAACAGTAGCAGCTATTGCGGCTGGGGTAGCGCCTATTCGATGGTGGATCTTTGATGCCAGTACTTGCGAGCTGATGGATCATGTGAGCCGTGAAGTCTGAATATTCGAAGTACTTCCGGCATTGGATATTGTCAGGGTGCTTAGCAATCCTGATGTGGAACGATATGCATTGATGGTGCTCACGTCCACCAGGTCATGAAACAAGCTGTTTCAGTTCCTTTATGTCTTTCTCAAGTTCCGGTACATTACTATAAGCTACAACTGGCTTGCGTATCTCTAGTACTTGGTGGGCACCATCGGCCTTTCACATTTCTCGACACAGTACCTCGTGCTCATGATCCAGGTAGATGTTAGAGAACATTGACACCCAGTCTTTTTTCCTTCCATTGCTGGAACAGCGGTCAGGTTGTCGGATGCAGCGAGTTGTGCCACTTTCTGCCCATCTCTCGTACTGTTTGATGTCAGCTTACAGCACAGCTGAGAAACCTGGGCGGCTGGGGCGAAGTGTACTGACCAGAGACATACTTATACAGTGCTGCTCAATGAAATCCAATCGCGGCACTCAAGTTTGTGCCTTGCACCATTTCGCAGCCCAGTGTTCGCAGGTCCAGGGCTGCGCAACGCCCGGCTTGTGCTTGAGTGACGCAACTGGATTTCATTGAGCAGCACTGTAATTTTTACGTATACATGTGGTGAGCAAGGGTGAGGTATAAACAGTATCCATGTGAATAATGTGACCTGCTACTATGTTCTCCACTGGCTGCATTACCACTGCATGTGCCAGACTGTGTTCGCTGCCAAACTCCTGTCCTGTGTAGAATTCAAAGTTTACGATGACTGATGTATCAGCATCGCAAGCTGTGAATACTTTGAATCCCGCGTCGCCGACCTGGGTTTAGCATGTGTAACTGGTATGTTTTGCCTCATGACCTGGGAATCAGAAAGTGCAGTGTCTGTTGGAAGAACTGCTGGAAAGTTATTTTAGTAAACTGATAGTGCACCCATCAGCAATATGAAACGTGGTGGTCTATACAGCAGTTTAAAAATCTCGCTGAAGATATTGTGCTGATTGTTGCCGGTCGTTTTCTATGCTATGTTCCTCTGAAACACCAGGATTTCATTGCCAACCATGGTCATCTATGGCGTAACTATGCCGGCAGTACTGTGGCGGCCGGGACCAGTGCGCCATGGGAGGCCAAGCTGCTTGCCATTGTGCCACACATCAAGACCATGGAGGTAAACAGTGTGGCATGCGTATTGAGTTGTGTGTGTTCATACCGTAATCACGTATAAAACTGGTCTTGTTCTTGCACGAGCCAATATTATGAGGGCTGGGCTTGTATTTAAAGCAGGCATTCCATGAGTGTCAACTCAAATTCCAGACTCCAGTTGTCCATCAGAAAACCAAGCTTGTAGTCAAAGCATTGCTCTGTAGGAAGCAGGCATCTCAGCTGGTACCTCTCCATTCGCAACGTGCGTGTGGGTGTATGTGTATGCGAGTATGTGTATGTGTACGTGCATGTGTGTGCATGTGTGTGTGTTTATGTGTACGTGCATGTGTGTGCACGTGTTTGTGTGTTTATGTGTGTCTCTGTGAAAAATCACCTAGTGCCGAGTCAGTGCAGTATTTGAGTTGATCCGGGTGGCTGCCTTGCCGTGGAGCAGTGCAATGGATACTCTTGTCAAGCAAGCCATGACCTGGGAGCACTTGCGGTAAGTTCTCTCATCTTCATTCTCTTGGATTTATTGTGTTTGCCCAACATGGAATGTTGTTCCAAGGCCTACCAAGTATGAAGTCAGTGCAGAGACTGTGTTGTGTTGTGGGAAACTTTTGTTGGGCATTTGTCACTATGCCACTGGTTAATTTTGGACCATTTCTGGGCCAACATGTCAAGCTGTGAGAGTAGTGTACCGGTAGAAGCCGGCTACTAGGTTAGAGATTATACTAGCACAGCAGATTGCCGATTTTCCAAACGTCACGTATCCGATTTATCCGAAGCGCCTGATCGCACTGAATTTTTCCTCGCCCAACGTGAAGGCTATCGGCTATCCCAAATAGCAATACAACAACCGCCGTCCGGTAGTTGGGTGGTGGCTGAATCAGCTACTGCAGCGGAGAAGCCAAGAAAGATATGAGATTCGGAGAAGATCAGAAAATAACGACTCAAAAGACGATTTGAAACTCGGATGTTGAGCCATAAATAAATGTAGAAAGGAAAAGGACATATGGATACGAGTTAAGGTGGCTCCTACCCCTCGGGTCCAAATTTTTTTTGTTTGAAACGTGGCTACAAACGATTGTACTTTGTTCCGTTGGATATCTTGTGTACGGAGACAAAATTTTATCAAGTTCTACCGGCCGGTTTCACTCGGGGGAGGGGCCAAACATAGCATACTCACAATTGCCAATTTAGGCCAAAAAATTCCGGAAAACCATTTTTTTGGCCGTAGCACTGGTAGTTACCCCCTTTTTCTTGATGTCCAACATCAGGACAGTAGTATACTTGCTAAATATCCGCATAAGCTGTAGAAGTGGGTAGAATTCTGCTAGAAGGTGACCTTTTTCTCTTTTCGGAATCATCCCATTTCAGCGCACACGTCCCTCATATTAGCCCCGCCCACAAGTATTTGACACTGGACTTGCCCTGTATTTGATGGTTATGCTATTATAACCTAATAATGGTACTGTGTAGCAAGTTTGAGCAGGTTCTACCGAAGGTAACTCGTGAAATAAAACTTTGAAGTTTCAAGTGATGCCATATTTCAAGAATCAGCACATTGCACTGGGACATTGTCGAACGCCTTAGAACCCCTGACTCCACCATATGACAGATACGTATCTTGCAATAATTGATTGCAACATCTTCCGAACATAGTAGTAGAGCTTTGGATCAAGTTTTAGCAGTTTCCACCGAAGCAAACTACCAAAATAGAACTTTGAAGTCGCCCACATACTAAATGCCATACATGTAGCTGAGCATGTGTATTGAGTGTACATGTATGCTCTAGTGTTTTTCACAACTTTCTCCAACATGTAGCCGATAGTGATGTGGAATTTGTTGACTGCTTTGTCCAAAACATAGTGCTGAAGCAATGCACATTGGGCACTTTCTACTGGTAATGTAAATATTATAATATTATACAGTGTTTGCTGCCAACATAGCAAGAAATTCTTCTATACTAAATGCGTATTCCACGGGGTACGGTCCAATGGCTTTTCACTTCACATCTAGCCACTGTTCTTCGTGCATTACTTGAATGCTTAGTCTCCGTGGTAATGAAGCTAAGAGCCACACTGGAGAAGTTTCTACTGAAGCTAACTATCAAAAATACAAGTATAAATTTTCCAAGATGCTACTATTACATCAAGTAGCTGTGTGCAATGCCACTCTGTTGAACACAGTAAGGAAAATCGAGTCACTAAACCCCTATTTGCCAGATACATGCTGTTGAGACTGATAGCAGCTGTATGATCTGATATGGATGGCGGTTCCACACTGACCAGCACATGTACACGCGCACAGGCAGAAGAACACACAAGTAATACACCTAACATTACTTCGAAGTACACTATGTACATCATGTAAATACAAGCGTATATACAAGCATCACTCCTGTTCTCCACAACCGGCAGTCCTGGGCCACTCCAGCTGGTCAGAGTGCAATAATTTCTGCAGCAGGCTTGACTTGGAAAGCTAATCACAACTGCCATGGCTGCAACATGAGTATTACCAGCGCTTTTACAGTGCTACTTGTATTATAATATAATTGTCAATCCATTGTGGTGCATGGCACTCGTTTTCAACAACCGAGTTTTTGTCATTAGTTGCATATCCAACGCCAGCAGAAAAAGCGGGGGTGGGGGCAAATTACCACGGTTCAACACTACTCACATTGAACGGCGTTATGCCATGCCAGGCGCGCACACAAAACGCCCGCGCGAGCGCGCATGCATGTACACACCCGGGTGACACATTCATGCGACTTCATAGCCTGCACTGTCGTTCTATGTCATAGGAGTGAGTGCACACACAAATAGATGTACATGTAGATTGCCTAATTTTGTATACGTAATAAAATTGTATAGAACAATAGAACAATAGTTGCCTGAAGAGTGCTTTTGCACGAAACTCAGAGTAGCAACACTGAGAAACTTGGAGATCCTTTGTGTCTAAGTGTATAATAAAATTGTATATGTATACACACATGTGCGTGCACATATAGATAAACTCAATGGCATACGCATGAGTGTGTGCCAGTAGGGCCACATGCCAATTATCGGATTAGTCTGTGAAAGTTGCACGGCAAACTTTCGGACAGTCTAAAGATATGACACAATGAATGTGGAATACCCTCCAGTGTGTAAGACCATTCCATATCTATTTCGCAGCGTTTGTGATTTTCGGAGCGTCCCTGTTGATATTTGATGTCCTCACTTGGTTGATGACACAGTCACAAATTATCAAATTCACCTCCAATGCCATCCAATCTGCGTTCCGCGATACATGTACAGTGAACGGTGTTGAGGAAAGCCATGCAGCAATAAAACAATCGAGACTCCCAAGCAGAGGATACAATTCAACAGCGTATTGAAGTACGAATTGTTCTAAACAATTTTCAAGACACAATTACAAAATTTGAAGTGCGTCTTGAAACGTGTTTGAAGTGCTTCGATGTATTTACCTTCGATCTCCCTGAATCGATCCATCCACAGCTACCTGACGAATTTGCCAGTCAGTGCGGGAGATGATCGAGCAAGTAAAATATTTGAAGGTCGCGAGATGTCAGTGGCACTGGCAGGAAATCTACACAAGCGTGTTCAGAAAATTTTCTAATACTCAGGCATGATTCAAGAGCGGACTTTGATTTCTCCCTTCTTATGGTACGAGCATCAGTCGACATTGCATTCTTGGAAAATCTTCCGTGCGAGTGCTGCCTTCCCCTTTCATAGAAAGAACGAGTGAAGAGGGACACTAGCAGCAGGTTCTAGCTGGGTCGCCAGAATTGCAGAAACTGAGCGAGAAGACGTTTTCCTACAACGATTGATCGCACAAAAATCATCGCTACCGAAAAATTTACTGAAAATCTACACTTTTCAAACGATGCGCGCGCAGAGGGTGTGAGCCACCTTAAGAGTAACTCTCCATCACTGTAACTGGATACTATATACAGTCAGAAAGTGCAATAACTAGGCACAAAACTGACAGAGTACTGAGACATTCGACGTCCTGACACCTAGCTTCAACACATCGTCGAATGTCTCAGTACTCTGTCAGTTTTGTGCCTAGTTATTGCACTTTCTGACTGTATATAGTTTCCAGTTACAGTGATGGAGAGTTACTCTTAACTCGTATCCATATGTCCTTTTTCCTTTCTACATTCAAAAGACGATCATCACATTACCGGTATTCGATCACCATCACGTTTTCTTCCTGGATAGTCAAACCCTTCCATTGCAGGGACAGGCTCTCGACTGAAACTGAACCAGCTTGTTTGACACACACACACACAGTCACACACTGACACTTTGGAAAGAGACACTACCACTGAATCTTCAATGATAAAGGAGGTCGGCAAGATTTGCATGTGCACAGTGTACCGGTATAACCTGGTCATGAGACTACCTAGTCTGTCAGGCCAGTATCCTGTGGTACCAAATGTGCCAGGGCTGACCTGCTTTCAGAGACCACCTGGTCTGTATGACCTGTATTCCTTGGCACCCGATGTGTGTAATGTGCGACGGTCGACTTGGTTTCAAAGACCACCTACTTTCAAAGGACGCGATAGGCTGGTCCCGTGGCTGGTCGCTGAAATAAGGATTCACCTGTAAAGTGTATTATCTACTTGCACTCTGCTCAGTTTAATTGAATTGAAGTTCAACCATGTGTTTGTGTCTTGCATTTCCCTTGCCTTTGTATGGTTGTTTGTATGGCATTCAGTCATCGTGAATTGCTCCAGCAAGTACGGACAGCACAGCTCTGCAGCATGTTACATCGCTATGGCATCAGCAATGTGAATCTGAAGCAATCGGCCTTGGCCAAGGTATATGCATTTTCTGTGCCCAGTGGCTGTGTTACTTTGTGTGTGTGTGTGTGTGTGTGTGTGTCTCTCTCTCTCTCTCTCTCTCTCTCTCTCTCTCTCTCTCTCTCTCTCTCTCTCTCTCTCTCTCTCTCTCTCTCTCTCTCTCTCTCTCTCTCTCTCTCTCTCTCTCTCTCTCTCTCTCTCTCTCTCTCTCTCTCTCTCTCTCTCTCTCTCTCTCTCTCTCTCTCTCTCTCTCTCTCTCTCTCTCTCAACAGTATATCTACGACCCTGTTTGTTGAGGTATTGCTGCACAACTTGACTTGATTTGGGTGACATAGACTATTAACGTGTTCTGGTTCGTTTGTTCTACCCAGTACCTATTTTGTGATTTATGAGTAATGTATCATTGAGGTATCAGGACTTTGCCTGTTCAAATCAATGAAATGGTTTGTATTACGGGTTAAAGTAGTGTCGCATCCCCGGCTCACAGTGACCGGACCCCGAAGTCACTACGAGCGGCGACTGAATATAGACGTGTGGCCTCACGACAAGCCCAACACAACCCAGGGGCCAACCAATATAGCTGGCTTGGTCCAAGTTCAACCCCACACGATCAACAGACAAAGACTGTTAGTTTTACGTTGTGAGTAGTTTCAAATCCGAGCTCAAAGTACGAAGACAGAGAGCTGAGACCGAGTCTCGACTGCTAGACTAGACTAGACTAGACTAGACTAGACTAGACTAGAACTGAAAACTGAAGTAAAAGAGAGAATGAGAGCTTCTTTTATAGGGTGCTTCAGAGATATATGGCGTGATCATTGCGAGGTAATTCCAGGAAATAGCAGAACAAGTAAAACCGGAATGTGCGCAGCCAGTCAGCAGAAATGCAGAATATACGTACGGTGATCATTCGAGAAGAAAGAGAAAGAAAGACATCGAGAGAAGAAAGACCAAATTGGGACGTGGGGAGCCCGCTCACCCACGTCAGAGTACAATGTGAGTATATGAGGGTCACGTTGGGGAGCCCGCTCACCCAACGTGCCATAGTTCAGCGGCTTCTTATGGTAAGTTCTGCTGCATTCTTGGTCTTGCTTGCTTGATACTCTGACCTCTCGTGCGGTCACTGCGGTGACGGTTTTGGTTCTTGCACACGTCTCCTGTCTTGCACTTAGCTCTTGTTATACAAGTACAATGTCATTATTATTAGTCTTGGCTCTTTGCACGAAGCGCCGAGGCATCGTGGAAACCTGTAGAACGTCGTAGTGACGTGGTTTTGCACAAAGCCTGGAGTCACATTTCCAGGAAGTGAAGCACTTCCAGGAAACGTACAACGCGAGAACCTACCTGACCAGGTTCCGGCCTTGGATCACATGACGTGTCATGCCAAGAAGGCATGTCACCTACGTGGGAAAGCGCGTGTCGCTCAACCTACATGGTAAGCACGTGGGACAAGACACTGGCCAAACCACGTTGTACTAAAAGGGCGTGACAGCTCAGCACAGAGCTGCTCACTATGTAGATCCTGCTGTCACAGGACTATCAGGCAGCAGTCGTCACGTTTCTGGGACGTGACATTTCCCCCGCCGTTGAAGAATCACGTCCCCGTGATTATCCTCAACCGATATGGTAGTCGGTGAGATACCGCGACGTTGCCAGTTCCGGACGTGTCATGCCCCTGGCTCCGCGACGGATACAATAGGTAAGTCAACTGGAGATGCAGGATGCAAGTCCAATCCACCACAGGTTTTGGTGCGAACACCATTGTCATCAGCCGAATACAGCATATCACTTGTATCAGGCTCACTTGAACCGGGCTCATACGACTGAACAATAACACTGACTGCTCACGAGGAAATACAAATTCCCCGCCAGGTGCCAGGCACATAAAGCATTCACTCAATCCGATGGTGCTACACAGTTGTGACACAAGATCGGTAAAGAGCTCGTAGTAAAATCCATCCGATAACGAGCAAATTGGGACCTCACTCGCAACAACTCATCATCCCCAGATGAGTCTCGCCTACCAGGCTCCTCGACACAGGGCGTCCCCTGGTCAGCCAACACTGTGCCCGAGGGATCCAGATCCAAATCATCCTCTCCCACCACAGCCTTTCCACTTCAGTTCTAGGACCTCGTCCTATATGAAGCGCAGACCATACTTCTTCGGCCCCAGGAATCCCATCCTGGCCTGTATGGTCACCACCGTCCCCTTCTCCGTAACGCGTTGCTCACTACGCAAGCTCATCACCACCAACCGAAATTGGCTACAACTGACCGATCCGGGCGCCTCATCCATAGAGACCAACTGACTCCTCTGAGCAGTACACAACCCGAACCGGTGCACAGTTCAGTCATTTGTTGAGGATACAAAGGCACCCATCAACATCACACTTTCACAGGACACAGTTCCTTCTGCAGGAAACTGGTCAACTTTCACCAAGCACAAGGACCGCGTCGAGTAACGAGTACACACTCCAGCACAGACTAGTAGGTCATGTACTGTCCGGCCATCCTCTCCACAAACTTTTTTTTTCACAAACAGAACGTCTGGAGAATGAAGATCGACAACAAGGTCAGAACTCGCCATCCTCGCGACATGATCGTCAAGAGCATTCGCAGATAAAACTGCTTCCGCCAGCACCAACGCTGGGCGTCACAAATCTTCGTCTGGTGCGTCGACACGCAGAACGAGATTTGAATTCGTCCACAACTAGCGACGTGGTCTGCATCCTCCCATCGTTTCAGCCATGAAACAACCGGGTCTTCAAACAGCACTCGCCATTGCGCGACTGAGAACAAACTGAGTGCAAACGTCAGTAAGGCCTCATCGTTGAAGAGACGACTCGTCAAGCTTCAAGCGGTCTCAACAAACACCATGTCTGAAAAGTGGCGTTTTCTTGTCGAAACTTGAGAACTACACTGCACTACTCCGTGATCCAGTCGTAGTGACTACTTTCACAACGCTCCGTAAAGAGGACCCAAGCCCTGTTTACGGCTCACATGGTACACGGGTTCACGAACCCTTCCATATCTGAAGCTGAACAAACGCGCACTGCACTCATAGATCTACTTGAGAACTGCATGAATGCAAACAACTCCTCGATCGATCGTGCAACTGGCAATACATTTCGCACCTTGGTGTCCGCCATGTAGTCCGCAGCAAAGCAAGCTCGTCGTGCACTACGAACTCGCACTGCAGCGCTACAGGAACACGAGGTACGGAACGAAAGCCAGTGCTGGATCCGAAAGAGAAACGCACTCGAAGCTTTCTTCGTACCAAGTTGGAGCGTCCAACACTGCTGCTGCTCTGCCACGTCTATCACCAAGAACCTGCCATCAGAGACAAGGTTGTTCACGAAAGACTGCTGTGGACATCGCGTCGTTGCAGTTGCAGAGTGAGGAGAACTTAGACCATCCTGGTCACAGCACCAAATGTCGCGTCCCCGGCTCACAGTGACCGGACCCCGAAATCACTACGAGCGGCGACTGAATATAGACGTGTGGCCTCACGACAAGCCCAACACAACCCAGGGGCCAACCAATATAGCTGGCTTGGTCCAAGTTCAACCCCACACGATCAACAGATAAAGACTGTTAGTTTTACGTTGTGAGTAGTTTCAAATCCGAGCTCAAAGTACGAAGACAGAGAGCTGAGACCGAGTCTCGACTGCTAGACTAGACTAGACTAGACTAGAACTGAAAACTGAAGTAAAAGAGAGAATGAGAGCTTCTTTTATAGGGTGCTTCAGAGATATATGGCGTGATCATTGCGAGGTAATTCCAGGAAATAGCAGAACAAGTAAAACCGGAATGTGCGCAGCCAGTCAGCAGAAATGCAGAATATACGTACGGTGATCATTCGAGAAGAAAGAGAAAGAAAGACATCGAGAGAAGAAAGACCAAATTGGGACGTGGGGAGCCCGCTCACCCACGTCAGAGTACAATGTGAGTATATGAGGGTCACGTTGGGGAGCCCGCTCACCCAACGTGCCATAGTTCAGCGGCTTCTTATGGTAAGTTCTGCTGCATTCTTGGTCTTGCTTGCTTGATACTCTGACCTCTCGTGCGGTCACTGCGGTGACGGTTTTGGTTCTTGCACACGTCTCCTGTCTTGCACTTAGCTCTTGTTATACAAGTACAATGTCATTATTATTAGTCTTGGCTCTTTGCACGAAGCGCCGAGGCATCGTGGAAACCTGTAGAACGTCGTAGTGACGTGGTTTTGCACAAAGCCTGGAGTCACATTTCCAGGAAGTGAAGCACTTCCAGGAAACGTACAACGCGAGAACCTACCTGACCAGGTTCCGGCCTTGGATCACATGACGTGTCATGCCAAGAAGGCATGTCACCTACGTGGGAAAGCGCGTGTCGCTCAACCTACATGGTAAGCACGTGGGACAAGACACTGGCCAAACCACGTTGTACTAAAAGGGCGTGACAGCTCAGCACAGAGCTGCTCACTATGTAGATCCTGCTGTCACAGGACTATCAGGCAGCAGTCGTCACGTTTCTGGGACGTGACAGTAACGCTGCTAGTTCTTGTTTGAGTATTGAGTATTCGGGTAGAAACCGAGCAAGTACTCGAGCGATCTTGAGTTTTCTGGTAGAAACCGAGCAAGCACTCGAGCGATCTTGAGTATTCCATCCTTCTAGAATATCATGGGATACGTTGTTGATTTGTATACAGTTGTGGCATATCTGCACACTGCACCTCTACTTGTACGTAGCCCTTTCAGGGTCACAGTGCATTTACTGCGTCTGGGCACTGTGATTCAGTGCATCAGTACAATTGTGGAGATAGCAGCAAACAAAATGTCACAACATTCTTGTTTCTCAACGGATTTTCACAATTTATGGCTTACTGGAAAGCTGTTTCCCTGCTCGTCATCTTCAATGTGCTTTCAGAGCATACAGCACCCCAAGGGCGCCCCTAGCCTCGTCATCAGTGTCCCTATCATGCTCCAGCTTGGCATGAAGACCACGCACAACAATTTCCTTCGGTTCGGGGCTCATACTCAACGTAGAACTATGATTCATACTGCACCGAACTCGTGAGATTCAATCGATTCAAGGGTGTAGTCATTCGTCATGTTGCCTTTGAAACGTCATTGGGAAATCCCCTTGAATGCCTTGAAAGTAAAAAATCGCCAGACAGAAACTAAAAAAATGTTCAGATCGAAATCACGCGTTCAATTTATCGCTGCTCGATCATTTGTTGAGCTATCGCCACACCGAGACACCTCTGGAAAGCCCTTTCCAAGACTGTTCCAATGAGCTATTGATCATGGCGATGCGATATTCCTATTTTCAGAACAAGTGCTTGCTCGAAGAATATTGAGCTGGTACTCGAGGAATTGGTATACTCGTTTCACCCCAAGTTTGTATGCTTTCATGTCTGTGGTTGGGTGTACATGCGGCTGTGCATGTGTGTGCCTTCTCGTTAGGATATGCTGCGTCGCATTGTGCACAGTGAAGAAGACACTTGCATGGATGATGCCCTGGAGGTATGATGAAATATGAGGAGAAATGGCGGACTTGATCATAGTTTGGCTGTAAAGTTGTGCTTGTCCAGGTGGTGTGTTTTGATGTATGATTTCCTGCTGGAGTGTACATGTACAGAGATACAACTGTCAGTAGTTGTAGGTTGTCTTAAAGAAGATTATGGTAGCCAGTACAATTCAGTATGGTCAGGCTGTGTGATGTTAGCCAGTACTCTGCAGCATGGTCAGGCGGTGTGATGGTAGCCAGTACATTAGAAGTAGGACCTGCAATGCTACTATGGATGTAGTACATTCATGGTGATGTAAGTGGATCACTGGAAGCCTTCTCCCAGGTCTCCCACGATGGCACTAGCTCTAAGAGTTCTTATGCTAGTCGAACCTGTCCAGGATGTGTGTGTGTGTGTTTGCTAACGCCTGTCTGCTTTCTACCACTGCTACCCATTTGCTACTGTGCATCCTCAGCTTTGACAGTATCCTTTGACAGGACAGACACCAATAGATGTTATGCCGTGTGATGCCATGCACGAAAGAAAAAGAAAAAAAGTATTCACCCGCCCACACCCACCCGCAATGTGTTGTCAGTGGAACAGTATGATGTGTAGCGAAGTGTATCTGAATAAGCCATGCATGCATGCACTTGTGGAAGTCTTGACTGTCTGACAACCCGGCGTGTGACTGCTGCTTGCCTTTTGCAGCTGGTTTCCGTCTTCCACAATCTTGATGCCAGGGATGCGTATGCTTACCGTTTGAAATGGCTCTGTAGCCGGGACAAGGTGAGTGTGCACGGTTCTATCCTACTTTTAAGTCATGTGTCACCGCCCATGTTGCCTTGGATCATGAATCATGTGTGGTGAATAATTATATTCTTCCTTTTCTTTTTGATTTGTTGCGTCTAGTTTTCCCTTCTCCCGTGTCCATCGTTTGCAAAATTCTGCGTTCTTCTACATCCGTTTTTCTCCCTGACGTTCTTTTTTTTTTAGAGTCAAGTTAGTGTAGCATCACTGACATGTGTGTGTGTGTGTGTGTGTGTGTGTGTGTGTGTGTGCATGTGTATGTGCGCACGCACGTGTGTGTGTGTGTGTGTGTGTGTGTGTGTGTGTGTGTGTGTGATGTATCATGCTAGCTACTCATGTATTGCGCATGTACTTCAAGTTGTTATCACCCGCATAACGCGTATTGTTACGTTATACGCCTTGCTTCACGTGATTACGTCATGTCTCTATTGGACGCATGCACGCATCCATATTCTGGATTCATGTGTTCTTCTCCTTGCTCTTCTTCCTCACTTGAGAATGTAAATAATTAGTTTCTATTATCTTGTCACCAAACTAGTTCCTGTTGTCTAGTAGTAGTGGTGTGCATGAGAACATAACATGGCGCAGTGAAGTTTCGTACCTGTGTTTTTCTAGTTGCCCGTGGTGCATCCCGGTTGTGTTCGCACGAGGCCTGCAGGTCCAATTACATTTTATTTATTTCTCTAGTCGTGACCGTCTTCTGAAATGTCAGATGCAGCTGCACCAAGTGTGCCGAGCGCAGATATCGCTGCTCTTGCTGATCTCTTCAAAAAGCAGATGGAGGCAGCCAATGAGCGAGAGAAGCGTCTCGATGCAATTATCACTGGTCTTACTCAACAGAGTCAGCCTCGCTCGTCGCCAGCACCGCCAGCTCCAAAGCCTGTCGCGGCGGAGCGACCCATGCTGCTGTCCTCCGCGTCCCTGTCAGAGTTTGCTGCCTGGCAGGAACTGTGGGAAGACTTTTCTCGGTGCCAGCACCTGACAGCACAGTCAAGGGAAACCAGGGTATCTGCCATCCGTCAGTGCCTTGACGAAGACCTCAGACGTTTCATCAGGGAGGGCACCATTGTCATCGCGACCAATCCTGATGCGTGCGACGTCTTGGAGGCGGTCAAGCAGTTTCTTCGCCGACAAAGAAACCCGATACTTGACCGAATTGAATTTTATAAGCGCACGCAACAGAAAGGGGAATTGTTTGACGGGTTCCACACTTCCCTGAAGGAATTGTTTAACACGTGTGATTTTGTGGAACACGAGCTCTGTTCTGCCTGTTCGGCACGTGCCTGTTCTACGTGCAAAACTAATCTTGCACGGGTCCACGCGGACATGATGCGAGACCGCATTGTGATCGGTATCCTGGACGACACCACCCGTCACAAACTGTTGTCCACCTCCGACCTGACATTGGAGGCGACAGTCAAGGTGTGTCGTGCAGAAGAGGCAGCCACACAGACCAGCCACCACATCCCTACCGCCGGCCAAGTCAATGCTGCCAGGAAGTCGTCTTATCAGCGCGCGAAGTTAGCTTCACAGCCCCCAGTTGAGGCGAAGCACACTTCTGCTCGTGATAAGTGCCATAACTGCGGACGCACAGCGCACACGAAATCGCCGTGTCCCGCGATCAACAAAGTGTGCCTTAACTGTAATGGAACGGGTCACTTCCGGGCAATGTGCCGCAGGCCTGCCAAGAAGCCGGACAAGTCGTCCAAGATCGCACACTTGCGACTCAACCGAGCATCTCTGTTGGACGACGCAACAGTTTCCGTTGCCACCCAGCTTGTGACCGAGCCAGAGCCCGTAGCTCTTAGTTGGCTCCCGGATACTGGTAGCGACGTTGATGCCATCGGCACTCAACACCTTGACCAGTTAGGCGGATTTGTCGAGAACCTGCTTGACGACATCGACGATGTTCGTACCGCAGATGGCGCCAGTCTCACCCCTGTTGGCAAGATTTCGGCGACTCTCAGTTGTGGACCAAACCAGCACACGTCCACCATTCATGTCTATGATGGTTTGACTGATGCCCTCCTATCCCGTTCATCCTTGCACGCCCTAGGATACTTGCCGTCCGGCTGGCCGAAGCAAATCGCAGCAGTCCAACAGGTAGTCCCATCGGTCGTTCCCGATGCACCTGCGGACAAGGTTGTGTCCAAAGCCACCGACTCAGAGACGATGAGAGCCGAACTCCTAGCTGAATTCGCTGACGTCTTTGATGACTCTGTGTTGAAGCCAATGCTTGGTGGACCTATGGAAATTAGAGTGCGAGCTGATGCTAAGCCTGTCGCTGCATATCATGCCCGCCAGATCCCGCATGCGTACCGTGACCAAGTGAAGTCCCAGCTGGATGACATGGTCCGGGATGCCATCATCGAGGAGGTCACCGAACCCAGTGCGTGGTGTCACCCAATTGTCATCGTGGACAAGAAGGGGACAAACGAGAAGAGGCTCACCGTTGATTTCAAAAAGCTCAACGACCAAGTCGAACGCCCTGCTCACCCCGCACCAAGCCCTCGTGACGCTGTATCCAGCGTTGGCAACGCAAGATATTTCACCAAGCTAGACGCCCGCCACGGCTATTGGCAAGTTCCTCTGAGCGAGGCCTCCCGTCCGTTGACCACGTTCATGACACCTTGGGGTCGGTACAGGTACCTACGCAACCCACAAGGATTGGTCTCTGCCGGAGACGAGTTTAATCGCCGCACCGACGCCGCGTTCGCTCATATCTCCCAGTTCCAGAAGGTCGTTGATGACTGCCTCGTCTACGATAATGACCTGAACACCCACCGATCTCACGTCCGGGATGTCCTGCTCTGCGCCCGGGAGAATGGCATTACTCTGAGCGCCAAGAAGTTTGTGTTCGGCATGCCAGCCGTGGAGTTCTGTGGTTACCGCATCAGTGCTGACGGCTGGACCGTCGATGATGCCAAGGTCAAAGCTATCAGCCAGTTTCCAGCTCCCAGCAACCGCACTGATCTCCGATCGTTTATGGGTCTTATCAACCAGTGTGGTGAGTTCACCCCGCACCTGTCTGAGCACGCCGCCCCGTTGCGCCCATTGCTCAAGACGTCCAACGAGTTTGTATGGGACTCAGTTCACACAGACGCAGTCAACGCTGCCAAGGCTGAGCTGTTGTCACCATCAACGCTGTCATTCTTCCAACGTGACCAGCCACTCCGCCTAGAGACCGATGCATCTGCTTTGCATGGCCTTGGCTACGTTCTGTGGCAGTTGCAAGATGGCAAGTGGCGCATTCTCCAGTGTGGCAGTCGATTTCTGTCGGATCCAGAATCCCGGTATGCTGTCATCGAACTGGAGCTCCTAGCTGTCGTCTGGGCGGTGAAGAAATGTTCTCTCTACCTCGCCGGTACATTGTTTGAGCTTGTCACCGACCACCGGCCCCTCACACCAATCATCAACTCGTACTCGCTCGATCAGATTGAGAATCCCCGGCTCCAACGCCTGGTCATGAAGCTTCGTCCATACCAGCTGCATGCCACTTGGCGTAAGGGTACTGACAACGCTTTCGCCGACGCGCTGTCCCGCAATCCAGTGGATGATCCTACCCCTGACGATGAGCTCGGTGAACACCCAGCCCTTCGTACTCCTGCCATACGCGCTTGCATTCGGAAAGACACCGAAGGCCAGATTGCCAATCTCCGGTTTGCCGAATTGCAAGAAGCCGCTCGAGCTGACTCGGATTATCAGGCACTCCTCACCACCGTCCGGAACGGATTTCCCGACGACAAACGCGACTTATGTCCTGCTGCCCAGCCGTATTGGACAGTCCGTCATCATCTTACAGTCGACCAGGACCTGGTACTGAAAGGTCCTCGCATTGTGGTCCCGCGTTCCCTCAGGCGTAGTGTGCTTGACGACTTGCATGCTGCTCATCAAGGTCTCAACCGTACCAAGGCTCGTGCTCGCCAGGTGGTGTATTGGCCCCAGCTGTCCAACGACATTGACAATATCGTTCGCAGCTGCGCTGAATGCCGTCACCACGCACCTTCCCAAGTGAAGGAACCGCTGCTGGCAACTGAGGATCGTTGTCCTGCCCTCCCGTTTGAGAGCACCAGCGCGGATCTGTTCGAATGCCAAGGCTACCAGTTCCTGGTATACGTGGACCGCAAGACCGGCTGGCCCTGTGTTGCCAAGATAGGACGCACCGCCACCTCCGCTGACGTAGTCCGTGCGTTCCGAGGCTGGTTCGCGGATCTCGGTGTCCCAGCTGTCCTGACGACTGATGGTGGTCCGCAGTTTACAGCGCAGCGTTTCTCCGCCTTCTGTCAGCGTTGGCAAGTCCGCCACGTCAGATCCAGTCCGCATTACCCACAATCGAATGGCCATGCGGAGGCGGCTGTCAAGGCCATCAAATCGCTCGTGTACAAGACCACCACCAACGGAGACATTAATGTCGACGCCTTCCGTCGTGGCTTATTGGAATGGCGTAACACTCCCCGTAGCTCCGGTCAGAGCCCAGCGCAGGCCCTGTTTGGCCGCCCCCTGTCGTCATTCGTGCTTGCCCACCGGACCAGTTTTGCCCCAGCGTGGCAAGAAACCGCTGACGAAATCGACAGTCGTGCCTCTGCCCAGTCTGAAGCAGCCAGTCAGCACTACAACCAGTCTGCCCGTTCTCTGCCTGCCCTCCACCTTGGTTGCCCTGTGGATCTACAAGATCCCCGCAGCAAGTTGTGGAACGCCCGCGGTACCATTGTCGCCATTGGGAGCCACCGCGACTACATGGTCAAGCTTCCCAGTGGCCGAATATACTGGCGAAACCGTCGCTTTCTTCGTCCTGTTGTCTTGCCCGTAGCACCTGCACAGCCGATGCCTGCTACCCCCATCACTCAGCCTGCCCCGCCAGTCCGGCGCAGTCAGCGAAGCCGCCAACCCCCGTCTAGGCTGAATATTTCGAACACTCGTGGCCAAACTTATGATTAGCTGCCTGTGCGTCTTTCTGCCTCTTGTTGAGCTCAGCTATTTTCGTATTCAGTTATCTCTATCTGCTTTGCCGTCCTTTCTAGTTGGTATTAGATGCCTTGTTGTCATCTCAGAAGGGGCGTGAGATACATGTATGTAAATGTAATTGTTATATTTCTATCTCAGAAGGGACGTGATGTATCATGCTAGCTACTCATGTATTGCGCATGTACTTCAAGTTGTTATCACCCGCATAACGCGTATTGTTACGTTATACGCCTTGCTTCACGTGATTACGTCATGTCTCTATTGGACGCATGCACGCATCCATATTCTGGATTCATGTGTTCTTCTCCTTGCTCTTCTTCCTCACTTGAGAATGTAAATAATTAGTTTCTATTATCTTGTCACCAAACTAGTTCCTGTTGTCTAGTAGTAGTGGTGTGCATGAGAACATAACAGTGTGTGTGTGTGTGTGTGTGTGTGTGTGTGCGTGCGCGCACTATAGCTTGCTCATGGCTGTGTTCTCACTAGTCAAGGAATCATGTGTTTTTCTTCTTTCATTTCTTTGTAGGTGTCTGCTATATCAGAGCTAATCAAGAGTCTCACTATCAGCACCGCTGCATCAGTCACCAAAGACTTTGTCCGGCGCTGCTTCAATGTCATTGAAACATTCACGGTAAAAATTCCACTTGGCACACAGCAATGCATCTCCATCTTAGAATTGATCTGTTGAACTGACATAGAATTGCTATTGATGTGGTGATACGAGTGTGTTTGCCATAGAGAAATGGTGTCATAATCACAACCTTAGGTATTCAATCTTTCTTTTTGTGTGTTGTGTTCTGTAGTTTGATAATCCCAATGCAGAGCTGACTCAGATTTACCAGAAGTGCTACAAACAACTAATCTTGGCGGCATGTGCGAGTCTGGAAGCCCTGTTCAGCTTTTCAAGTATGGTCATGCTTGTGTGTGTGTGTGTGTGGTGGGGGAGGGGGGAGGGGGAGGGTGTGTGCGTGCATTTGCGTGTGCGCACACATGTGATTGTGTGTGTGTGTGTGTGTGTGTGTGGATATGTGTGTATGCGTGCGTAGATGCGTGCATACATGCGTGCGTAGATGCGTGCATACATGTATGTTTGCATGTACGTGTACATGTAGCTGACTTCGAATGAACATGACCCGGAGCTCTAGAGGATTAGAGATTGATAGCTTTGCAAGCTGTACCCTAGGTTGCCCAGGCCTGACGAATAGGACTGGCACCGTGCCAATAGCATGCACCTAATACAGTAACTGTACACACATAGAGCATTACTGCTCCATCCAGCACTATGCAGTATTGCAGGCTCGAGTCAGACTTATATTCTGCAGAGTGTGTTGGTAGCTGGAAGTGGATTGGGCTAAAGAAATTCGTTACAGTGCTGCGGCATGTCGGCCTCTGTTAGACTGTATTTGTCCATTGTCCTTTGACAAACTCCGGTGCAGTCATGATGCCCTGTATGCAGTGATGACTTGCATGTCCTATATTTGCTCTCTTCATAGTTATTTGAACTCGGATATTGAGTCAATGAATGTCAGGTGTCGAATCGTTGAATGTCTCAGTACTCCCCGTCAGTTTTGTGACTTGTTGTCGCACTCGCTGACTGTATATTACCTGGTTACTTTGCTGGACAGTTGGTCACAACTCGTAACATTTTGTCCTTTCTTTCTTTTGTTCATAGTTGTTGTTCTCCTTTTGTTTCAGGCTACAGTGCACCACTGGACTTAGTGCACCACATGGATATTCTCATGCGCATGCTGAAACTGTCGGTACGCACCATTCTATTGGATTTGTTTAGCCATGCGTTATTCATGCTGTAGCGCATCACTTTGCAATGGAGTTAAAAGAGTTCTGAAGAAAAGCTTTTCTGCTCTCGCAATTACTAATCGAATCCAAGCATCTTACTGCTTCCAGGTCTGTGCGTATGGCCACTGCTCTGGCTATGCTGATTCTCAGACAACTAGACAGAATCAATGTAGACAGTTTGAGTGTTTCATTATGGCCCTTGGATCACAGGTTGAAGCTTTTTTTGATGATGACTATTTTCGGAGTTTGAGAAGGGCGAGCATCATCCCACTATTTCGAGGTCACGTCGTGTACTGTGCATGCACTGCAATGATAGTGGCTGAAATCCGACATCATGAATAATAGCACCGACGGGCGTTGGGCTACGTAGCGTCAGCGGTTGCTTTGGTGCTTTTTCCATAATGTTGGATTTCACTTTGCCAACGCTGACATATTACGTGCTTCCTAGGCCGCACCGAAAATGTCCTTTGTTTCGAGTTGACTCGATCGAGTCCCAGGGTGGTTGTAGTTGCTAAGTGTAACATTTTTGACGCTGATATGTTTTAGTTTAGAAACTTAATTAGCCGCGATTCTGCCTGAAGTGTCCGTCACTATAGTTGACGGCAGCCGGACCGTCGTCAGCAGCTGCACGGAGGAGGAGTGTTAGAAACTCTTGATCGAGAAGGCATCACTCGCTTTAAAGTCGTGTATACTTCCCCCAGCTGCAACGGTGCTGACAAGAGTGATAATGTTTGGACTTCATTTGGAATTCGGACGCCCATTCTTTTTCTTTACGTTGGAGCAACAGGAAGCTGTAGTTCCTGGCCGGCGACGATCGCTGAACGATCTGTTGGTGCGCAACGTCTCGGAGCTCTGCTTTGCTCGGCGTCTGAGTATGACCAGTTTGGCTGTTCCTGGCGATCTGATCGATCGGGCTATTGTCTTGTTGATTGAAAAATACTATGTAGTAGTAGATCTACATGAGATATACATAGCAGATACAAAATATGTGGCCGATATTACTAGTATTATAAAAGCAGGCATACAACGCTAGCTTTGTATGCCTGCTTTTATAATACTAGTAATATCGGCCACACATTTTGTATCTGGCCTTCTGGGCTAGCTGTGTACTGTATAGATGTGCATACCAGATCTGGCATGCATAAAATATATCAGCAAAAAAAATTAAAAAAAGCTGACCGACCGACCGGTATTTTTCTGGCCTTGTTACCAGAAACAAGAGACTTTTTCTCTGCGGCCCTATTATGTCTCCTTTATTCTCGCTCCACATATACTGGCACACACAGAGACACAGACAGTAATAGCTACAACACACAAAGTGAAGTGTAGTTGGCCGCAGCCAGATGTGAACCGGATAACGAGTGAGGTATGGAAGCAAGGACTGAGAACAGAGGGTCTCAGATAGAATAGGTGTGCCAGCGGATAGCAGAAATAGGCCATGATGCAGAGCCACTTGGGACCGTCAGATTAATTTTCCTGGACAGAGCCAGCCGGGGAAAAAACCCTCGCGCCAACGGACGCAGTAGTGAGGGAAAAAACCGGGTGTATATCCCCAATGGCGATTAGGCATCATGTAGGCATGGCAAGCACATCACGGCAAAAGTGATCATCATCATCATCACAAGCCCATAGCCCTAAGGCCGTCGGGTGTCACAGAGCAAGCATGAACAAGCGAGCACCATAAAAATCGATCGCGTGCAGCAGCGAGCAGGGACTGCACGTCAAGTGCAGTCCATGAAATAATATTATCAAGCCATGACATTCTGGGCCTGCCTCGGCCACGACCTCCAGCAACACAACCCTGAAGAACAGTCAATGACAAACAGCCGGAACGAACAATATGACCACAAATTGCAATTTCCTTTTACGAACAGAAACAATAAATGGGACTTGTTTGTGAATACTATTTATTTCCTCTCTAACAGACACATTCGTCCGGTGATCAGTGAACGGAATCCTGAGAAGGTGTCGATAGCTTCTCATTTCGAAAGCCTCGTTCTTTTTCACAATTTCAGCAGTTAAGGTCCACGACTGGCAAGCTTAAAGGAATATGGATAAAACAATAGCATTGAGTAGACGTAATTTCGAGCCGATACTGATGTTTCTATCCCTCCAGATTGTTACTAGTCGTGCAACAGCAGCCGAGGCTGCTGCGATCCGACTCCTCACTTCTTTGATTGAACGCTGATCATTAGTAATCGTCCTACTCAGATATTTAAACTCGTCAACCTGCTCGAGCTGCTTCCCGTCAATGGCTATGCTTGCGGACAGACCTTTGCTTGCTCCCGTTACCAGCAGCTTACTCTCCTCAGTGCTGATTTCCATGCCGTATGACTTTGATGTGCTGGCCAGCCGGCCAGTAAGGTCTTGCAGTTCTTCCTCGCTGCCAGCCACCAGATCAATGTCATCTGCAAATCGCAGGTCTGTTATAATACGTCCACCAATGCTAATGGAACCCGCGAATCCCTCTAATGACCTAGATACCAGTTCCTCCAAGAAAATGTTGAATAGAGAGGGTGATAGAATGCAACCTTGCCTAACGCCAACGGTGGCATGGAACCAACTGCTATCCGTTGTTCCTACTCTTACAGCATTCTCGGACTGCTGGTACAGGGACTCGATCAGTGTGATGATAGTCGGGCTAAGCCCACACTTGCGCATTATCTTTCACAGGGCTGCGTGCCACACTCTGTCAAATGCCCTGCGAAAATCGATGACATTGTTATAGATGGGTCTCTGATGGTCACCATAACGCTCTGCCAGTGTACGGATGCCAGTGTACGGATGCCAGTGTACGGATGATAAAGTGATAAAAAAAAGCAATAATACGTAAGATGCACAGAAATGAAGGGTGGGAGGGCAGGGACACTGGTGAGACTCAAAACTGACGGAAGAAGTCAGGAAAAGAAACGACAATAAAGAACCAACCAGATGCCATATTTGCAACTGAAAACGTTTCGCGAGAAATCATTTCTCACCTATCTCGCGCAGAGAAATACAATTTCACTCCTTTCGAAGGCGATAAGCCAGTCCCACCAGGAATATAGTTATTATTATTATTATTATTATTATTATTATTATTGAGCACTTGCCATTTTCTCATGCTCTTCCTGCTGGTTTGTGCTGCTCACTTTCCTTTGCACAATGAAGCATGAGTTCAGCCTGCATGCCAAGGCCAGTGAATTCCTGTCGGAAGACTCGCGAGTGGGCCTGGTCGCCTGTTGGCTGCACACTTCCCAATGGTCACTGGTAAGGGACGGCAGTGAACGCACGTGCATGCACCCTGGCTTGTGTTACGTTTGGTGTGTTGGTGTGTGGCGTGACCTGTTGGCTTGCATTACGTTTGGTGTGTTGGTGTGTGGCGTGAGTGACATGTTGGCTTGTATTACGTTTGGTGTGCTGGTGTGTGGCGTGACCTGTTGGCTTGTATTACGTTTGGTGTGTTGGTGTGTGGCTTGACCTGTATGCTCCTGTCATGGATACCAGTATTCATAATTCTACTCGTGGACGATAGTGTTAATTGATATGTTTTATAACCGTCAAATTGCTAAGCACAGACGCTGTTCGTGTTTGTGTGCTACATGCAGTCTGGCGATGCTTCTACGGACGAGAGCAGCTCCTTGGCCATTCAGAAGGTACAAAGGTAAATTGCTCCTGAGCTATGCTCAAGTTGTGTTATGTCACAATGCGATTAGAGTATGTCTGACGTAGCCAGAGATCCAGCGTCCACTGCCCTTTAGTGTGCATGCTCATGTCTGTGGGCGGACGCTGTTCGCGTCCAAGCAGCCAGGAAGTATATAGGTTGTGTGTGTGGGTAGCCGGCGGGCACGTTGCCTACTGTGTGTTCAGTGAGTGGGCAGAGTGCCCTGCGCTGCTGGGCTGCCATCACGTGTGTATCGGGTTACACGTCCATGTCGTTCTGACGGACGACGCCTAGGCTTTGGTATCCCACACATATCCTGTAGCACCACGTACGTTCTGTAAAGATTGTCATGCACGTGTACGCGGCCAGTCAGCCATTCGAACGATAATGCGATGTGACGATATGGTTTAGATCGCAATACTGTAATGGTCGCGGTTTGACTTAAAGAGATATTAGTAGGTGTCGCATTATTGTTCGAATATTTAGGAGTGTGCTACTAATGGGCCGGGGATGTACTTCCTCCGCGTCGTCGAAATTGTCGCAGTTTGACTAGTGACTTGTCACTTGTTACTGACAACTCCATAAACTAAGCCATTCAAAACTTATTACACAGTATGATAGTCTGAAGACTAGAGTAACGTTCCAGGACAATTGGACTGAGAGTTTTCATGCAGAGATGAAGTCCTCGTCGTCGCTGATGTCAATGGACGCAAAAATATCGTTCTGAAATATTTCAAGGAAGGTTGAAAGTTGGTCGCGCCTCATCTCAAACGCTTTGACTTTCTCCACAGGACAAGAGCTGCTATGCTTGTCGTCTGCTAGCTCTGGATGATTTCTACTTCACCACCAACGAAGCCTAGTAAGAATACACGATCGTTGCGAGGTCGGTTGATCACCGTCGGCGGAATCACCTCGATCTTGAAATGAACTTTTTTTAGCCGTGGCATGGCCACAGCTCATGCAGGTAAGTGTAGTATCACGTCCAGCGCGCACTCTTTTTCAGCATCACTGGTATACCATGGTACGGCACCTGCGCGTGCATCACTAGCACTACGTGTAGAGTCTACACGGCTCTTGCAGGTACAATCATGTACTAGCACTGAGTGTCTCAGCCAGAGCGACAAATTTTATCGCTGTTGTAGGCATTTAGTTTGCCGACCCCTCGATGTTTCTCCAAGCGCTGCCACTTGTTCCACGAAGTCATTCTCACCGCAGCTAAGGTAAAACAGTGATGGGGCTTGAGTGAATGGCCATAAGCACGAGAAATGTGCAGGCTGCAACGCCTGACTGATCTCAGCGAGTCGAAATTACCATCGCAGCGACATCAACGAAGAAATTGCGTCTAGTTCAAAAATTCCAGCTTCCAATAACAGAAAATAGAACTTTGCCGTCACCCTATACTGATGAATATCGCCTATGTCCGATTCCTTTCCTCTGGTACGAGTGCTGGTGAGTAAATACCGTGTTTTATATCAAAAGTCAAACTGCGACAATTTCGATGACGCGGAGGAAGTAAGGATCGGGTAGATTGCAGTGTCTTAATGGGCGCGGTTGTATAATATAGAATGCTGAGATCATTAACAGAGGACTATGAGGAAGAGCAAAATGACAGGGGTGACAGTGTTGAAGCTCTGAGCAGACGGCGTCGGCAGGAGTGCCTACGCAGAGAGTAGAAGATAGGAGAAGAGAGGTCCCGCCGCCTCCAGAGTCGCCGTGCTCACGAAAGGCTACGCCGGCAGTAAGAAGCGACAGAGCAAATATCCCGTCGTTTGGAGACTCGCCGACTTCGTGACAAGATGCGTCGACAGCAAGAGACCGCTGAACGGGCATCCAGTCGGCAAGAGAAAAGACATGATTTCATGCCCAACCTTGTTCGGTCTGCGGTCGGTAGGGCCGTCATCACGTGACGCAACATGACTGGCCCTATCCCGTTCGTGTTCCGTACCATGCCGGCAAAGACTGCTGCCCACATGTTGAAATAGGGCTTTCAACTGCGGGATCACAACGTGAAACAACTTGATAGAATGTGTATATCTGCAAAGTGTATCGAGGGAATGCATGCAGCGCAAGGCGATACCGCGGGTTCAAACCCAAGTGATGTGTATAAAAAAAGATTGAAAAAATGAAATAAGCTAGTACCATATTGTTATAATAGACACCCTTAGCAAAAAAAAACGTTACTTTGTAACGGTATTACAGTAAGGGGAAAAATACCGAGATTTGGGTTCGACCTTTAGCAAGATGCACGCTATTTTTAAGACGTTGTTGCCATGAGAATAACTTTTATTCCGGGCGCTACAACCATTTATGGCTCCACATACGTCATACACGATGAAATGGGTACGCACTACGCAATATTTGGCCAAAAAACGTACCGTTTGTCACAACGATACATCAGCCCCCATAACGGTTTTACGCTTCAGCTTTAACGCTATGTGGGTAATCAAGATATGAGTACCGTAAAAATAATAGAGTTATCGTTGTTTGCTACGGGTGTCTCATATATTTACTTTTACTTCGTAGAATGACTTGTACCTGTCTGAGAGTTGGAGTTTGGAGTTATGTATCCATGTGCGTTTATGAGCTAAATTTTCGATTGTCGTACACATGTTTTTGTATTGCAAAGACGTTTCTATCAGTTCGAATAACACACATGATAGGCAATTAACGTTCTTATACTGGAGACGGCGCTTAAAAATGTTCAACCAATTACTCGATACAAAGAAAGCAGAAATACCAAAAAAATGTCATGCTACATGTAAGTACCATGCATGCAACACTGAATTCCACTGAGACTGTGCTAATAATAAACACTGTGCTAATGTTGTTTGGAAATACGCTCACAGTGTGCGTGTATTAGAGACTGCACTAGTAATGGAGAGACCGGTACTAAAATTGGAGAATATACCGTGTATTCACAATGAAAACCATACACGTGAAGTACATGTTGTAAATATGTCAACAAGTGAGAGTTTGAACTGGCGTGTATTAGAGACTGCACTAGTAATGGAGAGACCGGTACTAAAATTGGAGAATATACCGTGTATTCACAATGAAAACCATACACGTGAAGTACATGTTGTAAATATGTCAACAAGTGAGAGTTTGAACTGGATTCTGATCTACACCAGTACACATGGACTATACATGTAGGTACAATGACATGTTGTTATGAAGTGTGCTGTTGTGCAGGTAGAGCCACTTCTCAAACCAATACTGGAGTAAATACATGATAGAGCTTTTAGTGTGTGCTGGTTAAGGAATTCTTCAGGCGTTCACGAAATGGAGCTGTTGATTGTTCAGCATCCAACTTGCACAATGGAGCTGTTGATTGTTCAGCATCCAACTTGCACAATGGAGCTGTTGATTGTTCAGCATCCAACTTGCACTTGCTCAGCTCTTCGGTGACAGCTTCGGCTTCTTTGTCCAGTGCAGTGTGTGAAATGTCAGTGTACAATCTTCCTGCCATGTGGATTTGCTGTTTATCCACATTGTTATCATCAACAGAACTAGCAGCAACAGCAACAGCACTAGCTCCAGCACCAGGCGTGGGAATTGCAGAAGAGGAGGATTCTGCTGCAGCCTGTGTACTACCTTCTTTTGCTGTCAAGTTGTGGAGAGTTAATGGTTGGGCCTGGCTTGTGACGGCTTTGCGCACCTGCTCCAGGGTAGTTTGTAGGGAGAGAAGATCAGCGGATGTCATACTTTTGTCTTCACACAGGAGTTTGAAGAGCTCTTCCTTATCCTCCCTTGCACATCGAATAATGTCAGGAACCACGCGTTCGCAGAATGTTTCCAACATCGACCGAAAAAAAGTAGTATCCAAGCCGAGTGGGTAAAAGCTGGCATCCAAGCAACTACCGGTATTTGTCTCAATCACAAAATGGATAGCTTCATTGCGGCCATTTGCCTTGCAGCTTTGCAAATTTGCAGATTTTGTGCAATAGCCACAATCACATAGAATGCAAATTCGCCTCCAAAGAGAATATAACGTGATCTTACATACTGTGAAGAAATTCAGCGCCAGACTTTGCTCACACATGTGTTGACTGTCCCACACACCTACATCCACGCAATTAGACACATATTGGCGGCACCACTTCAGCAAACCCTGTAGCCTCTCAAGGTTCTCCAGCAGCAATGCACTGCAGATGTAGTGTGTGCGAACACATGCTGGTTGTTTTCCTGACTTGGACTGACGTTTTGTTTTCGATGGCTGCATGTGTGGGCACTGTAGTGGCACAGGTCTTACCACTCGACGACGAAACTCAGCCACATCATATTTGTAGAAGGATGGATTGAAGATTCTCTTTGCCTCCAACACAACAGACTTCCACTCATCACTACTCCGAGATACGGCACTACAGCTCACTTCTTTTCCAACACACGTATCCACAATGATGAAGAACTGAGCCAGCATAGTGTACGCATCATCCAAGAATGGTAGAAACTCAGTGGCACTGAAGAGATCTGCTGATGCCACACTGAATTCCTTCAAATCGTTATGCTCACCTTCTTTCTCACTCTTCAATAGTAACAGCTCACCAGCATAGCAGGAACAGAAGACTTCCAAAATGTCAATGGTCTCCAAAGAAGCAATTTCACATAGGTATTTCCTTGATCCAGGTACATGTGTTGCAATGGTGTCAACTATACATTGTAGGCTATGAAACACATAGCAGAACTGTGCCATGAACCCAAGATCGTTGGCCGTAATGTGCTCAAAAGCACGGAACTGCTTTGGAGGTACTTTTGCGCGGCATTGATCTGGCTGATCGCTGAAGACGTCCTGGAAGATGCTGTCAAATGCTGAAAGTCTGTGCTGCAAACAACTTATAAAGGTAATGGGCCCCAAAGCACATCCATAACGGGAGAGTCCAGGAATTCTTTCCACATAGCACATGTAGGTCTTCTTGTCTACTGTCTGATTATCTGCTAGAACCTCTGATTTGAATGTTCCTACGTACTCGTGACTCTGATATATTGCCTGATGCAGACTG